ATTCGGAATGCATCATCAGAAAATGGGTGTTGGTATAAATCGTGTTGGTGCCCATATTCTTATCTTTTACAATCATCATGGTATCATAACGCGTTCAATTGGCATAACATGTTTCGTGGGTGAGCGATGGCTGATATTAACATGGAAGAGTCTAGTTTCTCTCCCTCCTGGATGAAGCAAAGACACTCTCTGGGTCCATAGTGGAGGCAACGCTGGTATAATCGACAATAACGTTCCCACCAATAGCTCGACGAAGTCTCTCTCGACGGGCTTCAAGTTTCTCCTGTTCACGGCGTTGACGAGTGCGGGTGATCCAGTCTTGTACTTCGTGAAGAGGCCGGAAAGAGCGGACTCTTTTTTTCCGACGGTAATCAGAGGAAAGAAGGGTCAGGCTGGCCTTTCTGGTTGGCTTGATAAGACGGCTAGATTTAGGCCGAGAGCGAGAACGCTGCGAGACACGCCGGATCAAGGAGATAGGGCCTTGGAATGGCGTGCGATTCTGGGGAATTCCAAGTGTGTTGCTGACATATTGCCCACTCTCATACCCGCAGGGAGTCAAGTCATTTCCGGCGGTGACCGTGGTCGTGGTTTTGGGGTGATCGTCACCAGTGATGCCTTCATAGTCGCAGCCTTCCCAGAATCCATACGGACGCCAAAACGGATGTAGTTTACTGTCCAGTTTCTTCCCTGCCGTCCTATTGCGGACACGATGCGTCGTGCTTTTAATATCATTTGCAGCATCGGTAGCAGGTATGGTGTCTGCGGTGGAAGCGCGACGGGAACTAAATCTGCGACGAACGGAACTGAGACGACGGACAAGGCCACCGCCATTGTCATTGCTACTATCTGTCTCCATTGGAAGTGAAGGCCGGGGCCGCGATGGCAGTGTGTCTGCGCGTTTCAATGGGATGGACGGGGTGGCCTGCGAAGCCAAATCAGGAGGTTTAGGTGCAGCGCGAGGATATCGAAGAGGAGATTCAACATAGTCGAGAGAGAGCATAGGTGTCCTGAGGTCACCTGTATATGGGCGGGCTTCAGAGAGTGGATGTTCAACGACCAGGAGAGACTTATTATTATGTGCAAAAAAAGGGACCGCGGTGGCTTGACTAATTTCCACAGGCCCAGGGGAGAAAGAGAGGGACTCGATAGAAAGTTGAAAAGGTGTCAAGGAGCCAGCTGGTGGAGTTGGTTGACGAACAGAATCATTGTTGTCATAAACTGGTGACTCTGAGGGCATAATTATTTGCGGCGTGGGCATAGAGGCTGCAGACAGGCGAAGGGGCTTGGGGATAAGTTCCGACAGCATACCTTCTGATTTTGATTCTGTATTTTTGGAAGGTTGTCTAGAAGGCTCCAAAGGGAGGCTTGGTAGAGGCTTGGAATTAAGCAACTCCTCTCTTGTAGCACTAGTGATGGGTGGACGAGAGCTATCACCAGAAACTGAACCGGCGCGAGATGTATTCCGACTTGTGGGGGCGGATAGAGAGGACCGTCGTGCAGGGATTTTCGCGCAAAAAGCACTAGGTGCACTGGAGGTTGAAGGTAGGGACTCCGACATAGTACGCCGCCTGTGTCTGTGCCAACTGTGAGATAACCCTATGTCCGAATCTGGGGCTGTGGAGGGTCTGCGGTGGCTTGTTGGAGGTAATGAGCGTAATGTTGGTGGTCTAACTGGTGTGGAAGACTGAAGGGACGACCGACGTTGGGGGATGACAACTACACGTATAACGTCTTCAACTTGCTTCGGTTTGGTCTGAGTCAAGGTGGTACTCGCAGTTGCAATGGACATATCCGATGCAATGCTCAAGCGATTTTCGTTCGTAATCCGAGTATGTTTATGAGTTAGGCGTGGCTGTGGTTGCGTTTGTGGTTGCGGTTGTAGCGATCTGGACACGGATGGTGAGCCAGGGATCGGTGTGCTGACAGACCGAAGAGAGCCATTCTTCCCAGTGTGTCGAAGTGTCCTTTTCTTTTGTGGTGGAGAATCAATTACAACAGCTTCGATGGTAGTGGTTGACGCAGTTGATATACAGCGTGTGTGCGCCGAGTCCATGTTGTCTATACCGCTTTCACTAGGCCATCCGATGCTAGCGGCAAAGGCTTCAACAGAGGCGGTGGGTGCTGTAATTTCCTCTTTCCTAACACGTTCACGGAGGCTGCCATGGCGGATAACTGAAGGCGAATGCCCTTGATGGGATTGAGAGCGAGGTGAGGTAGAAGGGGTACTGTTTTCGCCGCGTTTGCGGACTTGTAGCTCTTCTGTCTCAAACAGTTGGCGCTTCTGCTTAGGCTTTTGCGTAGGAGTCTCCTGCCACGTCCCATCGGTAGTCGTATGGTTAACGGCGGTGTTGCGCAAAGGGTGTGGCAGCCTATGTTTGCACGGTAGTAGTAGAGGAGTTGATTTTGGAGTTGATTTTGGAGTTGACTTTGCTCTTTCGGTCTCCTCATCGGACGATAGGGTTTCTCGAGCTGTCGCAAAGGAGGTCGTTCTCGAGGAGACAGAGGGCACGCGCTGTGATTGTGCTTCTCGTTTCCTGGGGCGAGAGACGACACGAGGAGGGGTAATATCCGGGGTCAGCGGGTTTATCCTGTTTGACGGTGTTATGCTGCCTTGAGGGTCCAGAGGGGTTTCACAGTTATGATTCTGCGCAGTCGAAAGGGGTTTCCGGTCTTCAGCCGTGATGGCTGGCGGAGTAAGGGGAAGCGTGCGCGTGGGAGAGTAGACGAGGCCGTTATTCACGTTATCAACAGAATCGCTACTATCAACACAAGACGGGGAACCTGTGTCGACTAGATCCCATCGTCGCGGTAGGGATTTGTGAGATTTCAGGCGAGATTTGTCACTGTTCTCGCGACTCTGGATGGTGTCTGCCAAAGTGGTCATCTTTCCGGGAGACGATGCCCTTCTTAATGTACCTTAGGCCCTTTTTGAAAACATATCACAGTATACCGTCAAAGTCGAGTAATGAACGTTGAGGCTCCGTTTCATTACGGAGTAACAATGCCCTAGACAAGCACACCAGTACACCAGCGTGCTATAGTATGCTACGCTTTGTGAAGACGGAGAGTTTGGCAAGAGCGTGGGCCAATGAGCAGCGAATGTCGATGGGTGCTAGAAAGCTATTGCAATTTCCACTGCAGCAAATGCAGGCTGAACGAACGTCTTGGGAGGGCAACGAAGGAGCGACTGGTCCCAGGGAATCAAGCGCCGTTCAGCGAGAGAGGTGCGTATAACAAGCAATATATCGAAAGTACTCCGTAGAGGATGTCAGGAGGTTGAAACAGGACGGAGAATGCGCGCTTAGAGGTCCACCCCCAGCATTATGTATCAGGCGATGTATCGTCTAGAGGCATTCACGCGTCCCGAAAACCTGCTGTCTCACGTACTCCACGAATTCCAAGTTCTGTCCGATCAACTAATAGACTCGCAGCATCCTGCCCGGTTCCTGGGTAGAGAGAAAAAGCAACGAGGTTGACCTCTCTCTCTCTCGTCTCGCTCCGTAACCTGCTGCCTTCTCTGCCCAGGTTATGTCGTGTCACCAGTTCTCTTGTATTTGCGCCTGTGTCATGAGCCTATTCCGATATGTCCTGCAATTTCTGTCTGTTTGCGTTTCTCTCTCCCTCTTCCTCTGTTCCTTTTGTCCGTGATTTTGTCTGTTCTTCTTCAAAGTTCTGAAGTTTTTGACGTTAAAAAAAGACGAAGTTGATTCTTACCCTTTTGGGAACGTGCCTGATTAGTCATAATAGTTAGTAATCTATCTTAGTCAGAATCGTCTTAGTCATGATTTCTTAGTCATCTACATGAATAAAAGCTAACTACACGTGACCAACGTCCCAAAGAGGAAATTAAGGACGTCAAGCAGAAAAGAAAAACAGAAGAAGAAAAAAAACACGAAGACGAAGACGAAGAAGACGAGATAGAAAAAGAGCATCTTCAAAGCGACAGAAAAGACGAAGACGAAGAGCAGCGTTGGCGGCAAAAAGAGATATTTTACGAAGTTACGTTCTCTCCCATGCACACTAAAGTATCAAAAAGTGTCCACTACTGACGTCAACATCCCAGATCTCTCGCTCCCCGCTGGGCTCGTTTTTTTCTTACCCTCCCTTATATATATAACAAACATAAGGCTCCTTCGCCCTGTCACTCGCTTATCTTCCCGCCTGCGTCAAGTCACAGGAGATCATCAGACCGACAGTAAACAGAGAGACATACACAGAAACCCCGTCACAAGGGCCCAGGCAGTCTTCCAGTTGTTTGTCCCTTGTCCTCCCTCTCTTCAGAAAGAAAAAGAAAAAGAAACAAAAAAAGCACTATAGGGTAGCCGCGCCGTCCTACCCACCCCCTCTCCCCCCATCGCCAGCCCTCTCTCTCCCCATTCCAGCCATTCCCTGCAGCCCCCAAAAGGGGAATCGAAAAAGAAAAAGCACATTCCGTCATCATGAGTACAATACAAAACCTCAAGAACTTCATCCGCCATGGGAAACAGGCTCGTATGTCTGTCGCCCATGGTGAGCCCATCACAAACGTCACAACCGTCTACGCAGAACCTCAACGGAAGCCGCAGTCGCAGTATCAGCCCGGCATGGCTACCGGTACCCTCGATGCCATCGACCAACACCAACGCTCGACCAAGGCTGCAGCGGCCGCTACTGCAAAGAGCCAGGCTCGGGCCCATGAGCAAGAGATCGAACAGATCGTTGCGGAGGAGAAGCTCAACCGTTCCAAACTGCCCAGTTACCCTGGTCTGGAACGGTACATTCTTGTCGAGAAGATGGGTGATGGCGCCTTTAGTAACGTCTACCGTGCGCGGTACAAGTCTGGACAGTCTGGAGAAGTTGCGATAAAGGTTGTCAGGAAATTCGAGATGAGTTCCAAACAGGTATGTTCGGAACGCTACACTGTCACTTGAAAAGAAAAGAAGACCATTCTATTACACTGGCCTTTCTTCTTCTTATTATTATTATTGTGCCCGTTTTTTCTTCGTTCTTTGCCAACCGATGCGCCTTGGGGTCACCTCGTAGGGCATTGATCACCTTCACCCGAGCATCCAGAAGAAGCAGGTGGAAGTGAGATCCCCATCATACATTACTTGGCCACTCGCTATCTTCGCTCCAGTCATGCTAACGTCTCGGCTAGCGAGCGAGTATCCTCAAGGAAGTCCAAATAATGCGCCAACTCGACCATCCGAACATTGTCAAATTGATAGAATTCTCAGAATCTCCTCAGTTCTACTACATCGTCCTTGAGCTATGTCCTGGCGGCGAATTGTTCCACCAGATCGTCCGCTTGACCTATTTCAGCGAGAACCTATCCCGTCATGTTATCCTACAGGTGGCAAAAGCTATAGAATACCTACACGAAGAATCTGGTGTCGTTCATCGGTAGATACATACCCTTCCTACCTATTCAGTTGCCCGTTTTATTCATAAGCTAATCCCCTCCACAAGTGATATCAAACCGGAAAACCTGCTCTTCTATCCAGCTCCTTTCACTCCAACCAAAAATCCCAAACCACCTGCTCCCGGTGACGAAGATAAAGTTGATGAAGGTGAATTTATTCCCGGCATCGGCTCCGGTGGCATCGGAGTCATCAAAGTTGCAGACTTTGGGCTGTCAAAGGTTATCTGGGACAACGAAACTATGACTCCCTGTGGCACTGTCGGCTATACAGCCCCGGAAATCGTCAAAGATGAGCGCTACTCCAAGTCGGTCGACATGTGGGCTTTGGGATGTGTACTCTACACTCTACTCTGCGGCTTCCCTCCCTTTTATGACGAGTCCATTCAAGCCCTGACTGAAAAGGTAGCGCGTGGGCAATACACTTTCCTTTCCCCCTGGTGGGACGACATCTCTAAATCAGCTCAAGACCTTGTTTCACACCTCCTCACTGTTGACCCGGAAAAACGCTATACCATCAAGGAGTTCCTTACCCACCCCTGGATCAGAGAAACTGATGAAGAAACCACTGCTGCCGACGATGCCCCTCCACTTGCTACCCCTCTTCTTTCTCACGCCAACAAGATCCTCGAAACGCCGCTTACCGGCATTGACCCCAATTCTCGCCGTGCCGATTTCCGCTCCCCAGGTGCGATGAATTTGCGCGAAGTCTTTGATGTCGGATATGCTGTCCACAGACAGGAGGAAGAAGCTAAACGTCGCAAAGCTGGCTTCAAAGTAGGATACCGAGGTGCAGCACTCGATCCCCTCAGCGAGGTGGAGCATGCGGAGCAACAGGAGTATAGTGGCGATGACGCCGAGTCCCAAGCTGAAATGCATTACTATGACCAAGGTGGTAACCCCGTGTCAACTCTTCCATACAATAAAGTCCAAGGAGGCCAACAACGTCAACAGCAGCCACGCACAGGATACAACCCTGATGTAGCGGCTGTTGAGAACAAGTTACGAGGCACCAATCTCAGCACAGGTCAGCAACAACAGCAGCTGAGTGCTGCCGCCCAAGCACGCCGCGCGGCCGGCACAACCACTGCTAGCAGACAACCACAGCAACGAGGCCGCCAACCATACCAACAAGGCGGCTACGGTCAGCACAGTGCCGCCGTAGCAGCTGCGGCCAGGGAGAATGCAGCTCGATCGGCACAACAACCGTTCGAGCTCAGCCTAGATAATGCTACGCTACTAGGGAGGAGGGGGAGGAGGATGGCTGGGCAACCTGTATCTTGATTCCCACCGCCTTTACCTAGAACTTCTCACCTCCTAGTTCAACCTCGCTCCATAATTGACCAGCATTCGCTGCCTCCATCCTCTTTCCTTCCTCGTGCGTGCATATCTAGCATTGATTTCCTTATGCCCTTTCCTATCACTTTCTCTTTATGCGATGTCATGTCATGTTATGTTATGCTATGGATTCAATTACAGCCCCAAGCTTCTTTTCAGTCTTCCCAGCATAATACCTCGTACATACATATGACTCTACCAAGAGCCAATATTTTACTCTTGCCTGAACAAGGCGGAGGATGTTTATAAAGACTGTCTGTGCTTGTGTTTATATTCAGGTCGCTGCTTTTCATCTTACATCTTCCATCGGGGTATTAGATACATAGAGGTACGTTGACAAAGAAATTAAAGGATTTGCTTTGGGCTCCGTGTTATAAGTGACAGGAACCGTGGAGGATGAAATGAGCTGCGGAAGATCTGAGGGCGAAAGGGCTTACGAAAATCCACGCCTATAGCACTGCCGTTATACATAACTAGCTAGCGCTGGGCAGCGCACAACGAGGGAGGATGCAGCTTCAAAACATTACGATGTCAGATAAACTATAGACCAAATCTTAGAATACATAATATAGAGATGAAATATAAATTTGTCGTTCTATTCGTCATTAAAAGCAGACAGACTACCTTCCAACTGGGTATAATAAGAAATGGGCATGAACATAAGCATGAACCGTAAACAAACCGTTTAACTGGCGATAACTCGCCCGGAGCCATAGCCACAGCCACACCGGCTTATCTTTATCTTCCATCTCGCTCTATACAGCTTCAATTAAAACAAACAAGTATGACCATCCAGATAATGATACTGTCTAATCCCTCTCTTGAATTTTCTTTCTTTCTCTTTTAGAGGGACGCCTTCCCTCTTGTCTCAATTGGAAGTAATGCCATGGCCACGAATGCAGCCAGCATGAGGCCACCAGATGCATACACAGGAGCCTTGGGGTTTGCGCTACTACCGTAGATAGCGACAATGGGAGCTAGTAGACCACAAATACGGTTGAGGCAGCTGGCAATGCCTGTTCCGGTACCTCGGTTGGGTGCTGGGAAAACCTCAGGTGTGTAAGCGTATAGAACGCCGTACATGATATTTTGGAAGAAAGCCTCGAGACAAGTGCAAGTCAGACGGACTTTAGGATCAGGGGAGAGTGTGAAACAGAAGAGGATGATTCCCGTTATCAGAGTGGAGATAGCCATGGTACCCTTACGTCCGATGTATGGGATGTCGACGGTGTAGCAGGCGATCAGAGAGCCGGGAACACCAACAATGGAAGTGATGGCATAGTCACGGTAAACTGGTTTTTTTTTTTCGTATTAGCTGTATGAAATACTGGACGGATACAGTTTCAATAAACTCACCAGTATTGGTGGTCGGAGGTGGGTATTTGTCACCACCACCTTGTGCAAGATACTGCGGCAGGAAAGCGTTGAAAAGAGGGTAACCCATTCCAATAGTTGCCCAGCAGAACCACAGAAGAACAGCTGTGAGGTTATTAGTTCTGGAGAATCCTCTTATCAAAGAAAGGTGACATAACATACTGGTAAGTCCAAGTCTCTTCGTTGCAAAGAGCGGAGCGATGCGCTCTCCAGAGAATTTGTTCAACTGTCTCTTAATGATTTCTACGGTACTCAGCTTCTGGTTTTGTACCTCATCTGGATGTCCTCCGATCTCATTAAGGATTTCCACAGTAAGCCAAGTTTTGACTCCGTTCTTGTAAGCAATGCCATGTACAGCAGCAACAGCTTCTTCTTGGCGTCCACGGGACAGCAGGAACTTTGGGGATTCAAAAAGGTGGAAGAGGAAGAAACGAGACAAGAACATGAGGAAGGTGAGCACTCCAAGGATATATGTGAAGTACCGCCAGCCCATGTTGTCTTCTTTGGCACAGCATGGTGCTGGAGCAAGGTGGCAGGAGGGTAGACCATCGGCACAAGTATACCTTGGTACGAGGCCCCACGCAATAAGACTGTGTATGGAAATGGTTAGATTAGATGCAAATAGAGGGTATACATGGGGAAAGGCAATACTAACCTGGCAACCAGTTGGCCTACAGGCCACCACACACTGAGCATAGTAAGAAGGTTTCCAGATGCGAAAGGAAGAAACTCGAGGAATAATGCGCCATCGACAGGCAAATTCCCACCCACGCCTAGACCGAGACAGGCAAACATAGCACAGACCCTAAAAAATAAATCATATCAGTAACTTAAGTCACTTTGATTGCCAGTCTAGCGGCATATAAAACATAATACATACCCAATCCAGGTTGGACTACCACCAACTGCTAGGCCGAAAACACCGCATAGGAAGAGCGTCATGTTAAAGGCAAGCCGACGACCGATGATATCAGATGCAGTTCCCCAGATAACTGATCCTAGACAAAGACCAATGAACAAGGCACAAGTAGTGAATCGAACATGCGATTCACTAACACCGAACTCGAGGGACAGTTTTGGCAGCGTGAGAGCAACACCCTAAATAAAACATATTAATAAACTAGAATTTCCAGGTGCATAGGGGGAAAATGGTATTCCCTTACTTGCAGCCATAAACTGGGAGAAGATAATATTAGCGTTTAAAACACTAGGTTAAATGCGATCAATCAAAGAAGAGACTCACTTGTCTGCGAACCAGCCAAATCCGCACAAAATAAACAACTGCCACTGGTAACGGCCCATTCCAATATCCTGGACCGCCCGGTTAATGACCATAGATTTTCCTAAAAATATATCAATCAGACCCTCTTTCTTCAAAAAATGAAAAAAAGAATACCCTCTATCATCCGCTAGTTTCGCCGATCTAAAAGGGAGGGGAGGAAACCGGCACTCCTTTCGTCCAGCCTGCAGGGTAAGAGGGTAAGCAAATCTCAAACGAGTTAGAACGTACTGTCATATGCAGTATCCTGGCCTGTGGACGCAACAGAAGCTTCAACTTCAGCTCTCAAAGCCTCAATGGTTAGCTCTGCCTCATACTCGGGTGGTGGGCTCGCCGCGCCCTCTTCTTCAAAAGTGCCGCCTACGGATTTCTTTTTCGATGGGATTTTACTTGTTGGCGAACCACCAGACAGTGGTACTAGGACTCCTGGGAAGGACTTCTCGTCCTTGGCGAACGGATTCACGAACGGCATGGTGAGCGACTACAGTTGCGTTGGGGCAGATAGGATCTGTTCGATTTGCGTCTGGGCACAATACTGTTCAACGAGGGATGGGGGGTTTGTTGCTATCGTCAAATGCGTATTCCGTACGATGTATGGTTACTGGAACCGGGCAAATGTCACGATGATGGCTGCGTTGGGCTGCTATTCCGGGATAGCTAAGATGGGACTGCTCGAGATGGGAATGAGCGAGCACTTCGGGGAAAGACGGTGAGGTTGCACTTGGATGAGAACCAATTGGTAATGGCAGGTAAGGAAAGTGGACAGATAAAAGATTTCCGAGGTGTAGATATCCAACTATCTCTATCTCAAGAGTTGTATGTCTGCTGGTCGATCCACTTGCTTCTTTCTAGTGAAACTCGCTCACATATAATCATGAGGTGCCGTTGGCGCTGTATACCTTCTCCGAAGAGGAGTAGGCCGCATATACAGATCCTGGGAGGCGAGAAAAGAGAGGAATTGGCTTGAGATGAGTTAAAGAAAGGGCCACGCCAATAATTATATATGTGTGTTTCACGAATCAAGACCCGGATTATATTTAAGATCGTAAGAGGCGAAAAAAGCAACGAGGCAAAGCCATGAACAGAGCACAAGAGCGGGTTGAAATTGGCGGAACCTGGTCAAAGTGATTGGCGAAGCAACTGGTGGAGTGTTAACATGGGAACAGGAGGTGGAGCTTCACGATGCTAGTGCACTCTCTGTTTTTATTCTAGCAGCTATTATGTCATAGCAGAGGAGAGCTTTTGTGGTGCTTGACAACGCGTATATACTTGACAGGCCGCGGAGGTGCTCTTCTGTAGGCTTTGGTCTCTTGATCAGGAACAGAAGACTCGATATCTATCAGGCTCAGACAACATCATGAAGGTTCGGTTCTTCCCCGATGGGCAGGGAGATAGAGCAGCTGAAGTCACGGGAAACCTCTTCATCCATGAAAAAAAAGCTGTATATTATTATTGACTTCTAGTGCAGGGTATGAGGAAGTGGCGATCTTTTCACTAGAGAGCCAAAAAGTAGAACACATCCTTCATTCCGCAATATGTAATAGCCAACGAACTTCTTACCCTTCCTTGTCTGTCAGCATCTGCTCAGGCCGCCCTCTGCTGTCAACCTGCATGGTCACATCGTCTCTCTCGACATCCTCAAGTCGTTCTGATATTGCTTTTTCTGACGTCAAAGAAGAGTTGCTTATATAAGCTTCCTTAGGGCTTGGCTTTTCTTGGCATCAGCAAGCTCGGAGCAGGAAAAAGCTTTGATCCATAAACAGCCAATCATAAGCACTGTCGTGATTACGTCATAGTAACGACGCCCGTAGTCAAGGTCATGTTGTATCCGCTCTCCACCAATAAAAAATCCCAACGCAAGAGCCGAGGTTCCACTGCATAAAAATGTTCATTTCCGCAGCAAAAGTGTGCCGCGAGTTGGAGACACGAACAGAGAAAAAAAATCTGCGGCGGCAAACACCGAACTTCGGTCGAAACACCAAGCTATCGCCGAGCCTTTCAAACAGGTGATGGTGACGTCAGGTACCTAGGGTTCTCCATAACGAAAGGATTTCCAAAAGGTGTTGGGGACAGAGTACGGTGCACCGCCATGTGGTAAGCCATTATCTGCCATGTATCCCATGAGGGGTTCGACATTATTCGCGTGACGCCGTTGGAGGGGTGCCATGATGCGAGCAGCCAGATTGCCTTTTGCGCAGCGAGTTAATATCAAGGGTGGGAGGAGGAGCGTCGCGGGTTGCCTCTTTTGGCTATTTCCTCGTGATGGAGACAGCTCCATGGCTGACAATTTTATCTCTGGCTTTGTGTTAGGGGTTGCATCGATAGAGTATTACGTATGGAGTACAAATACGAGAAGGACCAGACGCTGAACGAATGAACATCACCACTGATCTGATAGAAGCCTTTCCTCTTTGAAGTGATGGTTCGTATATATAAAGGATATATTCGATATCAAGGGTCAAATGAGAATATCTATAAATATAACTTCGTAGTATGTATAACAGCATGCTCCATTGACATACCTGCAATAATAGATGGAGGATTTCCTTGGGGAATCCATCGATCAGCGCGGGACTTGGTGACGTCAATCATTAGATACAGATTGGTGGGTACCTGTGAACACAAAATATTGGACAGTCTTTAGCTATTAAGCATATCATAGCCAAGTTGAGCATAATGGAAAGGGCTGACTGTAACGGGGAGCCAAGTCAGTTGTTGGTCCCATCGATCCGAGATCGTACGCATTTACGTAGAGGAATACTTGAGCCTCAACAAGTTGGGTGACATGATCGTAATGACCATAGAGATTTAAGAAAATGTTCGAATTGTGGTCACCAGGGTATAAAGGTAAACTCTTTGCATGCTCAGTTCGGCTCATCCCTCGATCGGCTTTATCTGTATCTCAGAGCAGTAGATGTAGTGTTTCGATTGCAGGCATGACAGGGCTTTGCTAGAACGTTTGATGCTAGTGACCTGGATAAAGACTACGAGAGGCGTATGATCAAATCTAGTTAATTTCAACGATACCTCTGCCGCAGTCACAAAGTCAAAGTCTAGCATTTGAAGTTCAGCTTATGATAAATATCAGCCTTTTCTAAGTAGAGCGTGGCCTCTGAGTCTAGAGCCCCATTCTCTGGTTAGGACTATTGAATCTTGTGATGACCCTAGATGAAAGTTATTAGTATATATAACGCTTTACTCTGTGTCATGTATTAACTAACGGAGCAGCCTCATCAGCAAGCCCACCAACACTCACAGACCTTTTTCACCATACACCCGATTGGCTCGTGCTTCAGGGCATTCATCACCACTATCTTTATCATCGTAAGAACGTCCGTGGCCCTCTTGCGTGTTTGAACTAGTTCGCTGGTGGATATTTTGCTGAAACACATCTTTTCTTTTGATACTCAACCCGATGGACTGCTTGACCATATTTTACTTTCGACGGTCAGGCCTACAAGAGGGCCCTATTGAGAAAAGATATATCCCCGTGCCCTCAACATCAAACATCGACAAGTTCTCCCATCAAAGCCGGAGGAGGTTTGACTGGCTCGAAATGCCGGTTCTTGCATGCCAAAGTAGCAAGGAAAAAGCAACGTCAAGAAAAGAAGGGCGTTTCCGCGTGGCTGCAGCAAGCCACTTCACCACGACCCCATATCCCGAAATGTTCGACGTCAACTAGAACCTGAGCAAAGATATCGGAATCATGACGCCTGCTCTCGCAGCCCAGGGGTGACAATTTTCGTATTCTGCCATGGGGTTTCCTGACAGATGGTTGGCTCGGCGCGAATTCTCACTATCCACGGGAACTGCCGACCAAGTTCAACTCTTAACTAATTAGCTAAAGCAAGGGTTCGAGCAAGCATCTTTCTTTGCCGAAAAATCCACTCATAAAGAGGGACGAGCGAATAGGAAGTCAGAGCAATGCAGCAAAATGCTTATGAAACCACCTGCTATGGATCTTATTTCAGAATATAAATTTCTGCCAGTTAAAGCGGCCACTTGTGTTGAAAATGACCCGTGGATACTACATCTTGCCTCCACGGGTTTATCTTTCGGGTCTTTTTCAATCCAACAGGGCGTTCCCAAGGAACTGGGTGTTGTTATACATAAAAATACTAATAGTACACGTAGCTGGATTTTCATCCTGCTCGTTGGATTCCCGTGCGGAGAGAGAAGTTTCCAACGCAGGTTATGAAATCTCAGGACAGCATGATTGCCGAGAAGGCACATTCGCATCCAGAAGACCATCACAGCGCTGATAATCCGGTATATCCAGGGCATTCAAGGCATGCCACCTCCACAGGATTCGAGAGTGACTCAGACGGGCCTGTTCCGCTGAAGAAGAAGAATTCACAAGATAACGGTACAAGACCAGAACTGGATATTTTGACAGCCGTGGAGGCCAGGGAGGACCATGTTTACAGTGAAAAGGCCGTTCCATTAGCTGAAAATAATGGATTGCTATTCCAGGCCATAACGAGAGATCAAGAAGATAACTCGCCAGCGTGTCGTCTGGCCCGTACACGATCGTCACAGGCTCCCCCGCCATCAGACCCGGAAAATCTCACCCGACTAGGGTCTCGTATGTCAACAGACCCAGCTGGCAATATATATCCCGAAGGTGGCCTGGAGGCATACTTGGTAGTGTTTGGATGCTTTCTCTGCCTTTTTGGCTCCTTTGGTCTAGTCAACGCGATCGGGACCTTCCAGGCTTACCTGAGCGAGAACCAGCTCAAAGAACATGATCAGAGCACCATATCATGGATATTTGGGGTCTTCTCTTTCCTAATCTTCTTCGGAGGTCTCCAGATCGGTCCCATCTTTGACGCAAAGGGCCCAAAGGGGTTGGTCCTCATCGGCTCGACTCTTGTAGTCGGCAGTCTGATTGCACTCGGATTCTGTACCGAATACTGGCAGATCATGGTTGTCTTTGGCGTTGTCTGCGCAGCAGGTACTTCAATGGTGTTCACCCCAGCAGTTGCTAACCCTGGCCACTTCTTTTTCCGCCTTCGGGGGAGGGCCACCGGCTTGGCCACGACGGGTGGGAGCGTGGGAGGCATTATATTTCCCTTGGTGCTAGACGTCCTCTTTACCAAAATTGGATTCGCCTGGGCCACTCGTGTCCTGGCTTTGATATGCTTCGTCTCTCTTGGTGCTGGGCTGATGTTAGTCAAGTCACGATTACCCAGACAACGTGCTACTATGAAGAACATCATGCCTGACCTACGCATCCTCCTTGAGCCGGTATTTGCATGCACGACACTTGGCATTTTCTGCATAGAATGGGGTCTCTTCGTGCCTCTTACATATATCTCCTCCTACGCTCTTCACCATGGCCTGCCGAAAGCGTTGTCATACCAGCTCCTTGCCATCCTCAATGTTGGATCCTTTTTCGGCCGGTGGGTTCCGGGATATATATCTGATTACACCGGGCGCTTCAACACGATGATTGTCACCGTCCTCATGTGTCTGCTCTCCGTGTCTTGCCTATGGCTCCCGGCCAATGGGAACACGGCGATGACAGTAGCATTCGCTTTCATCTTCGGCTTCTCGAGTGGAAGTAACATCGGGTTGACTCCAGTGTGTGTAGGCCAGACTTGCAAGACTGAGAATTACGGACGGTACTATGCCACTGCCTACACTGTTGTTAGTTTCGGGTATGTATATGACTACTTTTCTCCTTGCCATCTAAGCTAGGTTGTGTCTTTGCTAATTATACCCCACAGGTGCCTGACCGGTATCCCTATTGGAGGGTCAATCCTCACCCGCAACGGCGGTGAATACTGGGGTCTCATTACCTGGACGAGTTGCTGCTACTTTGCTGGGCTAGTATTTTTTATTGCTGCCCGCGTGCTTCGAGTCGGCTGGAGCCCGTTAAAAATAGACTAACATCATGATATATGGTCCCAGATTTCCACCACTTACATATATATGCATCCACGGCAGCTCATTGCTTTTGGGACCATCAGGCTTGACGATATGATAATGGATCCGTCATTCAGCGTTGTCATTCTCGGGTATACCACAAATACACTTAATGTCCTTGATTTTCATTCTTCAAATAGCTAGGTCTCACTATCAATAGCATGCAAAAAGTTACCATTGGCTACTCCCTCGCTTCCGTCTATGGGCTGCCGCCAACTCATCCTGTGCGCTTCTTTCTCGTATATCTTCAAGAATTATACCTAGTATTATAGGACATTCTAGTCATATCACCGGGTATATGTCTTGGATATGGTCATGCTGTTTACCAAAACATTTGAACGCCCCAATTAAGATCAAGATAGTGTGCTCCATAAACAAGGCCTTTCAGTCTTGGAGAGACGACAAGACGCCAACGATCAAAGGAATATTCAGTCTCGGAACGCTGAACCTAAGAATACTAAGTCTAGAAAGTCATCGTACACCCCATACCAAAGAAACTCCGTCCGGAAACTCCAAACATCCTTCAGAAACATGCCGTTTCTTCAGGAGAAAAAGCTTGACGATGGATAAACAGCTTGTGCCAAACCGCCTGATAGGGCTGAGAGGGCCATCGACACGCAAAACACCGTGGCTTTCCCGTTCACACAGCCGCAGAGGCGAGATAAGGGGATCTCGGAGAATAATAAACAACAATCTGGGGGCGCAGCGAAAAGCTTGATACGGACGAACATATGTAAAGTTGAACGGAAATAAAAGAAACATACAAAGACCTATTTTTATATTACTTCGAGCAAACCCAAAAGCTCCAGCTGAAGAAGCGCGCCATCTGATTCGTGTTTCAGACGCCCACCACATCTGCTTGGATGCAAGACATAAGACATTCTTGTCGTCATTCCAGTAACAAGCCTGACGGATTCCTGGATCGAGCAATTATTAACGGAACATTGTCAATGGGAGATGCAGGTAACATATCTCATCTCGGATATCCTTTTCCATGGCGGCTTGATCGAGCCATCGGTTTCCAGGTGTTTTCGAGACGCCTCAGCGGCCCATGGAACGGCTCGGTACATAGCAAGAAATCACGTCCTTTGTCTCCTGGGCCAAATATGAGGATGTATATGCTCCGTATCCTCCGAGAAGGCTGCAATCCCACTGTAACGTCTTGGTGATTCAGCTCGACTTCTGAGGGAGCACATCCATGCGGTGTATACGGAACTAAAGAGACACAACCATATCGGTGACTTGTCTCACTACAAATATCATACTATTTCGTTCTAATACCACGGTAGCGAGCATACTATCGGGATGGCCTATGGGGTCCACTCGCGGAAGCCACTGGAACAAGTGCCTCAGGCGTTCGTCCTGTTGCTTTCTCCAGGCCTTTTCCGGCTCCATGGCAACCTGTTGGGTTGCAGCTACTTTTTTAGCTGTCGGGACAACGCCTTGACCTGGCCAGTGGAGTCTCCGGGCTAAGATGGATCTTTGGATGATGTGGAAAAGAAAAGGAAAAAAAAAAGATGGCTCTGATCTAAGCCTCCGAGCTGGGGGGATCGAGACCTGCCCTCCGCTGACGACGTTTGAAGAACATGTTCTGGTGAAAAGACATAAATATACCACGTCCTGCCGATATACTCCTGTTTTTTTACTTCTCCATACCATAATCATCTATCGTTGATATCTGAGAAGAATACCATACTCTTCCCTCCTCTTTCTGATATCTCTTTTTCTAGCGTCGTCACTCGCTTGGTTTAGCTGTTACTATATAACAGGCACCTCCCTCGTTAATCGTTGCTACCATTATCATTATTTTTACCATACATTAATATGGTTGCTTTAATATCCTTTGTTGTTGCTGCTCTTGCAGGCACCGCCCTTGCTCGCCCGGGCTACAAGTTCCCAGAACTCGAGGTTAGAGGAACAGGGGGTCACCATCATCATCCGCCTCCAATGACCACCGGAAACCCCCCTGAGCCTACTACCCCCAATCCTCCCGGCCCTGGGACTCAGACCATCACTACTACCCAAACCGATACCATCACTCTTACCACCTTCGTCCCTCACTCCACTGCAGTTGCAACTATTCCAGGCCACACCTGGTACAGCACCTGGCTAGAGGCCTCTACCTACACTACAACCACTTGCTATCCAGTAACCGAAACTCCGCAAGTCCCAGAGCCTACCCCAACACAGCCACCAGAAACCTGCCATGGCAATGACTGCGAAGGCGAAGGCAACGGCCACGGCAGCGAGTACACATGCCCACCACCAGCCACTGTCACTGTCACCGTTACTGAGTGCCGAGGAGACGGCTGTGAACAGCCACCAGTCACTCCTCCGCCAGCAGGCCCTACTCACTGCCCTAGCTGCCAGACTTATACTATTACCGATATCCACGAAGGAACAAATACCATTGTCGTCCCTCCCCAGACCATTCTCCCACCACCCGGCCAGTGCGATAGATGTCAGACCTATACCATCACCGATATCCATGAGGGAACTAAGACCATCACCATCCCCCCTGAAACAACTATTTCCACGGTGACTCCACCAACCTCTAACCCCCAGCCAACGGGCACCGGTACCGGTACCGGACCCCAGCCATCTGAGCCAGGCACCACCTACACTCTTCCAACCCTAACCCCTCAACAGCCTAGCGGAACCGGTTCTCCCCAGCGCCGATGGTGGATCTAGATGGTCTATGACAGATATGAAGTCATGTACCTGAAATAAAGCTATTCTGGATAGCAACATACCTCCCTCATACACTGCTCGATGCCGCCTTAACTCCATAAACCATAACCGTTTATTGCCTTTAATGTTGATGCCATATGTTTTATCCCTTCTAAGCGAGCATTTTTTTACATTTTGTTTCCATCTCGAAGTGTTTACCCCATGATTATCTAGTATATAAAATATCGACTTTCCTTAATGAGACTAAAGACTTATAGCCACCAGAAAACCAGGTTGAGGGCCCTTCTAAGAAATGACATTCCTTTTATTTCCTCCCTTACATCCTATTAGCTAGCTATATAGAATGAGCATAACTAAGGCTAAAGGTTGGTTTTATTAATGAATACTAGATAGGACTTCGCCAATCTGATGTCTTCCACAGAAACTGCACATCAAATTTTACTGCTGGTTTTATCGGAATACAAAAGATACTAAATGACCCGAGTATCCAACCAAATCAAAAGAAGCTTAAAAGAAATAGAGAGGAAGAAAGGTAAGAAGCCAACCGGCTATTCAATAGAGTCTTCTTTCTCATCCGCATATAGCTACCTTCTCTGTCACATATGAGCTGCAAAAGTGAAGCGAAGGGAAAGCAGTAACATGGTAAAAGAAAGAATCAAAAATGGGTATGTTCAAGACAGTGCAAAGTTAACCAAAATATGAAATCCAAAAAAATAAAACCAAACTAAAAAGAAATCGAAAAAAGGGAAATAGTAGACCAAAAAAAAAGCAAAACACAACACAACAGGGGGTAATCGGTAGGCCGGAAGAAACCACAAAAAATATAAAAAAGCAAGTCAGAGTCGCCAGAACACTCTCCGCCGAAAAAACGCCCACATAATTCAGAAATCCAGTTCGTGAAGCTTAGCATAATTGAGCTGGAACGAGAGGGGAGGGTGACGACAGCATGCAAGTTGCTAAAAAATTGGGGAACATGCATTTTCCAGGAGATATCAGCCAAAATGGATAAGCACAGGTCACACAATAGATTGCATTAGGTATCGGAGAATTTGCCAATCATAGCGAGAAAATAATGATATGCTTCCTGGAGTCGAACCGTCTTGTTGGGCTCTTTCACAATGGATATCAAATATTAGCCTTCCTTGTACGCCGGCCTTTTCGTTAAAAATGGTCCTTTTGAAGTAGCCAGTTACTGTTTTTCCGAGACATCAACTACTCTCTACTTAAATCGTTAGCAAGCGAGACAAGATTAAAGTGGGGGACAGACATGTAGTCTAAGATATGAATATTTCATGGGAAACTCACAGGTTCCTCCTCCTTAGTCTCATCATTGGTAGTAGTCTTCTTGGCTTCGGGTGTTGAGCTGGTCGGCCCTTCTGCACCTCCATAGGTTCGTGGCTCAAGGCGCCGGTCTATACGTGGGCGTCTGTCGCGGTAATCAGAAGAGTGCATGCGATTTCTACCATGCATCTGCGTGTTTATGCCAAGTCTTGAGTCGTTATTGCTCTTCTCAAGGAGTGGTCCTCCGAGGGTAGTACATTTGAGAATCGTCTGCATCATCTGCGTTTGCTTAAGCGGCTTAGATAAATATTCGTCCATTTGGGCTTGGATGCATTTCTCGCGATCTCCCAACATAGCGTGTGCAGTCAAGGCGATGATGGGCGTCCGGGTAAGGCCGTGGCGCTTCTCATATGCACGAATTTCACCAGTTGCTTCAAAACCACCCATAATTGGCATCTGGACATCCATAAGAATAACATCGAATCGGCGCTTCTTGATAGTCTCAAGAGCCTGAAGACCGTTGCCGACAACGGTGACGCCGTGATTGCATTTCTCTAGTATTTTAACCGCAACCTTTTGATTAACGTCATTATCTTCGGCCAGAAGGATGTCAAATGATCGAGAGTCGTCAGAGGTTAGGGGTGTAGAACGACCCTCAAGTGCGGGGAGCATGCCGTTGCCAAGATCGATCGGTTGGCATGGAGTTGTCATGTAAGACGTGATTCCAAGATCAAGGGCTGATTTCAAGCTGACAGAAACGACTGGGCATAGGAGCACAATGGGAATGTACTTGAATTCATCGAATGTTCGCAGAGTTCGTGCCGTTTCGATCATGTCGACAATGATGACATCGTAAGCATGGCCGGCCTCTTTCCCTTCTTCATCTTTGATTTCTGGTGGAGGTACATTGTTCTCATTGTGGACAACAATTGGAACTAAATCAAGAGCTCTCAGCATGCCAATAATATTTTCTGCATAGTCTCCGGTGAATCCCTTATCGATGAACAAGACTGAGTGGCCCTTGTACGGCATTAAAGATGAGGCAATGACGTTTAGAGATTGATCTGCCTTCTTAACAACGCAGGTGAAGTGGAAGGTACTGCCACGGCCGTATTCAGAAGTGACCCAGACATCGCCACCCATCAAGTTGACTAAACGTTTAGAGATGGACAAACCCAAGCCAGTACCACCAAACTTGCGAGTAGTAGAACCATCGGCTTGCTGGAAGGTATCAAAAATCATATCCAACTTATCTTTTGCAATACCAATACCTGTATCTTGAACAGAGAACTCATATGCGTACTCATCCTCAGCGCAGACCTCACGCTCAGGCTCACCTTCAGCGGGCGGTGGGGGTACATGTTTCTTGATCTCAAGAGTAACTTCACCATGTTCAGTGAACTTGATTGCATTTCCAACCAAGTTTAAGATGATTTGGCGCAGACGGAAAGGGTCCCCAATGACATAGTCAGGCACAGAGCTGTCGACTTGGTAAGTCAGATTGAGGAACTTTTCATTAGCTTTCACAGCAAGCGTTTTCAAGGCGTTGAAAACTGTGCCCCTCATAGTAAATGGAATACTCTCGATGACCATCCTGTTGGCCTCGATCTTCGAAATGTCGAGTATGTCATCAATGATGGTTAAGAGACTGTTGGCCAAACTGTGTACCACATTCAACATTTCACGTGGATACGGCTTTAGGTCGTCCGTATCAAGGGTGAGCTGGGTCATACCAATGATACCATTCATTGGCGTTCGGATTTCGTGACTCATGTTGGCTAAGAACTCTGACTTGGTACGGTTGGCCAACTCGGCAGCTTCTCGAGCAGCTGTGTTTCGCTGAATGCTGTCTCTGAGGCTTGACACCATTTTATTGATCTTCTTTTTCAGTTCGTCCATCTCACCAGAGGCCTCGACTGTAATGAGTTTTGTGAAATCACCATCAGTGGCTGCATCCGTGATTTCTCCGAAGGCACGCACTTGAGAGGTAAGGTTATCTGCCATGGTGTTGACGTCCTCCGTAATTTCTTTCCATCTTCCAGAAATACCTTCCACGTTGGCTTGACCTCCCATCTTTCCGTCGACACCGACATCACGGGCAACCCTCTTCAGTTCATGAGCAAAGTTGGCAAGTCGGTCAACCATGTTGTTTATGGTATCTTTCAAAGTCAGTATTTCACCTTGTGCATGAACATCAATTTTCTTGTTCATGTTTCCTTTGGCGATGGCCTGGGTGACGTTGGAAATAGCTCGCACTTGGACAGTGAGGTTTTGGGCCATGGTGTTGACATTATCGGTTAGGTCTTTCCACTTTCCTTCAACGTTGTCCACCTTGGCTTGACCTCCAAGAGTTCCATCTGTTCCTACCTCTCGAGCAACCTTGCTGACTTCAAAGGCGAAGGTGTTCAAACGATCCACCATACTGTTGATGGTATTCTTCAAATCCAGAATTTCTCCCTTAACTTCAGCCGTGACCTTCTTCGTAAGATCGCCCTTTGCAACAGCAGTGGTGACATCTGCAATTTCTCTGACTTGAGTTGTAAGATTCATAGCCATGCCGTTGACATTCTCTGTCAGATCCTTCCAGGTTCCTTCAACATCATGAACGGTAGCCTGGCCACCAAGCATTCCATCTGTGCCGACCTCTTTGGCAATCTTCGTGACTTCTTGGGCGAATTGTTTGAGTTGGTCAACCATGGAATTTATAATGGTCTTCAGGGCCAGGATTTCACCCTTGCAGTTGGCTTGCACTTTTTGGGTGAGGTCACCTTTGGCTACGGCCGTGGTAACCATAGCGATATCACGGACCTGGGTAGTGAGGTTCTCAGCCATGGCATTGACATTGACAGTTAATTCGTTCCACATGCCCTTTACCCCCTCAATCTGTGCCTGACCACCCAAGACTCCCTCGGTTCCGACGTCACGGGCGACTCGAGTGACTTCTGTTGCGAATGTGCGAAGTTGGTCAACCATAGTATTGATGGTCTGTTGGAGCTCGAGGATCTCTCCCTTTGCGCGGCGTTCAATCTTTTGGCTTAGGTCACCATGTGCGACGGCAGTGGTGACAGTTGCAATTTCCCGGACCTGATCGGTGAGGTTGCTAGCCATGATATTGACGTTTTCTGTCAACTCTTTCCAGATACCGTTGACACCGGTGATTTGGGCCTGGCCACCAAGAATGCCTTCGGTTCCGACTTCTCTGGCAACCCTGGACACTTCACTTCCGAATACCTGGAGTTGGTCCATCATGGTGTTGATGGTGCGTTTGAATGTAGTAATTTCGGGGTCCATCTCTAGGGGGTGTATCTGTACTTTCATGGACAGATCACCGTTAGCGACCTGGGTGATGATACCTCCGATTTCCCTAAGAGCTTTCTGGAAAGCCTCATTTGCCTGTTGATGCTTCCGAAGTTCACGTTCGAGAAGGCCAACATCTTCGGTTTCCACCTTGACCAGGGCGTTCTTGGTGCGTTCTTCCTGTAACCGTAACTCATCACGCACACGGGTGATTATCTCCTTTTGCAGTTTGATCTCGTCGGCCTGTAGTTGAACGCGATTGCGCAGGTAAGTTATGTCGTCTTCATAGGGATTTTTAACTTCCACAATGTCATCGTCCTCATCGGTAGAGTCATCTTCGCAGACAGTCTTTGAATCCGTGTCTTGGTCGTTATCAGGTTCGCTATTGATGTTCTTCAGGTTCGACGCACGAGTATGTCGTGACGGCGGCTACACGACAAAAGTTAGAGAACTGCACCAAAAAGGGCCATCATTCCCCCAGGGAAAAGAAGGGATGAGTTTAGCCATACCACGAAGAACTGTAATGTGTTAACTCTGCCGATTAGGGCGGCTATCTCTCGTTCCAGAGCAGCCTTCCCATCACTCTCCAAGCCAGGAAGCTTGATTTTGGCGACATCACAGCCGTTCGTCGGTGGTTGGTTGTACTTGTGGCCGTTGAAAGGGAACGAAGCAGGCAGCGGTGTATCCTTTGCCAGGCTCTGTAGCAGAGCAGCAGCCGCCAACAACGTCTCCTCGTCAGGAGCCATGGTTGTCCTAAAATATATAATAGTTCTCCTTTCCTTTTGGGTTTTTCAGCAAAGTATTTATGTTCTTGTGTTCCTTATCCGTTTTTCTTTTTCTCCCCTTCCCTTGTTCTTTAATTTTTTGTAGCCTCGTTTTTCGCCCACTGCAACGTGGAACGAGTCGACCACGACTGAGACAGCAGCGCTTGAGGGCAGAGTTCAGATGCGTACTCACCACGCAGTCAGCGCGAATTCGACATTGGAGGCAGCCAGAAGGTTAAAACGGTGTAAAGGACAAGAAAGCAAGAAAAGCAGAAAAAGAAAAGAAAGGATAAAGGAGTCGGTGGGTGAGATGAGGTCAAAAAGGCGATCCGGGGTAGCGTAGATGAGAGGGAGCGGCGGTTCGTATGCCCTTTTGCTATAGGGGGGGCGAAGAGAAACAAACACTTGAACGAGTCCCTAGAGGGCCGGAAAGCGGTGCTGCAGGTCGAGAAAAAGCAGACAGCGAGGACAGTAGAAGTAGAATCAAGAAGAACTCGCGATGTCGAAAGGTGGAAGAAGTTTGAAAGAAGACTGGAAGAGCGAAGAGAGAAAGAGGAGGAGGAGGAGGAAGACGAAGAAGACGACGAGGAAGAAGAAGGCGGCCCTAGCTTTTTTCGGCTTTCTCTCAGAGCTTACTTAAGAGACTCGGCAGGGTCACCTTTTTTTTTTTCGATATATTTATTATACAGACAAAAGAATAGAGATTTATGACTTGCGTATAAAAAGATGAAGGGAGATAGTTCACTTTCACCTGCATATACAGCGAATGCACGGTACTTGCCCGCTACTTATGACGGTGGCCAGCGTCCAGAGCGACTGGGGGGGAACGCTCGTTGCTTTTGGGCACCCCGTTTGTACATCGTAGTTTGTGTGAGAGAGCGCTGGAGACTCTGGTGGGCTCTCTGGTTTCTTTTCTTATTCCTTATTTCTTTCCATTTATCAAACGGTTGACTGACTATTAGTTGAGCAAGGACTAGTATGTTTAGATCGAACCTAGCCGCAGGATCCAGGAGAAACAGGCGTGATAGAACTAGTTCCTCGTCGATTCTCGTCCACCCCTCCCCCTTCTTTTTACTATATGTAACGACGATGAGCTTAAGAGCAAGATCAGCATCGTCACTTGAAACGCAAGCTCATGGGCAGAATCTGCCAAGGAAGACGGGCATGCGTTGCATCGGGCTAGTTTAGGTGGTCTTGATCACCAGCATATCAGACGACTCTGGCGGTCACTGCGATTGGAACGGAGAACAGGGCAAAAGGAAGAGCAAAAAAAAAAAAGCCTCGCCTCCGCATGGGATGGGGTTGCACTAGACTGGCATCAGAGCAGCCAATGGGACTTCTCCCACATGTCCAAACTCCGAGAGAAGACGGTGAGCTCGCGGTGATGTCTCTCCGTTAACAAGTTTATTTTTTTTGCCTGTGTTGGCGACCAAAGCAGTGACTGTTGTACTCTGTACGGAAAGATATATATTTAACTAACCTTTCTCCATATCTTTTTCTAATATATATGGAGTCCAACAAGCAAACAGCCCACACGTCAGCACCGTTGGAGGTTATCTACCTGACAGGTATGTATGCATGTATACATATGCATTCACTTCCTCCTTCGCAAAACTGGTTGACTGTGCTACCAGATGATTGTACACTGCCCATGGATCATTACCCGATCATGTGCATAGAATCCATAGATTGGGATCTGGACTGTTTGGTGGACTGAACAGCTGTCAAGTGAGCCCTCCACAACGCAGCGAGGGGATGGAAATACGTGCGGAAACTATACCGGATCAGACTAGCTCAGTGTCAGATTGATGAGAAGGGGAACAGGAATTAGCCAGGGAAACAACTTCCCCCCTTTTGCTGGTTGGTCAGCTCCTGGAGACAGATTCTTCCTCCTTTTTCGCACCCCTCGTACTCCGGAAATGGATGTAATCCTGGGATCTTGCAGCTGGCCTTAGCAACAGGGGTGCACGCTTGATTTCCCCATCTCTAGCTTCACTTTTTTATATGTAGTGCCCTTGTCTGTATATAGTGTGAAGCAGTCGAATGGCAGTCTATTGGACAGATGGTGCGACTGCTAGATGGCTCATTGGTTCACAACGGCTGTCTATGTAAGGTTCTTGCGATTAACCTTCCTAGAAGAGTTGTTTCAACAGGTACTTGATACCTAAGAAGGTATTTATAATCCTACGTTGTGCCGCGATCGGATCCTCTGGCAATCTATCGGAAGCGTATCATCTAGATCTACTGTCGATGTACGGAGTATCTAGCGGTTACATGTAATAAAATGCATATTTGCACAACAAGGTACAAACAGGCGTCATATAACGGCCACCCATATCAACATATATAAAGGTCAAAAGCATGTCTAATTCACACAAACCAGCGGCTTCGCCTGCATATATTTCTTCTTATGCCTTCATGTCTTGCTGGAGTGGCACGAGTCACGTGATGCTATCAACTCCTGGCTTGTACACACGATAAGAGTCATCGAGCTGCTTGAGCAAGTTTCACGCCGCGCGAACTCGCAGCAGCCTCCGAGCACCACCATTGCTGTCTCTATGGTTAGAAGGCCGTGACTACAAGCTGCAACGATGACATCTGACCTTACCCCCCAAGTTTTAGAGATCCTCTCCTCAACGGACGAGCCACAGTTGTCAAGTCATGTCTTCCCATCAGCCCCCGCGCAGAGCGTCAAGGCTGCCCTAGACCGTCTCGCGGCAAGGGATATGGTGCAGCAAGAGACGATTGAAAGTGAAGAAGTGTGTCTACTACCTGAGGCTGAAGGTATCGTCGCCAATGGCAGTCACGAAGCAAGAGTCTTCGAGGCAGTCAGCGCTGCCATGGAGGGGTTGAAGATCATTGACCTCCCCGACATTGTTGGAAAGGAGATTGCAAAAGTCGGAACTGGAAATGCATTCAAAAAGGGATGGATTAAAAAGGACAAAGATACGTTGAGGGCAGCCACGGACTCGATAGAGGACACCTCCCGTGAGCAGCTTCTCATCATCCAAAAGACAAAGACACACCCAGATGCCAAAGTCCTTGCTGAGCTGCGAAAGCGGAAGCTTATCAATACCCAGAAATTGTTCGTTTACAAGTTTTGGAAGGGCCCCAAGTACGCCAGAGAGTTTGTAAAGGAGGAGACAGATCTCACCGTGGAAATGCTGGCGGATGGCTCGTGGAAGACAGCAAAGTTAAAAAAATACAATTTCAACGCCAAAGGAGCCATCACTCCAAGTGGTGCCTTGCATCCACTGAATAAAGTCCGCCATGAATTCAGACAGATTTTCTTCGAAATGGGTTTCCAGGAAATGCCCACCAACCGCTACGTTGAGTCTGGCTTCTGGAATTTCGATGCCCTTTTCGTACCCCAGCAACATCCTGCACGAGATCTACAAGATACCTTCTATATCTCCGACCCTGTAAAGGCGGATAAGCCGAGAGCAGACCCGGAAGGCGACATCCACCTATCAAGTTTAAACCTGACAAACCGCTTTGCTTCTTCAAAAGCTCCTCTCAAACCCATAGACTATGAGAAATACTGGAACAATGTCCATGCAGCACATGAGACTGGTTTCAATGGTTCTATCGGCTACCGTTATCCCTGGAGTGCAGATGAATCATTGCGTCTTGTCCTCCGAACTCACACCACCTCTGTCTCCGCTTACATGCTTCAAAAGCTAGCACAAGACCCTCGTCCAGCTCGATACTTTAGTATCGACAAGGTCTTCCGCAATGAAACGCTCGATGCAACTCACCTTGCAGAATTCCAGCAGATCGAAGGTGTAATTGCCGACTTTGGCCTCTCACTTGGCGGTCTGATCGGCTTTATGGAAGTTTTCTTTGCTAAGATGGGTATACATGGCCTACGCTTCAAGCCTGCGTATAACCCTTACACCGAACCCAGTTTGGAGATTTTCGGCTACCACCCCGCGCTCAAGAAATGGGTAGAAATTGGAAATAGCGGTATGTTCAGGCCAGAGATGCTGGAGCCAATGGGCATTCCAAGTGACATGCAGGTTTACGGCTGGGGATTGAGTTTGGAGCGGCCAACGATGATCAAGTGAGTTTCCCAGTTCCCAAGTCCGTGCGAGCTATATGATATGGATATACTTGACGAACCAAACCGTTGCTAATACATTCTTTTACCCCGCGAACAGATACGGTGTGAACAACATTCGAGACTTGGTAGGCCACAAAGTAAACCTGAACTTCGTTGAATCGAATCCTGCCGTGCGGTTAGAGAAGGACTGAAAAGACGCCTTTAGATGAGCTATGTTTATACATGTGCTTTTGATGGCTATTAAACAGATATAATCCTTTACTCTCCATATTGCTCTTGCTCCTTCATAACCTTACTCGAATCATGGGACGATGATACCAGCCTTGTCGAATGGCACCACCGAAATAAATTAAAAAAAAAAAAAAAGGAAAAAGAAAGGACAACCGCCACTGTTACACCTCTGGGGCGTCTTTAAACCGTGTTCTTTAGCCGCTGCAAAACATTAAGATCATGGCAGAATCATTTTTCACACCCTAGAAGAACGATAAAACCCCGAAGAAAAGAAAAGATGAAATAATTGCATGTGATAATCTGTCCTGCCCGTATCTGTGCTCTGACGTGTGGTCTTGACCATCACAGCTCATCAGAAGGCTGCTTTCATTCTCCCGGCATAAGTGATTAACAAAAGTGCTTTTTTGCGAATCGACCTCCTCGTCCATGCTTGGGGAACTGAAATAGTTATTCACATATCTCAATTCGAACGAGAAAGCTGTAGTACCGGTTCATAAGGAAATCGAACGGGAAGATGTAAATGAGAGAAAGTGATATATTAGAAAACGGAAGATAGGATTATTCCACTTTTGCGTTTCCCTCTGGTTTGGTCATCCTATGGAAAGAACATGGCTTGTATAGAGGTTAAGATACGCGTGGTATGGTAATGAGACGGAATATTTTTGAATATTTATATTATATCATTTTTTTGCTCTGTTGTTTCCTCCATTTTTTCTCTAATGGGTTTGCTTTCATCGCATCCTCTCAAAAGAGTAGGCGCCAGAGTCTTCATAACATCCGAATTCCTAAATATCCATTCGCATTCACCGTTGTCCTCATTTCAAGGAAATCGATCTGCATATAAACAGATCAAAGTATCAGTATACGTCCATAAAGCGTCGTTTGTCCGATATTTGTCCGGTTTGCACCGACTTTTCCTTCAAGGGGGCGGTCGGGGTATAGGTACCATTTGACATCTAAAACACGATTTCTCTCCTCCCGCTTATCGGCTTGCGCTCCAGACATTCTTCAAGAATCCATCCCTCTGGGCCAAACGGTTCAAGCTGTCGTCACCCTCACCCATAGCGCGTACGAATCCGGACAGAGCATAGACCTGGTTTTCGCCGGTGTATCGGCCATTCTCATCAACCTTAGCAATGCTAATTTGAACGGAAGCGTGATCCTTGGCCTTGATAATGCGGTTGGTGGCACTGCACTTGCGTGGGACGTAGCTATTTCACACGGATTTTCATTAGCATCCGCAAGGGCAATATATTCCATTTCTTGTTCGATGTTTTATAAGGTTTCTGTTGGAGAGAGAGACTTGTGCGTACAGATCGACGATTTCGCCCTTCTCGTTTTCCATTTTGGCGGATTAGACGTGGGTGTATCTGCGGGAGAAAGGGTTGATCGGAGGTAGAGACGAAGGGAGGCGGAATCGTATGTTTCTTCTCTTGTCGATGTCTTGATGGCTTTTTGCTGGTTTGGCGCGAGAAGTAAATATCACTTTTTTTTTGATTGTGGGTCATGTGATCTCGTAGAAATATTAGGTTTGGAGACATCAAAGTTATGGAGAAAAAAGGAGAAGAAGAAACGGAAGAAACGAATATTTAAACGTATCAACAACTCTTTTAATGTCTGGACTGGTTGAATCCTCTGTTATCTGGTTATGCTCTAGATCTAGGGTGTAAATCTCAAGATATATACAAGAATTTGGAGAGTTCGATTCCATAACGGTGACGATATATACACACCAGTTAGGACTAGAGCGAGCTCTTACGACCCTCTAGATGGGCTTCAACCTCACTGAGCCATCGCACTTCTACTCCTCTCGGTCCTTCTTTCTTGAATTCCACAAGAATGACTCTATCTGGATCACCTCTCTTCTCAGTCTTTTGTAATTCTTTACCCGGATAATTTAAATCCATAATCAACCTGCCATCAGGCATGCTTCCTAGCGGCCGCGGTGAGATGAACTTATGAGTCCAAGCGGGTGTACCCGAGTGAATGAATTTGACCAATTCTTCTCGTCGTTTGGACGACTCTTCAGCTGAGATTGGTACCCTTTCACCCACCCTTTCGAGAAACTGTGTAACGAAGCTCAGTAATAGCACCTGGGGAGGAAACATGATAATCTCATTTGCCTTTGCGCGTCGTAGCCACTCTGACGCAGGTAGGAATTGTGCTTCCGTAACTTCAATTCCGCCATCCGAGGTGGGCACTTGGGCTTCTTCACTGTTCAGCCCCTGGTCTGTAATGTCATTGCTGCCGGCGTCATTTGTGGGAGGGAGAAAGTATAGGTACATCTGTGTCGTGAAGCGGCGAGCATTTACGGAGGGTGTTATCCAATGTGAAAATGGTATAAGGGGTTCTGCATATGTTCTCATTAACATAACCTTCTACCCCGAGACACGATCATGAACAAGAATCCTACCTGTATCTGGCGCAGCGTCGGCATCAACGCTCTTTAACCACTTCTCAAACGTAATCTCGTTTCTATGTATGGCATGTCGACCTTCCTCTCGCTCCGCTGGGCTAAGTCTCACCATACGACCAGTGCTCTTGTTCCTCGCAAGCAGTATACCACTCTCCTCGAACATTTCGCGAATTGCAGCTCGTCTATAGTGAACTCCATCGTCGTGACTGTCCGGGTGACCTGCTGAGGGAAAATCGCCGTCCTGAGAAGATATATTTCCGCCTGGGAATACATGCGCCGAGGGGAACGAGGAGGACGTTTTTACTCGGTGAAGCAGTAGGACTTCGTTCTCGGGTGATATGAGTATGATACTAATCAACTGTTAGTGAACACGGCGTTTATTTCCCCATTATCGGCGGGAGTTTTACCTCGAGCTCGGACGTGGGATTTTATAGTCGATTGCTGGTTTCTTGTCATCACTTGAAGTCATTGGTTTTCGATACTGCGGTATTATGCGAACACTGGAATAGGGTACTCTTCGCGTATAATTAATCGTATTTCTCCCTTTATATCGTATTGGGCTGCTTAACACTGAGCCCACTGAATAAACGTTTGGTCGTTCCAGCGCCGGGATAGTGGACAGGGAGCTACACTGTCGTGATATAGAAGAGAGGGCAAGTATAGGATGGAAACGGTGGACCGCGCGGAAGTGGCATCCAGCTAGGAGGCTGGCCATCGTTATATGGCTAGTAGTGTTTGCTTGTACCTGTGATAGTGTTTGGTGGCGGAGGGAAAGAAGCGCGAGTCTATTTGCCCCGAGGTTGCTTATCATAGCCGACAGCCGGGATGATCATTAAATATTCAAAGAGCAGCTTAAAAATTGTTCTCTCGATTGTGTAAGATGAGATAAACTACTGATAATGACACAAGTAAAGAAACTAAGGGATAAATGGTGAAATTGAATTAGTTTCTGTCATCAGCTGCATAACTATCGTTTGAGGAACTCATAAGGAGGGTAAACTTTTTAGTAGCTGACCATTAGGCCAACTGAGATGCCAAACCACCCGGTACAACACCGTTTTAAACTCCTGAAGTTTCGCCAGTAACTGAAATATCATATCAAGAAGATATGAGGTTAATAGGAAAGTAGGGTAAGGCCTTTTTAAGAGTACAGCTTCTTGTCGTATGTGTGTAGACCGTGGACGTTTCCTTCAGCTTGGGCGCTGGTAGTTCGTACCTCGAAGCGGACAGTTCCCTTCGCAACACCATCATGTAATTCTCGCAAGCTCTTGACGCCCATATCCTGGAACGAGTGCTGGACACCGGCAATAAGATATGGAACGAATTTGGTGACAGATCCACGATCTAGAACGGAGCCAGATACACCCTGGGCAACGAGCAGGCTGTCTTTCTCAGAGAAATACCTGGCAGTACCAGCAGTGCTCTTGCTTCCGCTGGTGCTGCCGCCAGCCTTCTTTTCTTCCATGGCATCAATGCTACCCATACCACGGTAGGCCTTGACGAGTTGGCCCTCACGGCTGACAAAGTATTGGCCTGGAGACTCAGTGGTACCGGCTAACAGACCACCCATCATGACAGTGGAAGCACCCATAGCAAGGGCCTTGACAATGTGGCCCACGTTCTGGACACCACCGTCGGCGATGCAAGGAACTCCAAAGCGAGAAGCGAATTCGGTCACGCTGTGGACAGCAGCCGCCTGTGGTCTGCCGACTGCCATGACTTCTTGGGTGATGCAGGCGCTACCACTGCCCATGCCAATTCTCAGGCCATCGGCACCGGCTGCGATGAGGGACGCGGCTTGTTCACGAGTTACAACGTTACCTGCAATGACGTCGATTCCGGGGTGCGTAGCCTTGATGTGTTTGATCATCTCGATTTGGTACATACTGTTACCTTGGCTGCTGTCGAGAACAACGACATCAAGGCCAGCCTCAACTAGCTTTTGGAGTCTATCCTTGTCCGCGGGACGAGTGCCGATGGAAGCAGCGCAGATGAGTTGCTTTGAGTCCGGAAGCTTAGAAGCCAATGGATAATGAAGGTTCTTCATTAGATCAGAGCGAGAGAGGAGAGAAACGATGTTTCCTGCCTCGTCAACAATTGGGAGCTTTCCCTTCTTGGAGGCACGGAGGACTTCATTGGCTTCCGCCAAAGTGGTGCCTGCAGGGGCAGTTACAAGGTCGGTGGACATGACGGCAGTAACTGGGTCACTCATCTCAGGGTGGAATTGGATGTCTCTGCTGGTGACAATACCAACCAGTTTTGAGCGAAGATCTCCATTCTCTAGGTTTCCACGTTTAGTCAGTAAATTTATTCAATATGTATCAATTTAAAGTGACAAATGCATGAAAAACAGGAAGTCTCAGATAATAGATCTATTTCTCTCCAGGGCGACTTTCGTCGCGTTGCAGTTGAACGAAAGTTGTTGATAAGATGGAAAACATCATTGGAACGCAGGGAATATTAATACTAATAAGAGAAATTAACTCACCAGTCACAGGAAATCCACCGAATCCCCACTTCTGCTTCAACTCCTTGACCTCCGCGACTGTGGTCTTGGGAGAGATGACGACTGGGTCGAGGATAAACCCGTTCTCATATCGTTTCACCTTCCTGACCATCTCAGCCTGCTCATCTGCAGAGCAGTTATGGTGAATGACTCCGAGGCCTCCCAGGAGGGCCATGTGGATAGCCATGGAATGTTCCGTGACAGTATCCATGGGAGAGGAGAGCAGAGGTACATTCAAAGAGATGCGCTTGGTCACAGGCGACTGCAGGGTCACATCAGACGCAGGGAATCCTATCAATCAAGAAAAAGGATTGTACAGTTAGCCCCTTATCCTGTCTTTTTATAGATGTAGATGTTGCTCAGAGAGGTTGGCTCATACCAATATATCCAGGTAGGACCAGGAAGTCATTATAGGTCAGAGCCCCACGCTTGTTTGAGTCAAGCAACTCCTTTATATCCAGGCCATCTCCAGACGTATATTCCGTTTTCAGGACGTCCAGGGCCTTGGAGCAATCGACAAACTCGGTCCTTCCACCCAGCGAGGTCACGGTGCGGGCGCTGTGCGCATCTCCGTTGGAAAGAGGCATTGCTGCTGGTGATAAGATCTATATATCTGCCTAAGAGTACTCGACGAACAGAATGAACAACCGTCAACAGCGTCTAGGGGGAAAAAACGTCCTGTTGGCGGGGAGAAATCTCTTTTCCCAAGGGAAGAAAAGAGAAAAAACCCGAAGAAAAAAAAAATCCAACAAAGATTTTGAGGATTTAAAGAATATTTTCTGCTTGTGGGGCGTGATGACTAAGCTCGCATACAGATCGTACGATGAAGTAAATGTTGTAGATTATAGAAAGACGTAGATAGATGTAGACATATATAAGACAGATGTAGCCTGGATATAAGCACTAGATGCGGATGGTACTAGATTGATACTATTAAATATATGTAAATAGATATCAGGTGTTTCATAGCTTCTACAGAGGATGGCGGTTAGAGATATGATGTTGGAACCGGTGTTCGGCCAGCGTATCGGAGCACCTCTGGCAGTCCCCATTTTCGCATCCACTCACATCCCATTATGTTCTCAATCGTGGATCTTTTGCTTGGCTCAAGGACTAACATCGACTTTATCATATCACAGAACGCATTCTCCTCCTCCACTAAAAAGGTATCAAACCTCTTCCTCTCCCTTAGGTTGTATATATATTCCGTGAACCGTTGGATCCAGTTCCTGGTACTATTACCGTACCACTGACGGAGATTTTCTTTCACATTTTTGCGTCCATATTCGTCAAACCAATTACTTCTTTCTTCCCACTCACTCCACCTCCTGTATCCAGGGGTGCGCCATCCTCACGAACAACTTGCTCTTTCGCTGGTTCACCGGTTCTGGCATGCAGCTGCTTAATCGTCATGTCTTGCATCTCGAGCGGCAGGGAGATGGAGAAGTCGGTGATACGCAGCATCCGTGACCAAACACCGATGCGTGACATTTGGCCCAGAGAATGTAAAAGAGTCAAGCACTTTCTGTGGAGTATTCCGCCCAGAGAGCTCGGATTTAGCTCTAGGTAACTGTGAAAGAACCTGTATCTCATGAGCGATAACATATCGACCTGAACAAAATTCGTCTCCAATCGTGACTGGATAGTAACCTCCAGGAATATAATAGTCCAAGCGCTCAACTTCTTCCACAAATTTGTACCGGACTCTGCTGGGTTCTATGCGTGTTATAATACGTCTTTGCGCCTGTGAAATAGAGTGCCAAGTCTGTTGATAGGGCAGTAGAAACGCGTTGCTGGCTCGAACGGCCATAGTGCGTGCGTACAGCATGCAACGAGATTAATCCTTACTTTATTATACTCTTCTTATATCTATTATTTAGTACTCTTCTTAATTTCTATATTTCCTTTCTATTATTTAACTACTCTCTCTCTCTCTCTCTCTTTCTCTCTTATTTATTTCCTATAATTAATAAATTACTAACTCTCTATTACAGAGGTTAGATACTATATTTAAATTTCTTATCTTTAATAGATAACTAATAGAATATAGCCTAACTTTAGACTAGTCTAAGTAGTAAACTTATTATAGTTGTTGACTATATAGGAGTATAATGAAGAAGAATAATAATAATACTAGTCAAAGAATACACGTGACTAATCAAGATGTGACATACGCTAGTCCCCTTTTGGTAACATGTTTTCCTTCATCACTTTTTTTCCCCCTCGCGAGTCAACAAAAAAAGAAGAACAAACAAGCAACGAAGCCACGAAGCCACGAAGCAACGAAGCAACGAAGCAACGGATGCAAGATATAAGAGAGAAAATACTATAGACTGTGGCATATAGCCCTAGCATCGTTTCCTCCCAGCAAGCTCACCTGCTGTTGTTCACATCAGTCGCATTCCACCACCACACGCTATTCTCGCATAATTAATATCCCTGGACCTGCACGGAGAGCATGGGACGCTATGCTTAGGCCTCAAAAGGGCGTCTGTTTTGATATTGCATCTTCACACACCTCGCGCTGTCAGTGATGTCCTCACCCAATCCTCCCTCGCTCAGGAGAAGAGGTCAGTCCGAGCTGGCGCCAGCGTCATACGGCCCTCTGCGGCATGGATCAACTGCTTCCACAAACTCCTCGCTATACTCAATGTCAACCAATTCCTATGTGCCCAGTCGAACGAGCACTGTCTCGTCACACGCGCCCAGTGATTTCATGCCAGAGACTCCTGAGCGCAAGATAGACCATCGTGGGCGGTTGGGGAGTTTCGATACACAGCCCAGCGCTGGTGAGACCTATGGTAGCATTCGTCGCTCTTTACGCCCACTACCACAGGCTCCCAACAGCACTCCGCCAAAAGCGAGGCCTTCTTCTTCATGCCATGGACGAAGTCAGACTATAGGTGGTTTCGTGCCACAACCGGACTTTACCTCTCCCTACTCAAAGCCACTGCGCAGTCCAACACCTGAGTTTACATCACCTTTCTCAAAATCATTAAATAGTCCGTCGCAAGACAGCGCCAACTCCATCATTAAAGAGCAAGATGAGCCTGTTGAACCACGGACGCAGAGTGTGCGCCGTTCACACCACTCCCGTACACAGTCCACTCCCCACGCGCCATCTTTGCAGACTTCATTCACAGCACCGGAGCTTCAAACCTTCAAAAAATCGACAACTGGCCACCTCAGGACACTCTCACAGATCGCTCAAAGTGATAGTGATGAGTTTGCCATAGCCACGGCTTCCCCTTCCGTTGTGGGCCTACAAGGACGCCGCCGGCTCAAACGTGCCGACTCGGTTCGCGCTGGCCCAAAATCGAATGCTACGTCGAGACCAACAGGTGTGTCTGCTTGGACCGCGTCAAACTGGATGGATAAGCAGCGTCGTTTCTTACAGGCCTATGAGTATTTATGCCATATCGGAGAAGCCAAAGAATGGATCGAAGACGTCATACAGAAACCCATTCCACCTATCGTCCAGCTTGAGGAGGCACTACGCGATGGAGTTACTTTGGCTGAACTTGTTCAAGCGTTATACCCACACCGCACCTTTCGAATATTTTACAGCCCAAAACTCCAATTCCGACATTCCGACAACATTGCACTATTCTTCCGCTTCTTGGACGAAATTGAACTTCCGGAAGTTTTTAGATTCGAGCTGATAGATCTTTACGAAAGGAAAAATATACCTAAAGTTATACACTGCATTCACGCTCTGTCATGGCTATTATTTAAGAATGGTGTTGTGGACTTTCGCATTGGCAACCTTGTAGGGCAATTAGAATTCGAACACCATGAACTGGAGCAAACACAACGCGGCCTTGACCAGGCTGGTGTCCCAATGCCTAGTTTCTCAGGCATGGGCGCCAAGTTTGGAGCTGAACCTGAACCTGAGCCGGAACCAGAACCTGTTGAGACAGAAGAGGAGAGGATCGCTAGGGAATTGAACGAAAACGAAACTTCGATATCAGATATACAAACACAAGCGAGAGGAGCACTCCTTAGGTTGCGGCTTGGAGAACTAATGCAAGAACTGTGGGGCCAGGAACACTTGTTAATAGATCTCCAGTCCAGGATACGCGGCGACTGGGCCAGACAAATAGCTGAGTATAGACTTGGCATGCAAAAGTTTGCTACGGACCTACAGTCAGCTGCTCGAGGATTCATAATTCGATTAAGACAGAAGAAGGACCAATCCTGGTGCAAAGCAGCGGAACAGCATATCCTACAATTTCAGTCCTTAGTTCGAGCCAAAAAGGCAAAATCTGAAGTCCAGCTCCTACATACCCTGGCACGTAAGGAAGAACATGGAATTAAGAGTTTCCAAGCTGCCATTCGTGGTGCTCTTGCAAGGAAGCATGAAAATGACCGGTATGAAGAGACAAAAGATGCTGAAGGCGCAATTCAAGCATTTCAATCAGCGATTAGAGGAATGTTGTTACGACGGACAGTGCATCTAGATAAAGGTTGTCTTGAAACGAAAGCCGCGGCTGTCACTGACATACAGTCAATTGTTCGTGCAATGGTTACCCGTAACAGGATACAGGGCGAAAAGGCTATGCTGGCTAGTTTTAGCCCGAAATGGCTGAAAATACAATCAGCCGTTCGAGCAAATGCTACGCGTAGCAAGGTAGAAGAAGACAAGGCCATGTTAGCCAAATTTACCCCAAATTGGTTGAATATTCAGTCAATCGTTCGAGCAAATGCTATTCGCAGCAGGGTAGAGGGGGATAAAACCATGTTGACTAAATTTATCCCCAATTGGTTGGATCTTCAGTCAATCGTTCGAGCAAATGCTACTCGTAGCAGGGTAGAAAGTGACAAAGCTATATTGGCCAGATTTAACCCTAATTGGTTGGATCTTCAGTCAATTATACGTGCAAATGCATCACGTAGCAAAATAGAAGGGGAGAGGGCGATGTTGGCAAATTTTAGTCCCAATTGGTTGGATCTTCAATCCATTTCACGAGCAATTGCAGTAAGAAGAAAGATTGAGGAGACAAAGAAAGAATTCAGCATCCACGAGGCGTCCATCACTGACCTACAGGGGTTCATTCGGGGACAACTGCTTCGTGCCAATATCGAAGCCTGCAAGAGTGCTCTTGTCGCTAGCACAGATAACATTACTTCGATCCAGAGCAGCGTGCGAGGTTTCTTACTACGGCAGGCCCAAATCAGAGATATGGAAGCTCTGCTAGAAGATAATGAGATCATTTCTCGTTTGCAGGGTCTTGCACGAGCAGCTATGCTACGAATAGATGTTGGAGATCTCTTATCTGAGCTAGACGCTTTCACGAATGAAATTACCCAGCTCCAAGCTCTATCGCGAGCGGTGCTAGTCAGAGCCGATGTCGACAATGTTTTAGGTGAGCTAGAGGCGGAGGAAGACATGGTCATGGAACTCCAATCCCTTGCTCGGGCAAGCATGGTGCGCCAACACTTTGCGGAAAAGCAACGGTTTTATCGCGAAAACATGGAGAAAGTTATCAAAGTCCAAAGCTTTGTAAGAGGTAAGATACAAGGACAAGCATACAAGAGCCTCACGAGTGGAAAGAATCCTCCAGTTGGAACAATCAAGGGCTTCGTTCACCTGTTGAACGATAGCGACTTTGACTTCGACGAAGAACTTGAATTTGAGAGATTGAGAAAGACAGTCGTTCAACAGGTGCGACAAAATGAGATGGCAGATCAGTATATCACCCAATTAGACATCAAGATTGCTCTTCTTGTGAAGAACAAAATTACCCTTGATGAGGTTATCAAACACCAAAAACACTTTGGTGGGCACGTTGGTACCGTCCTGTCGAATTCTGATATTGCTTCCAAGGATCCGTTTGATCTAAAGGCCCTGAATAAGACATCGCGAAAGAAACTGGAACATTACCAGGAGTTGTTCTTCATTCTTCAGACCCAGCCACAGTATCTGGCTAGAGTTTTCCGGCGGCTGCGAGAACAGGCTGTTTCCGAGCGTGACTGTGATAGGATAAAACATCTTGTCATGGGCTTATTCGGTTACTCTCAGAAGAGGCGTGAGGAGTACTACTTAATCAAACTTATTGTACGATCGGTGAAGGAAGAAATAGATCACTCAGCTTCTCTACAGGATTATATTCGATGCAATGCCTTCTGGACCAAGCTGCTGGCTGCCTATATCAAAACACCCCGGGACAGGAAGTTCACCAAAGACCTATTTGGTCCCCTTGTCAAAGAAGCCATCATCGATAACGTTGATCTCGACTTAGAGAGCGATCCCATGCAAATTTATCGCTCCGCTATTAACAACGAGGAGCTGCGCACAGGGAAACGAAGTCGGCGCAGGCCAGATGTTCCTAGAGAAGAGGCAATCAGAGATCCAGAGACAAGAGAAACTTTCATCCGCCATCTTCAAGATCTTCGTGACATCGTTGACCAAGTTTTAGCTTTGTTGGAAGATTCATTACATCGTTTGCCATTTGGAATACGGTTCATTGCCCAACAGATGTACGAACAATTACTGGCTAAATATGAAGAAGAAGACAGAGGGTATATTCTCCAGCTAGTCGGACAATGGGTATGGAAGAGTTATCTACAACCCGCTCTTTTGGACCCAGAAAGATCAGGTGTTGTGGAACGTGCTTTGACGCAGGAGCAGAAGAGGAACCTGGGAGAAATTGGTAAAGTTATGGGCCAAGCTGCCTCCGGAAGACTCTTTGGCGCCGAGAATGTCTACCTCCAGCCACTGAACACTTATATCGGTGAATCCATACAGCGGCTTGGTGGAATATGGGGAAATAGTGAGTGTAACCGTTGCTGAAATGTCTGATAACCTTTTCTAACATTATCTGTAGTCATCACCGTCCAAGATGCCGAAGCATTCTTTGATATCAATGAGTACAATGACTTGTATGCCAAGACAAAGCCAACTCTATACATCAAAATGTCCGACATCTTCTCGATTCATCAGCTTATTGCTGCTGAAGCCCCGTATATTTGTACTAGCCCTGAGGATACCCTTCGAGAAGTCATACGTGATCTTGGAAGTGTGAAGAGCAACGAAAATGAGCTCTTAAGCGTCAGCTCCTCCGAGATTAGTCTTACGTTAACTCCCAAGCTGCATAACATGGAGGGTAAATAAAACATACTCCTACGAAAATTTTGAGGTAACGTGCTAATTCTGTATTATAGATCCAGATGCTGAAATCAAAGCTCTCCTGGTTGAAACAAAACGCTGTATCCTATACATTATTCGAGTTCAATCCGGTGCTAATCTTTTAGAGATTCTTGTTACACCACCAAGCATTGAGGATGAAGAACGATGGGCAGATCTTGTCCGCGACGAGCTGTCGACCGGTAATCGAAAACGTGGCGCCTACTCGGATACCAATACACTAATTGATATCGGTGCTATGTCATACACCGAATTGAAACGGACAGCGCTCCAAAATATTGTTGAGCTCGAGAAGGCTGGAAGAATCAGCCGGCATAATCAGTATCAAGATCTGCTGAATGAAATCGCCGTCGATATCAGGACCAAACATCGGCGCAGAATTCAGCGACAGCGAGAGCTTGAAAATGTCCGCTTAACCCTGGACCGACTGAATGACCAATCCAGCTATCTTGAAGTACAATTAAAGACGTACAATGACTATATCGAACAAGCTATGATCACGCTACAAAATAAGAAAGGGAAGAAACGATTCCTAATGCCATTCACGAAACAATGGGACCATGAACGGGAACTTCAACGATCAGGCCGTGTTTTCAAGTTTGGCTCCTACAAATACTCCGCCCGCAACCTTGCGGATAAGGGAGTTCTTGTTCACTGGAAAGGCTACACGGAACGACAATGGGACCGTGTCGATCTAACGATCTCAAGCAATGCAGTTGGTATCTTCACGATTGATGGGAGCAGTGGCAACATGATGGTTCCTGGAGCAAATGCACAGGTTCCACTAGATGACCTGCTGCAGGCCCAGTTCAACAACACGCAGTTTATGGATTTGTTTGAGGACCAGTTACGCGTCAACGTCAACCTGTTCCTGCATCTAATCATGAGGAAATTTTACAATGAATAAACCAATCGCATTGGTGGGTCTGGGCGATTATCTTCTTCTTCGTCTCCTCCTCCTCCTCCTTCTTACCCTCCCTTTATCGTTTGTCACTTTATCACTTTTAACTCCCTTTTGTTGATGTTTTCTTCCGATTCCCCCTTAAGTTCCTTTCGGTGTTTTCTATACTCTCGACGGTGCAGGATGGGCGGTCTAATGATGGTCGCTGCCTACGTTTATCTTATTTCTTTTGTTTTATGATTCTCAAGATATCGCCTTTCCTTGCATCCTGCATAAATCTAGTTCCGTTACGAGGCTTTATGATTATGGACTCGACATTCGTTTCTTGTATGCTAGCAATTTGGTCTCTACCCCCTTTTTTCTGCGCTGCATGGATATAGATATGAGTGTCCCGGCGGCATGGTGTTTCTATTCACATGTAGGTATTTATATGAAATAGATACTTCGTCTCGACGACATCTATACACTCGCATTGCACCTGTAAACCGTCCGCTTTAGTTGTTGATGCTATTAGTTGCTGGCGCCACTTGGGCTTCTTGAGGCCACTTTTTAGTGTTTATATGAGGTTTTGTCACGTTAGGATCGACGACAAGAAAACCACCAGGAAAAAAACTCCCTTAACTCTCTCTTTCCAGCATCATCGCCAGCCCATCGGCGCCTCGAGAAGCGAAACATTCTCTCGTCAATATTCCCCAGCATAAGTGCGTTTCATGCGATTTCATCCTTGATTCTAGCGACAAGGCCTCGGGAACACTCCCTCTACTGTGGCTATCTGCCTCGAAACGCCTTCACCAACCAACCTCCGCATTTCGATCGAGCACTCAGCAAATACGCCTAGAATTAATATACAACAGCTCTTCAGTCATCCTATTCTAAGGGAAAATATTTCAAGTCCGCATAAACACAACGCATAATGGACTTCAATTCGTTGAAGGACCAGGTCAGCAACCTGAGTCTGTATGATATTAAAGCAGGTGTCCGTAAAGTGCAAAATGGTGTGTTATTGATCGGGCATCCAACTTGGCATATGAATCTATGAAGCGTCGGATTCGTGAGTCGTTCTGGTACTGATTGACTGATTTACTTTTTATTTAGCTATGATGAACTACACGGAAATGGAGGCAAAGGTTGGCACCCACCCTCACCTGTATCCAGTCTATGGGTTTGGTATATGTGCAAGTTCTGTGGCTAATTGTCGGTTTCTCTTTTGTTGGCAGGTCCGAGAAGCTACGAATAATGAGCCGTGGGGTGCGTCTTCTACTCTGATGCAGGAGATCGCAAATGGGACACACAGCTAGTGCGTTGCCTATATTACCTTATAGTACCGTGCTTTGCAAAAAAGTGCCTAGCTGACTATCTTTGGCCATATAGCCAGCTGCTTAACGAGATAATGCCAATGATCTATAAACGCTTTACGGAGAAATCTGCAGAGGAGTGGCGGCAGATATATAAGGTACTAAGCTACTCCGTCTTATCCCCAGCTCTATATTACGAGGCGCTTATCAGCTCATTTCTAACCGGTTTCTTTGTCTCTTAGTCCTTGCAATTGCTCGAATTCCTGGTAAAAAATGGCTCAGAACGAGTTGTTGATGATGCACGATCCCACATATCCCTTTTACGCATGCTTCGCCAATTCCATTACATCGACCCCAATGGCAAAGATCAAGGAATAAACATCCGCAACCGCTCTCAGGAACTTGCGAAATTGCTAAGCGATGTTGATATGATCCGTGCGGAAAGGAAAAAGGCCAAGGCTAATAGGAACAAATTTGGCGGATTCGAAGGAGGAATAGGCGTTGGTGGATTTTCCGGCGGAGCAGCTGGCAGTTCCCGCTTTGGTGGGTTTGGCAGCGAAGATGCGAACTTTGGAGGTTTCAGTGGCGGGGTGTATGGTGATGGAGGTGGCTTTAATGGAAATACTAGCGAGTTCCGAGATGCCAGTAGGAGATCCAACCGATTCGAGGAGTATGATGAGGGCGATACCAGCGGATATTCAGCTCCTCGCAGAAGTGAGCCGGCATCCTCTAGAGCCGAATCGAAAAAGCCGGCTCCTCCAAAAGCTCCAACACCTGATCTAGTCAGCTTTGGTGACGATGACGAGCCAGCGCCGGCGCCTTCTATCGCCTCCCCACTAGCAAACTCATCGTCTACAAAACCTTCTGGCTCAAGTGGTTTGACTGAGCTTGCGGCTCAAAGCATGGATGATGATGAATTTGATGATTTCCAATCAGCCAGCCCTGCAACGCCTGCTGCCAGCACAACTATACAGTCACAGTTCAGCTCAATCCCTCTCCCAGCTGCACCAACCCAAACCCAATTCGCCGCTCCAAAACCTATTTCAGCTGCTCAAGGTGCGAGCCTTAACGGATTGGCAGCCTTCAGGTCCAACCCACAAACGCCATCGGCTACAGGCACGATGTCCCAGGGGTCAAGCATGGGGCCACTCTCGCCTTCTACTCAGTCCCAGCCGCCAAAGCCAACCACGTACCAAGCTTCCCAGCCAAATTATTTCACATCTATCCCTATCCCTCAGTCGAAGCCATCGGAACCTTCCAATAAAGCGACTCCCAAATCTCCAACTACAGGCTCCTCCAAATCAGGCGGTGATGTCTTCGGAAGCCTATGGTCTACCGCTAGTGCCAATGCTGGTATCAAACCAACAACCCAAACTCAGTCCAAGGGACCCAATCTGGCTAGTATGGCCAAGGAGAAGGCAAGTGCTGGTATTTGGGGAACTCCTAGCTCGAGCAGTTCACCCCAAAGCTTCAGTGGTACTCCCAACTCCCAGCAGCAGAAGAAGGCTGGCGGAGGAAGCGCGCTAGATGATCTTTTAGGTTAAGCTATATTCAGCGTTAAGCCTTTGCTTGAGCCTATGAAACCTTACTTTTGGGTGGCCTTTAACCTCCTGGGAAATATTGCATGTTGTCAAGATTGTTCCATACCCTCGGCCACTATATTGGTTTGTTTAGTATTCCCTTTTTCCTAGCCCTGCCAAATATTATTTGATGCTTCGAGCTGAATTTCAGTTCTCCTGTAATTATGGCTTTGATAAAGACGGACATACATCCATCTACACTTACCTAAGAGTTGAAAATTAAACAGTGGTTACTTGGGCTTGAAAATGACGAGTGCTCTGCTGGTTAACATTTCATTTCTGTTTGACAGCAATCATACCGGGAGTTACAGAATGTAAATCATGTTTGGACTGCATAGTGAATAAAACGATTCTATACGTATAATATATGTATATATATGTATGCTTGTTTGTATTCATTCATTTAATAGTCCAAACCCTCCCTTTAGCCTAGTCAGACGATTTTATGCACGTCGTGAGCGAGGATATACACCCAACATGCAAAGAGAGAAATGAAAAGAACATTAAGAAGAGGAAAAGGGGCGGTTAATGAAAACAAAAAACCTAAATGCGGTAATGATGTGGGCTAATAGCGAGTAGAGAAAGACTCAAACACAGGAGTGGAAAGGACGGACATAGAAGCCCACATGCATCGACCACATTAGAACCGTCGCAGACAGCGTATTCGGGTTTTTTACGAAGAATTGAAGAACGTATTATGTGACAATCACGTTTGAAATTTTGTTGACTAGACAAACTTCCACGGTTTTGAAGGCTGAGAGGGAGGAGGGAACAAAGTAAATAGATGAAACTGCTTGGCACATGTTCTCATGATGCACGCCAGGTATTATCTCATTTATTCATTCGGGGAAGGGAATATCATGATGGAGCAAAATGTCTTGGTGGTAGATATCTTATGTGGATTGAGAGGCTCGTTTAGAGACACTTTTTGTCCGTTTTGCTGCCCCGGAGCTGGAACGAGCTAGCTGAGCTTCAGAGTGTTCAACAGAGGGAGGCATCGATCTGCTGTGTTGATGGCCGCTGAGTAGGTGTGACAGGTAGGGGTTTAAGTCCTTGCTGCTGGTTGAAAAGGTGGATACTACTGGAGGATGTTTTTCTCTAGTTTTGTCATCGGTTGCATCGATCTCCACAGGGGCATGGGCCTGTGTATCCCCGTCAGCTGTGCCGCCGATATGAGCGTCGTTCAATTGTGAGGTTGGCAGAACGGTGGCGACTGGCGTCTGTTCTGATTCGCTTCCGGTAGTATTCGAGTCGATCATGTTTAAGTCACCATTCAGGGAATTTAGTCCACCCTCGATATCCCTAACAAGACGCACAAATTCCTCTGGAACCAGTCCGCTCTCCCCGGTCCTTGGATCTTCTGCAACAAGCCATCCCTGGCCATGACGATAGGAAACTAAAATTACCTGGCCCTCTTTCAAAGGAAGTTCGTTTTCGTGCTCGCGAGTGAAATCGAAGAGTGCCACGGCTTTACCGTGCATCTCTTCATCTGGCGAAACGATTGTAAACTGATAGTCCCGCGAGTATCTTGAGGGGTCCTGCCATCCATCATCATCTGATATGTCATCATCAGAAGCTAGTTCAAAATCTCGATCATAGGATCCATTGTGAAGTGAATTACCAGGTCCGGAGCCCCCAATTGCGCCTTGGTCACCAAAACCAGGGTGATAAGAGCGTCTACCATCCCCTGCTGGGTAGGTCACGTATTCTCCGCCAGGCCCATCTTCATCCGCATCCTCATCTCTCACATAATATGTCTCGCTCCCATCGCCATTGACACCAATCAACACGCCTTTTTCAGCATCGGTAGAGTTGTCGGGGTCACCAAAACCAGATCCTTTGCGTCTCCGCGAACCAGGCCTACTCTCACTAGAGTGGCCGGATTTATTCTTTCGATGCCGTGAGGCTGTCACAACTGGGCTATGTAAATCCTCATCTTCACTATACGGGGGTCCATCGCCAAATGCTATCGGAGGTAGCTGCTGCTGGCTATACATGGTGCCTGGATCCCAGTTTGGGGCTGGCCAGTGAGAGCGGGTGGCGTCAAGCGAAGATAGAGGCGCATCAGAAATCCTCCGAGATTCGTTGACTGGCGTGGAAATGCCCGAATCCTTGGGAGGTGCGCCGTAATGGAGTGGGTGGCTCGGAGGATATGCAAAGTCCCGAACCAAAGCATAAGGTAGACTCGACTGATAAGCAGAAAAGGTATTGGAGGTGGTGGAGGTAGGGCGGGAACGGGTTTGCGAATTCGACTTGTTAGAGTGAACAGATAGTCGGTTCTTTGCGTACGACGAAGGCCTTTGGAGGCTCGACCGCTTGGTGGTAGTAGAGGGAGGTAGAGAGGCCCGCGCTGAGATCGGTGGAGGAGCGGAGGCATCAAACTGAGGCGGCGACTGTGACGATGCCATCGCAGTCGCCATCGTATGCAGCTGTTGTGAGCCCTCAAGCCAATGATGCCAAAGCGAGTTGTGAGCTGGTACGACAGCCTTTAGGCGCAAGCGGCGCGGACCTATATTCAGGTTCTCTTTCGCCTTGTGGCCTGCAAATCTGCTGGATCAAAGCTGCTGTTGAGAGGTCAACAGAATCGGACGGTGGTGGCAGCTCAGGCGGTTTCGTTGCCAGAGTAATCGCGAAGTCAGAGGGGCTTCTGATCTCGATAAGGCGGGGGGCGGAAGCAGATGCGGCTGTCTTCCTCAGGCACAGTTTAATCGGTCAAGAAAAGAAAATCAGCTATCTAGTATATCAGACATGCTGTTTGTTATGAGACTAAGGAACAGATAAAATGCCTGGGCCCGCAACAGGTCGCAACGAATTTAGCCGCCGATGTGCCGCTCGAGTCGTTTGCGTATCTGTGACCTTTCAGTTCGGTTAGATGGCTAGGACAGAAAAGTGGCCACCAGCACACGCATACGCAGGTGGGTTGACACGTCTGGTTAAAGAAGAAGCTCTCAGCCTGTGTCTTCAGGGTGAAAGCGAGGCTTGACTGGGAGGGTTGGTGATGCTGATTGTGTCTGGCAGGCGGGTGGAAAATCGACGTGGGAAGGTACCAAAATCGGTATGGTTGAGTTATGATGAAACACACCAGGGTCATAATTGACCAAACAGCAGCTAGGCCGAAATTCCACAGGTGTCCCACAGGATTTCGTGGTGGACCAGGGGCTTGGAGAGAAAAAAAAAAGAAGAAAACTCAACCAGGGAAGCAAAATGATAGGTAGTTCTATTTATAGAGTCAACTCGAAACCGTTTCAAGGCGAGTTTTCACGGTTCGTGACCAAAGGGTGACATACCCCAAGGCAGAGAAGATATCAGAGCCGAAATAAAAGGGGAGAGAGGCCATGTAAGGTGAAGACGAAGAGTATCAACGGCCACTGAGATTTAAAGCCAAAGATGAAGTTGAAAGAAGAAGAAAAAAAGAGGCTCGTAGTCACATGACCTTATGCTTAATATCTCAATCATGACGTCGCTTCGTCAAACGTGGCCGGAATCGCAACTGTTCGAGAGAAACGAGAGACGATGGAGGAGTAAGACGAATAGGACAGTTAGGAATTTATAGAACTGCTGTCATCCGTCTCGGCTCGAGCTGGTTGAACAGTGCGTTTGCAGACCCCGAAGGAACTGCGACAGTATCCAATTACTTGGGTGGTATAACAATTGAACTTGTTGTAGGTAGCAACAAGCTGGCCCGATGAGAATGTTTCAATTCTGAACTCCTCCAAGATATGTCGAAATTCCCATGTCCCTACGGTGCTGATGATGACATTACGGTCATTTTTGAAATGATATACTAACAAGTCAAGCTTTCCCAAATCGACCCTCGATCGAAAGATCTACCCCTGATATATACTCAACCCTGATCATAGTGGAGAAAAGAATGGTCATTACTTCTCCTTTCTGTTTCTGATAATGATTCTTGGGACCAATTAAATACCAGTCGAGGGGTTATTATTCTTTGTCGTGAACCTGCGACGTATACTACCGGACGACCATGGACTTGCTGTAATCCACATTTACGATCTGATCCAGGCTGATAACTGACACATACCTGCTTAAATAATAAACCCTATATCTCCACTCACTGCATGGATCGACTGTATTAGTCGTTAGTGATATAGCTGCCGGAGGCCATATCGATACTTTCGCTAGAGAATGCCATCCGTTTGCCCAGAGCATCAGGGCCAAAGCTGCTGCTTTGGTGACAGTTGATGGCTATTGTTACTTGTACATCACAAGTAGCATATTAATACTGGCTTTGAAATTTCTTCACTTGTCTTCCACTCCCCCTGGCTAGATAGCCTTGCAGGGCTACATAAAGTGACGTTTAATGCTTTATTTACTACAATATTAAATATTTTCTTAGCTATCGCTACTTCTGCTCTCATTTTAAATGTACTAGAAGTCTAGCCATTAACTTACAGTTAGTGAAGCGGGATTTCCCATCACTACTTTGACATATATGCCACAAGTCTCCATCCATGTCCTGACTTGATTCTTCTTTCTTCCAAGTCCGTCTACCTTCTTCTTTACTCATTTATTGGTGACTTTCTATTATCCAAATTTTTGAACTATCACAACCACTATTTCAAATAGACTCCTTCTCACACCTTGCCCAGGCTTAAACTTGATTTCAAGGTAGAAAAATGGACAATAAACGTGAGGCTGGTGACTTGAAAGCGGACTTGAACGATGACCCCGAGGAAGTCAGCCCTATTGGTGAAACCATCCCCTGGCAAGATCCAGCGGATGATTACCCCGAAGGTGGAGTAACTGCTTGGTTAACTGTGGCCGGTGCAGCTGCCAGCCTGTTTGTATCTTTCGGCTGGGTTAATTGTGTGGGAATTTTTCAAAGTTACTACCACACCCATCAGTTGAAGACATATACTGAGTCGGAAGTGGCATGGATATCTTCTCTCCAAGGTCTATCACTGGCATTCTTACTTACCGTTTTCATTTATTTTATTACTACTACAGCATGCTGACTTGGCTCTAGTTTTCTTCATGTTATTCTGCGGGCCGTTCTTCGGCAGAATTTTTGATAACTGGGGCCATTCATACCTCGTTAAGGTTGGAACCGTTCTCCATGTTGGGGGCCTAATTATTGCAAGTTTCATGGATACATATGCCGGGTTATTACTTAGCCAAGCTGTTTGTTCAGCTCTGGGGGCTTCAATGGTGTTCTACCCTTCCGTTACTTGTGTAAGCTATTCCATATATCCTTAATAATTGAGTCATTCTAACTCCAGCCACTCCCTATTAGGTCTCTACTTGGTTTTATAAACGACGAGCCGCTGCTCTTGGTCCAGTTGTCGCTGGTTCTTCCCTTGGAGGCGTCATTTTCCCTATTATGGTCATACACCTGATCCCGAAATGGGGCTTTAACTGGGCGATGCGTGCATGCGCCCTTCTAATCCTATGCTTGTTGATATTCACCAATTTGACGTTGAAATCCCGTTTACTACCATCTAAACGGCCTTGGAATATTTCGGAGTTAACGCGACCAATGAGGGAACCTGCTTTCCTAGCGCTTGCAGCTGCTGTGTTCTTCTACTATTGTAAGTCTGATCACGAATCCCGGCCTTAAACTCCCTTATTAACATCTTTTCCAGGGGGTATGTTCCTTCCCGTAACATACATTGTCGTGGCTGCTCGCACGAAAGGAATGTCGCAAGATTTGGCAAATTATATGGTCCCCATTCTTAATGCTGCTAGGTAGGCACTCGCGTAACCATTTTCTCTTCGTGAAAGTCTCTAACCGCTGTGGCCGTTATAGTATCTTCGGGCGCACAGTACCTAACGTCGTTGCTGACAAGCTTGGTCGATATAACATCATGATAATCATGTGTTCTATAACTGCAACACTTATCCTCGGTTCTTGGATGTTTGCTTCAAACAACCTAGCCATGATTCTTTTCACTGTATCCTTTGGGATCTCATCTGGATCAGGGGTTGGGCTTACTCCAGCTCTCGTCGCTCAGGTGTCTCCCATCAAGGAAATAGGGACTCGAACAGGGCTGATATTTGCAATTGGATCTCTTGCTGGACTCAGTGGATCGCCAATTGGTGGTCAGATCATAGAGGCAAGCAATGGTTCATTGCGCTATATGATGGTATTTGCTGGAGTGAACTGTGCCATTGGCACACTGTTCTTCATTCTTGCTCGAGTTATCTTAGGCGGTATGAAAATGGCTAGGGTCTAGGCGAAGAAACAAAAGGTAACCATGGAGATAATGATTGAGATAGATAGTTGCAACAGATTACTGCGGAGCGAGATATGATGCTGACGATAACCCAGATGGCTTTGGGCTTAAAAAGGGAACTAATGGGAGACTGGTTAATGAGAATAACAGACCAATTAATTTTAGATGGAGCTGATAAGGAGAATTATTTAAATGGTCGGAATTGGAGAAGTGCATTTGATAATTTCTCTATTGCAACTACCTGTAGACAAGCCTTCCTTCCATAGGCAAGCACTGAGTATGAAAATGTAAAGAGTCATGGAAACAATAACAAACGCCACTCTAAAACGCCTATTCGAAACGCCATGCCTGCATTTCACCACTTCGCGTGGCGGGTATCACAAGTACTCAAAACAATGCATACATTTTATCATTTAAACACAAAGAAACACATAGAAAACACGAGAAAAAGAACGAAAGCCACCTTCCAGCCGTTTAAGGAGTGTATGTCGGCTGGTATTTCCCCGTTGTTATTGTTTTCCAGGTCGCAGAGGCGGTAAAGCGACGTGACATGGGGACGATCGATCCCGCGGTGGGAGAAGCAACGTCTGACACAGATGGTGAGGCTTCGGAGGAGACAGAGTCAACATGGGAGGGGCCATTGTCCACTGGCTGACCGAGATTGGCGAGCAGCGAGGAGAAGGCTGCACGATTCAGCGGCTGACCATCGACGTAATGGATGTTGGGTTCCCTGTTTGTCCCATTTCGGGACGCGATGATGTCAATATCCATACACGAGGTATAGATCTCTGTCTTTCCACGGGGAAGGTTGGGATCTACCCCAGGGGCAGTTGGCCAGTCCCACACAAAGTACATCGACGAAGGCGTTCCAGGCACGACGAAATCCGAAGGTAGTACCAGGACGTGTTGACACGCCACGTCTGCTCCCATGAGCTTGTCAGGTACATGTGGATACGTTTGTTGTCGAGCCATGGAGATTTTGTCACCATTAATTTGGTAACAGCGCCCATCATCAAAGTCTTGGCGTGAGATAAGCCTGCCTCGTTTGTCACCACCCGTTCCGTCCTTGTTCCATACCCCGTGGATGCCTAGGAATTTGTCATCCGGGCGGGGCTCGTTGGTGCCGTATACGTATACGGTCCCGCGGTTTTTTGGTTTACCAGGCTGGGTGTCAGGAAGGGTGACATGCCCATTCTCCCGGTACAAAAGGGCGATGATGTCGCCCGGTTGGGCCTCTAGTCGAGGCCAGCCCTCTGCTTGCCGTCGGTCTCTCTGGGACGGCATGCACATGTGGTCGCTGGGAATAATCCCAATGTCTGCAGCTCGTCCGGTTGGAGGGAGTCGGTAGGTCATCAAATCATCATTGAAACCCTGGTCCGTTCGAGAGACGTGGCCACGGATGTAGCCAGGTTTGCCGATAAAGGACCCATTACCGGCGACGACGTCGAGTTCCTCTACCCAGCTGTGGGCGTGTGCCAGAGGAGTTAGGCAGCACAGGTAGAGGATTGCAACGAGGGCTTTGGATGCAGTAGTGAACTGCATTGTCAAGGGAACGGTGATAGAGTACCCTTGAGGAAGTGGAGTGGAGGAAGAAAGCGTAGAAGTTGTTCGAGTTTGGTGTGTGGTTCGCTGTGGATAGGTAGATATGCGAATGTGTATGGAAAGTTGAACAACTGTGATGAGAAAGGAAGAAGAAAAAGAGACCGAGAAAGAGGAAATGAAGGAAATATTTATAGGCGATTCTAGGTGACAAATGGTTTTGGGCAAGAGAGATTCCAGCGGTTCCGATGATGTCAACAAGACCGTTAAAAAGGAGGAAAACCAGGGGTTTTGGAAGAGAACCAGGGATTTATGATATTGGTGACGTTGTATTGACGATGCCGTAGGAAGGAGCGGCTTTATCTGTGGTTGATATCAAATCCGTGGTTCACGTTGTTTAAGTATGGTATAGAATGACGCTGCGGAAGGGCCTTATATGCCGGCAGAGAAGGAAAATAGAGTGACCAAGGATAGCCACAAAGCGGTAATGGCAGGAGCGGAAGACACAGAAACGTAATGTGTAAAAGCGGCTGGAAGAAGGACGAAGGAAGAACAAAGAAGTTTATGGTGTAGGAAAAGAATGAAAAAGTTCTCTGGATCCTGGGTTATGAATATCAATAACCAAAGGTGAATAGAGAAGAAAATGTTGACCGGCAACACTAGAAACCATTTAATAGGGAAAGAGGACAGGAGAACAAAACATATGAACAACTGTTCACGGAAGCAGAAGAGAATGCAGGAAAATGCAGCAGTTTATATATATATGCAACTGCATGGGCAGGAATAGAAGCTGATGGATGTACCATCTTCTTCTCCCTTGGTACCCTGCTCTGGTACCAGAAGCAACGGCAACCAATGAACCAGGTAAGCGCCCTCTCTTGCCTGACATGCCGCCCACTACAGCGTTTCAACCCGCGGTTCATGAGTCCTCAAAAAAACATACATTGGGCTGCACTACCCTTGCTACCAGAAAAAAACTTGACATCCACCTGCTTCCGAGGCGGGGGTATAAGAGTCCAAACTAAGGCGGACCATTGGTCCGTCATGGACCAGAGAAGTGTTTAAAGCGGTCTGCCGGGGTTTCTCTTCCTCTGGCGCTTCGACAAAAGCCGGGCGGTTGGAGAGTTGAAAAAGTCGATGATGGAAGTTGAAACAAGGAGGTCGAAAAGGGTCACAGATGCTGGCTTGGCGCGGCGTCTGGTTGGCCGTAGACGTCCGCCTCATCCGGCACTTTAACTTAAAATAAGATAAACTTGATGTTATGTCGAAGTCTTGCCGGATGGAGGAGATGGAGGAGATGGCATCCCGATAGAAAGACATCACGATAGGAGGGCGGAAAAACAGGATAAGATGGAGGCTTTACCCGGCGGGACTCGCTTCGGGAGGAGGGAGATGGAAGGTGGTGTTAGAAGAAACAAGAAGAAAATAGCCGTAAGCGCTGTGTCCCCTTTCATTTGTCCAGGGTCAGGGTCTGTTGGCACATCCATGGCCTTAGGCGGCTACCTCCTCCTTAGCATGAAGATGTTTCATTATGTGCAGCAGTTCCCGTTGGCTATTTTTGTAGACAAGAGTGAATGGCTATGAGCTGGCGGGTTGGGCGTGCTAAGACAGGTACGTAAATCGGTAGTAGAGGTATGCAAGTCATCCTTACTTTGTGGGATCCTTGAGGTAGCTCTAGACATATAAGTCGTCCTATTATTCTTAATGGATTGTCCCAAGGATATGCAATCTACTATAGCATCATGGTCTACTTTTAGCATGATGGGACTTGAGCTAGACCACTTGAAGATTATGAGCAGATTGAATCATGATCCCGAGGATTCCCCACTGATGATCCTGTCTGTTTTGTAAGGTAAATCCCGAAGACGGCTGTACTATGTACGCTTTGGCGGGAGATATTCTTCTATGTAGTAGACGTCTGTCAAGCCCAGGCATCAACGGGGAGAGACAAGAAAATATATCGATAATTCGTCATCTCTCTCCCTTGTCCACCATCATACCTGCTTGATGCATGGTTGCTTATCGTATACTAAACCAAAGATAGGTCCCAATATTCAGATTATAGTAATGGTATAACACGTAGCAGGGGCGAGATGCTCTGCGTGCATATTCGGGATGAGCAGATCATTCCACAAAAGATGCCATGTCTCCCAACATCAAGTTTCTGCCTACTTTTTGGTAAGTTTTGTAAAGTAATTTACTCGGTAGCTTCAAATGCAGGATTGCATCATCCATAAGCCATCGCAAGTAAACATTTTGTCACTCAGTTCCAAGCCAAACGACTCTGTTAGCTTGCAAAGTGTACAATTTAGTGATAAATGTCCGATATAGCCAGCTCCTTATAATTTATCACAACATGATTGGCTGTTATTCCATATAAATACATAGTCTTTACACGTGACATCACTTTCTCCATGATTAATAATGAAGAGCTATACAGTTATTCAATTATTCTTTATTTGCTCGAAATGTCAAGACCATAAATCAGTTTTCTGCGGCTGCTGCATGCATATCCGGCCAGTCTAGATAGTAACATTACACGTCGACTTATTGATGCGGGGTAAGACGTGAATGGCGACGCTTTAAAACTGATTCTACAGGACGTTTCTCTGGTACCTTTGAGCGGCTGAATGGTTAGAGGAACAATGTAGAACAATAGGAGACAATGGAAGCAGACCGGTAAACGCGAACCCTGAAAGCGGACGAGAAGTGACTTATATAGACAAAGAGAGCTTCTTCTAACATAACTCTTGACCCTCAGCTCCTAGACTAAGAATATCGTCCTCCTCCGTCGCCGACACCACCGTCGCCGACAGCCACGAACGCCGTCGATACCACGAAAAACCGGCCCAGCCTTGCCCTCCTATCCCATGCTGTCATCATCTTCCCTGTTACACCTCCGTATATGTATACATCATATAACATCTTTACGATGTAACTCGTAAGTCTTCTCAAAAATCCACCGAGATAATGAGGTCACGTGCTATCTGTGGCGTTCAAATTTTTGGGGAAAGAAAAAAAAGTTTTTGGGCAAGAAAAAAGAAGGAAAAAAAAAGGAGAAAGAAAAGGAAAAAAGGGGGGGAAGAAGAAGAAGAAGAAGAAGAAGAGAGGATGAAAGACAGCGATGATGCTGTTTGGAAGAATCTAGTTGACTTAATAGATAGTTCGCTGGTCGGTGATATAAATACCTTGTTAAGTGTCTACACTTAACTATTCCCTGTCATATATCAGAAGAAAAATATACTCCCGTACGCCGGATCAAGGCTTTCCCCCTGCAGTTTTGACAATAGCTGATTGAAAAAAAAAAAAATAAGACAAAAACTCCACAGCTTATGGTGGCATAAGCCCAGCTTCGCCCTCTTCCAATATTTCCTCTTCGCCCTGGGTTTATCAGTACTTCTTACAAACCGTTTGCTAGATAGGAATTGTAAGTGTTGAGAGTCGCCAGGCAAGCATCTCCCAACGATCTCTCCCCCCTTGCACCAAGGAACGCTGGTGGCTGCCCCTGGGTTATATTTAATTTCGTGGCCTAGCTGACCGCTTCATCTGTATCTCCAGCCTCGCTGAGCTTCCTAGGGTTTCATCCTTTTTTTGCTTGGGGCCAGCAAACGATTTCTTTATCTTCTGCCCTCAATTCCACCGGACGAGCGAGACAGAGAGACGAGACAAGACGGGAAAACAAAGGGACGAGGGAGACTACGGGGTATGCACTGGAAACATTGAGCATAATACAAATACCATGAGGGGATCTTCTCTTATTCCTCGCCCGTTTCGCGCGGACCCCGACGATGCTGGGGAGCCTGGATGGCTCAGTCGACAGGTGACGGGTGTGCTGCAGTCAGTGTCGCTGAGAGCTTGCAGGCACCCGATACACACGATAGTAGCCATTGCATTGCTTGCGAGCACCACCTACGTCGGCCTTTTGGACGGCAGCCTGGTAGAGTCGAGCAAGGCAAACGGTGCAGGGCAGGTCGACGTAGCTTCGCTCGTTGGCGGAGGCAGGAATCTACATCTTGGACCAGATACCCAATGGAGATGGCAGGTAGACAATTTGGCTCAGGTCGATACCAGAAAGGTACCTTGTTTCACCCTTTGAGAAAGCCCGATTACTTCTAGGTTGAGCTCAGTCTTGCTGACTTGGAGCTTGCTGCTAGGTATCACAGCATCTTGCTATTGCAACCTTCGTGTTCCCCCATTCATCGTCCGGGTCGCCTCAGTCACCTCCCCTCGCAGAAAATGTGCCTCTGCCAGCCAACAGCTCTGCTAAACTTATCCCGTATACTCCCAATGTACTCACGCCCATTTCACAAGATACGCACTTGGCCTACTCGCTACCCTACGATGAAGTACCATATTTCCTCAGGTCGGTGCAGGAGATCCCTGACTCGATCGATGATCCAGAGGGAATTGAGCAGAAGAAATGGTTGATGAAGGCTGCACGCAGCTCCGTCTCTGGATCTCATGTTGCCATGCGAAACTGGGTCACCGATGGATGGAACTCGTTCGTTGACTTGATCAAGGTATTTCCATTCTTCAACTCGACTCACTATGTTCATAATGTTCGACGGTATAGCTGACCTGATATTAGCATGCAGAAACCATTGATATCATCATCATGGTGCTAGGCTATATCTCTATGCACCTAACCTTTGTATCACTCTTCTTATCCCTACGACGTCTTGGATCTAGATCATGGCTTGCTGCCACCGTCCTCATCTCTGGAGGATTTGCATTCCTCTTTGGCTTGCTGGTCACTACCGCCCTCGGTGTTCCAATTAACATGGTCTTGCTATCTGAAGGTCTACCCTTCCTCGTCGTTACCATCGGATTTGAGAAGCCCATTATCCTTACCAAGGCAGTGCTGGAACGTAACCATCAGCAACTGGGAGTAAACGCTGCCGGTGTCAATGGTTCTGCTACCAAGCCTGCTACACCCGTACGATCTATCCAAGATGCCATTCAGCAGGCAGTTCAAGCCACCGGTTTCGGGATTGTCCGTGACTACGTTATTGAAATTGCCGTCCTTGTTGCCGGTGCCGCCTCGGGGATTCAAGGCGGTCTACGACAGTTCTGCTTCCTCGCCGCATGGATTCTCTTCTTCGACTGCATCCTTCTCTTCACCTTCTACACCACAATCCTATGCATAAAACTCGAAATCAACCGTATCAAACGCCACGTAGACATTCGCAAGACCCTCGAGGAAGAAGGAATCAATCACCGTGTTGCTGAGAAGGTCGCTTCGACCAATGACTGGCCCCAGATGAGCTTAGATGGAAAGGGGAGGAACTCGAAGACCAATGGAACTGGAATATTCGGCCAAAAGGTCCGCGCAAGCAGCATCCCCAAATTCAAATTCCTCATGGTCGGAGGCTTTGTCTTGATAAACCTTCTCAATCTTGCCACCATACCGTTCCGTAACCGTCAGGATGGCCTGTTGATGCCCGTCCTATCTAAGGTGTCAAATGTCCTTTCTCCTGTACCAATCGACCCCTTCAAGGTTGCGGAGAACGGCCTAGATGTCATCTACGTCAGTGCAAAGAGTCAGCAGGTCGAAACTATTGTCACCGTCCTTCCCCCAATTAAATACCAACTGGGGTACCCTTCTGCCCACTATGTTAACCCCAATGCCAACGTTGACCGCCTACTTGATACCGACTACAACCCCGTCCTCGATGTTGTAGGTGGTCGAGTTCTTGAAAGCATCCTCAGGTCTCTCGATGACCCAATTATCAGCAAATGGATAATTGCCGCTCTCATTCTCAGTTTGATTCTCAATGGCTACCTTTTCAATGCTGCTCGCTGGAGCATCAAGGAAGACCAGTCTTCAACCCCGTCTGAGACTCTCACACCCGCTCCCACACCGGTGAAAATCGAGCGCAAGCCAATTATCAAGGAAGATGGCACTCCAAGAACCCTGGAAGAATGTGAGCAGATGCTCAAAGATAAGATGGTCACCTCACTTGACGATGAGGAGCTAGTTGAACTTTCCCTTCGCGGGAAGATACCAGGATACGCACTTGAGAAAACCATGGAACATGAGAGTATTACTCGCCTGGAAGCATTTACCAGGGCAGTCAAGCTCAGACGGTCTATCGTGTCTAGAAACCCAGTGACTGCTGCCACCAGCGCGTCTGTTGAGACTTCTAAACTTCCATATGAGGGTATGAACTATACCCTTGTTCACGGTGCCTGTTGCGAGAACGTCATCGGTTTCCTCCCGCTTCCCCTAGGTGTTGCTGGTCCTCTTGTTATCGATGGACAGAGCTTGTTTATCCCCATGGCAACGACTGAAGGTGTGCTTGTCGCCAGTACCAGCAGAGGATGCAAGGCCATAAACGCTGGAGGCGGCGCTACCACTGTTCTCACTGCCGATGGCATGACTCGAGGTCCATGCGTCAGTTTCAGCAGCGTCTCTCGTGCCGGCGAGGCCAAGGTCTGGCTCGACTCTGAAGAAGGTCAATCAGTCATGAAAGCCGCGTTCAACTCCACCAGCCGTTTCGCCAGACTGCAGACGATGAAGACTGTTCTGGCCGGAACAAATCTGTATATCCGATTCAAGACTACCACTGGTGATGCCATGGGCATGAATATGATTTCTAAGGGTGTCGAGAAGGCACTGTCCGTCATGGCTAACGAGGCTGGATTCGAGGACATGCAAACCATCTCTGTCTCTGGTAACTTCTGCACCGACAAGAAGGCCGCTGCCGTGAACTGGATTGATGGCCGAGGAAAGTCCGTTGTTGCTGAGGCCGTCATCCCCGCCAACGTTGTTAAATCTGTACTCAAGAGTGACGTCGACTCTATGGTCGAGCTTAACATATCCAAGAATCTGATCGGAAGTGCCATGGCTGGTGCTCTAGGAGGATTTAACGCCCATGCATCTAACATCGTCACTGCCTTATTCTTAGCTACCGGTCAGGATCCCGCCCAGAACGTCGAGAGCAGCAACTGTATCACGATAATGAAGAAGTACGTATCTTTCCTCGTCTAACTCCAATTCTATTTCTAACCTTCCTCGTTTTTCCAGCGTGGGCGGCAACCTGCACATCAGCGTATCCATGCCTTCGATAGAAGTCGGCACCATCGGCGGCGGCACCATCCTCGAAGGACAAGGAGCCATGCTCGACCTTCTCGGTGTTCGTGGCGCACATCCTACGAGCCCAGGCGACAACTCTCGACGCCTTGCGCGAATCGTGGCTGCCGCTGTCCTCGCAGGTGAACTCAGTCTCTGCGCCGCTCTTGCAGCTGGCCATCTTGTCCGTGCCCATATGGCCCATAACAGATCCGCGGCACCTGCAGCACCAGCGTCATCAACATTGCCTACAGCTCCTCCAACTCGATCGGTGACTCCCGTCTCAGCCGCTGTCGGAGCAGCAAGGTCCGCGAACAACCTCGCAATGACGGCCGTCAGTGATCGAAAATGAAATTTAACGCGCGCAAATCTTTTTACCAATCACCTGGCGTGAGGATGCAATATCGTTACCCTATATTTAATCTCACTTTCTATTTCTCTTTTAATTTCATTTTGCCGATGGTTAAACGTTTGATTTATTCTTTCTCATCTCTTTTTTTCGTTTTACTTTCCACCATTTTCGCCCTGCCCCCCGTCCAGCCCATATGGTTTATCTCTTCGTTCTGCAGGTCTTGGATTTAGGATCTTCAGCTCGCTTGCGATGTGAGCTGCTTGTGATCCGCCTCTGTTGCATGGCTTAGCTGCGTCTTCGAACTGGGTTTTTCTCTTCTCGCTTTACACCCGCAGACTTGCACGATAGAAATGGAGTTAAAATATAACTATGTTCTTGCGTACTACAAGTTACTCGACCGCCTACTACTTCTACATGATAATCCGTATCAACCACCCTGTATGCCTCCATCAAGACGGGACCTATGCTCGAGTCTTAACTATCATGGCTTTCCCACAAGACAGCCAGAATCTCCACAGCCAGTTATTGCCTTTGGAGACACTACATTAGTGAGCTCCAATTCATCCTTTTGGCGAGAACCTGGCCTATGCATGTATGCAGGGATGTAGTCTGCATATGGTGTACTATATGACTCTTGCTATGTACCGGTAACTACATCAAACCAGCCCTTTTCAGGAAGACTCACCGACCATGGCTATGTACACGACAGTATCCAGTAAGTTCTGGATAACACCAGATCCATGCTGACGTCTTCAGCTGGCCACGTCGGCCTTGCTCACGCTGCCTGGTCCACCCTGTGGGTGCCTTGAAGGCCGCGAGCATTGGGCGGTGACTGGTGCCCGAGTGAATTATATGTAACTATGCACCAGATATAACTTACAAGGTAGCGACAGAGAGAGGGGCAGAAGAAGTGCGGAGAGTATTTAAAAAGGACAACTTTTCCCCCTCCCTCGTCTTCATATGTAGAACTTGCTTCTTCGATATCCTGTCTTCATACGAACATCCCACCGCTCTCAAAGCTGCCAACATGAGCTTCCACGAATCAGCCAGAGACGTCCGCGTCGAGGACGGCCGCACCCTCGTCGCTGACCTCCGAAACGGTAATGGTGACTTTGTCACTGCCCGTCTTGATCTCAACACAGTCCTAGGAAACAATGACGGTAATGCTCAACAATACTCATGGAAAGCCCATGTCTGCTTGTCTGACTGGTTGACTAACTGACCGTCTCGGCCAGGCCGCTTTTGCTGGGGAGGAGGAGGCTTCAGCGACAGCGCTTCAGATACCTACTTCCAGTTCGACCAACCGACGAATCTGCCCATCCTTCGCGCGAAACTGACGGCCTCTGACGGTAGCAAGTTTGATGGAGTGGTTAACCTGTCCGAGCGAATCACCAACAACAACGGCTCGTTTGAACTTACGAAGTAGTTAATACACTCTAGTTAGGCCAGCTCTTAAAAGCATCTGCCAAACCATTCCTGTTCTTCCTCCTTTTCATATAAATCTACACCACGGAGAGAGAGAGCTGGCCAATCGGGTTTTCACCGAAGGGCTCCAGTAACTATTCCATGGCTGATGGAGATCTATCTCCCCTGACGGGAACACCCGTCTGCTTCCCAGCATGTCGAAGTTTTTTTTCTTTTTAAACGATTTTCACAGGACGTTCCAAGCGTTTGAAGCACAGAAATATGGGGAAGAGAGAAAATCGACTTGACAAGGTGTTCCGAGTTATAGTCCAAGCCCATGGCGATGCAGCAGTGAAGAGTGTACATACTGTCATAATATCACCACCGTGGTCCGAAGATAGACCATGTTAGAAAGCCGACGAGGCCTCTCACTTTAGAGATGGCCTCGAGTAGACCAATAGGTCTCCAGGATCAAGTAGAAAATGGCCTTAGAGATGGAGTCAGGTTGCATGTCGAAGTAGGCGACTTCAAACTTATCCTGAGCCAGGGGGGAATATCAGGATGCCTTCAACTTTCCATCAGTTCTATGCACCTTGATACTGGCTGTCCAACCCCCGACGTCTCGCTGGATGATAAGACTGGATGGCCACTTAGCCAGGCTGATGCTTGTATATCCAATCAGGGTAGGTCACATCCGATGCTTATCCTTCGCAGGGCCCGTTTATGTGCATATGCGGATATATCTTGATGATAGATCCAAGAATGAAGCATCAGGGATAACTCGACTCGGTTTCATGACCTGTCTCACGTCCTCGCTTGGACTGATTCATGGCAGATAAAGGCAGCTAAAAGGCATCTCGTAGATGCCGCAGGTTGTGTCGTACTGTGCGCGTGTGTGTCTGGCGTAGTCTCTTCCTGCATATCCTGTAGGGATAAAGTAAAATGCTGTTTTATTCCATGCTGCTTCTGCTGCGATCGATCTGTGGCTGCGGCTTAAGCATGAACATGGCCAATATCAACTAAACAGCCTTCCAGGCTATTCTTGGAAGCGGGAAGAAGTTCTCAAGCCTTGATTGGAAGAAGCAGAAGGGGAAAAAAAAAGTCCAGAACCAACCAGGATCTGAGGAAGCTCGATGGCTTTTTTTCTTCTCTTCCTCCTCTTCTTCTTCTACACCCCAAGCGAAAGGGAAAAAAAAAAATAAGGAGTAAAAAGACGGGGGGCGATGCGATGCCTTGCATCTTCTCTCTCTTCCCCTTCTGTCTTCCCCTTCTCTCTTCTCTCTCTGCAATTGACTTGAACCGTCTACGCTTGTTATCGTCGTAAGAGAGAGAGAGAGAAAGTTCCTCTTTTTTCTTTTCGCCTCTTCTTCCTGAAGTGCGCCCCAGCCCTTGCTTCTTCTTCCCTGTCGTTAGAGAGAGAGAGCTCCAGGTCGACCATTTCTCGGTTTCTCTTCCGGTATCTACTTTGCTCTGTCCTACGTTTGCTGTGTGTGTGTGGTTTTTTCTTCTTCCTTTCGTCCCCTTTTCCCCCGTTCTCTCTTCACTTCCTAGTCAAAGCCTCAGCTAACGAAGAGATGTCTGGCTTAGATTGCAAAGGATCAAACACGGACAAGACCGACAGTTTTTATTTATTTTCAAGATTCGCTGTTGGTCCGGCTGGGGGATCGTGGTTGAAGACGGGAGCGAAAGGCCTGGGACGGGTCCGTTTGCGGGTTGAAGAAGCCGTTTCGTGGATACATATATATCTGCGTCAAAAACCTCCTTCGCCGAGGATACAGCTGAACGGCTGGAGAGAACGTGTTCTGTGTCGCCTGTTTCTTCCGCACACCATATATATATATAATTACACAGTTTATGTGTGACCGGTATAGACGGCTTGCGACGTGTTCATGACCAGCGCCGTACCTCCCCATCCAGAAGTCACCATGTCTCCCGTTTCGACCGACGGAAGCGAATGGTCAGGTATTAATCAGTACTCAATCCCATCGCCAAACTCAGTCCGGGGAGCATTTCCTACTCCGCCGTCTGGCCCGCAGTCTAATGCCGGCCCTTCAGACACTACCTCCATCTCATCCAACAGTCTGACCCTTCCACCGCCAACCAGAATGTCACAAAAGGCATCGCCACCGAGCTCAGTCACCTCCCGGTCAAGAGTGAGTGATGGCACGCTCTCAGATCAGGGCGGCGCGAGGAGACAGAGGATGGAGGATATGCTGTCCCAGCATTACATCGTGCTGAGGAGATATCTTCAGGGTCCGTCGAGAGACGACTCAAATCTACGGTCAAACAAAGCTAGGGATAAGCTCCTGCGGCTGTCTCCTGTCCTGTTCCTCGAGCTGAGTACCGACGTCTACGATGAACTACTCAGGCGGCAGGCTGTCGTTGCTGCTTCTCGCCCGGGGCCTCCACGGCCAGAGGTTCCTCCTCACCTTCTTCCCCGGCAGGAATATCATAAAAAGCGAAACCAGGCGCGCCAGAAGCTATCCTCCCTGCAGGACCAGCGGTTTAAAGATCTTGCAACAGACGTCTTTTGTGAGCTGGAAAGACGGTTTCCACATTTTGCCGGGCCAGAGATGAACAGACGAGCTAGTCCTGCGCCTAGTATGGGTGGGCGTTATGGTGGCCCACGTCCCGACTCTAACGGGCAAGGATACGGATATCCGGGCACGCCAAACAAATCTCGTGGTCCTCCACCTGGCCCCAGAGGCCCTGGGTACTCTTCTGGCCCAGGTCCAGGTGCCCGTTTTCCTCCGCGACAGGGCTCCCTCGGAGGTATGTCTGCAACGGGGCTGGGAATAAACGGTGAAGGCATGCCGGACAACGCCCCTTACCAAAAGTCTTTTCAGAATAATACCGTTGTGCCCAATAAAAGCACGCTGGTGGAAGATGACGACGCCGACGATGATGATGATCGACGAAGCGATGCATTTGCGCTGGATAAAGTGCTTGATAACAGGAGGGATACGACCGGCCCTGGTGGTGCAGAACGTGATCAGAAGCTTGCCGATGCTGAAGCCCAAGTGTCAAAGCTCCAGAAGAAAGTAGAAGAGCTGGAGTTGATGCATAAGGAGAAAGAAGAAGAGATGAATGCTCTCCGAGAATCCAAGGACGATTCAAGCGTAAGTTCAATTTCTCTTAGTATGTGTAAATGCCTTGCTAACTCGTTATATCAGGTATGGGAGGCGGAGAAAGCAGAATATGAGGAGAGGAAGCGGGAACTGGAGGAACAGCTGTCCAACACGCATAATCTAAACAACTCGGTTCTCACTCAGCTCGACGAGGCTCGCGATCGGCAAAAAAGCGCAGAGATGGAACTTGAAAAGCTTCGCCAGGAAAGGTCCGTCAATGGCACCGTCGACGGCAACGAAAACGATGGCAGCGATGGGGATATAAATGACTGGAAAATCCGATTTGAAGACCTCAGCCGAGAACACGAAGCTCTCAAAGCCAAGCTTAAGCATCAGCAAGAAGTCACTGAACAAGTACGGCAACAGGCTTCGGCCTTCTTGCAGGAGATGAGAGCATTGTCTGACGGGCATAGCTCGAATTGGGACCGTGAAGAGCGTCTTGTACGGGATGTACATCGACTAGAGGCGGAAGTCAAGCACTGGAAGAACCGATATGCAAAATCAAAGACACAGTTGCGGCATTTACGATCTTCCTCCATCGGCCTACCTGAAAACATTCTAGACACAAGTCTCGTAGCAAAAGAGAACGACCTGACCCAGCCAGATGGGCTGGTTAAAGATGTACACATCACTAAGTTCCAAATGGCCATCGATGAATTGTTACGCATTGCACGCTCGGACGAACCGTCTCTCGTACTGGGGCAGATGAAAGGTGTTGTGCTTGCAGTCCGACATATAACGCAAGATATCGACAACGCGCTGGACGGTAGTGGTGCTGATGACGAGCCGACAAGAATACGTACTCGGGCCAAGGCCCAGGTATCAGCAACAGCGAACAACCTCATTACAGCTTCGAAGAACTTTGGCAACTCCAATGGCCTGTCTCCGGTCTCTCTTCTAGACGCAGCTGCCTCCCATCTCACCTCAGCTGTTGTCGAGCTAGTTCGAAAGGTGAAGATCAGACCTACGCCGGAGGACGAGCTCGCAGACGAGGGAGAGGAAGACCAGCTCGCGCCCATGCAGTCACCTGGATACTTTAGCGTGGCTCCCAGCCTAACACGGTTCAGCGGCAACGAGTCCATCTACAGCGCCATCAGCTCTCCGCCATCTCTGCGGTCAAGGACCAATTCCCACTCCATGTCACGAAGCAGGCTCTCGGGCGCGAAACATGGTTATCCCGGCCTATGTGCTGATAAAGACCTAGAAGAGCTCAGGGTAAGTTTCATCTAAAATAACAACCAATGAACGACTTGTCGCTCGTTTTTCTAATATGTTTTGTACGTGCAGCTGCACCTTGAAGACCAAACCAGTTCTTTGGTGCATTCCATCCAATCCCTCGTGGCCAGCATACGGGGAGAGGACCCTATTTCCTCTATCCAATTGCACATCAACACTATTGCAGATGCAGTTGAGAAGGTAGTCTCCTCGACGGAGACCACCATGTCCAAGCCAGACGCCAATCCGGCGTTACGTGAACGAGCAGTCCCCGTAATAGAAATCCTGGCCCGGCACCGCGACGACCTCGTTGACATTGGTGCCGGAGGTGACAAGCTGAGCAATGCAGCTGAGATCCGCGAGCTAAACAACAAACTACCCCCCATCGCATTCCAAATTGCCCGGGAGACGAAGGAGCTTGTGCAGCGGATCGATCAGATCGAGTATGACAGCCAGAACAACGAGGATGATGATTTCCGATAATTGATATATCCTCCATCCACTCATTCTACTGAACCACATCACTTTTCATCATTTCTACCCACCCCTATTCCATTCTACTCTTACCACTTACTTATTATTTACTTTACTTCTCTGGTGGAATGACTTGCCTTTGCCCATATTTCTTTCTCATAGCCTTGGCCCCCCTGCCTCTTCTGTTTTATATTCACTTCACGTTCGGTTCTCTCCCTTGATATCTTCTCGGAGCCTGCCATGTTTCTTTCATTTCTTCCTTCCCCTTTACCTATCCTCCTCAATGGGAGCTTTTTACGGGACAACGGTGACGAGAACGGATGGATGTACTTTTATTCTCTCTCGATAGATATTTCGTATATCCGCTATCACTTTAATGTCAGTTACGGACAATCTAATGCTACCAACCAATGCTTCAGCTTCAATGCCTAGACCTTCGTATACATATCGCAGACGTATCAACTATTCGAGTTTCTTTTTGGCGCTATGGAAGCCTGCAGAAGATTTTTCTGCGGCCGCAAGCTAATTTCCGGTTTGGGCGGTTTAGCCGTGTGGGTCCAAAAAGCCCCTGAGTCACATGACCAGATAGTATAAAGGGGAAGAAAGAACCCGCTCAAAGGAAAGAGCGACCTTCCTTCTGTCCACATTTCTTATTAAGCCACTTGTATTAATAATATATTATTCATCATCTTATATAATACTTACGTCATCAAAAGCAAACAGGACAAACTGCCCCTCCACGGGTTCTCCCTCACTCTAAACAAACCCCGCCGCTAGCGTCTTTTTTTTTTGCCAGCCCTCGCCGCCATGGCTTTTGCTCGTTCTCTCTCTCATTCTTCTCCTTCTCTCTTGTTCTCTTCCATCCGCCGTCCTCACACTCTGCAATCCATTGCATTTCAAACAAACCTATCTAGGTCTTTCCATCAGACTTCTCCCGCCATGACTAACGTCTACTTCGACGTCGAGTACGCCGACAAGTCCGGTGCTGGTGAGTTGCTTCTCCTCTTGTCTGCCCCTCGCTCTGTTTACGCAGCACGACAAATCGAGTCTGGGCGGTGGTATGCCATCAATTGGCAGCATGGGGAATCACTCATAGTAGTACAGCTCACTGACATGATTGCCGTCTATCGTTATAGTCAAGGCCGGCCGCATCAACTTCAAGCTCTACGATGATGTTGTCCCCAAGACTGCTGCCAACTTCAAAGCTCTCTGCACTGGCGAGAAGGGCTTCGGATACAAGGGCTCTGGCTTCCACCGCATCATCCCAGGTTTCATGATCCAGGGTGGTGACTTCACCCGCGGAAACGTAAGTGCTTGACTCCATTTTCTGCCTTCCAATGGCCCTTTGCAGTAGACTTAACACCTAGCTTCTTTCTAGGGAACTGGTGGAAAATCCATCTACGGTGACAAGTTCGCCGATGAGAACTTCAAGTTAAAGCACGACCGCCCTGGTCTTCTCTCCATGGCCAACGCTGGACCAAACACGTGAGTGCTCTATTTGGACCCATCATCCACCATATCTGCGCGTTCATACAGAAAAAGCGGAAGAGAAGATAAAAAGGATATCGGCCTGGACTAACATCTGTGTCTTCTTGTACCTATAGCAACGGCTCTCAGTTCTTCATCACCACTGTCGTCACCAGCTGGCTCGATGGAAAGCACGTCGTTTTCGGTGAGGTCTGTGACGACAAGTCCATGGAGATCGTCAAGGCCCTCGAGTCTGTTGGTAGCGCTTCCGGTACTGTCCAAACCAGCCCCAAGCCCACCATCAAGGACTGCGGTGTCTTGTAAAGATGTGCTGGCCCTCCTCTCTTCGCCCAATTAGACACAGCCTTCGCATTTTGAGAGAAAACGCCCGTGGCCCCTTCTTTTTCCTATGTTTCTTTCCTCCTTGTTATCCTTTCTCTACTCTGCAATCTCTCTGCCAGATACAGACAGACAGTATGGCTCAGCGGGCTAGGACAAAAAGTGGTGGGAAATAATTGGAACAGGACAGCCAACCCATCTTTTTACTCATGAACGCTACTTACTGTATCTACCCTGGATTGCAACACATTAAGGCGGCTGTTTCAGTACGAAGACAACACATAATCACTTAGCATGACACTTACATAGCATAACAAAAAAAAAAAAGGAGGGGCATCACTTGCTCTGAACTGTACAACTTTTCATATATGCATCTTCCTTGTTTTCCCTCTTCTAATACCTTGGATGACTTTGTTGCATTAGATGGCGGGGGCGGAATTGTGAATCTCCATGGATGAATGTTCGCCACTCCATTCCGTGGAGGGACAAAAAAAAGAAATACCCTCAAACGTTGCCATCCATTGCCCCTCCGTACGTTTTAATTTGACCTCATTCTCATCTAATAATAAAACAGGTCCTAAGTATAGAACCACCCATCATAATATACATTGGCCCAAGGCCACAAACCATTGCAGGTAATCGATGTCAACCTCCTAATGATATCATTTGCCTCGGCTGCTGCATACTCGGCGTATTGGGCGTTTTAATCCAATTTCTAGTTCGGGCAACGAAAATTGCGTTCAAGCTAGGGCGAGTTTTAAACAAACACCATACTTTGTAGGTGGGCGTCGGGGTGTCGCCGTGTACTTAGATGGATCGATTCCTCAGCTGTATATAGCCCGGAAATGTTTAAGAAGCATGCATCGTTATCGGTTCGGGGTAGAACAACTTAGGTGCATTTCGCCTATTCACTCATCGTCGTATCCTGGACCGGAGACGGCTTCCCCCATCAAGACTCTTTTCCCTGCCCCCTTAAGCACCCCGTTTAATATTTCCCTCGTCTGCTTGCAGCCGTCGATCCCTACTGCAAACATGGTCTCGAGATATGACACATGTACTCCCGAATCCATATGTACAATCGATAGCATCTGATTCTCGTTTTCAGCATCATATTCGTCTTCGTCGTCTTTTGGAATATTAATATCGGGCATAGGATTCGTGTTAGCAACCGTCATATACGGCAACTCTACTTCCTCAGGTGCGGAAATATCAAGTAGAGGGTCGAGAGTCTCGTTTACCCCGCCCATTTGTGCAGATTCAGCCGTTACTGCTGGAGTAGATGCACGACCGCTCATTCCTACTGTGCAGGCACAGAGGAGGCCAGGCATAGGGATACCGGCGTCCACCAGAGCGAGGGTACATGCGTTCAGACACGCAGCGAATAGTGAGCCGTCGGATGAAAGGACAGATACATGGATTGATATTGTACTTCGGGGGTAGAGATGGGCGTGAATATGAGGTTGGAAAGCGTCCCTGATCAAGTTTGCCAGTTCAGTTGTAGCTTGTCTTTTTTATTTTCTACATATTAGTGATCAATGTACGGAGGAACAATGCAGAGAGAGAGAAACTACTTACCTATCTCCTCCCCCGCCTCCAGCAGCACTCTTCTTCTTCCGGTCCACATTGGCAAATCCAGCCAGGTTGACCACAACACTTATCACAGCCCCAGTTGCACCAGCTGTTTCTGAGCGTTTCCCCTCCGCAGGGCCATGGACTGTACAAAGAACCGTTGTATTACCCATTGATAGATACGATGAGCCAGAACTTGCTGGGTTGGTAGATATTTGGGCCTGAAGAAGCCGTAGTTCGTTCCATCGTCGTCCGTCCAGGCGTAGCCGTGTGAGACGGTATGTTGTTGAGGTATCGAGTGGCATTTTTCTATTGAATCAAACGAGAGAGATAATAACTAGATCAGCAATTGGCCATATTAAGTATGATAGTGATAGCATCGGCTCGATTTTGGGGCTTCGATGCGCTCTTCAAATCTGGCGGGCTGGATGTTTTTCTGCTTTGAAGCTCAGCAATTTGCCTTTTTCGGTGAAAATCGTGCCAAGCGGTATATTCGATAAGCTAGTCCCTTTTGGGATATTTGGGGGACGTATATCTAGATGGACGTCAAGTATAAGAGTTCATACGTTAATTTTCTCTATCTTCCATTCGCTTTTCTGTATCTAACTAATATATCCTAATTATAGAGAATGTTCTATTTATGATATTTCCTCCCTCCTAGCTTAACCGATCACGTGACAACGAGACGGTTCCGCGCCACTTCACGCCATGGGCTTCTGGCGGCTCCTCACGTCTCAATCGGAGGCCATGTATTGCCCATATAGAGGATGAAGACTCACTGGGAACTTCAGGATACAGACGCAACTACGGATAACAGTGACGACGACGACGACGATGATCTGGGGTACCCAAGGGCCGCCAAAGCGCCCGTAAAGCGACGTATTTCCGCACAACTCCCTAGTACGTGATGTGTCGAGCCTTCTTATAGATTCCAGCTAACAGGATTGTTCTCAAGATGACAAGCCACCAAAACGACATAAGCCCTCATCGGAATCTCCCATAACTCCTACGAGGGAAGAAGGTGCCATCGATTTGTCTAATGTCGCAAGTGAAGCAACCGACGATGAGTTTAACAATGGCGAAGCCGTATACAAGGAGTTTAAGAACCGCAAGACCGTCCAGCGGAAAAGGTCGGCTGCACAAATGCGCAGACGCCGGAAAGTCCAACAGGATATCATCGTTGGCAGACGTGATCCCAGAGCTGAAAGTAAACCAAGACGCTTACCACGGGAATACGGTGATACTACTTCTGACGAGGATTTGATGGAAGATACTCTACCGGATTACTTGAAAAGACGACGAGGACTTTTTGACAAAAAAAGAGAAAAACTTCTGGAAGCTGGATTAAAGCTCCCGCCCAATTTCGATAATGTGGAATTTTCAGACAACGAGCAGCTAGATTCGTTGATAGAGAAACCCTGCTTTTCGCATGTGAAGCCTTCACGCAAGTATGAGGATATCCAGTTACCGTATTCTTTGGGTTTGGTACCCGCGCCAATCGCACAGTGGCTTCGTGATTATCAAGTTGACGGTGTTGGTTTTCTTCATGAGTTATTCGTTTATCAGAAAGGCGGCATTCTTGGTGATGACATGGGCCTAGGCAAGACAGTCCAAGTCATTGCATTTCTTACTGCTGCATATGGTAAAACTGGTGATGAAAGAGATGCGAAACGAATGCGGAAGATGAGAAGAAAAGGAGAATCTACCTGGTACCCACGGACCTTGATTATATGCCCCGGAACACTTATCCAAAACTGGCGAGATGAGCTTGACCGATGGGGCTGGTGGCATGTGGATGTGTATCATGGAGAATCCAAGGATGCCGCTCTCAAATCTGCAGCGTCCGGGAGGGTAGAAATTCTAATCACAACATACACCACTTACCGCTTGAATCGAAGTGCCATCAACATGGTAGAATGGGATTGCGTGATTGCGGATGAATGTCACACTATAAAGGAGCGAAAATCAGAAACTGCAAAGGCTATGAATGAACTCAATGCGCTATGTAGGATTGGACTAACAGGGACTGCCATCCAGAATAAGTATGAAGAATTATGGACTTTACTTAATTGGACAAACCCTGGACAATTTGGTCCCGTATCTACCTGGAAATCTACGATTTGCGAACCACTGAAAGTCGGACAGTCTCATGATGCCACCGTTTACCAGCTGAGCAGAGCAAGAAAAACTGCGCGGAAGTTGGTAAAAAACCTTCTACCAGCTTTCTTCCTAAGGCGCATGAAGTCCCTTATCGCGGACCAACTACCAAAGAAGAGTGACCGGGTTGTCTTTTGTCCTCTCACAGAAACACAGTCAGATGCCTATGAGAACTTTCTGGATAGCGATATAATTGACTATATCAAGAATTCCTCCGACCATTGTAGCTGTGGATCAGGCAAAAAGGCGGGGTGGTGTTGCCGGATGTTTTTACCCCAAGGAGGCAAATGGCAGAGCTATGTCTTTCCTGCTATCTCAAACCTGCAGAAGCTTAGCAACCACCTTGCCATTCTAATTCCACAACCCATGGATCCAAAAGATAAACAGGCAAAAGATTTGGAGATGTTACAAATCGCTGTTCCGGACCAGTGGAGGGAGCTATACCGTACACGAGGTTCGATTATCAATTACTCAAACCCGGAATTCTGTGGAAAGTGGAAAGTCTTGAAGAAGCTTCTTAAATGGTGGCATACGAATGGTGATAAAGTTCTCATCTTCTCTCATAATGTTCGGTTACTTAAAATGCTACAGATGCTCTTTAACCACACAAGTTACAACGTGAGCTACTTGGATGGCGCAATGAGCTATGAAGAGAGGGCAAATGTTGTCAACTCTTTCAACTCAGATCCGCGGCAGTTTGTTTTCCTCATATCCACAAAAGCAGGTGGTGTAGGGCTAAACATCACCTCGGCGAACAAAGTTGTCGTCGTTGACCCTAATTGGAATCCTTCTTATGATCTTCAGGCACAAGACCGGGCATATCGGATTGGCCAACTTAGGGATGTGGAAGTGTTTAGACTAGTGTCTGCAGGCACCATTGAGGAGATAGTATATGCCCGTCAAATATATAAGCAGCAACAGGCAAACATTGGCTACAGTGCTAGCACCGAACGACGGTATTTTAGAGGTGTTCAAGAAAAGAAAGATCAAAAGGGAGAAATCTTTGGCTTGGCTAATCTTTTTGAATACCAAAATAATAACGTGGTCTTGAGAGACATTGTGAATAAAACCAACATAGCAGAAAGCAAAGCTGGCGTGCAAGTTATTGATTTTGAAATGGAGGCAGAGCGGAGCCAAAACAATTGCGATGAAGAAGATGAAAAGCGTTATCCCTTTACAGCAGATGAAAATGACGATGTTGCAATGAGTCAGCTGGCAGCGTTAGTTCGTGGTGAAGGGATAGGTGATGATAACAAAAAGGCTGCACAAACTCTTAAGCATGACCCTATCCAGGCTATTCTCGCAGGGGCAGGTGTGGAATATACACATGAGAACACGGAGGTTATTGGCTCTTCCAAAGTTGAAGCTCAGCTCAGCCGTCGTGCAGAGCTGGTCAATGACGGCGAAGAAATTGGTGAAGAGCAAGTCTTTAGACCGGAGTCAAGAGACGGAAAACCTTCTAGCATTGTTGTCCGTGGCAGGAATGGGAAATCGGCTAGATTCAAATATCATCCTCCTCGGGAAGTTATGAAACGCCAGTTCTGTAGTATGGCCGCTCGCTACGGATTCCGCGATGTGACAGAATTTGCACTTACTGTCGAAGGTTTGACCCCGGCACAGCGAAGAACATGGTTGGAAAAGTGGTATAAGGAACGGAGGGACAAATTGCTTAGTGGTCGGAGCCCCGAAAAGACCCCATGAAATTACCTGGCCTAGGAGACTAAGGATCTATGTTACCTTGCCGGGTAGTGGGATAATTACCACTCGTAAATCCATTGGCACATCAAAAGATACGTACGATGTATGTATTCGGTCTACCATCGGTACAGTATATCTCCAGCATATTCCGCTTAAAAATTGAATACTAATGTTTCATGTAGCGCTCGCCTTCCCGCATATCTGGTGTAGACCGATTCACACTATGCATTGACATTGAGACCATATCAATACGAATGGGGTCGCTGATCTGACAGCTTTTGATATACTAGGGAAGAAACAAACGTTATTAATCATCACCCAATGAGCCATGATTAACAATGCAGGCACAAGAAACACGTGGAGTCGAGGATGTACTCAGAAGAATAAAAGAATTAATGAAAGGAGCATGCAGAAGCTCCTGTGTTGTTTAGCAGACGTATTCTCACAATATCCTACCCATGATGACTCCACGCTCCGATAGCGTATAAAAAAGTTGAAGCCCGTTGTTGCCGCCGTTCTCCATAAAACTCCGAAATTGTAACTGAAAATTCAAAACCAAGAGAGAGTCCACAGGGCAGGAAGATTAGGCCATTTCTCCTGCCACTTAGCAAGTATTTCCGGAACTCTCTCGTCAAAGCCCCTTCTAGCATCACCAGCACCCTGATCCCATCCGTTGGGACCGTTCAATCGCCGCTCCTCATCAGCCACTTCATTGAGCCTGTTCGCCAAATCAAGTATCCCTTTACTTCCAACCAGGGCTTCCTCGTGGTTATCCCTGATGTCGACGTTAAAAACATGAACAGGCCTGTTCAAAGGTGCACCGCGATTCATAAGATCCTCCACAACCGCATCCCAGCATCGTTCTTCGCACGTTATAATAACGTCGACGACCCCGCCTTCAGTTCCAAGACTACCCTTATCCCCCCTCGATACGTGATCTAAACGAGGCATGCCCGGGTTCCAGTCTTGAAACCGTTCTGGACCCCATTTTACGCCCTTATTCCGTTCTAGCATGGGAAGAACTCCGTTATTGCGGTAGAGCCTTGGATCTTTCGCTTGTAATTCATCATATATTTGCGAATAAGATACGGTATTAAAATTATAAACGTTGGGTTGTGTGATAGATGGCCCCGGCAGCCGAACTAGGGAGCCCGTGCCGAATGATATGACAGAGTATGAAGATGGAGGTGCAGATAGACGGTTATGGGCTTCCATGGACCGGTTCTGATTTGCGGCACAAACCGTGCAGAATTTGAGTTTGAAAGAAGTTGATGTAGGATGAGGAGGGGTAGAATTGTTTACTACAGTGTTGTCATTTGGTGTCGACGATGCATCAGCCTGCTCCGCTGGAGGTGGAGGCGGAGGCGGAGGCGGAGGAGGGTGTATTGTCATAGCTTGAGGAGTGCCATGCACGACAGGATCCGTGTCCATGTTGAATGAGAGGGAGAACGCTGAACGTTTCTAATACCACAGAAGCTATATTCCATAGCAAAACAAGTTAGTTTAAGTTTAAATCGTTCATTTTTAAGGGTAAACGGCCAAATAGAATATGACTTGGATTGATATTCAGAAAAAAGTTGCGTATGTTAGGTTATCCTCAAGGGAAAATAGGACAGCTCCAATAAAAAGAGGTTCATCATATGGTAAAAAGACAGGAATAGAAAGGAGAATTGGAGCGTACCTTAGCATATATCTTCTAGTTTAGTGTTCATACTCATCATACAGCAACTATTCACGCAATGTTCTTCTGATTGAAAGGCTCGAAAATTAAATGTTGTATGAAGTTGAAGATAAACTTGAGATTCATTTTTAGCGAGCTTTTTAATTGCTGGGAACTTGAATATATCACGTGACTTATATTAGACAACCCGCTTATGTAATAAAGCGAATTCTTTATAATTTTTATTTATTTTTTTTACTACACGACTCCCCCGAACTCCACTATTTCGAGGGAACTATTATCTTGTGTATATAACGGGGTGCTACCTCATCGCTAAATCGAAACAAAATTCACGCGTACTACGCCCCCATTGCGTTTTAAGAGAAAAGAAAAACATAACCGAAATAATTGAAATATATGATTCCCTCACAGATCCAGGATCAAGAGGTTTTCGGGAGATCCAGGGCGAGAAGTCCCAGGAACAGGTACAGCGGTTTCCGGTCTATTCTCCTCTAATGGCTGCTTGGATTTGAGGCGCTCTAGTTTCCTTTTTCGCAGTTTATCTTTTCGGGCATGGAACTCGATGAGGTGCTTATTTTTCAGGCGCCAATCGGCTGGCGCCAGTTCGGGGAATTGGAAGAGGCACCCGCTAGGTGAGTGGCCTTTCTGACCACAATAATTGCATGAGAATTTTTCCTTGTGTGATGCTTGGCTCTTGGCCTGTGGTGAAATGTGCACCTCAGGTTGAACTTCTTGCCTGGATTCAGTCTTTGATTCGGTTTTTGGCTCAGGCTTGGGTTCAGGTTTGGATTCATATTTCGATCTCAATTCAGGCTGGCTGTCTGGCTGAAGTTTTGATGCAATGTGTACCTTTTTAGCAAGCTGGGCTATCGGATGCTGCTTTTTCTGATGCTGCTTCTCGCGGCCTTCGGCTTTCTTCCTAAAGAACTCAATGCCACTCTTGTGCGCTTTCTGCCATGCAACGCTGGTTCTCTCGGGGTACTTGTAAAAACATCCATCCTCTGTATGATGGAGCATTGAACAATATCCACAACAGGTCTTGCCGTTTTCATCAACGGTGTCAGTGTGATGGTTCAAGGCATGGACACTGTCAGGTTTCGAGCCTGTGGAATAAGGTCCATTGGCAGTCGAAGAATTTATGGATGGAGTCACCTCCGGCTGCGGTTGTTCTTCACTCATGTCCCGGGATAAGGCTGGGTTGAGGACCCGGGCTACCATCTTATCGGTCTCCAGTGTTAACGGCCCATCCGTTGAATTGCGGGCAGCATCAATCTCGCTTTGAATCATCCCCCTCGCCCTCTCAGAGACTCGTAGACAAAGCAGATCCTGGGCCAACCAATCTGGTATAGTAAAACCCAATTTCCTTATTCTGGAGTAGTACCTGTGGAACGTTGAGATATACTCAATGTCATTCTTGGCGTTGATGGTCATGAGCTTCTGAATGAGATATCGGCGGTCATCTTCGTTCACTAAGCTGCAATATGATTCTATCTGCCTCCAGAGAAGATAGGCTGAACGGTTTGGCGGCTCGATGATTTCCTCTTTGAACTGTGGGCCAATAGACTCAAACATATAGTCATATAGCCAATCATTTTGGACTTTCCACAGCTTTGGGTGAGTAGGCGAGTCTGGCGGGCAGGTTTCCTCTCTGTCTTCTAGAATTGATAGGCAGGTCACCGCTTCAGCCTGTTCGAAAACGCGTTCTTTCCAGTCCGGAAATTTCTTTGCCATATGCAGGACTTTACCACGAGCCATCAAGCTCGCGCGGGCTCGGAAAGCAGTGATGGTGTCCTCAACAGACACTTCACCATTGATACTGCGATCAGAGGACTTGGGGCTAGAGTCAAATGGAAGAGATTGCGACGGTGTCGGTGGATCAATGGACAATGGTACTAGCTGGTCCACCCTAGTTTCCATCTGTTGAAATTTCTGTTCCATGGCGGCCAACATCTCCAAGATCTCAGGAATCCCAGGCATCTTTTCCGTCTCCATGTCTATATTTTCGATTCCATTTGTTCTCTCCTCAGACACGGCTTTATAGCCATCCACACGGCTAGAGCAGCGAGAGACATCCTCTTCATTGCTCAGCTCGGTGGTTCTAACTGTTGATTCAGCCACCTCGCTTTGATTTCCAGAGTCACAACCGTTAGGAGCTACAGAATGAGCTATAGAAGGGGCTACAGACGGCGTTTGCGAGACTCCATTGACGTAAGGAGGGGGTGATACTGGTGGATCTGTTGAACCAGCGGTCGAGGGCGACTGAGCCATGTTTAGGGAGCTACCAAGAGAGGCCTAACCAAACGACACAAAAGGGGGGTAAAATAGTTACCAGACGACCCACGAAATCTTCAAAAGATACTTGAGAGAAAAGAAGGAGAAGAAGAAGCAACCTCGCGATCAACCGCGAGGGAGCATCGAGCTCATGAACTGAGGAAAAAATAAATATTATACCGTCAACAAAAAAGGAATGTTTGAGTTCTTTGGGCCAATCAGAATTTAAGCATGTGACCCTTAACCTTAACCTCCAGATCCCGCTTTGGTTCCGAATATCTTGAAGGGAAAAAGCGGGAAGCTGAGAAACCCAGTGCGAATTGAAAGAGATTCAGTGCGAGATCTGGAATACGACGAAAGCCCATCCTCAGCAGAGAAGTCCTTGATGCTGTCCTGTGTGGTTGTTGCTATCCGTCGGCCTCTGTATATTCTAAGAAATACGGTGAGAACATGGTATGTGATATGTACGAATATTTGGGGTGCTGCCATCTTGAATTGATAACTAAGGATTATGGTTACGACCGGTCTCTGTCAGGCCGTTTGCTAACGTTGTGGCAGATGACCTTCTTTCGAAACTGTATACATGTTTACTACGAAGACGCTAACACGGCAGATCACAAGCTTTCCGCGGTTAACTAATGCCTAGGTACTTTGTCTACCCCGTATTATGTACATACTGCATAATATCTGGGGTAGTTCTCACGGGTTGTTAGTCAATATAAACAACCCAGAGGCGTCTCGACGACTACGTTCTGCTATACTATCTTTATTATTAGAATGTCAAGCATTTCACCTTCGTCTAGGGAATCATGAAGGCCTCCAGCTCGACGGAAGGGTTCTTCCAAGCCCAGCCATCAGTGGAACCTCAGATCGAAGAAGATGGAGTGCTTCGTCGTATTGTGTCCCTGCATCTGCCATCTCCATTACCACAGAGTATGGAGCAGGACTTGACTCGATTTTCTAAACTGGTTTTATCCCGAACAACTCTAGAGTATGCTGCTGAAGCTGAACGCAATCAGCCCTACCTAAGGCCGTTGACGACTTTTGGCGTCGAAAACAAGCGGGATTCGCTGGTTACCAGTGAAGGATGGCGTGCACTCCAAGATATCAATATTAAAGAAGGCCTAGTTGGGCTTTCCCCCGAGCCTACACACACGTCACATAGCATCCAATGGAATAACCGAGTGTTTAAGGGAATTAAAACTCATCTTTGGACTCCAAGTTCGGCAATGGTGACGTGCCCCGGAAGCATGACGGATGGTGCTGCAAGCCTACTCAGCAAGCACCTTGATGATGAAAATGGCAGGATCTTTGCCGAAGCTCTGAGAAGGCTTGTCAGTCGAGATCCAGCTATCGCCTGGACTAGTGGACAGTGGATGACAGAGCGCAAGGGAGGAAGCGATGTACGCGGCACGGAAACAGTTGCCCGGAAACTGACAGCCCAAGAGATGGCTGAGGATAACGGGGTTGACTCCGCTGGCATGCCATTAGGCCCATGGCGGCTTGACGGATTTAAATGGTTCTCTTCCGCTACCGATGCAAACATGTCAATTATGCTAGCCAAGACAGGGGAAAATTCTATCAGCGCCTTTTATGCACCATTAAGGAGACGGGCTAAAGGCAAAGATTACGAAGAAACAGAACTCAACGGTGTCCGTATCCAGCGATTAAAGAACAAATTTGGCACAAAAGCTCTTCCCACAGCAGAGTTGGAGATAAAGGGTATGAGAGGCTACCTTGTTGGAAAAGAAGGACAAGGTGTAAAGGAGATCTCGACTATTCTCAACATCACCAGAACTGGGAACTCCATCGCCGCAGTCAGCTACTGGGGGAGGTCACTAGCTATCTGTCGGGCTTACTCGAAAGTGAGAATAACCAATGGCAGAAGTCTCCAAGCCACACCATCATACGTGAGAACACTGGCAAAAGACCACGTCAAATATGCAGCAAGCATGCACCTAGCGTTCTTCATAGTCGCTCTTCTCGGTATATCTGAAGGCGGCAGCAGTGCCTCCTCCATGGCAGCCCAAGTCCATATATTTCCAAAGGATAAAAGCCATAGCCTTGCATTGCTCCGACTACTCACGCCCATGGCCAAAGCGCGGACTGCGCTACGCGCAATAAAAGGGGTAAGAGCCAGCATGGAAAACCTCGGTGGTATCGGCTACCTTGAGAACGAAGACCCAATGCTAAACGTCGCAAGGATTTTCCGTGACACCTGTGTCCTGAGCATCTGGGAAGGGACCACAGAGGTAATGGCTGACGATCTCATGCGAGTGGTGAAAGGCAAGCAGGCTTCTGACTGTTTGAATGCATTGGATAAATGGGTATCCCGTGCACTGAGTGTAGCTAGAGCACAGTCATTCGAAGTCGAAGCGGCAGCCCTTCAACAAATATGGGCTGACTTTTTATCTGATGCTCAATCAAAGGATAGGGAGGAACTCAATTGGCATGGCAGAAGGTGTCTGAAGGTTTTAGAACGGCTTGTATGCGGGTGTTTGCTCATTTTGGACGCGTCTAGAGATGGCAACGATCTTGCTAGAGAGATTGCAAAACGTTGGATCCTCAAGGATACCCGATACCAAACGTCATGGAAGGATGAAGCTGACTGGGATAGTCGAATTGTATATGGCGGCGACTGTACCAAGCGGGTAAATGCTCGTTTATAAATATCTGCTGAAGTTGCTGATACCAACAAGAAGCAAGTAATACACAAAGTGAACGAAACAAGCCCAATTCAAATTATATACCTAGAATGCTATATCTCAATTATTTGCAAACCCTCCTCCAAATATATATATATATATATGATCTATTTTGTAATATATGCTTATTTTATGTCCTTTGGCCCTAGATCAAGTGAAATCTCAACCCATCAAAATTCCCGATAACTTCCAGACATTCTCCGTTTCCACTTTTAGTACTTTTAATGCTATTGTAGCCATGCTCAAAGATGTCAAATGCCGAATGCAAATATGTGAAAAGGAAGACAGGTGAGGTGAAGGAGCGGAGAGTGACCCAATATGAATGAGATCAGATGGTTGATTCATGCCGCATGATATCGGCTCACCAAAGACTAAAGAAAAGAAGAATTATTACTAGAACGTGTATTGGCATCATTTACCCGGCTACCATTATCACGCCTCCAGCTCAAGTGATGTTCATCAAATAAATATCCGAACTTAGCAAGGAGATGGTCATGGTATCAACTGTACCATAAATAAAAGTGAGAAGGCTGAGTGAGGGCCAGAACACGACATATGACCTTCCATTCCAGAGAGAGACAGAGAGAGGCTAGTCCGGCCCTAACAGTTATGAATAAATGGTGATGTTTTTTGCTGGTATCAGAGGCAAGGTCTCCTCGCTGGAGCGCTACGCATCCTTGGCCAATAGCGGTCTTCATATTTGAGGGTATCGCTCAGGGTTCGGCATCAAACAGTCCACCCATGCCAGGGTTCTGATCATGCTTAGCAATGGGTTTCTGCTGAGTAGCATTGTTGCTCGAAACGGTGGGCTGAAGAGGAGTCATCATGCCAGCGCCAGCACCTACAGCGGCATGATTATTACTTTCGTAGTGACTATTAACAGAGTCGCCGAGAAGATCCTCATAAGGCTGGGGCTTGTGCTGTACATTCCCTGGTACGGTTTCACTACCGTCACAATCGAGAAGTGAATCCTTAACCTGGTTGGTTTTTACTGCTTTTGGTGTTTGTGGGGGAATATCAAGATCGTGGTTTACTTTTTGTCCAGGGAGAATCGCAGTGAATGCGAGAATTTGCTCTACAGCTTTAGAAGGGTTATGTGGATCACTAAGAAGATTATTAGGTTCATAGACCAACGAAAAGTAGACAAAGGGGGGCCGAGTGTTAGGATCTCTTACATATGGGCGTTTATGATCCAGTCAAGATTTTCTCTTCCTTCTTCTGATCCTCCCGGGCCGCCATGAACAGCGCGGAAAAGCTTAGGTCTCCATTCAATATTTTCATGGGCCCTTGCAGCAGCCTCCTCTCGCTGTCGGTCTTCGATCTTCGTCTTCTCGTCGGTTGCAAGTTCCTGATTTCTCTCTAACAACGCTTGAACAGTATTGTGCCAAAGCTTTTGAGATTCACGGCTTGTCTGTTCTTCAAGTGGTCGAGTAAGAGGCGGAGTATGCTTTGCATGCGTGGCATTGAAAAGCAATTCCTTCTGTCCCGTCTATTTCGTAACATTAGTAAGGCCAGGTCATGCTGGAGCCCATATTACATACCGTGACATCTCTAATGAACATTTCTCCGTTCCATAGCCCTGAAAGCTCATAGTATACCTCTCCTGTCTCATCGTTTTTGATGGATCCGCCAATTGCATTGTATGTCCCGGAGAAGTAGCCTCGGGTTTTAAATTCAAGATCGGCGACGAAATGGTTTTCTGGGCATTTCACGTAACTGTGATCTCCAAGTTCATACTTCATTTTTCCAAACAGGATTCCGCGGGCGTACATGTTCGGCTGGGTAATGATACTATACGATGGTTAGTAAAAGCATAACTATAAGTCTGATGGATTGCTTACTATCGCTCGCCATGTCCTTTCTCCTTTCCTCGATTCATGAACTCCATGTATGAGATTCCCTCCATCATGCTTGCTGCAGAATTGCCCAAGAATCTGCTCCTGGGCTTCAAGGTACCGTCTATTCTGATATTATGCTCCGGCGCCATGAAGAAGTAGCTGGATTTGGGTGGATGGTGTGACGTCTGCTCAGCTATATAATAGCCCCGCGTGCCATCCGGATATTCCCAGTAACCTGTGAATGTTTCACCTAGGATGGGGTTAAGGGGCTTCTTGACACCTCTATTTTTTAAAATGTTAGTTAAAGAATATGTTGTTGCTACTTATCAAGGCTTTCAGGACATACGGCGGTTTGATATGCCATCCACTAAGGTAGAATTTGACCACAGAAACAAATCGCTGCAGCGGATCATCGATATCAGGCATCGGTAACAACGTCTCCGGATGGGCCATGAAACTATTAATTTTGCGGGGAAAGAAATGTTAGCAATTGGTCTTCAGTCCACCATGCCAAGAGCAGCAGAGAGATATAGAGGCATACTTTGTGATTCTTTCCAGCATCGATCGAGGCTCCAGAAGGAACGTTGGCAGCACGACTCGACTCAGATCAGCACCAGGCCGCAACTGGGAGATGATATGGTAGAGTACTATCAACAGCAAGTGCCCAATGTATTAGAAACGTTTATCATCGTAGGGATTCTAGCTTTCAAAGGATAAACTCACTGTTTCCCTGATCCGGTTCCACAATCTCATCTTCCCCTCCCGGGGTAGGAGGCCTGCTTGACTCATCTATAGACGAACGGCTGCCTAATTCCAACAGAGGGGAGTCCATGGTCAGCATAAGTCGAACGAGTTCAGAAACCGAATAACGAGGTATGGTAGTAAGTAGAGTACGGAGGAAGAGATCAGGGGGGGCCCAGGCTTCCATATATATTATGACGTACTGTTGTTCGTTGGGGTTCGACGATGTGACACCGAGTTAGATGGTGAATGGCTGTGCGAGCTGATCCCCGGTATTGGTAGCTTGGGCAACATTGTTGGGACGCAGTAGCAGATCGCAAGGCTCTCTCTATCTCGCTCGCTGGAATCGACGGTATCGGCTTGGCTTATTCTCTCTTGTCAATAGCTCTATATTCTAAATCGATCAAGACATGAAAGCGTTATGGCATTCGGTAACAGCTGGATGAGGAGGGAAGCTGGCTGATATGGCTGGAGATAACGGTATATGGATGCTTAGAAGCTCTTCGAACGAGTGACTGTCTAGTTGCCTTTGTAGGATCACTTTCGTAGTTAAGCCGTCGCTTGTAGATGCTGCCTTGAAAGCTGGAATATACGACGGCGAGATAAATATCCGGAACCGTACCAACGAAGACGGAGAAAAAGTAACAAGAGAGGAAGATTCTCGATAACCAGATATATAAATAGTAGAAGCCCTGCGAGGCTGTGTTCCTGAGCTGGTGAATGTGCACCCTGGACATCCGGAATTTATGAGGAAGAAACGGGGCAAACGAGTCGGTGACGTTGGAAAAGCTCCAAGCAGGCGTTTTTTTTCTTTTGGGGGAGATACTTCTGTGAGGGGTTGTTTTAGTGCCTGAACGCTATACAAAAGGTACCTCGCCATAAGTTCCTCCCCAAGCCCCCCTACTGTACATATTGAATACGTTATATAAGGTGAGCATTTATTATAGTTAATGTTAGTCATGGGATAGATAATGGTATCTGCCCTGTAAAGACTATCCCATGTGAATACTTCTTTATAATTGCTCCAAAGTTGTACCAAGGTTCTTCTAAGGAATAGCTCCAGCCAGAGCAGCCTCTTTACAAAAGGATGCAGATTTACAATGGATCCAGTTCGTGCTTACACATCCAGACTTAAATATACAGAACGTCCTTGTATCAGAGGATGGGAGTGCCCAGGGCTTAATTGATTGGGGCGGTGTCGCGGCGGTTCCCCGCCTTGTGGGATATAAGAAATACCCCTCTTGACACACTCGAGATTGGGATCCGGCGATATATGTATGGAATAAGGAGATGGAAGAAGGCATTGAACGAGATACGTTAGGAGAAGACTCTCCAGAAACACTTTGCCTGCAGCGGTATCTATCTCTACAGCGGCATTCCCTCTTTCTATGCACTTCTACGGCTCAAGAATCATCTGTAACACTAAAATCACTCTTTGTCGAGAACCTGCTTATTGTAGCCGAGAACTCATTATGCAGATATGAGATTATCACCAAATTTGTTGAGAAGATTGTTGAGTTGGCGCGAGTGAAGTCTCCAGATCATATTAGCAATAAATACGGGGACCTGAAGCTATTTGAGATAACCGATATTCTGGAAGACGGTGACATGGAACTGGAAATGCTGGAGTTTCTGAGAATCGGTTTTAACAGTCTGCTGGATCAAAGCTCGGTGTGATATATAATATACCTATTATCCCAAAGCCACCCCGATATAGAAGTGCGCACTGCTGCACATCCGACTATGTAGTGGTTGGAAACCAAGGTCAGGTCTATTAATTTGACCCCCCGCATGAACAGGTCCGTATTATCTTTCCACCGGAAAATAGTATAGTTTTTGTAGATCTTATCCTATATATCCTTTAGCTATGTAGCGACGTTCGACAGCCAACATCACCCAATAATATCTCACCAGATGATATATTGTGAATGGTGTGTAGGTAGAGTCGGCAACTATTCCCTATATCTATATAAGGGTTGTATCCATATTGCCCTTTCAACTTAGATTAAGCTGTATACTTAGGTGTTGTAAAGTTACCTTTTGCTCAATTCGTGCTTTATAGTATCTTTATTAAAGTATACAATTCTAATATTAGATAGTATAATTTTCTATCATTCTATATTATATTCACCTGCTGCCTAGTGACTGTATTGTTGTTACAGACCGATTGCGGCACAACCTCAGTTTATATACTCATCGAATGGATAATGTGTTTCACCGCTAGATGACCAACTGTGTAATAGTAGGTACACTCGACCAAAAGATTATACACAGTGATGACGTTCGTCATGCTGAGTTGCTGCACTACTTACAAGCTTGATGTTGATGCCACATGATGTGGGTTTAATGGGTGTATATGCTGCGTGGCATGGCAGGTTCCCCCAGTTCCGTCATTGCCCAATGACCATTCCTTTACCGCGGGCGGTCCGTAACAGCTAGGATGTTTTGCATGGGATTTCCGCTCGGCATGATGCAGGTATCTGGATGTCTCTCCTGAAGGGCGCTATGGATATTCTTCAGTACAGGAGTAAATGGTTTCTATGCATTGTATTCTTATCATTCTAACATATATCTTTATTTAATCGTCCAAAAGGCATGAATGCTAGAAAGGACTAGCATCAGGAATTGATCCCCCTTCATGGGTAAGCACACCATCTCGGCAAGCGTTGAACAAGGAACCGAGAAAGATAACTAGAATAACGGAAGATCGTGGGGATCAGCCGACTTTGTATGTACCTTCACTGATCCAAGCCCTTGTCAATCAGCGGGATATCCCCATCTGTGACTTGGTGGACAAATTCCATGTCAGGCCGGTGCAGCATAACATGGAAATGCTCTACAGCATGGACAGACTTTAAAGATTTCCAGTTGCGGAACCAAATGACCTTTCGAGAAGATTCGTTAGTTCTGATATCGTTAGCCGTCAGTCAGGGGAGGAGAAAGGTATCGAAAGAACAGCCCATCCTATCCATATTTTATGCATACCTTCTCTGCAGGAACCCTACTGCGAAATGTTGATTCCACAAAGTCGTCAATCTCCTTTCGTGCGTAAGGGGTGAGATCGTCTGCTACCGGATCATCCTCAAAAGTAAACTTCGTCCATACTACCAGGTGAATGATTCCCTCTTCCACCCCATATGGCCAGTCGTTATACAGGATCTTATGGTCCGCTAGATATAAATCATATCTGTCAGTGCAAGTCATATCTTATCAGCATGTCTGTACATCTAGTTAGACGTAGGAGGCTTATACACCACCCAACGAGGTGGTATTGCCCAGAAGTATGATATAGGCCTAAATATAAAAAAGCAGACGGCTGGAGACGGGACAAGAAACAAGAAAGTAAATAGAACTGATTAGTTACATACCAGGGTTCTCAAATGGCCGTGAGCCTCTTGGTGTCATGTTATTCTCCCAATGGAGTCGCTCACGGACAACAAAATTCATAACCGAGCCATATTTAGACACGATATAAGACGTATACTCAAGGTATCTCCTCAGATCGGAGGGTACACGTCGAAACAGGTCGATTCGGTTGGAAGCTATGTGCAAAATCAGTAGATGCTAGGTAGACAGCTAGGTAGTTATATACTTATCGAAGGCCGCACCTATGATTTGTTTCACCCGATCCCAATCTTGTCGAACATATTCATTGTCAGGTGTTGACAGAGTGTTTATTGATTTCTCAGGGAGATTGCAGAGATAGTCAGGACATTCCGATGGCCATCGATCCTGGGGTACATTGACGAGCCAGTACGGCAGCTTCTCTGATTCGACCCCAACAGGCGTCGCCTCCATGCTTCTGGTCATTTCCACTATTCAACCAGTCTATATTTCTATTATAAATCTAATAAAAAGGGTAAAGAGAGACTTTCGATTATATCAACGAATTGAATTGGACGGTAAAGTATGAAAAGTTTGAAGTTGCCACTTTAACTGTTAAATATTTAGCCGTTTTCCGTTGTCAGTTATAACAACTCACCCTTTAAATAGTCGCCCAAGGCCACCCGTCGAATATATGTTTTACTGTTATTCCAAGCATGGGAGTAATGCCGTGATGGCCTGCTAGTAGTTATATAACAGGTATGCCTTTCAAGATGTGAGATACGTGTACTGGGAGGAGTTTATATTCTCAACGCTGACCCATCGCCGTTACAGCCTAACTTAGGGAGTAAGACTCATATTTGCCACAGCAAAAGCTGAATGTCTACATCGATACACAGAACATGGAGGCCGCCAACAAGATAAGACCTGCTCTTATTGTGGTAGATATGCAGGAAGACTTCTGTCCACCAGTGCGTTCATTCCAGACATTCTTACCAATATACTCAAAAGCATTACTCCCAGGCTAAGGTGTACAACTATCATCATGCAATGAACAGGACGGCTCACTTGCAGTCCAACACGGCCGATCAATCGCCCCTTTAATAAACAAACTATTATCTCTTCCGGGCTTCGTGGTCAAGATAGGAACACAGGATTTCCATCCGTCCAGCCATATATCCTTTGCGACGAACCATCCATCACCATCTAACATACCCTTTATTTCAACTATTGATGTGAAGAATCCCGCCACCGGAAAGGAAGAAGAAACTAAACCCCAGCGGCTATGGCCAGCACATTGTGTCCAAGGCACAAAGGGGGCCAATCTCATCTCCGAAATAGAATCCGATAAACTGGATGCTATTATCAGAAAGGGGATGGATGAAAGGGTAGAAATGTATTCACCCTTTGCGGATGCGTTCGGAAACCGGAATTGTGTGGAGACAGGGGGAGTTAATCATGACCTTGAGGCGATGCTGAACGACCATCAAGTTTCGGATGTATTCGTTGTTGGGATCGCGGGTGACTATTGTGTCAAGTTTACGGCTATCGATGCCGCAGACCGCGGGTTCAGAAGCTACGTTATTGATGAGGCCACGAAGAGCGTGGATCCTGGGGAAGGTTGGGAGGCTGCAAAGGTGGACATGGCTGCTTATGGGGTTCGTGTAATTAGCGCTGATGGAATAGAGGAGGCCATCAACACGTTATGTATTAATGTCTAACGCTAGAACCAGGTATTGTAACAGGGTATGGGTATCTGAGCAGCCATCTAATATAAAACTCCAGAGTAATCCTGCTATTAGTACCTCTACAGGTCAGGGTATCCAGCTTTACCATAAAAACGTGCACATGGCGCCGAACCGACTGTAATAATCCCCCTTCATCAGATAATGTGCCATGAAACACCTAAACTCCGATGCCAGACAAGTAATTATATATAGTAGGTATTGGACCGAAACGGGGCCGGATGAGAAAAGTGGTATCCATCGGTAAGGCTCCGTGCATCAAGTGTAAAGTTCACCTGCGACCGCAGTTCCCCGCTCTGCGTCCTTCCGTCGACTCGATGTCCCATTTACTCCGCGGTCTTCGTTCTCTTCTTCATTCATTTGGTTCTCTTCTTCAATTTCCTTCTCAATTTCCTCCCGAATGCCCAATATATCCGGCGGGATAACGCTCATCTGAACACTGGGTGCACCATTAATATACCGTAGCTGTTCCAATATACCTTCCACGAGAGAATCTAAATAAGGCTTTGTATTCTTATTCTCAACCCTTCGCAGATCTGATAGCGGTGGGAATAGAGAACAGTCGGGCTGGAAGTGGCTGCGGAAAGGAAGAGTTTCGGGTAGCTTGGGATCCAGCTGGTTTTCGGCTCCTATACATATCGCGGTCTCGTACGCCCATAATCGAGAGACGTTTCGGGGTGTGTACCCTCCTCCACCAAGAACAAGAGTAGGTAGGCCAAATGATTTTGTGAATGCAACGCATGCACCGTGCGCACGAATATTGAGGTTGAAACAGCCTAGTCTATCACAGCCGAGGCTGTCAGCACCACACTGTAGGACTATCGCACTAGGTTGGTATGTGTTTATACATGGGCCGATTATAGCTTTGAACAAGTTAACGTAATCGTTATCTTCGATTCCGTCGTTCAACGGCACATTTAAAGAATGGTGAGCGCCGGGATTCAGGGGGTGAGTTGGTCCGGTGCTATCAAGGGGTCCGGTGCCTGGGAAGAAATTATCCTTGTCGTATTTGTGAAAAGAAACAGTAAGGACTCGATCTGTTGACCAAAAAGCTTGCTCTACCCCGTCTCCATGATGAACATCAATGTCAATATACATGACTCTTGGGTGGTGCCTGAGTAGCTGTAGAATGCCGAGTACAATGTCGTTGATATAGCAGAAGCCGCTTGCCTCGGTTTTTTTAGCATGATGCAGCCCACCAGACCAGTTAATCGCAATCTCAGACTGATTATTGCATAGCTTCCGAGCGGCGTCAACGGTTCCACCGGAATACAGCGCGCAGTAGTCGTACAGACCGTCAAAAATCGGACAATCGTCCCCGAAATTGAATCCGGCCAGGCGATCCTGCTGTGCGGCGCTATCCATATCAGCCGGAATGACCTGGCTTAAGAAATCAAGATAGTCTGTGCTGTGAAATTCGGCCATCTCATCGTATGTCGCTGCGCGAGCGACGTAGAGATCCATGGCATGGTGCATCCCGTAGGCCATAACGAGCTGTTTGGTGAGGGTTAGGCGCCATGGCTTCATGGGATGCGACTGGCCGAAGTGATGGGGTTCAACGGTGGCATTTGCATGCCATGATACCCTGTATCCCTTTGGCCTCTTGATGATATCGTGAGCTACTTCATCGGTAGTCTTGCGGTCAAACGTGATGGTAGTGTTGGCCAGAGGTGGTGGCCCATATTCTTGGACGATTGCTGATCTGCCCATGGTCAAGTGCGGGCGTGTGTTGGTCTTCTATCCATAAAACAGCTGGTTGACAGTTCAAGGTGTTGCTATGCCCCTAATTCCCAAAGGTGTCTGTCTGTTTATGCGTGTCTGCGGCTTTCGTTCCCTCTGCGGTGAAGAAGCTGGAGAGCTTTCGGGGTTGGAATTTGCGGGTTCAAATTGGGCCATCAAAACCAACAGCCAATCAGAAAGCGCTAAATTTTATATTCCTAATCAGGACTAGTGCGGCTTATGGTGGAGCCATCCTATGAGCTAGTCCTAAAGAGGGAAAGCTGGCCCGTGAAAGAAATGCCAAGATTAAATCATGTGATATACTTAGTCAGCAGCTTCGTATTTCTTGATGAGGCAACTTTCAACCTTCTGGCAGTTTCTCTAATATTAAGAGAACTTGCAAAGCATTTTCCTTTTCTCTCTTTGGGTAGCAAAAATAATCTTCTGGAGCTGTTCTTATTTCGTTTTGTCTATAAGTAAAAATACTCCTCACTCTCCAGGCACGTTAAGCTGACAGAGCATATACAACAAACACGTGTTACGTGCCATGGCACATGCAGAAGACTGTTCTTCTGTACTCGAGCAGTTTGTCCATAATGGTGAGTAACTGCATTATTATTGATATAGTAGAGTAATAGCTAACGTGTTATCTATGATGCAGTTGCAAATTTACCGGCAGAAATTAACCACCTGATGGAGGAAATCCAGGCCAAAGATAAAATTATACAAGAATGTCGTGCCATCATCAACTCGAGGGACAGCAGTCTACAGAAATTCATCAAGATAAATGGGAGCCATGCATTGAACCCGAAAGAAGAAGCATATAGCAAAATCATCCTTCAAAACATGGACCGGTGCCAAGTACTGCAGGATGAGAAAGTTATCTTGAGCGATAAAGCAAGCATTCTTCTGGACCGACATATCAAGAGACTTGACGTGAAAATCCGAGAACTTCAAAATGATGGCCTTCTTTCGAATGATCCGCCGATTCCTTCCCTCTTTCAGAATAAAGATTTGTACCGTGAGCCTCCCAGGGCTATATTTCACGAAGCTGCCACCAACGAAGGGACATATTCCTCTTCCTTGAACGCCGCGCCAGGAAATGCAAATGTACAATATAACCTTGCGCAACGGTTGAATAATACTCCCTCTCGTGCACCAGTAGGGACCGCAACTGCTTCCCAGACAGCAACTCGAAACTCTGCCCCCGCCACACCAGCAGCCACAGCTCTGCACCAGCAACGGCGTGAGTCATCGGCGGGAGCAGCAGATAGTAAACGGCGCCGGCTTAATACATCAATCAGCACACTACCAGCTGCACCGTCGAATCTACGCCAGTCGTCGACAGGCCCGGGAACTCCCAAGGCCGGAACTCCGGGAGTATCACGGGCAGGTAGTGCCGGTCCCCGTTCAACGACGGGAGTAAAAAAGCCCACTACGAAGAAAGTTGCGCCGCACCAGCAAGTGCGCAAAATAAAGGCGCATAATGCATCCGGAAAGCCAACAAAACGATCCTCAAGCGGCAACCGTCTGAAGCCCGTATCAGGCCACGGACGAAAAAAGTCTCGATCCCCTGCCGCTGGTGTGGCAGATGACGAGGAAGATGAATCTATGCTCAGCAGTGCTGATATATCTGACTCGGAGAACGCCCATGTGTCACGACGGCAGATGGCACGATCATCACAAGAGGATGCGGATGATGATGATGAGGAGGAGGAGGGTGGTGAAGACACCAAGACATATTGCACTTGTCGTAGTGTGAGCCATGGAGACATGGTGGCCTGCGACAATGATAGCTGTCCGTACGAGTGGTTTCATTGGAAGTGTGTTGGACTTACCAGGGAGCCTTTGGGGACTTGGTATTGTGAAGAGTGCCGTAAGAATTTGGGCAAATGAAGCGTTTTTTTGCACCGCAGTTTGGAATTTATAATATCATGTATACTGTAGCTAGTTTTAATGATTAATGTGATTATGACCTAGAATCTGATACTCTCAACACGGACTTGGTAGAAAAGCATGAATATCTATTTCTAATAATAAGCCTCAAAACAGGGGCTTTCCTAAACAGTTAGAAAGTGGATGGAATCAAGTGACATCTAGTTTGTCCCCAAATGCAGGGTTATATTCAATAGCAATAAGGTAAAAAAAGCCACCCAAGTAGAATCACAGATATCCGCTTTTTTTCTATTTTGTGGCTTCGTTCAACATTAAAAGACCAAAAACAAACACTAACTCCATCGCTATGCTTTTCAGGTATGATACAACCGGATAACAAGCCCTGTCACTTTTGTTAGGGTATAAAGTAAACGTATGACTTTTTTGATGCGGCTATTGAAATGCTTTTTTGCTGGTTTTGTCGATCAAAACGTAAAGAAAGGGATGGTTGTCTGTAGCTAAAAGGATAATGTAGAGTTTTTTAACCATTCGTCGAAGTACTCGCAGTTTTCAGGGTTGACTGGTCCTCCTGGGCGGCAGAGAGAAAAGACCGGACACTGGCCACAGGGTGCTTCGGTCATGCCATTTGATCCAAGAGAAGGTCCTTCGTTGGTAGCTCCACTATCAGGTCCCTGGAGGCCCAAGTCACGCTGAAGGGAGATCTCATTCGGCTTCTTGACGCTTCGGTATGCCGCCCCGTCCCGAAGAGACACCAGTCGCCCGTCATAACAAAGCATCTGCAGCAGCTGGGAGATACTTCCTTCGTCCATGGTGACGGGAGTGAGCCCGGAACCGTTGATAGCCTTTGTAATATCAGCCGTGGTCGGATGGCCCTGGTACGATGGGAGATATGGTATATACTGTGTTTCTGAGTCGTCGGCCTGAGCCTTACGTTTCTTGCCCTTAAGCTGATCTTCGCCTCCAGGAGCATTCCAGCTCCTTGCGCTGACCCAGTGTTCGATCCAGCCACTCAGGCCACGAATAAAGTCGGCATCCAACACGCCGTCTGTGAACCATGCGCCTCCAGTGATCTCCTCGCTTGGCTGTAGGCCCGATAGCATGTATATCTTTCTTGAAGGGTACTTGACGTTTCGGACAGACTTGACGTAGTTCTTGGCTTCGAGAGATTTGAGACATCGGTTCATAATCGTCTGATGTAGGTTTGTTCGTGTCTTGATGATCTTGGTCCAGATGCCATTGCGGCCTGTCGAGTGGATTACATTGTACACAAGACGCTCCTCGCCGTTGAGATTCTGCAGCCTGTTCGTGTATTAAGTATAAGCAGTGTTCAGCAAGGGGAGTCACAAGGCGCATATGGAGACCAACTTTTCAGCATCTGACTGCGCAATGATCTTCCAAGCAAGACGGTCATCTTTGGCCTGTAGGAGACGGAGCAAGCTCTGGTCGACAAGAATCTGGGTGCATCTCAAGAGCAAGGCCAGGTCGTCGTTTGGTATGACTCCCAGCCCGATCAGGTCCTGCTGGTAGAAGAGCTGATCCGCCGAGAAGCTGGAGAGACACTGATCGTACAGCTTCATCGCCAGACTCTGCGGATCGCCTGACGATGCCTTTGCCCTCGTAGGGCCAGCGGATGAAGCCATGGTATGTGTCTTCTTCTTCCCTCCGTTCTGAGGCCTCCGAAAAGATGCGTCACAGCGAGCTATCACCGGTAAGGTATGGGATAGCAGTTCATCTCTAGATAGATTCCACCGAGCTATAGAGAGACTGCTGCCATCGATAAGTTGATATAGTTGTAGTTTGCTATCTCGTGTTGGTGAAGGATTAAAAAAAAAGCACTTGTGGTCAGAAGTATTTTCCTTCTTTTTTCTTTCTCCCCGCCAGTAAGAAAAAAGCAAGAAGCTCGAAATTTCCAGAAGCTTTTCCCACGTCAATATCAACAAGAACAGATCAAGGCGGATTCTCTTCTCTCTCAACCAACCCGCACTCGACAGATACTTACATTTTTTGACTAGTATAGACGACTGTTGCTAATACTTACTATGGCCGACGCTCTGAAAGCAGAGGGAAACAAGGCGTTTGCGGCCAAGGACTTTACCACAGCTGTGTGAGTAGCTGAGATATCGGTTGACCCTGACGGAGAGACATAAACTGATCGATTATGAGACAGTGAGAAGTTCTCTGCAGCAATCGAGCTCGATCCAAGCAACCATGTCCTTTACTCGAACCGCTCTGGAGCCTATGCCTCGCTGAAGGACTTCGACAAGGCGCTTGAAGACGCAAACAAGACGACGGAGCTGAAGGCTGACTGGCCCAAGGGATGGGGCCGTAAGGGAGCTGCTTTGCATGGACAGGGAGATTTATGTGAGTAACTACGGCCTACGGATGCATATATGGCCTTTATTCTCTAACGACTGTTGGTATATTTATAGTGGGCGCTCACGATGCTTATGAAGAAGCCTTGAAGCTCGACTCAAACAATGCGCAGGCCAAGGCTGGACTTGAGTCGGTGAAGCGTGCTATTGATGCGGAAGCCAGAGCGGATGGTGTCTCCGGAGATCCTACTGCCGGACTAGGGAACATGTTCCAGGATCCCCAGTTGATACAGAAGCTGGCCAACAACCCAAAGACGGCCCCTCTCCTTGCAGACTCCGAATTCATGGCCAAGCTGCAGAAGCTGGCGAAGAACCCCAGTGCCGTTGGCGATGAGATGAGAGATCCACGTTTCCTGCAGGTAATGGGTGTTCTGCTTGGTGTTGATATGTCCTTTGGTGCCCCTCCGGAGGCTGGCGGTGCTGCTGGTCGGGAAACCGAAGCGGAAGAGGATGTGGAAATGCCTGATGCACGCCCCTCTGCCCAGAAGGCTCCTGAGCCAGAGCCAGAGCCAGAGCCGGAGGATGAGGAGACGATCGCAAAGAAGAAGGCCAAGGCTGAGGCCGATGAGGAAAAGAAGCTAGGTACAGAAAACTACAAGAAGAGGCAGTTTGATGCGGCAATCGAACATTACAGCAAGGCGTGGGAAATATATCACGACATCACCTACCTGACAAATCTCAGTGCGGCCCAATTTGAGAAGGGAGACTACAAGGATGCCATTGCGACCTGCGAGAAGGCCGTCACCGAAGGCCGTGAGATGCTGGCTGATTTCAAGATTATTGCAAAGTAAGCTAGACCTGCAAGAGCCCAGAGATGATGAGAGTATGTAACTAACCCCGTCCACCAGGGCCTTTGGACGAATTGGATCTTCATATGAGAAGCTTGGAGACCTGGCCACTGCCATTTCCAACTACCAAAAGTCGCTGACAGAACACCGCACTCCAGAGATTCTTGCCAAGCTCCGCGCTGCAGAGAAGGCCAAAATCAAAGCCGAAAAGGAGGCCTACCTTGATCCGGAGGAGGCCGAAAAGGCCCGCGAGCTTGGTAACAAGAAGTTCAAAGAAGCGGACTGGCCTGGTGCCGTCGAGGCCTACACCGAGATGACCAAGCGCGCTCCAGACGACCATCGTGGATATAGCAATCGTGCAGCAGCCCTGATCAAGCTGATGGCGTTCCCCCAGGCTGTCCAGGACTGTGACGAGGCGATCAAGCGGGACCCCAAGTTCATCCGGGCCTACCTGCGAAAAGCGCAGGCCCTGTTTGCCATGAAGGAGTACAACAAGTGTCTGGATGTATGCACCGAGGCATCCGAACACGACGAGAACGGCGCCAATCAGCGCGAGATCGAGCAGCAGCAGCAGAAGGCTCTTGAGGCTCAGTTCAGCGCCCGTGCCGGTGAGACTGAGGCTGAAACTGCGGAGAGAATCCAGCGAGACCCCGAGGTAAGTTCTATTCCCGCTTCCCTATACGTCACCATTAGAACTTGAACAAACCTAACCACCCTTTATAGATTATGTCAATTGTGCAGGATCCTGTGATGCAGGCCATCCTCCAGCAAGCTCGTAACGACCCAGCAGCTCTCCGCGAGCACATGAAGAACGCGACTGTCCGTACGAAGATCCAGAAGCTGATAGCAGCCGGAGTGATCAGGACGGGATGAGCTAGGTAACGACTAAAATGAAAAAGAAGTAGTAGTATGTAATGAATGAACCGCGACTTTTTTCCAAGCCAATTCTGAGTGGAGGGAGACCCGTTACCGGAGATTGTCTCCAAAGGAACAGAAACAGATGACGTTGATATCACTGATGATCGGAAGATCGCAAAGTAATGGGATATACATCGTAGTAAAGCAGGTACCCGGCAAGCGTTTCGTCCCAAGGCTTTCTGAAACATGGAAACGGCCAGAAATCTATTCTGAACGCCCAGAATTATGTATTACTTTCCTGTTATCCTGTCACCGTAGAACAAGTTTCCGTTTTAGCTTGGGATGCCAATTTCATGACATTTCCTTGACTTGCATGAGGATTTGCTTTTTCTCTTTCTCTTTCTTCCGCTTCAGCCAAGGGGAAGATGATGCATCTCGCGTATCGCTTCGCCCTCACTTGCCCAAGAACCTGCATAGGTATACTATTAACTTGCAGTAATAATATAGCAGGTCTCCGGCGCCGTGGCTACCCATGCAACCTTTTTGCCCGTCCCTGTCCCCTGGTTCCATCTGGTTCCCGCGGGTCTTTTTTATTTGATGTCAAGGGGTGTCACTCGCTCCAGCCACATCTCCCTCAGTCCGACGAGCAGCTAGAAGAGGAGAGAAGAGGAAAGAAATAAGAAAAGAAAAACGCACGAACATCGACTGGCAGGTGGAGATGGCCTGACCTGAAGCCCACGATGTGGCAAATGCATCCTGTATATTTTTTTTGGGGGGGAGGGAGAGCCAGTGAGGGCATCAGAAGTATACCAACACGAAGACATCAGCCACGATCTGTCCTCTTCCCGTGCAACGATCGCCTTTTCTGCCGCGGTTGGCCCCGTTCTCGTCTGTATGTGCTATTGTACGTGTGTAGAGATAGAGAGAGTGGCTGGTGAGGTGGAGGTTTGGTTGCGTGTCATCGTATCGGTTGGTCCCAAGCTGCTTCCCTGCAACCTGGCGAGCTAGCATCAAGCACGATCGCGATGGAGAATGGAGTATCAAGCCCCCTCAAGGATGCTTCTCAGTTGCCACCATCGGTCAAGGGCCTTTTTTTATATCTCCTTCGTAGAGCCATTGAAGAGGTAGAGAGTCGGGCTGGTTGGTTAAGGCGCACTTCCGGTCTTCCTCTTGTGTAAAAAAAAAAGGAAAAAAGTCTTGTATTCCACCTCGCAAGAAGCAAGCTCAGTTCTGCTTCTTCTCTTTTTCATCTCTCGCGAGCCAGGTTCCACATCGCAGCGCCTCGTTCAGGGTCGTTGGTTGGTGAGATTCGCTCGCCCACTGGAGGTTTTGGCCCTTTCGACTCTTGGTCGTTGCTTTTTCCTGCTTCTTTTCCAGTCAAATATTTTATTTATCTCCAGCATCGCCAACTCAGCCAGAACTTAATTGCCTTCCCCTTCTCTCTCTCTCACTCCCTCTCCTTCGTCTGTTGCGGTGTGCAGCGTGTGGAATGTTCTCTTGCGCGGCCAGTGTTTTCTTGTGTAGGACCAGACAACAAACCATCGACCCTTTTTTTCTCCTCCCCCCCTTCTAACTAGTTAAACAAAAACGCCGCCTGCAGGAAAGCCAGTCTTGCGTCTTACGTCCAGCCGCTCCCCGCTCTCTCCGCATGACGCTCGTTTTTGCGACTGTCCAACGAGCTATATAGTGGAAGAAGAGGGAGAAGAAGAGAAAACGAGAGAGTAGAAGAAGCTGCAGCTGAAGCGAACGGGGGACGGTTCAATTACTGTCGTTCAACATGGCCTCGAAGGCAGAGATGCCAGCCACCGATGCCGGTACTCCGCCAGAGCTGATCGAGAAGAAGCTGGTTGACGAGAGCAAGAGGGCCGGAGTCCCTGCCTATCAGTTTGATCCTGATGCTTCACCTGAGAAGAAGGCTGAACAGGCAAGGATGGTATGTCTGTCCTTTGTATCCTTCAAGACGGCTGGTTAAGGACTCAAATCGACTGACAAGCTGTAGGCAATTCCTGCCAGCCTGCAGAAGAATGGCACCAATGGAATAAACGGGACAAATGGCATTAATGTGAAGACGGCGGATGCCGTTGCTCCAGCTACTGATATTGTATGTGAAAGGGGGAGCCCTCGCATTGTTGTTCACTTTCATTTCCCTCCATTACAGCCAATTCACTCCCTATTCATTTACTAAGAATTGATTGACTGACTTACTGCTCTTTCTTTCTACCAGGGGACTACAAATGGCACCAAGAAGACCGGCCAGGTGGCGCGAGCAGACGAAGAAGACAAGCTCAAGATGATGGAGGTTAAAGAGCTCACTGAAGAAGAGAAATTTGCTCCCGGTCGAACTGGATGGGCTCCTCATTTCGCTACTCCGGCTACAGAAGAAGGCGTTACTGAGGAGTCTGGCTTGCCCCCAACCATCCTGGAGGGCAAGCTTGATGACAAGTTCTTCGGTGGTAGGGCATCCGAGCAACCCCCTTACTATCTACATAAGAAGCCTTGGGCTAATATCGGATATATAGATTGGTACCATAATGCTGCTGTCATCATATTCGCCTGTCTTGCCTCATGGATTATCGCCCTGCTGGGTGGTGGTTTAGGATGGGTGTTCCTGGTCATGGCCACCTGCGGTACATACTACCGTACCTCCATCCGTCGTGTTCGACGGAACTTCCGTGATGATATCACCCGAGAGCTGGCCAAGAACAAGCTCGAGACTGACTCTGAGACGCTCGAATGGATTAACAGCTTCCTAGCTAAATTCTGGCCCATCTATGCCCCTAACCTTGCTCACTCTATCATCTGCTCCGTGGATCAGGTCCTTAGTACCTCTACTCCTGCTTTTTTGGATAGTCTGCGTCTCAAGACGTTTACTCTGGGCAGCAAGCCACCGCGCCTTGAACATGTCAAAACATACCCCAAGACGGAACCAGATATCGTCCTGATGGACTGGAAGTTCAGCTTCACTCCAGCTGACAAGATGGACATGACCGCCCGCCAGATCAAGGATAAGATCAACCCAAAAGTAGTTCTCGAGGTTCGTGTCGGTAAGGGTATTGTCAGCAAAGGTCTCGATGTCATCGTCGAAGACTTTGCTTTCTCCGGCTTGATGAGAGTCAAAGTGAAATTGCAAATTGAATTCCCTCACGTCGAGCGCATCGACATTTCGTTCTTGGGTAAGCCTGAAATTGACTACGTCTGTAAACCCATCGGCGGTGAGACCCTCGGCTTCGATATCAACTTCATTCCCGGACTGGAGCATTTCATCACGGAACAGATCCACGGAAACTTGGCCCCAATGATGTATGATCCGAATGTGTTTCCTGTGGAAATTGCCAAAATGCTCGCTGGTAGCCCCGTCGACCAGGCTATCGGCGTCCTGGCCGTTACTATCCACGGTGCCAATGGCCTCAAGAAAGCGGATCAGTTCTCTAGTACCCCAGACCCATACACCGTGGTTTCGATCAACAGCCGGAATGAGCTGGGCAGGACAAAGACTGCTTCTGATACTTCTAACCCCAAATGGAATGAAACGCTCTATGTTATCATCACGTCTTTCACCGATGCGCTCACCCTGCAGGTATACGACTGGAACGAAATTCGAAAGGATGTCCAACTCGGCACTGCAACCTTCGCTCTAGAGTCTCTTGAAACTCAGGATGTGCATGAGAACATGAACCTTGACATTATGCAAAATGGCCGTAACCGCGGTGTTCTGCAGGCAGATGTTCGCTTCTTCCCAGTCTTGACTCCTACCAAGATTGAGGGCGGAATCATTGAGCCTCCGCCAGAACTGAACACTGGTATTGCCAAATTCACCGTCGAACAGGCAAAGGATCTTGATGGCAGCAAGTCTTTTATCGGACAGCTTAACCCTTATGCCGTCCTGCTCCTTAACGGCAAGGAAGTTCACATCACCAAGAAACTTAAGCGTACCAACAATCCAATCTTCCCCGACCCATCAAAGGAAATATTGATCAGCGATCGTAAGACCGCCCGTCTTGGAATGATGATCAAGGATGACCGCGACCTTGCTACCGACCCTATCATTGGAAAGCACCAGATCAAATTGAACGACATGTTGAAATTGATGGACAAAGGCAAAGAATGGTTTGAACTTTCTGGTGCCAAAACTGGACGTGTTAAGATGAAGCTGGAATGGAAACCCGTTGCTCTCAAGGGCGTGGTTGGAAGTGGTGGTTATATTAACCCCATTGGCGTCATGAGACTTCACATCAAGAGCGCTAAGGACCTCCGAAACGTCGAGACTATGGGCAAATCCGATCCTTATCTACGTGTCTTGAAGGCTGGCATGGAAACTCGACGTACCGTCACTTGGTTGAACAACTTGAACCCCGAATGGGACGAGGTCCTTTATGTTCCGGTCAACTCTCCTCGTGAGAAACTTATTCTCGAAGTCATGGATGATGAATCCATCGGCAAGGATAGACCACTTGGTTTGGTTGAATTGGCTGTGGCTGACTACATCAAGGAAGGAGAGGATGGAGAATATGAAGTGCACGATGAGAAGAGAGACTTATCTACTCCACTTAAACTTGATGGCCGTAGTAACCAGAAGGGTATTCTAAACTACACCGTTGCCTTCTACCCAACTCTCAACGTTCTCGACCCTGAAGAGGAGGCTGAAGAGCTCGAGGCTCAGAAGGAGCTTGCAGCTGCCTCTGAAGAAGATGGCAATAAGATGACCGATGCTGACACTACTACCTTGACTGACGCTACCACTAATGGTGCTCGCCCTAGCACTGACAGCGTAGGCAATCTAACTAACGGTGAGAAGACTGAGAAGGAAGTACCAAAGATTCGCCTTACTCCACAAGACGTGCACAAATACGGTATGGTTTTTTTACTCTCTATACAGTATACTTTGAAACAATGGGTTCTAACCGGCAGTAGAATCTGGTTTGATTGTCTTCAAGCTGGAGGAGGGAAATTTCCCATATACAGGCACTCAGCTCGAGGTTTTGATGGACGACAATTTGTACCCAACTTATACCTCTCCCAAGATACAATCTAAGCACATGGTGTTTGCTGACGGTAAGATATAAATGCCTCATGACACCTGTAGCTGGTCATTACTAATGGAGCTGTTATAGTTGGTGATGCCTTTGTGCCTGAAATGGAGTTCTCCAAGATCACTTTGCGTCTGGTTGATAAATCTGACCGTCCTGGTGAAGACTCTGATGATAACTCGATTGCCAAGCTGTCTGGTCCTACTCTAGCCACCCTCCAGCAGTGCTTGGTACGTTGAATGCTCCTAGTTTCTCTTAAAATAAAAGCCCCCTGACTAACAATGTATTAGTACAAACCGACTGAGCTAGTCCTTCGCGGAGCTGATGGAGTAAACAGCAAGATTGTCGTAAGCTTGAAGTATCTCCCTGTAAAGATGAAGCTTGATCCATCCGAAAGCATCAACAACATGGGAACGCTCCGAGTGGACGTCCTGGATGCTGCTGACCTTCCATCAGCCGACAGAAATGGATACAGTGACCCCTACTGCAAGTTCAAGCTCGGCGACAAGGAAGTTTTCAAGACCAAAGTGCAGAAGAAGACCTTGCATCCAGCCTGGAATGAATTCTTCGAAACTCCTGTCAAGTCTAGAATTGCTGCCAACTTCAAGGCCGATGTCTATGATTGGGACTTTGGTGATAAAGCAGACTACTTGGGCGGCACTCCAATCGACCTTACCCAGCTAGAGCCTTTCCAACCCCAGGAGATCAGCCTCCCTCTCGACGGCAAGTCTGGTGCGATTCGACTAAAGCTCCTCTTCAAGCCGGCCTACGTCACGCGGTCCCGACAGGGTTCATCTACGTTCTCTGGAACGTTTGCTGCCCCAGGAAAGATTGTAGGGGCCCCCGTCAAGGGAGTCACAATGCTTGGAGGCGGAGTGGTCAAGGGAGCCTCCTTCTTGAAACACGGCTTCAAGCGATCCAGCCGCGCCCACGGTGATGGCGAAGTCGAGGCCGAAGCTCTTAGCAACAGCGCCCACGGCCACACTCCCAGCGTTGAGGTTTCTGCACCATCCACCCCCCAACGTGCTTCAGCTCTCGCGGATTCACCATCTGGATCCCCTGTCATTTCGCACTCTAGAACACGCAGCAGCGCCTCCCAGGCTGGACTCGGAGTGTCCAGTATTAAGGGCGAGACTGGAGCGGCCATCATCACCATCGTGTCTACAACGGGTTACCCACGCTCTACCAACGTGCGAGTGGTAGTGAAGCAACAGACCAGCAAAGGAATGAAGGAAATCCACAAATCCAAGGCTCACAAAGCTCACCACCACTCCGGATCGGTATCTCCCGACTCCGAAGCAATCGTCCAGTTCGATCCAAGCCACGAGACCATCAAGATCAACTCCGTCACCGCCGACGCCCAGTTCCAGCTTCAAGTCAAGGATCACGCCGTTTTCGGATCCGATGACATCCTTGGAGAAGCCCTCTTCTTCCTCGACGACCAAGGCTCCAATGCCGGAAAGGAACGTAACGTCAAGGTTGGAAATGGCTACGTTACTATCAAGACTGTCTTCACGTCTTCGGAATCCTCGTCTCTGAGACCAGGTACTTCCCACACCAATGTTCCAGCAGATGAGAGCACAGCTGACTCTCCAAAGCCACGTAGAAGTTTCCTTTCCAAACGAAGCGTCAGTGGCGTTAGCAACTCGTGAAAGACGAGAAGTCTAGTATAAGCATTTATCAATCTATATGTTTTGTTGCGATACCTTTTTTTTTTTTCGGTCTTTTGATTTTACTCTTGTGTTAATTTTTTTTTATTACTACAGTACTCTCCGCCTTCGAATACTACTATGACTGCATTGATATTGTTCCAGTTTATGTGCTATAGCGTATGTCTCTTTATTTTCTCCTCTTCGTTCCCGTCTTCTTGGACCGAAATAGTTTGGGAGAAGGTCATGCACGTCATGAGCCTCTTTGTAAAACCTTTTGGACTATTGACGAATATTCTGTTCCATTAGCAGCAAAAATAATCACATTCTCATAACTTTTTTAATCATTCAGAATCCCAACAACTCCGTATGGGGCCCACAACCAAGAAGATGGCTAAGAATAAAACGGCCAAAAAGTATGTAGATGAATGAGTTATACAAGTGACTGGGGGATTCCATCAGCGTCGATAGGGGCGTCGAGAAGATGAGCCTGCTCAGCTTCCTTCTGGGTCTCTTCCTTTTTCTCATTCTTCTCTCGCCAGCGGTCTCGTTCGGAAGGCTTACGAGAATCACCTCTCGCCTTCTTCATGTGCAGGCGGTTGCCGTAAATGGCGCTGACACCATCAAGGGTTTTCAGCGCCTTGTTAGCTTCTTCGGCAGACTCCAGGTCGACGAAGAGATAGTAATATTGACTTCCTGAAAGGGGGAGATTGCCCCGGTTAGATATTATAACTTTACTTATTGCCTCACTTGGATAGTGTTAGCTAGACGTGAGAAGGGAAGGGAAAAATAAAGTGAAGGAAGGCATACATGTTAAACCCGTAAAAGACCTTGCGTATCTCATAGTCGACCGTGGCCTGGTCGCGCATCCTCGGCAGGCCACCTACGAACAGACGCCGTCCCCCGGCCGCGTAGCCGTACCAATGACTTGATGCATCGTCCCGGGTCCAACGTTCAAAGGCAAACTTCTGAGGGTATACGAAGTCTTGTTTCTTGGGGTCTGTCGAGTCCGGATCACGACGGCCAAGCGGTAGATGCTGGTCTGACCTGGGGACGCCTGGCTTGACCCTTACCGGACGACCGAGCAGAAGCTTACCGTTTAATTGAGTCATGGCACGCTCTGCCTGGTCTGCAGTCTCGAGGTCAACGAAGCAGTATGACGGGTTCCGGCCAGTGAAGGGATCAATTGAGATATCAATACGTTCTCTTCAGCCGCCGACCAGGAGAGGTAACTAAGTTAGGAGCTGGGAAAGCAAAAAAGGGAGAAGGGAAAAAAAACGCAAGAGTCCAAATAGAACGTACATCTTATAGGGGACCTCGGGCTGGCCGCCTGTGTCGTTGAACAGCGCGACAACGTCTTCCTTCTTGGCCATGTACGGCATATTACCGATGTAGAGCCTCCTCCTCTCGATGATGGCCGGGTGAGCGGGCGGCCTGTAAGGTGAAGACGATGATGCCGTAGGGGGTGATTCATGGTAGCGAGAGCCAGGCGCCTTTGACGCTTGACCGGGAACCACATCCCAGCCATGAAAGCCACGGATATTCCCCTGTTCGACGTCTCGATGGCGGCCACCAAGACCAGTATTCTTCCATCTTGACCGATCAACGGACGTCGAGTCGTCTTTCACAGCTGGTGGTGGTGATGCTTCCTTTTGGCGCCAGTTGGACGAGCTCTGCGATCGACTCTGTATCTGCGAGCGAGCTGACGCCGCAGACGCACCACCTCCTTGCAGGGCCATGGCGGGTCTACTGTTTCTATTTTAAAAATCAGCTATACACTATGTACACCCTTTTTCTTTCTTTTGAACGGGGGCCTTACCTGGCGCTGTCTTATCCCTTTGCAAAGGTGAGGTTTTCTTTTTTTTTTTTGCACGAACCAAAGTAAGACCTGCCAAGTCTTATATCCTTCTATACTGTCTATCTTTCTAGCTGTCTCTTGTTGTCTCTCTTCTGGCGGTGTCTCTTGCTGTCTCCTCCAGCTGTCGGTTCACGATATACCATGCTATGCTCCGACTAGTCGATCAGGGGGCTTGCGGCATAAATAGAACAGCTCAGCATCTCACGTTCTGGGTCCGGAGGCGCAGATTTGCCCTGGTCTGCCCGGTGGAGAGGACGGGCAGCTTGCCACCGGCCAGAAGCAAGGAGCTAGCAGAAGCAAGTAGATGCAAGCAGGGAGCAAGGAGGGAAGACTCTATCTCTATATTAACAGGAACACTTCTTGAGAGACAACGAAGCAGTAGGCAAAGGAAAGGAATCAAAAAGCAGGACGAGGAGAAGAAGAAGAAGCAAAAAAGGAGATAAATCCACCTGTTGAGACCTGAAGGTCCCTTTTTTTTTTTGCCCCTGACCATACAATACGTAAGATTATTATTTTATATTATTTTTTTTTAATATATTGTTTTATTTTATATTTAACGAGGGAAGACAAGAGAAAAAGCTGCTTGTCTTGTTGGGTTTCTCTTCTCATCTTCATCTTCTACCAAAACAACTTCCCATACCAAAAACACCCCAGGTAAGCCGTCTTCTGCTGTCGTCTTCTGCTGTCTGCTTCTGCTGTCGTCTTCTCGTCTCTGCCGTCTCTACCTTGTTCTCTACCTTGTCACAGGAGGCGAATTGAAGCCCCTCAGCTGTTTGCCTTCTCTCGTTAGAGGACGGCCTTGCCCTGAACTCGACAGCCATCAACCCTTCGAACTTCTTGAAGACTGACCGTTCGTCTGCTCTCTCGTTCTTTCTAGGTCGTATAGCTGCGGTTGCTCGTTCTCAATTGACTGTTCGATAGCTCAGAAGCTCTGAGCTTGCGGTAGAAGGCTTAACTAGCTTGTTTGTTTACCCGACCCTTTCTCGCTCGACGGTATGGCCAGCGGAAGGGCGTTTGCGACCCATCTCCGGGCCCCAGGGCAGGAGGGACACGATGAAACCCATAGCAGACACCATATCAAGTCCCAGTCCAACATGGTGAGTGGTGATGTCCTCTTCGTCGTTTCTCTCTGGTGTTGGTTGAGCCGGCTGTGCTGGCTGTGTCTACCTCTAGAGATGATCCTCCGTTGACCCTTCTACAACATCTGTTCTACCCTACGGTATGATTACCCTGGCTAACGTGCTCTGACAGGCCTTCGAGAGTGCCTCGACGAACGTCGCGGCTGCGCAGATGCGTAATGCCCTCAACGCTCTCAGTGACACGGTCAAGGACCCCGCCGAGAAGAAGAGATTCGAGGCCGAGATGGACAACTTCTTCTCCCTCTTCCGCAGATACCTAAACGACAAGGCCAAGGGGAACGTTCTCTCGTGGGACCGCATTGCTCCCCCGCAGCCCAACCAGGTGGTCGAGTATGATGACCTGGGCGAGTCTGCCTCTGTCGAGTACCTCAAGAAACTCGCCGTCGTCAAGCTCAACGGTGGCCTGGGTACCTCCATGGGATGCGTTGGTCCCAAGTCCGTCATCGAGGTCCGTGAAGGCATGTCCTTCCTCGACCTCTCCGTCAGACAGATCGAGTACTTGAACCGCACCTACAACGTCAGCGTGCCCCTGGTTCTGATGAACTCCTTCAACACCGACGATGACACCCAATCCATCATCAAGAAGTATGAAGGCCACAACATCGACATCATCACCTTCAACCAGTCCAGATACCCCCGTATCCTCAGAGATTCACTCCTTCCCGCCCCCAAGAGCTACGACTCGGCCATCAGTGACTGGTACCCCCCAGGCCACGGTGACGTCTTCGAGTCTCTCATGAACTCGGGCACTCTCGACAAGCTCCTCGACCGCGGCGTCGAGATCATCTTCCTCTCGAACGCTGACAACTTGGGTGCCGTTGTCGACATGCGCATCCTGGAGCACATGGTCAAGAACGACGCCGAGTACATCATGGAGTTGACCAACAAGACCAAGGCTGATGTCAAGGGTGGCACCATCATCGACTACGAGGGCAAGGCCCGTCTGCTTGAAATCGCCCAGGTGCCCAAGGAACACGTCAATGAGTTCAAGTCCATCAAGAAGTTCAAGTACTTCAACACCAACAACATCTGGATGAACCTCCGTGCCGTGAAGCGTGTCGTCGAAGAAGGCGGTCTCCAGATGGAGATCATACCCAATGGCAAGACCATCCCGGCCGACAAGAAGGGGGAGGCAGACATCTCCATCATCCAGCTCGAAACCGCCGTCGGTGCTGCCATCCGCCACTTCAAGAACGCTCACGGCGTCAACGTTCCCCGCCGCCGTTTCTTGCCCGTCAAGACCTGCTCTGACCTCATGCTGGTCAAGTCCGACCTATACACCCTCAAGCACGGCCAGCTCGTCATTGACCCCAACCGCTTCGGTGACGCCCCTCTCATCAAGCTCGGAACCGACTTCAAGAAGGTCTCTGACTTCATGAACCACATCCCCAGCATCCCCCGCATCCTGGAACTAGACCACCTCACTATCAGTGGTGCAGTCAACCTCGGACGTGGCGTCACCCTAAAGGGAACCGTCATCATCGTCGCTACCGAAGGCAGCACCATTGACATCCCTCCAGGCTCCATCCTCGAGAACGTCGTCGTCCAGGGCAGTCTTCGCATCCTGGAGCATTAAGTTCCCACCCGCTCTATTCTCACGCCTTTTCCACGGCGTCTCCATTGCCCATCAGGCTCTTTATCGTGTTTTAATCTGTCTACGTGCGAAGTTCCTATTTCAAAGAAAAAAAATGTCGTTGGCGTTGTTTTTTTTAAGTGAGCGTCTGCTAGTCCAAGTGCATATTTACACCTATTCCTTTTCCCTCTGCCCAACATAAAAAAAAATGGACGGTTTCATTTTATCCTCTACGTGAAGGCATGAAACCAATGGAAATGGACATACTCTGCAAGCTTTCCGTATTCTTCTTAATGCTTTGCCTAGCGCTCATTACCCAAACCGCTCTTGTTCGCGAGTCTATGCCTTTAATCATCGCCTGTACCTATTGATGGCGTATGCAATTCATCATATCTCTAGGTCCTAACACTTACCTCTGCTTTTAATACTACATTGAACATGTTATAGGGATATGTCCGATTCTACCCATGATATTATGGCTTAACTAGAGTTGCGACGGTTATAAATAGAAAAAAAGCCCCCGGACCAAAGTACAAATAAAAAGTAGAATAAAACCCGCCAGTGTAGAAAGTATTCCATCATAAGTTGTTATGTCTTTTCACCTCCGGTGCGAAGAGCGGGAACGCCCTGAATAACTAGGATACTGTGCATCACCGCTACTCCCACCATTCCTATCCTTCTTCTTCTTCTCCTTGCCACTATTCCGCAGCCCGTTCTTAAACGTAGACTCCAGCTTCGCAGCATACTTGGCTCGCCTACTGCTCTCGCGTGGCGTTCCGCCAGATGTGTTCACGGGCGGTATAGGGCCGGCAGCAGGAGGCATTGGAGCCAGAGGGGCAGTATACCCCTGGGCCGTGGGGGCCGTAGCAGGGTAGTCGTGATCAGACGTGTCGATGCTACTATCGCTCTCACTCCAGGTTTCATCCTCGCCTCTTCTAGGCCGGGATCGAGAGCGTTCTCGATCCCGATCTCGATCCCTTTCCCTTTCCCTGGTGCTTCGTGACGGGTGGATATGATGATCGTCTATATGTCGGTAGTCCTGGTAATAATGGTGTTGGCGACGAGATGGGGAGCCACGAGAGTGAGACCGAGGACGGATTTCTATACCCTTGGCCCCCCTTGTTTTCTTCGGCCTGGATTCCCGAAGTGATTGGTGGCGATGGGGACGAGATCGAGGGTCTAAATGTGTTGTTTGCTCGTTGTACAGTTCTGTCGTGGGGGATAAGGGCGGAGAACCATGGGGGTTTTCCGCATGAGCGCTGGTTCTTGATCCTCGCCGTGGGCCTGAGGGAGACTGGTTCAGATATATCCTACCATCATCGTCGAACAGGTCTATATATCTAGGGTGGAAAGGGTGGTTGTGATGCTTTGGTGTTGGGAATGCATTTGATGCATCGTCGTCATAGGTCGGTTTGATCTCCGGGATATGTTTCGATGGAGGATATGAGTAGTAAATCTCTGGTTCATCTTCATCTAATCTCCTCCTTGGTGTCTCGTTCACCGAGTGATGTGAAGGTTGCCGCTGGCGGTGCATCGATTCGTGGGAGTGATGTCGGACACGGGATGATCGAGAGGGATAGATGTCTTCATGGATCGTATGCTCCTGGCTGTGCCTATGTTCACTTCTTCGCGCCTGTGGGTTGGAACGGCCATGTTCGATAATGATAATCTCGTCTTCGTCGCCTGAGATCTCTGGGTGTGCCCATGATCGTCTATATGCGCTTGGTGGGCTGGAATGGCCACGATAATGACTTGATGTCTTTGAGCGAGAAACTCCGGCAGGTCGTTCATAACCAACCGTCTTTGGCCCCGAGTCTCCGGTATAGCTGGCTGCTTCAGTATGTCGTAAAGGGTGAGGGATACGGCTATGAGGCTCTCTGGAGTTTTGTCTGGATGCGTGTTGCTTTCTACTCGAGGAGGTGTAGTAGTGTCCCTGACTGAAATAGTCGCCCTCATCTTCCTTAGCTCTTGACTGGTGAGTTCGCACTGCAGGAGATGGGTGTGCATTACTCGAAGGCCTTGGATTGGGCGACGGCCCGGCAGATTCTAATTCTAGGCGGTTACAGACAGTTTCATGCCATTTGACCATATCAGGGTCTGGCTGTGTAGGAAAGGCGGAAGCTGGAATAGACTTGGGAAGCAAGTATCCTTCATGAGCATCAACTATATCAAACATTTCCACTGCCCTCTGGAGGAATGGAGTATGTTCTTCTGGACATAACAAGAGTTGGATTGTCTGCCAGCGAATGAAGCCATGTGGAAGCAAGGCAGGAATGGATGGTGGTTCAAAAGCACTTTTTGTCGGTTGAAGGGTATGGAAGCAGCCCAGAGACTGATATATGAACGACAGAGAGGGACTAGGAGTGTTCAAAAACAAACTATCGTAATTCCCTCCAACCGCACGATAAAAGGCGGCTAATTTCTCAGGAGTAAGCTCCTTTGTAGAAGATGAAGGGTCGAGTTCGGACTATGTACCGTTAGAATTTGTTCTTTTCAACGGGAGTAAATGGTAAAGAGGTCGGAAGGGGGTATAAATACGATAACGCCTGCAAGGCCTAGACATAGCTGTTCGAGTCTCGGAGAGGGACTCTTGTCTGGCTGTATGAGATAGCCCCAGTCAAAGTCCCTTGGGGGTTGCTGTGATTCCATCCTGTTGTACTCTATAAGAGCAACCATTTGTTTGTCTTTTTAAGAATAACAGCGTCTCTTTCTCATATAATCTTGACTATATCTCGAAGAATTGAACTCTCTCTCTTGTCAAGAGGGGCGCGGCTGTCACTTTTAAAGCAGAAGAATGCGGCGCAAACAGGCTGTAATGCAGGGGTTGTTGGCTGCGGGCGCATGGCGGCCTAGGCAGCGAGGCAGCAGTGTCGAATAGCGATCGAAAAAGAGGATAGATGATATGATTTTAGAAGATCACCGTATAGCAAAGAATATCGTACACGAGGATGTGGTATGATATCTATATTTATATATAGATTATCGGTTGCATGTATCTGTCGAGCTTGTGTGGCTGTTCAGTTGTTGCCCAACGGACGAGAAACCTGAGCAAGCGGTTAATATCTGGCACTCCCTATACTTGAACGTCTCTTAACGATTTATATCAGAGCCAGATATAAGGCAGACAGAGACATGAGGACTTACCAGCGATGATCCTATTGAGAATTCCTTTTTTATCAAAGTATCTGCTTCATATCGTCATGTCAGGCTTCGCTTCAACCCGCATCGGGTCACGAGCGAGCAAGGGTTCGATATAAGTTCCAGGCTGTTCGGAGTACTCTACATTGTACTATGTATGTATAGATCGGAAGAAAAGCCAGTTAGAATAAGAAAAGAGAGGAAAAAGCACTTATTCGAAAAAACAACGATGTCAAGGTAACTTCCGGGAAGTTTATGGGCGAAAGTCGGCTTCATCCCATGGAATTTCTCTCCAGGAACCACCAACCCTGCCACAGGCTTGCAAGTCTCTATCAAGTGCTTCGGAGTAAAGTTGACACCGTTCGAGTTTGTCCCGATTTATGACGCAATTCAACCAGTACGTATTGATTGTCTAGTATACATGTCTTCACACTGGGGATAGATTATTATTTTTTATGTCGTTAAAAAGGACCCAACGCCTTGCTCTGAAAACCAGCAAATTATATCCACCTATTGCACCCAGCTGTCCGTCAAGAGTACCTTGTTGTGCGGCAGAAGGCCATTCTTCTCCAAGGTGTATGCAACTAGGCCCCAAGTAGGGCTCAGTATCGCTTCCTCGTCGGTTCTGGGCTAGGGCTGCGGGTCATGCTCCGTTCGTCCCGACCTCTCAGCCTCAACCACTTTTTTGTCGAAAGGTCCAACTCTCGATCCAACTCCTCGCTAGGTTCTTTGCGATGGATGAAATTGCAAAACCCGCCTCGGACGCATCCTTCGCCGCTATTCAGTCGACAGCACGCTTCTCGAAAATCGGTGACGGGAGATAGTTCGCAATAGATCGGCCGTGCGGCATACCAGCGAGAGTTCAGCGCATCACAGGCCTTTTGCGCAGAGTCTTCGTACTTGAATCTCGCATATACGTTTCCGATCAGATCTGGAGAAAGTACCGGTTAGCTATTTATTCGTTTCCGACGCAGTTCTAGAAAGGGGCCCAACGTACGATCGTTATTATTCTCACACACCACTACCTCTTCAATCTCGCCATACTTGCACATCTCACACCAAAAGTCCTCATAGAAGGCATCGAAATGGTTCTGAAGCTGGCTGGGATTCATCTTATTCTTGGAGTCGTATTGCGGGTTTTGGTAGAGGTTGGGTAGTAGGATGGTCTGCGAGTATGATGGCTTGACGTGCTTTCGCGAACAGCGGTCGCCATGACGGCAGGCGCCGATTTTGTAGTAAAACGAGCAGTTCACCTACGCGACAGGCGAGTCCGTTAGCTCATTGCCACAAGAGCAACTCGAGAGGAGCTTACCTTATCTTGCTCAGTTCCGAAGATGGAAGCGAGATAGTTGGCCATTGTAATAGTTCGTGGAGCTGGATGATAAATACGAAAATGCAACGTAATAGCTTGGACTTAGATCGGTGACAGAAGCTGGCTTGTCTTTGGTTTTTGATGCGAAGATCGAACGTTCTTTTCGGCTTCAAGTTTGAACTTTTGAGGATTTCAAAGTCGGGGTGGCAAGTCACGTGAAGCGGTTATTCTCCGGGATAACTTTAATACGATAGCTCTGGAGTTTTTCCGAGATCTCTTGACAAGTCTATATTTGATATTTAACATTTCATGTTTGATAAGATGAAGTGGATGAATTGGTAGATAGGATAGATATTCACAGATAACGAAAGTATAAGAATATAAAGTTTGTCAGTGTTGAATGGTCCTGGTTTATAACATCTATATGCACCAAGGATCTAGATATGGACTACAATTGAATTGCCCAGTATGATATTAACCTAGTTAGGCAGCTAGCATAAAGGGGGCTCCTAATATTAACTATTCTTTTAGTTACAGGGTGTGGTAACTAATACTTATATTTTATAACTATCTCAGGGCAGTCACATAGAGGAGATGCACTTTATTGAGAATACACTCACTTTGTATGCAAGATGAAGCATACATATAAATAGAAGAAGATTTTGATAGTAACAAAAGGGTACCAAGTAGAGAACCCTTCAAGTCTTGAAAATTTTCTCTTAAATTTCTACTCTACTCTTCTCTTCTCCTACTACCTTTCTCTATCGGTAGCCCGCACGGGACAAAGCCCGCTCTTAGTAGGTCTGCCTCCGGATATTAATCCCCCCTACCATTAAGCATGATCTTCCTGTTGTTTCTAAATATTACCAAGGCTGCCTTTTTTGTTGAACTCTTTGATGTTATTATGGCTTTGTTTAGAGGGGGAAGTTTCTCCATGTTTAGGGCTCTATCTCAAGCTATAAAAAGACAGTGTTCCTGCTGGACTTCCTCTTCTCATTAAGTCTTCTAGACCTTGGATACTCCTTTAGATTAAGGGATATAATAATATTAAAATGGCCCCTATTATTAGGGCATTCTGTTATGAACATTATCTGTTTAAAGGCTAACAAGGGAATATAGCAATAATTATATCTATAATGCCTTCCCCTACGCCATCCTCATATGTTGAAATAGCGTCAGTTCCTGAGTACACCAATCCCGAGCTGGTAAAGACTCCCTGTGGAAATCTCACGATCACAAGCGGTTTAGAGAAATATAAAGTCTCATACCCCCCGAAAGTTCCGGCATTTCACTACCTAGGTGAGTTGAATGATAGCATGAAGCCAATCTATCCTCAAGGCAATGGCCGGTCTTTTGTCATCAAAGGGAGCGTCTACTATATTTTCGAAACAACTGTCCGGAAAGATGCAAAAGGAGAGATAGTGGGTGAAGCTACAAACTCAGTCGCACTGGTATCAGATCCAGATGTGAATCCGATTGCAAACATTGCTGTACCCATTAATAGAAGCATGCACCCTTTCTTGCCCCTATCAAAGAATGAAGAGGAGCTAGAGAAAGATGGCGCCATCAAGGTCATTCTTGGAATGCCTGGAGGCCTTTGCAAGCCTCAGCTAGACGCAATTGGAGGGTATATCTGGTTTGAGAAGTACATCCAGACCTGTTCTCCGCAGGGCGATCTCAGAAATACTTTCCAAGGCGTCGGCCTGGCTATCGCGGTCCGGAATGTAAATACAAATGAAGTGAGAGGGGAACGGATCAAACACGATGAGCTTCTTTTCAAAGCAAGTGAACCAGCGTTTGGTGCATTCTGCTCGGTGCTGGTGAATAACTTCTTCTATGTCTGGGGAAAACTTGGGGAGGATATCTATTTGGCCCGGGTCGAGAGATATGAGCCCGATAATCGCAGTGCATACGAATATTGGGACGGATATAAGTTCATGCATGATATCACAGCGGCAGTGCCTGTGTTTAGCGGTTATACATCCGGAACAGTTATGCGCTCGAAGATGTTTGGTCATATGTACAACTGGGTTTTTATTGGGGGAACAAAGATAAACAGGCCAGTGGTGGCCATTGGCATGGCTCGCGAGATCCAAGGTCCATATATAATGTATGATCTGATCAATTCCGAGGAGATTCACCCTATGCTTCGAGAGGTACACTCTGTGTATGCGCATCAATGGGCATTTGATGAGAAGAAGGGCCAACTTCTGGTGAGCTGGAACGAGTGTGATACTAGAAATGTTGTTGCAGTGAAACTCCAGCTTGCAATAAGTAAGATACCCCCTATCCTAACGGGTGCGTTAATGAAATTGACATCTTTCTAGGCCATCAAGGGGCCTTCTGGAAAGATATCTCGTTTGTCTATATGCCATGTAAGTGAGCTCGGGCAGAGGACTGAATATCTAGAAATACATTGCTGACAACTCTCCAGCGGTTGTGTCTTCCATGATCATGGGCCGGGCAGAGATAATTAAGACATTGGCTCAGGTGAAGACTGCAGTGTGTGAGTGTTCTCTCCTTACTGCGAGTAGGCGGAAGCTAACATACAATAAATCTAGGCGAGATCGAACACGATAGAGACGGAAAGACCATCATCAAGATCCTTGCGAAGGAAAAGGCCACAGTAGACGCAGTGGCAAGTTCAATCTGCAATCTTACCAGCTCTTGGTGCGATGAATTGCTCAGGGCCAGGATGGAGGCGAGAGGCCTTTTGCTGAGAAGGGTGCTGAAATGGTTTTTCTGAGTTGTTTACCATGTTGGCAACTCTAGTATCTCGCGATTCTAGGTTGCTTCATAGACCTTATCTATCATCATATAGATGTACTTCAACAAACGTAAGAGAAATGCCGAAATTTGATCCTCGGCGTTCCGCTCCGGCTAGCGCGGGTCCCTGGCGCCGAGCCGCCCGCCTAACTCACATAAATAACCCCGGCAAACGCGATGTTTCTCCGCATTCTTGTTCAAACCTCCCTTTGGATTGCCAGTAGCATATCGTCTGCAAGTCACTCTTTCAGCGGCACTACTGTGTGTCACAGTCTAGCCAAAATGCTTCCCCCCTTTGATTACTTCCAGTATCGCAGTGCTCGGTAAGTTAGGTGGCCTGACTCTCCCCTAGTCTAGCCAGGTCGTCGTTTCAGGTACTAACTAGGTCTACAGCAACTTCAAGCGCAACCAGAGGACTCAGCGCTTCGCTTCTCTGCCATCCGTCTACCATGCTCCATTCTCTGCCTTTGATCAGTCGGTGATCGATAAGCCAATCGAAGAGCTCGTTCAAGATGTACACAAGGGTGCCCTCTCTCCCGTCGATGTATTACGTACCTACGGCAAGATTGCCATCAAGGCTCAGGAACGATGCAATTGTATAACGGAATTGTTGATTCCAGAGTCTGAGGAATGGGCAAAGTCAGGCATCAACATTCAGGGACCATTGGCCGGTATTCCAGTCTCGCTGAAGGATTCCATCCAGGTTGGGGGCTTTGATACCTCAGTGGGATATACGAGGTATACCCGCCAGCCAGCTGCAAAGGACGGTGCTCTTGTCAGGCTGTTGAAGGATGCAGGTATGATTACCGCTTTTTATAGCCACATTATTATTTCCCTCTCTAACATACAATGTAGGCGCTGTTCCATACGCAAAGACTGCTCTCCCCATCACACTGCTCTCTTTCGAATCTACGAACGATCTTTGGGGTGTTTGCCGTAACCCCCATGGCACCGACTACACCCCCGGTGGCTCCTCGGGAGGTGAAGCCTCCCTTTTGGCTATGGGAGGTCGTATCGGTGTTGGTTCTGATGTTGCTGGCTCCGTCCGTCTCCCTGCTGCATGGAGTGGTTGCTATTCCCTCCGCTGCAGCACGGGTCGATGGCCAAAGGCCGGTGTCAGCACCAGTATGGCCGGACAGGAGGGTGTCCCCAGTGTTTTCAGCCCTATGGCACGAACGCTCAACGACCTGACTTACTTCGCCCGTTCCATAATCGGAATGGAACCGTGGAAATATGACACTACCGTCCACCCAATCACCTGGAGAAGCGACATGGAAAATGACGCCAAGACGAAGAAGCTCCGAATCGGTGTTATGAGATCTGATGGTTTGTTATGTCTACTCTTCTTTCCCTTTAATTAACCCTTTTTACTAACACGAGGCTCGCAGGTGTTGTTCCACCAACTCCAGCCATTGCCCGTGGAATCAACACTACCGTTGCTGCTTTGATAGCAGCCGGACATACCATAGTCGAAGTCAAGGAACCATCGACTGCCACCTCCTTGATGGGTCTTAACCTTGCATCCCTTCTACTTAACTCTGATGGCTGCGAAACTTTCAACTCTCACCTACAAACTGGTGAATCTTCTGATCCAGGTGCCGTCCACCTAACCAATTTCTCCTGGTTCTATTGGCCATTCCGCTATGCCTATTACCTGTTCGTACGATATATCAAGCGTGATGCTACCTGGGCATACCTTCTCCGTGACTTTGGCCTTAAGACTGCTACCCAGCAATGGAAGCTTGTTGCTCAACGTGAAACTTTCCGTGCTACATGGCACGATTGGTGGAACGCCAAAGAACAAGACTTTGATTTCATTCTCTGCCCTGTCAACGCTACTCCTGCTCTACCACATGGTGCTATGACTGATGCCATCAGCGCTTGTGGCTACACTTTCTTCTGGAACATGCTTGATTACTCTGCCGGTGTCATCCCAGTCGGACACGTCGATTCCAAGAAGGATGCCCTCGTCGGCCCCGACGGCAAGAAGGGCAAGAACGTGTATAAGCGCGTGCTGAAGAACTTGGGCGTTGACAGTGCCGTTTCCCGCGGTGCTTGGAAGTACTACGATGCTGATGCTATGCACGGTCTACCTATTGCCGTCCAGGTTGTTGGTCGAAGATGGCACGAGGAAAAGGTTATTGGATGTATGCATGCCGTTGAGAAGGCGTTGGAAGAGTACAAGGGCCCTGGTGGAGAGGGTGGAAAGTACCAGCTCTTGGAGATTGACTAGGTGATTGGTGCTGGCGTGTTTCGACCAGACTATTTATTTCTTATAATAGCTAGCCTTCATTGTGCTATCGTCAACCATTTTCTAGTCATTTCATCTGCTCTTGCATCAGATAACTTCTCTATCTAAGTGGTGGTATATATCTAATCTGTTTAAAGGTTCTATTCATATCAACTATTATAAAGACAGAAACATTGGGATTATGCATTATGTGGGATAGCACCGTATGACAAGGTTCGATCCAATCTATCGAACGAATGAAGGAGGTCGATTTGCTCTGCGTCTCGCTCTTCATCGGTAGAAGAATCATCTTCAACAGCACGCTCAACAGAAATCCATAATCTCCCCACCACCGTACCGTTGTGGTTTGATTCCATATCCACCTCTGAAGGTAGGTCAAGGGAGCAATATACCGCAGACTTGTGCCAAACGAACAAAGTCAGTGCCCCTCCAGCTAAGATTGTACCGGCTGTTAGTAACATATTTACTGGTACAGGGTCTCCGCCAAATTCTTTTAAAGTGATCAATTCCAATGGCGCCTGAAGGAAACTTCCCATGCTGGCTGCAAATATTATCAGGCCATACACTTTCCCGAATGTCTGAAACCCAAATATCTTTGCCGCATAGTCGGAGACTGCTGTATAGAAGTACGGGCGAAATAGTGTAAAGAGGACAATGTTAATATATCCCATAAATATACTGTTAGGAATACAGCCGAAAATGCCGATTATTGTAGTTATCGTAACAAGGATGAGTAGCATGAGTGGTAAGGTGGCATAATCGAGAAGTATCCCTACGAACGGGGTAGCAATAAGCCCCCCAAGAGGTAATAGATAATCGAATAGGTGGTTTAATGATCTGGCGAGGGATGGGGAAGACAAGAGGTATTCGTATTGTACGTAGAGCGTTGATATGAAATAATTTATCCGAAGGAACTGGCCCATTGCAAAGACAGTCAAGAGGATAAACCATAATGAACTGATCTGTTCTGATGCTGGTAACGCGTGTAAGGTGCCCCACAACTGATTATTTGTATGCTGCGCTCGACCGGTCTTCCTACCCGATAGGGATGTCCAGGTATCTATGATATTCTTGTAGTCCTCTTCTTCAAGTAGAGTCTTCACTTTGCACACTATGTGGTGATACCCCGGAAACTGCCCGGCCGGCTCGAGACATGAGCCATCACGGAGCCGGGCATCTTCCGTTTCTTCCGCCAAAACGTTTTCCGCATACGCAATAAGCTCTCCAACCGTGCTGTAGGGATTCGATGGCATAAGAAAAACCTGCGAAGCTAGGATAAGGCTTGGAACAGCGAGGTATATAGTAAACAAGACCTTAAGTGTAAGTTTTGTGCTGTGTACCTCGCGGAATAGCAGGAAAAGGGCGCTCGATATATCAAAGGCGGCAGTCAAAGTTGACAGTATGAATCCAGAACGTTTCGGGAAAGTGTTTGATAAATGGAAAGAAGATATAAACACGGCTGACCCACCCATCGCCATGAGGGTATATCCGCATAAATGCCTATCATACGGGAAATGTGAGGCAGACGTAAATAAAAGAGATCCCATAGCTAGAAGAATAGCACCAATTCCGCTGGTTAATCGAGGGCCATACTTGTCGAGAATGGCGCCGCTCGGCAAGGCAAAGATATTTGACGCAATTACTGATACAGTGAACATGAAATTAAGCCTATAATAACGGTTTAGTGATCAATTTACGACAAGCCATGAAATATAGGATAAAATACCGCAACTCTTGCCGATAACACACCCTTGCTCCCTGGTCAAAATCATCTTTTGTGCATAAATGGTTATACACACCTTCCTCTATGAGGACCGGTTTTAGTGCAGCGTAGCCAAAAATGATGCCTGACGATAAGGAGCAGTATATCACAGAAATAATAACTTGTGCTATTTCAAACGAATATTATGGATTAGTTGGTTACTTTTTTGGTTACAGTCGTTGAAGGTCTAGGGCAGCAAAGATAGCAAATACCCCATTCTCCTGAACTCACCTATTCTTCTGGTCCTGCTGACATCGTGAGCACAAGATACACTAGGTCTCTTCCAACGGTGGTAGTTGGCCATGTCTCCTTGCTGGCTCAAGTACGGGCCTAACCAGACTGTCCACCTCTGTGTAAAACACGTAGATGTAAATGGCTTTTACATGGCATGTTCTATGATACACTCTAACGGCGTACGTTTTGGGGTATAGAGCAGGCCAGGTACCGATGATAACTCCGTTTAAACTGGCTAGCAACGAAGATAGCTAGTTTTAGAGGTATGTCCATATGGAATCAAGAGCAAATCAGGAATGTTGTCGTGAAGCGTAGAAAAGAAGTCCACGAAAAGAGAACTTAAAAGGTCGTTGAAGCTCGCGAGTCTCACGTGAACAAACCAGCTTATCTAACGTAACTCCTTATGACGTCATGCATCCTAGGCCAGAAGTCACCACACCACTTTCTTGGCGCCATATAAACATATAGATTATACCTAAGTAATGTTAACTTTAAAACTACTTTTATCTTAATATTATTATATATAAAGGTACCTCTTATTTTTTTTTAGGTACTTTAGGGTCTTTACTATTCTCTTTACACATAATCTTTTAAAAATTAAAAGACTTCTGTATTTTATAAAAAAATAATTAAAAAAGGAATTATAAATATATTATTTTAGGTATACGTACTTATGAAATGGGACTATATGTGCGTTCAAGCCTTCTCTCTGCTCGTTGTATATCAATCTTTTTTAATTTATATCTTACTGCTTCTCGATTTGATATTGTCTTTTAGAAACTGTCGTTTAACGTGGTTTCTATTAGAACAATACATAATAAAATGTCAAATATAACCAGTCTCTCTGCCGCCAATTGGTGCGGGTCGCCTTTTTGGCCGAATGGCAGATTCTGACATAAAAGTTTCCATCTACCATATGAATACTATGTATGGTGAATATATAGACCCCACTGCGTAGCTATCGCATGTATGAAACAAAAGGGGAGCTATCATCTATGTGGAGCTGGCCCTTCGTATATATATAGCAAAATTGTGTACTATGTAACGCACTCGGTGTTTTAAGGTTAAGAATTCGGAACTGAACCAGCCGTGAATGTTTGACAGCCTACCTTGAGCTCCTCAGGCAACAGCTGGTGGATGTGAAGCCGAATAAGGTGCAGGCGTAGGATAGCAAGACTATCTATGTAACTCAATGTTTCCACCCATTGGTTGTATCTCTGCATTCTGAACATGACCCAAGCCACTTTTAGGATCACCGAACCATATCACAAGAGGAGTATCTAAGATCGCCGAGTTGCTCAAATGCCACCTTGCAAAAACAATTGCTCAAATACCGCCCTCTTTGCCGGTCTAACCTGATAGAGTAAATCTCTTACATTTGGATTACACTCGCTCAGCGGTATATACACTCTGTTCTGTGGTGTAATAGCAAGCTACTCTACTTATTTTTTAAATCCTATTGGCAATATATATATAGATGCACATTCAAGGGATGAGATAGATGTGCTCTTATGCCTAATAAGTACCTGGTGGTGGAATGTATACATACTATGTATATAAAACCAATACAAGAGCTTTACTCCATCAGGTAGACAGACAAAAAAAGTCAAGCAATTGTTTTGCAAAAAGTGGCATTTGAGCAATTACATAGTAGGCGTATCTAAAATATATTCCAAAGCTACCCTACGCTTCCGATCTCTAAATCTCACCCAACCCATAGCAAATATGCGCCACGTTGGCTGTCCCAATGGTTGCTAGAGATATAGTGGATAGTTCCATTAGTTAAATCTCCAATTTCCAGGTTAAAGTTATCGGAACGTATAACTTGTCAAATCAACCTTAGACCAAAGCCTCTCTGATGCCCAATCCTTCAGATGGATATTTCCGAGGGAAAAGTCTACGTATGCCTCGAGAGGCTGGTTTGGGACATGGAGCAATGTACCAGCACTCCGTATATTATTTTTATTTCCCAACGAGCCATCTTTTTATAATAACAAAACGGTATACGGGAACATCCCCGGCACATCACGAAATATGGTACACCGACTCTCCGCGGCTTGCTATTCAGAGGATACGTATATGGATGGAGAAGAAAGTTTGGTCAAGATAGAAATATGTGATGCATCAACCCATATGCATCCAATTTTCGGGCCTGCATGTTTTCTCGTTGCATGAGATCAACCAAGGAGACACTGGTGTACAGTGTAACATAATATGCCAGCCGTGGGGGATATAACCACGGTCAAAGCACATCAATGCCAGGACTGATTGTTTTTTAACCAGGTTACACTTCCCGTTAGCATCCTCGCGCTCAATCGTTAGCTCATACAAACTTGATATACTGCATTTTAATACTTCCCCAACTGCCCATCAGTATCAGCAAAAAATGGAACGATTCCCCATATCAGCCGGGCCCGACGTCATTTTCGAAAGCTTCAAGAAGAATGGGGTGGTGGTGATTGAAAATTTCCTGACCAAGGATCAGTTGGACAGGTTTACTGCCGACATCAACCCTGCGCTGGATAAACTGGTCCAGGGGTACACTACCGGCCTAGAAGGTACGGAGGCGGATGATTTTTATGGAAAGAAGACCAAAAGACTAGGCCAGCTAGCAACAATAAGCCCCGTGTTTCGTCATGAGCTTTTGGAGAACGACTTGATGCATTCCTTGTTGGAGCGTGTCTTCATCGAATCTCCGGTGGATGGATACTGGATGAACACAAGTGATGTCATTGAAATCGGTCCTGGAAGCAAGCCGCAGCCTATCCATCGTGATCAAGAGTTATACCCTCCATGGAACATAGGAGGACCTGCCATGCCGGAAGCAGTTTGCAACTTCATGACTGCACTCACTCCATTCACGGCCGAAAATGGGGCAACGCAGATGGCTCCAGGAACCCATCTCGAGGCAATCTCTGAGCGCCTTGAGAACGGAGAATTACCAGGCTCTCACAACACCATCCCAGCGACCATGAACCCAGGAGACTGTGCATTTTTTTCAGGGAAGATTCTTCACTATGGCGGTGGAAATAATACCACTGATATATTCCGTCGTGGTCTTTCGATGAGCTTCATTCGCAGAATATTGTCTCCAGAACAAGCACACCCACTTTCTGTTCCTCGCGATATTGTTGAGTCCATGGCATATCGAGGCCAGGCAATGCTAGGATTCCGAAGTCAATGGCCCGTCATGGAGTATGGGCCAAATGTAATCTGGTCTTACCAAGGGTCGGATATTGGGAAGAAGCTGGGACTTGGGGACAAGAATTGAAATCGCGGCATTTCAGCAGGTAGATTTATATGGTGATATTATTACTCGCCTTTCTCTGCAATGATTTATGCCACAACGTTCTAGTTGGATGTTAAGGTCAACCAGTCGTGTCATGCTTGACAACATATATTTCCTTGATAATCTTGCCTCATAGTTAGAGTCGATATGAAGGTTTGTCCAATATATTGCCTAGAGCACGCGTGCGTTAAATGCTGAGTTGAGGCTGGTTTCTTTACGGAAGCCGCCGTTTCAAGCATAAAAAAGCTGTTGCTCTAGCTTCCTATTATACGTACTTCTCAGCCTCCTGGAGACAAGCTTCACCCTACCCACGAGGCTGCTTTCTCGAGCATTGTTAGAGCCCGGTCAAATGCCATTCATAACAACATCTCTTTACATTAACCAAAATACTCTTCTCAGCTTCCCCATATATGCGGTTAGCAAATGATCTGTCTCATTCACAATTTATCTCTCGCGCATCCAGTTCCTATCGCCGGTCTCGCAGCAGCTTGCCAATTGCACGTATGTGCTCCCTTATTATCCAATCGCTAGACAGGTTCAAATCTCAAACAATGTACTTTACCCCCTTAATATCCCAAAGAGTACCTTCATACTCCGTATATCAGAAGGATTAATGTGACAAAACGTAGGCCTCAGAACGAACAAGGATACTGAGCTTGTTGACGTCGGTAATAGACGGCAGAAACGGCCCTCCAAAGTCGGTGATTTTAGCCTCGTAGAAGAATACAATCTCGCTTCCTTTTCCTAGCGAAATGAAAGGAACTTCGTTGGAAATCTGTTTCCAAGGCGCATGAACAGCTTTACCTTGAAAGAGATAGATTAGGTACGGTAAGTGCGGGCTACTGGAAAAGGAGAGCGGCTCGGATTAATTTTACCCCATATATGTCGATTGCTTATATAATAATATAAGGAATCCGGTTCGGGCCGAAGAAGTATAAAAGCTTAAAATCCCTTTTTCAATTCTATTGTTGGTGAGATTTATTGAATACAAAAAATACCATGATGCGTTACTTTCGGGCTCCTTTGCTCTAAGAGATATCCTGCATTAATGCCTGATCTCTTGGACAGATTATGACTTTTTTCAGATCCGTGTGGACGGCATCCTTGCCATACAAGATGAGGATCAATTTAGCCTTACCCCTAAGAGATTACAAAATACTTTGAGTAAAAGCTCCAATTGTTTCTGTTTTTCACGCAAGGTAACACTGCTCCATATGGCTTACCACAGCTTCCTGTAATACTTGAATTATTGGGCTTGATCTCCTTATATATGGAAGATTGTATGGACTTCACGGAAAGAGTGTCTGCACCTGTTGGAATTGCTAATCCTTGTACGTCAACACTGGATAGCTTAACTAGTGTATGGCATTTCTTATAATTGAACCCTAGGAAGTGACACAATTAACTAACTTCATATTAAGTCCCCCGCATGCTATGTTTCTAACAAAAGCAGTTATTACCTCCGGCTCACCATATGCAGGCTCTTGACGTAGTGTTTACCGTTCAAACGGGATATCAAGAATTCTATACATTGCTATTGCCGACTTTGACGGCATGGACGGTCATCTCGAATAGTGGAAATGCAGGAACAATATTAAAACAGCGACCCATTTGCTTTGCATTAATCTTTGAAGTTTGGAAGAGGTGGGAGCATACGGAGACTAACAAACTCATCCAATATCTTTCTCATGGACTCGAGGGTGTCTACTGCGCCAAACCAGCCGAGTTTATGGCCCTTGCTCCGGCTTGTAGTGTAAACTGGTTAGCTTTTGCATTCATATAACCAAATAAAATAGGTAGCATAAAATTCCTTGATGCAAAAACACAGTACTCACCTGAACTGAAGGGGCCATGCCATGAATAAAGCACTGTCCGCAAAGCTGAAGAGGCGATGAATATCCTTTGCACTCTGGAATGGGTTAGCTTGCAAGTTGTATCTCTGGCTCAATACTGTCCATGCTTCCTGGACTTCAGGGTCAGTAGCCCACTGAGAGAGTGCATATTTCAGTCGAATGGTGCCTCGTGGTCCAAATCTGTCAGGGTACAAGTTAACAACTGCGTTTACTTCCCGAGATAAAACCGAGAGTCGACTTACCCTCTTGGTGGCGGCTCATACTGAGTGGGAATTGAGATATATTCTGATTTTTCATCATCGGGAACATGATACGGTAAGTCATACCAACTCGCAAATATGGGCCAAAATGCCGCCCAAGTGAAGGCGCTGTTGTCGCACGCATTGAATGCCTGATTCGCAGCTTTTGGGGTTAAAACCGCCCATTCCTCAAGGTAGCTGTTTAGGGTTGCAGTGGACAAGTCCACAGGCATCATATACGAGGCGAGCTCTCCTGGATACACAAGCGGCCGTCCAAGATATGCCTGTATAGCGCCGAAGATACCCAGAGGATACATCATGTTCATGGCGGCCTCTTTTACAGCACCGAGGACAAAGGATGGCATAACTACATTCCAGCTGGCTCCTGTCTCTTCGCAGTATCTGAAGAGCACATCTTCCTGATTGTAGTAGAAGTTGGGCTCCAGCAGGACTCGTGGATCGCCCTCCCTTTGCGGCGTCATGGCTGGACCAAGATGGAGGCCATAGTTTTTGGCGCCGGTCTGGAGCATAACTCTCTTGGGCACAATTCCCGCAAGTTTAAGGGACTCAAGGAAGTTTGAAAGCATCGCCGCTACACAAGGGCCGCAACTCATCAGTCGAGCAACTCTGGTTCAGGGGAAGAAATAAAAAGAACAAAAAAAAATCATCACCAACGGGCCTGCATATACATACTGTTGACCCTGACTAACTCGTCCGCAGCTGACCATATCCCACCACCATCCTTGGGCTCGGGTTGGATGTATGAAAAGAAGAATACATAGTCACTAGACAAACAAGGATGGTTTAGTTGTATACACCTTGAAGCGGTTAATTCGGCTGGGGAGTCGAAACTGCTCACGCTTTCACCCCTTTTTCCCTCATGGCTTTAGCTAACTCGAGCGGTGTGCTGTTTAGAAAATCCAATGGGATATGCTGAACGTTGGTCTTCCATTTTGTGGCTACCAAAGGCGCCCGCCTTGACATCGAATAGACGTTTGTCCACCTTTCTGGCGATTCAGCCAGGACTCGTAGCATATGATGGCCGGATATCCCATTTGCTCCTGTCACGATGGCGGATAGGCCCGTCAACGACTCTGGGAATACTGGCAGGCCATGGTAGATGCCTTTGGACTGGACTCTGTTCACAGCGTGTAGCTTCTCGTCGTTGATGAACATGATGAGAATCTCCCTGGTTGATATGAGACGAAAAAAAGGAGGGCAGGTCTTCGAAGGCCGCCGCCCTTCAACTTATAGCGATCTTTTTATTCCTACTTGAATGTTTAGGGACCTCACCTGCTCCTTGGATGCATAACTGGCGCAAAATCACGCTGCTTACTGCATAATCAAAGGCTTATGGTGCACCTCCATGAGATCAATTCGGGTAATGGAAGAATTACTAGTTTGAGTATTTATTTTTTTTAACTTCCTAATAACGTAAATACAGATAGCGGTTATACGGAGGAGACAGGGGGGCTTTTGGGGCATCTTCCCCCATAATCAAGTTAATAGCCGGCTAAGTAATACTGGTACATGCAGAAAATCGCCAGAGCCTTTGTCCAATCAACAATTCAGAACACCGGCCAAAAGAGAGGGGAAAAGTTGGAAAAGTCCAGAGATGCTGCGGCTCCGCGGCAATCCCAGTAATTGAGTAGAGAGTCCCTTGAAAGGAGGGAGTGTATATAATGTAGATGTTTCTTGCATCGTCAACCCGCCAACCCCTGCAGTGCAGCGTCGCATGCTAAATATTTCGCCAAAGACCCATGTATCCTTCATGCATCTCCCATGCAGCTTGGAAAATAAGAGCCAACCAACGGGCTAGGAGTGCCACGTCAGACGCATAGCTACCAAGCTAAAAAGAAAAGCCAAGTTAAATGAAAGAAAAAAAAATAAAATAAAATAAACAGAACAAAGGCGAGGGAATAAAAGGCCCGATTTCTGACCCCTCCGCTTGGAAAGGGGCGTTTTGAAACATCAAAGGGCTCCGTCGGCTAGAACACTCCTTCAAAGCCCTCGAGCGAGAGTTGGAAGAGCTCTTCATCCCATAAGTTGGGGTGGAAGGTCATGACGGCTGATAAATCAGCATCAGGGATCATACCGTGTCCCCATGTCATATTGTGCTGGTCCATTCCTGTGGTAGGCACATTGTATCCAGCTTGTGAAACAAGATTATTCTGACCAACGGCCATGTACTGCAGCACTGAAGGGTCGTATTCTGGTGATGCCGGGTAAGGATTGGTGGACACTTGGTTCTGGCTGACGAACTGCGGCCAATCGCCTGTGCTCGAGCCCCGTTGTGGAAGGTTGGAAGAGCCATATGTCGGAGCAGTAGCCGCAGATGTTGTGGCAATTTCATCTGGGCTCGTCACGAAGGCCTGATTGGCATTATTATCACAGGGCTGAGCGACATTATCAGCCGTGTTAATCGCTCGCTGGCCCTGTTGCCTGGTGACTGCGGTACTATTTGATGGATACTTTGCCGTTGCATCGCCTTGGGCATTGGGCGTGGTGGAATCTGTAAATGAAGTCTGCAGGGGAGATGCAATGTCAGCACAAAAGGTGGTGTTCGTATGTAACAAATAGGGGGGTTGACACTAGCATTTCCCCTTTATGGAGAATGTAGACTGTGTTTTGGAGGCGAGTCGCGAATACTCACCGACTTATTCGCACCATCGGCAGCAGGTGACGCTGTTGCTTCACTCTTCTCGGACTTTGAGATCCGTGGCTGGAGGAAAGGCGGGAGAGACACTTCAGCATTCTTATCTTTGCGTTTCGCATACCACGCCTTCATCATGCCAATTATAAGCGAGAACTTGAGGCCGACTCGACTCTGATTTCCTTCTGCTGATGCATGTAGGTGAGAAATCAGTTTATTCAGCGATTCCTCGACTTTGAAGTCTTCAGTGCTGAATACGTTAGCAAGCCTACTGCCCGGGGACGAGGCAACAGAAAATAATTTGATAAGAGCAACACATGCATAAGATGTGCGGACAAAATGTATCGTAGGGAGACAAGGTAGCAAAGATCCGTCCATGGTGCTGAATAGGGTAAGGACTCGATGTATGGAGGTAAGACATGCAGTGAGGGCGTTCACATGTGCGGCAGTCCCGAGATCAGCCTGCGATTCATCTGTAAGGCCAGGAAGAAACGGGGGCTTGAAGTCATCGATGTTGTGATCGTTGTGCATGCCAATTTCATGCATGTATATGCTAAGAACTTGTTCATAATGTTCCATCACAGCTGTCGACAGGTATTAGCAAGGCCTCGAATAGCAAGTAGGAAAGGTAGGAGAGAACGATCACGAGGGCTCACTTACGGGTATACAACTCTGGCGGCACCTCCCTCCGCCATTCATCCAAACGCCCTTCAAACCCTTTGAGAGCAAATTGAACTCTGGGCTCGGTGATAGAGATGTTTGTCAGAGGATCGTCCATGCAGAACTGGAAACCGATCTCTTCACCAATATGGGCTAGTTTGATCCATTCAACAAGGGCCTTGTCGCTAGGATAGGCGTCGGGTGACTCCAGCAGCATCTGGACTGATTCATCCATGTAAGTATTCCAGCGAGTGAGGAGTGGCCGCCTAAGGCCCATAGCAACACTGTGTGTACATGTTAGATATCAAAACCCAACCAAGATGCAAATCAAAGGGGGAGTGCCAAAAAGGGGCATACGAACTTAACGGCCAGAAAGTAGCAGCCCATCCACGCTCTCCTCCCATCCAGAGACTGGGGATCGATGAACATGGTTTTCCTGCTCATCAACTCCTTTATGATCTCTGAGGATTGCGACTGTGGCTTTGATCTGCGGTTCATGCCCATATCCGTCCCCATAACCGCCGCCAAATGAATGAGCAGGTAGAATTTCAGCTCTTCATAATGTTCCGGTGGCATGTACCACAAAGAAGCTATCACAAGAGCCTGCATCAGCTCGAGAGACTTCTCACCGCGGATAACAATGCGGTCGGCGAAGATTTTGTGCATCTCGCCAAGCAGAATCGGCTCCAAGCTGGGCGCATACGATCCGATTGATACAGAAAGAATCGATAGAAAGAGTATGGGTGTCTCTCGTCGCACATCCCCCATCTTCGTGCCTGGCGGGAACACCACGCATGGCATCAAAGGTAGCATGTTGTTGATATAGTGCGCGAATGCTTTGGCCGCTGTCTCCTGGTCGACAATACCACGGTCTATGGCGTCCGCATACTCATGATCAACACGAGGTGCGGACATGGACTCTGGCTCGAAAGCCGGCCAGCTGCTGTCAGTTTTGCTAGAGCTCTTCCCGTGTAGCCACGTATGGACGAAAGCTGTGTGGTTAGCCGGGCTTATTGGGCGTGCAAGGACAGCCGGAGGTCCCATTCCTGGCATTGACCGGATATCCCCGCTGGACGACCTCTTGCTACCAGCGATCCCAGAGGGCCCTGGCGGATTCGCACCTCTTGATACCTGTCGCTGCGGACCCCAGCGGCTGGACCCAGACCAGCTCCTTTCCGCATTATGATGCTGTCCGGGCTCGTTCTGGTCTGACGGGTAGCTCTTCGTCCTCGACGCCTGGAGACTAGCGGTCAGGGCGTCAATCTTTCTTTCCAGCTCTGCAACCCGACTGTCTCCCTTCTTCTGTCTCTTTCGAGTTGGAACGGTAACGACGCAGCGTCTATTTGCCTTTGCGCAACGTTTGCAGGACCCGTCTGGGTTATCGTGGTCAGGATCGCAGCGCACTTTCAACTGTCGACAAGCTTCACAGGCGCGCGGCCGCTTGAGGTCTGCGAGGGGATCATTCGACGCCGCATCCGCAGCTGCACCCGCGGCAGGGTTTCTGTCCGTCGTCGTCCCCGAGCCATCTGCCCCGGCGGCAGCTTCGTTCGAGTTGATACGTGAAACGGAGGCCGACCTGCCGTCGTCGCGAGCCAGCGAAGGGGATCCTCTGTGGGAGGATGAGGTGGCGGAAGGCGACGAAGCGTCCTGAGCCGATGGGTGGGAAGGGTATTCCGCCTCCATCTACCAGGACTATCGACGGGTCTTTCTATTTATTTGCTTGCCAGGACCATGCCAGGTCGCCAACCGTCGCCATCCACGGAGACACGGTATGTCGGCGGCCGACACAAGGACTGCTCCGAGAGAACAAGGTTATTATATGGTGGACGTGGAGTGCCTATCGCAAGCGACTTATTCTCTCTCTCTCTCTTTCGTTTCTTTTCTTAGTGGCTAGCACGCGCAAGCAGGAGAGACGCTCCTTTCGCTTAAACGACCATCCGTATATGCGAGAATGCTGAATTATCAAGAGCCTGGAGCCGTAGTTGTTCTTCGTTGCCTGCTCTCGAGTCTATTGTCAGTTTTACGGCTGGACTTGGTTCAGCATTATTAACCCACTAGCTGCCTGCACTCGTACTCGTATTAAAAAATAATAATAACCACCCAAGCGATGAAGGGAAAAAAATATCTTCGAGCCAGCTGGACAAGAAACCCTGACCTGGAGGTTTTCTTCCCGTTTTCCTCCGTCGAACGGCAGCGAGGTGAGTCATCTCGCGGTTCATCTTAACAGTTATCGTTGGTGGCTTGAAAACGATCGTTGGCTGTCGGAATGTCATACACGAAGAAGAAGCTGATGCCAATTATATTATTATTCCGGTGTAGTTGACGAATATCCAACGCCGTATGTTCCGACGGCCTACCAAATTACTACATCGTTCTGCAAACATCAAGCGTATAATGTGCTGAGGGATGATTCTCTAGCTAGGGGATGTCGGGTTCATCAGATCTCCGTCAGAGGGTAAACAATATGTAGAATCTATTTATAAGTACCGTCTAATGGCATCGAGTCCCATCTTTCGAGTTGGCCATCCCCTTCTCGACCCAGCCCTGAGTATAACCTCTTCGAAAATCAATCAAATAAGCATCATCAACGTCAATAGGCACATTGGCGGCCTGAATACTTCGCATCACGCCCACCGATGCAATGGAGTGTATAAAAGCAGCCCCATAGCGTATCCATTGCCGTCCTCAGCCAAACTCTTTATCTTCATCTGTGTCGGGGATATATCCTGGGTCGACACTTTGGACATGCCGGAGATATTCCGCAAGCAGCACAGGCGAGCTTTCGAAATTCGTGGTAGAGATCGATTTATAACGTTTGTTGGAAACATACACATTCAACTGTTGCTTGGTCGGAATAGACCGATATTGTAAAGCGGTTGTTGGAGCAGTCAGGGTTGATCAAAGGTCACGGAGAGTGATATCTCGGCCTCTACTCTTATCCTGGGCTGTAGACGGCACGAGGATTCGTGGTATAATCAGCAAAAGAGAAGGAAATCGCCGCGCTTTCAAAGAGGTTGTATTGCTAGGTAAGTGTTGCCTTTTCAGCGATTCGATCATGAATGGACTACATTCATGAGCTGGGAGAACGCTGAGCAAAGCTGGCCAATGGATAGGCTTAGTCAACAACTAAGCAGTAATGGGTTGGCTGTGTTGGAATGCTTGGTTGTAGGCATCAGGGGAGCCTTTTGGTATCTCGGGTGAGGCTCTAAGCGCTGGCTGCGCGGCTAATATATGGGCCACTAAAATCGCACACATATTCAAAGCAGGCTATTGGCTCTGAGAAACCCTATAAGTTTGTTCTTTTTCTTTTTATATATCTTTGCTAGTATTTATGCCACTTTATGAACGGGACACTCTTCTTTACGGTCAAACCATCCAAGAATACAGGATTTGTGGAATCTGCATAGGCATTCCAAGCGTGCCAGCTCAGCTCCAACTTCATACTCTTCCATGCAAATGGAGCATTCTGGCTGGACACCGTCTGTGCCCAGGCAGTCCTTCTCCGTTGCAAGGAAGGTAAGCATCCTTAGGCGTTCAGATGATGGGCGTATCGAGCTTTGGGACGACTGGTTAGAAGCTCCAGGGCGTCTGGAGGCGTGTCTTTCGATACATGCTCGGATATGAGCTTCGTGGGCATCCTCACCACCGCTGGACGACGGTTGGGGGAGAATGTGATTGCATACGGGGCAGAGGTCTCGTTCATTGATGATACGATGGGATCGTGAGCTGGGTGGTGGTGGAAGAGGACGATTCATGTCTGCTGCACGAATGGTAGGATGGGACCTCGGGTACGATGCGTAGTGATGGCTCCGTTGCGAGTCCTGTATATCAAGTTGAGTCGTTTGAAGATCTGGGAAATGCGTATTAAGCCTGTTACTGACCTGTGTGAATGCATCGGGGGGATATAAAGGAGGAGAACCATGGATCTGGGATTCTGTATCCCGACCTGGCAGATACCTAGGCGGCAGGCCCCGTAGACTTGACGATACATCGTAGCCAAAGGCTCCATATGAAGGGAAGTTAGCATCTGTTAAACTTGCACGGTGACCCCTTTGTGCCCCTCGTATATGAGTACGTATCTATATAAACTGTTAGACAAAAAAGTGAGATATGTGCGCATCTAGCATATAACATACAGTTGCTTCAAATTCCCGGTCTCGTCGTCTTCTCCCCTCCATATCGGGGGGGATGGAAGGTATCTGGCGGCGAGACCTTTCCACACTTGTACCCCAGATTCCTGGGTTTTGATACTCCGAAGGCAAGGAGTGCGGATCCGCTTGGGAGTGATTGTGATGGCTTTCCCAGCCTAGGCTGTTATTCCTTGCTCTATGGTCATGGTGAGAGGTACTGCTACTCGCCCTATATCGACGAGGAGGCTCTGGGTTCGGGTCAGGCACGCAAGGATTGCAAAGACGAACTTCAGTCCCGCCGCCTAGAGCCGCTGCAGCTCTAGGGTTTTGATGGATTGAAGTTGCGCGGTGGTGACCGCGAGATTGTGACGAAGATGGCTGCGGTCGTGTCTCATCGTCTTCGATCAGACTGATGACTTCCCGTTCTGCTGTATTACGCTGGATGATGTTCGATAGTGATAGTTGCGTTTGTGCCTCAGGGGGACGGACGATAAACTGTTGCGGAATAGTGATTCTATGTGGCGAGCAAGCTGCGCAAACGACCCTGCCGCACTTCCGACAGTGGTGTTTTCGGAACCAGAATGTGAAAGTCACACCGCAAATCGGACATTCCGTGACTTCGGAGTCAGGTTGCCATCGTGGGAGTCGATGGTCCGTAAAACTTCTTTCACGGTGCCGTAGGGAGTTTATCTGGCGAGACATCGACGAGGACGGTGGTGAGCCAGAAGGCTGAGTCTCGATCGTTTCATCATCTGGTCGGTGAAAGCTGGGGTTCCCTGGTCTTTGAGCTCCGATGAGGCCAGGCCTAGAGCTCTGCCTGGTAGAAAGAGGCTGACTGCTTATAGCTGTATCAAGTCCTGTTCCGGATATATCTGTCCCGCTGCTGCTACTACCGCTTCCCAGCCGCCGTTTTCTATTCGAAGCACTGCCGTCCTCTCTCCCTCCACCGCGACTGTTCTCACCACTATCCAACGACTGGTCGTAATCCTCTTGTAGAAATTGTGTCCATGTTGTATGACCTTCACTCGCACCGCTTCTTTCTTCGGTGCGCCTGTCTGATGAGGAGCGATGGATGGTCGTAGCTCGAGCTGCGTCGTTTGAGGCCTGGGATTCCAAAGGTAATGACATCTGGCTTAGTAGTGGCGCAGAAATGTTCTTCTGCTTGATAACGTCGTGTATTATCCGAGGGGTGTTCGATGACGCCAACCTCCGCCGTTTGGACGGGCCGGCATTTGCTGTGGGCGCGGGAGGGTCCACGTTGACTTGAAAACCGATAGTAGAAAAGCTCGTCGATCTTTTTTCTAAGATATGTTATTAAAATCGCGGGAAATCTGTATCTGTATATATATATTAATATGTAGTCTATTATGTTCTTGTGTAAAGGAGTATTATCGTATATTGTCGTCCAGGATGCGGCGCGCTGGATCCAAGATGTTGTCAAAGAGGTCTGCGGCGTTTTCTCCCAATCATGAGACGATACAGCATGCAAGCTGAAGGACTCAGATATGATATAATATGGCTTTGATCATTTCTCCACGGCTGATCACGAGGAGTTACCCGTCGCTTCAGCCTTCTGACGTGAGTGGAGGTTGCGAATCGGGCGGTTAGTGGTTGATGCTTTAACGCCACGAGATATGCGCGAGGCCTTGGACTCGTTGAAACACTGGCGAAAGGAAGTTGAATGTTGAAGGTATCCGTGGAAGAAAAGGCGATATTATCATCTGTTTGTGATGGTCGGATGTAGCGGTTTTCCCTTTGATGCAGCAGCCCAGAGGATGAAACAGGCACAAAAGACAAGTTTGAGAATCAGGGGGTTAAAGCTATAAGACTCAAAAGTATTTATTCGATCCAAACTATTCCATAATCTCACAGTCTCCAAGTCTTTGAATATTTATAATATTTAATACAGCTGTTCAAAAAAGAACCAAGATAGCCACTCCACTCTGTTTCTATCACACCAAAAAGGTCAAGAAGTCAAAACAATCAGAAAATCCAACCAGATACTCGCTCCTGATAGATAAAAAAGGAAAAGAAAAGAAGAAGAAACGCTAGGGTAAATGGCAATCAAAGCAATGATAGCGAATTAAACACGTCCTCACTTATTAACGACACAGGCGAAGAAGCGAGGAAGATAAATGGACAATGGTGAATCTGACTTTTGGAGAGAAGCTGAAGAAAAGTGAGTTAAAATCAAGGAAATTCGTGATATAGTTATCATTAGTATGCAAGGGTGATGTGCTGATCCAATACTGGAGTCGATATCTGCCGCCTGAGGGGGGAAATTTGGAGATGATGGTATCGGCTAGGGGTTAGACGTAGGTGGCATAGGATGATCGTCGATGAACTCGGCGGCACTTCCACCGGACAGGCGAGTTTCATGAATATGGTCGCTGGCTCGATGCTGTTGGACATAGCCCATACCCTTTAGTTTGCCACGTCGAGCAGCATCAAAGGTGGAGGACGATACGTTTCTCTGACCCGATGGTTGTATGGGTGTTTGGACAGTAGTGTCACCGCTATCCGCTCTATGATGTGCCATTGAATCGTTCGAGTCAATGGATACAGGAGCGCTGTGCGTTGAAGACGATTTGGAACCAAATGGCAATCGTGACTGGTGCAGAGCACGGCTGGAAAACGTCCGTTGAGGGATAAGAGCATCTGAATTGGCAGCTTCGTAGTCCCGGGAGCTGTTGCGGGAATGAGGTCCGCCTATAAAGGGTTTCGATGCATCGCTGGGCTTTACGTCTTTGAGGTCGACGGAGGTGCCACGTTTGGAGCTTTTGCGAGGAATGGTGGGGGGCCGTATTCGCATGCTGCCATGGGGCCCTGGTTGTGATTGGGATTGAGAGCGGGAGTGGGAGTTGGTGGAATCTGACGGGCCGCTGCGGGTGCTTGTTCGACTGGGCAGTTCGATGGCGTCGTCGATTAAGATGGGTGGTAGGACCGGTTTGTCGTTGTCTGTGACAGCTTCTGCTTTGGCCTCTTCGGTGGGAGGAGATACTTTTGGATTAGGAGCAGGAGAAGTGGTATTATTATTAGTAGTAGAACTTTGCTGTGTCTGGTCTGGGTCATCCCTATATGGCTCCGTGAACCTATCCTGTTCAGCAGGCGGTGGTTGCATTGCAGCCTGTGGAGGAGCTCGAGAACTTCGAACAACCTCGAATCCTTTACCCTTGTCCTTGGTCTTGCCGCCGAATAGGCTCTTTAGCCATCCGCTAGCCGATGAGACTGGGCCAGTAGGATCAGCAGGACCAGTCTTCAGCTTTCTTGTAGCGGAATGGGATAGTGCAGGTCCCCGTACCCGATAGTAAAAGTCGACCTCCCGTACTGCGTAATCTGTTCGGAGGGATGGGTCACCGTCAGCGTCACCGTCGGGGTCTTCCCTGGGGGCACCAAGATAGGCGGGCGTTGGAGTCCCTCCGTTGCCTACAGGATGACCAGCCAGGACATCGGCATCATGGTCTGGATCAGGATCGGGAGTGTCAACAGCACAACCCGACTGTCTGTTGATCATGTCACTGCTAGTCCGGGAAGTGTGGCGTATGCCTTCTAGGGTCGCGCGCCGTTGCCGGGGTGGGCGGTAGTACGGGTCTGCCGTCTCGTGTTTAAGTTGCATATGCACGATGCCGCTGCGCGGTGACCCGCCGCCGCCTGAAGCTTGTCCTGGCCCAGTTGAGAAGGCTCCAGGGGTGGTAGGTGTGTACGGGCCGCTACCTGTTCCACGAGGGTTACTGGCATTAAACAGACTCCCTGTCCCGGACTCGAATCCAGTGCTGGCCCTGTCTATGCCTGGTCGGTTGAGAAGGACTGCGGAGCTTCCCGAGAAGCTGCGAGGTCTCTCGCTGTCGAGCTGAGTAGACGGACGCTCAATGTCGACGTTGAGCATGGTAGCCTCAGAATTGGTGCTTCGACGTGGTATGTGGCGCTTCCTGGGAGAGCGACGGGATAACTGACGGACACCAAACACCTACATACGTTAATAATTTCTTTTCCTACCTTTTTCTGCTTCACACAAGCGGGTAGTTTCTGGAAAGCGTGGACATACCTTTACCAGACCTCCTCTAGCGGCTTCTCCTTGGGCGCCTGCATCACCTCCCGCTCCAGCCTGTCGGGCAACGACCTCAATGAGTGTTTGAATAGCATTCAAAAAGAATCCGAATATCAGCACCATGCCATGTAACGTCAGAATAACGTATCCAATCCAACCCTTCGCTGAATCCGGAATGTCCAGCGACGGGACAAAGGCGACGGACAGGAGAATGGTCAGACACCGGACCAGTGCAAAGACTATGTGGTATGCATTCATTGAGGTGGGAGACTCAAACGGTCTGAAGGCAATGAGTGTTAGTATCATGGTGACTTCACAAATGGCCAGGATAGCGATCTGGGCTATTCCCGACGGCTGGACCGCGCCAATGGCTATCCCTCGCATACCCGTGAGGAGGACGGAAATTAAGGCGAAAGGCGCGGCCCCATCGCTAAAAGTGTTGTACAGCGGTCCGTACAGGTGCACGGTAGGAAGGTCATCAAACAGATATGACCGTGGACGGGTACAGAAGATGAGATAGAGCAGCCAGGCCGCGAATCCAGCCAATATGACCAGTAATATGACAGCCAGTGCCACGACAAAGATGGGAGAGGAGCCAGCAATAACTAGCTGGAACATGGACAATGAGACGAGCGGGAGCAGGAAGAAGTTGAAGACGATCCGAACGACGTTTCCCAAGGTGAAGGAGGTGTTTTGGGACTGCAGGTCCTGCTCCGCTACGTGGCTGAGATTGTGACGGATCCATCTGAGGCCGAAACCGAGCTGTATGACCACCGTGACGATGGCGAGAATGACAAGCAGCCAGATGACGGAGCCGGCCCAGATGTCGACTGCCCGTGTCATACCAACGAATTGGCCTATCCGGTCGAGACCATAGGTGCCGTTGACTGAGTAGACGCCATCGTTCAAAGGTTGGGTACCGTTCCCGTGGCTGACGAAGCTCTGGTTGAACATGAGAGCGGACCAACCGAGCTGGCTGACGACTGGCTGGTAGTAACCCGGGTAGCTCAGAGTAAGTGAACCGGTAAGTATGATGAACTGGATGTACTGCAGACAGTCCGCAAACCCTGGAGTGACCAGGCGGATGAGGTCCTCGTCACGGCCGTAGTTGCAGGACCACCGAAAGATGTCGGTGGTGCCCCAGGGGCTGTAGATGGCAGCGTATATGGTAGCCACACCCACGAGTATGAGAATGGCCAGCGGGACGTATGCGAGAGCCGTTCTCAGGGGAGAGCCCAGATCCGGGGTGATGTCGGCCACCACACAGCTGTAGGGTGTCTTGCTCACATCTCCCGCCTTGACCTCGAGGGTGGCCAGCAGCGAGGCAAAGGCGTACGAAGACGTTATATTAAACGTCGTCGAGTACGCGCGCAGTCCAGACGTTGAGTCCCTAGAACCGTTAGTATATCTGGTTTTGTATCATATAGATGGATTAGACACATACCGGCTGAAGTTAAAGACCGGCCCCAGGGGGCACTCTCCCTGGACGAGGGCATCACAGAACGGGACGACAGAGGCATTGGAGGCAGAGAAGCCAACGACGTCCACCTGTGGAAAGAGGGTGGTGAATGTGTTTGTGGACGGGTTGACTCTGACTATCTTGCCCAAGGTCTCGTTCGGATTGGACCAGTGCGGGTCGTTTGGCGGCGGATAGGGCTCTCTGGTCTCCGTGCCGCTGACGTTCCCGTAGACGGTTACATTGAGATTCAGTGCCGGCAGCGAGCTGTTGAACTGCGCGGCCACGTAGAGCGGGATGAACTGGAGCTTCAACGGGCTGGACTTGGTGATGGAGTCTGGCAGGCAGTTTGTGAAGGGGACGAGAGCGGCCTGGCAGACGTTGACGGCGAGGAGGAAGACGACAACGAGGATCGATAACCACGGAGACGACGACGACGACATCTTCATCTGCAGCAGAGGGAGGCCGGCTGGAGGAGCGTTGTCTGGTGCATCTCGAGCTGGTCCGTTGTTGTTGTTGTTGTTGTTGTTGTTGTTGTTGCTCCTGTTGTTTCTGCTGGCGATGCTGTTGCGGGCTCGAGGCTCGACCATCTCCCCTTTTTTTGCTTCTCTTCTAGCTGTCGTCCCCCCTTCCCCCGACGAGATACGGTCCCCCTGAAGGAGATCCAATTGGCAGAGACAGGCAGACGGTCGCGCGGTAGAGGCGGTTGAACGAGTGGTCTGGTGTTGGCCGTTGTCTGTTGGTGGCTTGGAGCCTCCCTCTCCATCAGAGACAAGACAGTAACAGTCGCAGGTTGCAGGCAGCAGTGACAGTGACAGTGACAAGTAGAGAAAGTAGAGCCAAAAAGAAAAAAAGAGAGTCGAGAAAGAAGAAACGAAAGTGCTTTGAGCATTAAGATTGTGATAAGAGGAAGAAGTTCGATATATTTAGCTATAAAATATGGTGTAGTTTATATATATGCAATGGTGGCGCAGTTCAGCCGTTCTACATCCGCCAAAGATTGATCGAGATATGTGCAGCTTACCAGGTGAATATTTCCGAGAAGCTGAAGTAGACATGATAGAAGAAGCAAAAAGGCCATCGAGATCTTCTGGTCCTTTTTGCGACTCTCTGCAAACGAAGGGCTCGAAGTTGGCTTTATTGACTCGGTGACACGCGAGATGTGATATCGTCTTTTATAACCATCTTATAGCCTCTTTTATATACTATCCTGTTATAATTCTTCTTCTAAAACATCCTTACATCTTCCATCCTTGCTTCTTCTTCCCATCTTGCATCCTGCTAATAAATCATCTTTTCTTACCCCTTGATCGTTTCATCTGCAGAAAAGCACGTGAGCCCGAACTTCTTCTCGAAACATTTCGCAAGGTAGAAACAAGAGAAGAAACGAAGTTGAAGAAGAGGAGAAGAAGAAGAAGAAGACGAGACGACCGAGAGCGACAGCGACAGAAGACGATTGATCGCTGGCTTGTGCTGGCGCTGGACGAAACGACTTGCTGGCCGCAGACATAGACCTCTCTCCCTCTTCTCCCCCCCTTACTCTCTACTACTCTCTCAACTGCTACACGGATAGAGGCGAATGCAGGATGTTCAACTCTCCCGAGACGAGCAGCTTGACGGCTGCAGAGACAAAGGTCGCCCGCAAGTGGCGTGGGAAGCTCTTCTCCCGTGAAAAAGAGATCAAGCAGTCCTCCAGAGACGAGCAGATAGACGACTTCCTCGCCTCCACACGCCCTCCCGTACAGCATCACCACTCGCCAGCACAGCAGCAGACACAGCAGCCATTACACGCTTCATCGTCGCAGATACACCAGCCGCAGGCCAGGAACCCCCCCAAGCTCGACGTCTCCGTCTCGCAGCGGTGGCCTGGGGCTGCTCAGTCGCCCACGCCAGTTGCCGGCAGCAACAGCCTGGACCGAGGGAACAGCCATAACAATGGGGACGCCAATGGACTGGGGAGCGGCATGAAGAAGAAGCGGCGGCGGCGCGAGGGCCTCCGCGTCACCTTCTGCGACCGGCCGCCGTCCATCATGGGTGAGGGAGGCGAGGAGGCGAACGCCCCGACGATGGAGATATCGCTTTATCGTGCACGCTCCAACTCGTCCACTTCCCAGTTCACCGACGGCGCCGACAGTGGCTCTTCTGCAGACTCCAACTTTCCTGACAGGGAGCCGGCGCTGCCTTCTTTTGCTGTCTCGGGGCCGGATGGTGATGGCGACGACGGGTTCGCCAGGAGTGGCAGCCAGGCGAAGAAACAGCTGCTGCCGTCGCCGGAGATACGTAATGCACAGAACTCGGACTTCCTCCTGTCCATCAGCTCGCAGCCTAGAGGGTCACGGCTGTCCTGGCGGGATACCAGTGATGAAAGCTCGTTTGCGGCGAGGATACGGGCCAAGATGAGGGATGAGGAAGGGTTGGCGCTGCAGAAGGCCCTGGCCGCCCGATCGGAGCAGACATCGCCAGACCTCAGTAGGGACAAGGACTACGATAGGGACTACAATAGGGATCAGAGGGACCGCAGCAGGGGAGGTGGTTATGACAAGGACTCCAATGACTACGACAGGGACCACCAGCGGCAGAGCCCACCCCAGGAACCGACCAGTGGAAAGGGTGGCCTCTCTTTCTGGAGTAGTGTCATGGCTGCCCTGCCAGAAGAGAATAAGAAGCAGCAGCAGCAGCAGAACAGTCCTCCTGACGGATACCCTCCTCCTGTTGCTGCCGCTCCCGCAAAACAGATTCGTACCAAATCCCCCAACCCTCCAACCACGTCTCCGCCCCCGTATGCTCGGTCAGAGTCCAAACAGGCATTCCACAATGTCAACCAGCAGCACCAGCAGTCAGACAGGCTGCAGGCCCAAAAATCAGGATACGCGGGCCATCACTCCAAGAGTTCCTCTGCTTCCTCCTCCGCCTCTGGCAAGTTCAAGAACATGGCCAACATGGTAGGAGATGCCGCCATATCTGAATTCTCTGCTCACGCAGACCGGTACACCACCCTCTTCTCACGGGCTGCCGAAAGTGTCAAGCCCATCATGGAGACGTCGCTATCAGAATGGGTTCGTGCTAGTGTATGGTGGTTCATCAAGGGCAGGGCAGAGCTAGAGGCTTTCATGCGCACCCGTCCTCCCAACTCGGCCAACGGGAGACAGTCACCGGTGACTGAACAGGCGCAGCAGGCTATCGTCAACCTGGCCAAAGCATGGTGGATCAACCAACACCTCATCCCCCAGCATCCAGAACTCGGCCAGTTTGGCAGGATGAAGCCAGAGGCCATCCTCTCGATGGTCCAGTCGATGGGCAACGATACCCTTGCCAGCCACATCAGCATCCACTGTGCTATCATCAGCCATCTGCGTGCTCTCTCCATGTCGATGCAGCGGAACAAGATTCTCCCTTCAGCAGATCAATCCACCGCCCTGTCCCAAAATATCGATGCCTCCATCTGGATCCGCTACCCGTTCTTCGCTCCAGGAATATCGTCCATATTGTCTGGCTCGGGCTCAAAGTCCATGCTGATCGACCACTCGAGCAAAAAGCCCGATATTGGCGAAACAATGCCCATAAGCGATACTAGCCGCCATTTCTGCTATGGCCGAATGTTTGTCGAAGTCTGTCTTGGTTCTGCCGACGATGACACGGAGCAATATGCTATTCCGTGCATGCTGTCCATCACCCGCGACAGATCAGACTGGAACGTCATTGCAACACTGACAAGCCAGAATGAGCTTGTCAACTTGACCATACAGTCTGAGAAGAAGCATGGCCCAACGTGGGCTGACATCGACTGGCAGGTCCGCTTCAACTCCCTCACTCTCCGTCTTCCCCGTGGATTCGAGTTAGACATCAAATTCCAAGAAGCAGATTTCAAAATGCTCTGGAAGATAGTCGAGTATACCCGCAAGATACAAGAGGAAATGCAGCCCGCCTCTGGAGAAAGGATGGTGTTTGCAGATGTCCTCAAGGTCTTCCAGTATAACGAGAATTCGCCCAACAAGGCATTCCCTTCTGAACCTACCCAACGCTGCAGGATACAGCTGTTTGAAAGGACGACCAAAATCACCGAAGGAACAGGCACACGCGAATCACACCGTGGCTTCCGCTTCTTCGCCGTCACCAGCCCGAAAGTGAAAACCCTCAGTAGTGTCACGCATATTCTAGGGAACGGCTCCCCTATTATATTCGGCTACCTACGCGGCGACGACGGCGCCCCAGCAATGATGCTCAAACATTTTGAAAATGGCATTGAGCACTCCATGCTACTTACATTCCAGGACTCTGAGCTTCGAGCAAACTTGCACTCCTTGCTCATCGGCATCACACCAACGGATTCAGAGTCTAAATCACCAGATCTCTCCTTGCAATCGTTCACCATGATACAAGGGCCTGACCCGCTAGGCAGCTCTAGCCCTACCCTCGGCTCCAGGAAGACGTACCTCAAGTTTGATAAGGGTAATGCATCGGTCATTAATACGACGCCGGACTATGGTGCACCGTGTACCGTCCTCTCGGAGCGTTTGCGTGTCTTCATCAGTTCGAGCTGGGGCTCGGTCACTGACAGGATTAACATTGGACCTGGCGATTTGAAAATAAGCCTTGATATCAACATTCCCACTATGATAAGCGTGATAAGACCGCCGCAAGAAGACTTGGGTGTGGCCGTGGCAGAGAATATGGTTCCAAAGGAGGTAGCTACACAGATGAAGGACCTGCTCACGGTCTCAAAATCCCAGTCTGTCATTAGGAAGTATAACTTTGCGACGCTGCAGGGTTGGTTCCCCCTTCCCCCGGTTTTTTCCCCGATGAAGAGTCGTGCTGACTTGTATAGACATGCATCACTTCCAACAGGGCATCACTGGATTCAAAGTACTGTTTGACGGGTAAAGATTTCTTCCATTCTCCATGACATCGATTTTATACTAACACCCCACAGCTATGCCTCTATGTTCGCCATCGCCCGTCGACGCATGGTAGTCCCCATATACAAGAAATGGGAAGCCTCCAAAGCTCGTCTTCAGATCATCCAACAAGAAAAGAACGTCCAACTAGTCGCCTTCCTAGCCGGCTTCAGCCACGGCAGAAGCATGAATTTCGTCCTCAAGAGCACCGATAACTTTGAAAGTTTCAACCGCTCAGGTAAATACGGCATTAAAATCGTTGATGCCAAGTTCGCGCTGCCCAAGAACAGCGACGACGAGTCTGCTGACTACGTCTGCCTGGATATGCCGGAATATCCTGGTGAGCACGACGATATCACCATCGGCTTTGACTCGGAGAATGGTAAGGCAGATACGACATCAGACTTGGGAACTACCAGCTAACTTCGTTGTAGATCGTTATAATTTCCAATCGGCAGTGCCTGGGTCAGTGAAGGAACCATCTAGAATGGGCTCACTGCGGAAATAAAATGTCAGTCCCGAAATTTCACTTTTGTACGGTTCTTTTGGCGTTTAGCGTGTTTCTCTCCTTTCTGTTCTTTCTCCTCCCTAGTTCTATGTCTCTCTTCTTGCTCTCTTTTCCTCGTTTCAACTATCTTCTTATCCAGAGGGCTTGTGTTCAACCTCTTTCGTTAATTCGTCTATCGCTCATGTCGACACGAGACTCGACGACACCTTTTCTCATCCGACGTTGAAGACTGTACACCCCTTTTCTTCTCTGTACTTCCACCGCCTTTTTCTCTCTACTTCTCTCTCTGCTTTCTTCTCATTACCCTCTGTCGGTTTATCCATTGATGTGGCAGGTTGTCCCACTGGCGCTTTAGATCGTTGTATGCAACTGGATATATCAAAGTCCCTACTTTTCTTTTCTTTATTCCCTTTTAGGACTCCGCGTAAATTTTACACGTGACTTCGCGTTTCGGCGCGGCAAACCTTCCAAGGTTGGAAGCAAGAAAACGCCGGAAAAAGCCCCGCACTTTTGGTTGGGCCGAGTTCGGCATTCTTCCGCCGCCCTGAAGATATCCACGGACATATATTTATATAAAAAGGGAGGGTCTGCTTCCCCTAGACAGCTGTATAAATTGTATATCACCAATATCGTCAAAATGGCAGAAGAAATCAAGCAGAGCTTCGCTAGCATGGATCTCGAGGGCAGAGGCAGGTCGACCGTTGCCCTCCACGCCGATGACTCCCTGAACAATGTCACCGATGTGTCTCCCCCAATTCACTTGTCCACGACGTTTAGATACGCAGAGAACCCAGACGACCTGGTCCCAGAGTCAGATACACATGTAAGTCTCTCACATATACACTGGGTTATCTAACCATACTAACTTCTCACAAGCTTGGGAGAGAACAAACAAATAACTTCATCTACTCTCGCTGCGGTGCACCAAATAGCACCCGTTTTGAGACCATTCTTGCCCCACTAGTGAATGGACACTGTCTTGCCTACTCGTCCGGCCTCTCAGCTCTTCATGCTGCTCTCGTCTTCTTCAACCCACGCCAGATCGCTATTGGAAAGGGTTACCATGGCAGTCACGGCGTGATAGGCGTGCTTTCACGGCTGACCGGTATGAAGAAGATAGACCGTGACTGTCCCGCCGAGCAGCTCGAGAAAGGCGATGTCATCCTTCTCGAGACACCGCTCAACCCACACGGGGTCTCTTTCAGCATAGAAAGCTATGCCAAGAAGGCTCACTCACGCGGTGCATATGTTCTTGTCGACAGCACATTCGGACCACCTGGTCTTCAGGACCCGTTTAAATGGGGCGCAGATATGGTCATGCACTCGGGTACCAAGTACCTTGGCGGCCACAGCGACATGCTGTGCGGTGTGTTGGCCACCCAACGAAAGGACTGGTATGCATCTCTCTTCCATGACAGGCAGTACATTGGCAGTGTCATGGGCAATCTGGAGTCCTGGCTCGGTATTCGCAGTCTGAGAACACTTGAGATCCGTGTGCAGCGTCTGAGCCAGAACGCTACCAGCCTGGTGTCCTGGCTTGATGCAGCGCTCCACAAGGGCAAAGAAGGAGCACCAGAGACAACGGTCACGGTCACAGACGAGGAGGCCAGCCTTATCCAAAGAACGGTGGCTAAGGTCAATCATTCCAGCTTGCAGAAGGAGGATATGGAGTGGCTCTCAAAGCAGATGCCAAACGGATTTGGGCCGGTATTCTCTATCATGATGAAGGAAGAGAAGATCGCGCGTGCATTGCCATCAAAACTGCATTTCTTCCACCATGCTACCAGTCTGGGAGGTGTAGAGTCGCTCATCGAATGGCGTGCGATGAGTGATTCGTCTGTTGAGAGGGAGTTGCTGCGGGTTAGTGTGGGTTTGGAGAACTGGCAGGACCTGAAAGACGATATTGTTGCTGGATTAAAGAGTCTGGTCTGATAAATGCTATATCCTTGTATCTAATTGCGTTGCAATTGCGCCTAAATTGATAATCAAATACTCTGTACTCCTGCTCCAAATCCCTCGATCCTATATAGCCTTCCTAATCGGGGAAGGTGCTCCCGCTACTTTAATTCTATAAAAGAAAGAGAAACGTTCTATATTCATAGCGTTAGCTCTCTGATTACCTTCTTATCTACAAATTTTATCAGAGTATATTGGTCTCACCTAGCTACTCATTCATCGATATATCAAACATGGTGGACGTCGTCATCGAAATCGTTCTGCCGAACTATTTGGTCGGTAGTAAATTTCTGGCGCGAAGGGGCAACCTACAATTGGGTGAACTTGGTCCTTGCTGCTAACAGCTGGGTATAAAATAGGGGCCATTCTGTTCCATACATCTTTATCATTGGGCGGGGTGACCCGATATGCATGGTTAATGCTTATAAGCGCCCGGTATCTAAAAAAAATTCGCTGCATACCAACAAGTTACATACCAGCCAATGAATGCGCTCCAGCACCTTGTCACCAGCATTCCCTTAGTCTGTTACGGCAAACTCAATGCAACAGCAAAACCAAACAGCATTGTCAGGTTTAGTTAGAGGTTCTAGGGCTTGTTCTTATTGGGGTAATAAAGGCTTGCCTAATACCCTAATATAAATATCATCCCCTCCCCCCTTTCCTTCTATCCTTATTCCATATCTTCCGCCATAATAGCAAGAAGGTCTTATTTTGTCCTACCCTACTCTTATATCAAGTATATACCGAACGCCCTACAATTCCACTCCGTTGCCATGCCTGGCCAAGTCATCGGTTGAGCCTACAATTATATCACTGAAAATTTATGAACATTGTGCTAGCAGGCCGTGGCCCTGGATGGGTACGCGCCTTGGACCTTGTCCCAGACACTCTAAAGACCGAAATGGTAAACAGAGTTAACCAAGAGAATGATGCCAGAAAACTCTTCGGCCCTCAACAATTGGGGAATATTGATGAGATCTAAATTCAGTAGGCAATTTTAATCCACAATGCAAATTTCATCTACAAATTATATTAACAGAAATGGAAACGGCGAACATGTTACGAGGAAGCACGTTGCTAGGGACCCTGCCAAACAGAAATAGAATAAGGTCGAACAGAGAGGGTATGCCACCGCGGCGTTGGTATGTTCCTCAGGAAAAAGTACATCCTGACTATTGAAGCTGGCGAGTTTTTGGAGAGATAAGAGCAGTAGCTGGGCTTGATGATGATTATTTGGCAGGATTTTTGGTTTGATCCGAAACTTATTGTGTACGTAGGTTTATATCTTTTTAATATCTTTCTAATCATTTTCTGAGGGCAGTTGTTCTATTTAATCATGCTGAACAGGATGCTTTAACTTCGTTTTAAGTTAACTTTGTAGTTAGGCATGTCGTGCCGTAACTTAAATATTTGGCCAAAATAAAAATTTAAAACGATGCTCAAGGGATAAAGGTAGCTTTGTACATGATTACATGACTTTGGTGGGAGAGAGGGAGGCCATAGGCTCCTGTTCATTTATCAGGATAGTATTGGCGATCATGGGGATTTATAACATCAGGAAGATATTTATATTCTTAACATTTTTAATATAGTAATTACACCTCCCAAGGTTCTTCACACATGAGATATTACTTAGAAGTGTTTAGCCTGTCACCCAACGGTGACTTAGCAGCTCGGCGGTCCAGCGCTTAGCTGGATCAATTTGCAGCATTTGGGTAGCGAAATCGATCTCTACTTCGGTTCCATTCCGTGCTGCTAGGAAGGATGCCATTGAGGGTGTTTTGGTCTGAGCCACAAGTGAGTCGACAAGTTTAAGGTCATTAGCACAATCTGATTGAAGGAAAGCGTCAGGCCATGGATTGTTGAGACCAAAAAGGCGTTTCATTTTGGTCAAGTACATTATTTTGCGCCGGAATTCATCGATATCAGGACATTTTAGATCAAGAAGTAAAGCTTGAAACCGTATTCTAACAAACTGCGTGAAATGGATCAGAATATGCCAAAAGCAATCTTAGCCTTTTTATCATGCTTACCAAAAGACCCAGATTCCAAATATCTGCGGATGGACCCCAGGGAAGACTGAGCCAAACTTCAGGAGAACGTACGGCAAGAGGCTGGATAGGAAAGTTATTTGGAGCTTCAAAAACTAGTCAAGCTGTCAGTTATTACCATCATAGTTTCAGTCGTTGTAGATTTATAGGTTACCATTTTCGAAATCGGCTAGTTTAACTTCCATATTAGGCATCCCTACTTTGGAAAGGAGGATGTTCCTTGGCTCGATATCTTGAAAAAAAAGGGACAACGTTAGTGGACTCCTTTACCAATAGCAAGCTAAAAGACTCGTCTTATACCTGTATGGACGTAGTTTCTAGTGTGTATCACGTTCAATGCGCGAAGAAGAGAGGTAATCATTTCTTTAAAAGGTGGTTCTTGTCGGCGTTTCCACATGTCGGGCAGTGAAACATCCATATGCTTCAAAACGAGGAAAGGGGGCCCGTTGTATTCCTCCGCCGGCACATCAACAAGGGCCCTGATATAAGGAGAACGGAACCTCAGTAGGTTCTCCCTTTCACGCTCAAGCAAGCAGTCATTCTCGACTTCCTTTCGGAACTTAATGATCACTCTAGATAGTAGTTAATGTAATGTCAGCTAGATGGTCTTAAATCAGGGCATAAATTGAACTTACCTTCGGCCGTCATATGATTTTGCGGTCCAAACATGACTGACGACTGGAGACACACAAGATTCAAGAGTGTAGCGCCCCAAACGGCCAAAAAATGATAGAGAAGCCTTCAAGCACATCTTACTTGCTTATCTGGCTGGCAGATTACTCAAATTGTAAAATACGCATTACGATGCATCTTTGGTTGGAAATAACCCCCCGAATAATGGAGTTTATAGGTATTTTAGACTCTGCTTTATAATCTTATATACGGAGTATATATAAGTATGCAATTCACGTTAGGTGATAAACGAAGTATCATTAGCTACATAGAGACAGCGATTACCGGGCTTCATAATTAGCCGCCGCAATGATAACCAAACCAGCTACCCAGCAAGAGAGAAATCAAATGCACAGTGCTTACCTCCCGCTCCATTTCATAGTTAGAGGGTGAGAAATAGGAGCTTAACAACAGTATACGGAAATCTGTGGCTGATATCTTATTATCGGAAGTCTTAAAAGAAGGCAAAAAAGGGCGTGGGTGAGGAGCGTATAGTAGTCGTGACCTTACACAGCGAGGTGTATGGGCGGATCTGCGCTATCATAGTTAACAAGTAATGAAGCACCAAGGGGGCTATATAAGTTGCGTCCAAAGGCCACACCACCTGTGCCCACACATTTGGTGACACCTCGATTTACTCCGTACTGGCATCCATCGTTACTCCGATTGGTTAGAGTATGCCGTTCCCTTAGTCATCATATCACGGCGTTTTATCACAGAAAAAAAAATACGAAAACAGACCAATTCACTATCGAGACAACGAAGAAACCAAAGGAAAAGATCATACGGAAGGCGAAGAACTCACCAACGCTCCTTAATTTACAATGTCCTCACCAGATATCCCAACTTCCTTCACAGGAACGTTCCAACTCCACTACTTCGCCAGTGCCGCTTCGTATACAAAGAAGAACACCGAGTCCTTCCCTGCTCCCTACCCGCTATGCAGATTGTTTGATCTTCTCGAGTCACGGTATCCAGGAATAAAGACGAAAGTTCTGTCCTGCTGTGCTGTTAGTGTTCGCCTAGAGTATGTGGACGGGGAAGAACTCGAGGTTGAAACCGCAAAGGATAAGACGAGGATGATCGAGTGCGAGGATGAAGTTGCCATTATTCCTCCCGTGAGTTCAGGGTAGAGCTCGTCGAACGGCTTATGGTTATGGATGCAGGATAATGTACTGAATGATGCATCATATCGAGCCTACGACTTATGATTTTCATGAACTTATATATAAAGAGGCTTTTTATTGCATATATTCAACTTTTTGTCAGCACATATTCATAAAATGCAGATATTACAGACTTTTCTCCCTCCAGACCTATGCCGGGCCAGCCTGGAAGATCTTGGCCGCAACTTCTGGCTGCCACTTGGCCTTGTCCTTGCAGTAGATCTGAAGCGACGCCGGCCACTCCTTACTGCCCTCCAGCGTTGTCGTGCGGACGATATACTTGTCGTCGCCCATTGCGGTCTGGTGGTGATAGATGTGGGTGGAGCAGGTGGGGCAGAAGAAGCAGTGGACCGGGTTGCCTTTGCTTAAGTCAATATCAAAACTCACAACTATATAACGGGCAAACAGATGTCAGATACAAAGCGCACCCGAATCACCCTTGTAGGTGTACTTGGTTAGGTCGCCCTTCTTGATATCGAGGTCGTCCTTGGACACAACCTGGTTGAGGGTGAAGTCGCTGCCGTTTATGCGTTTGCAGGCATCACAATGGCTGGAGCAGTCGGTTAATAACTAGATACGGAGTTGCAGCCTACCAACGACAAGGATAGGCGTACCAGAGGATATGAGACTTGTCTTCAAGCTTGGCTGTATACTCGACAGCACCGCAGTGACATTTTCCCTGGATGGCCGACATGTTTATTACGGATTGATTTGATACTGGTTAGCCGATGGGAGGAAGAAAGGAGGAAAAGAGCATGAGGGCGACAACAACACAAGGCTATGGCTCTTTTATATTCCATCAGACCCCGCGCGTTCCCTTAGCAGTCTCTTTTTAACCTCCTCCAGCTTGTATCTTATTAATCTATTTGACCTTGAAGCTCTCACGCTGTATGACGTTCTCTTCCTTCTGTTCCACCAACCAACGCTGCCTTCCGACCACCAAATGATTATATATGCTCCATAGGCCAGGAGTCCGGGTCCCGTATAATCTCCTCCTGCAGATGCCATAATCACTCTGGACCTCTTCAGCGTAAACTATTCCACAGTAGCTCGCATGTAATATATAAATGTGCATAGCTCCAAGCTGGCTGCTTACATAACAGAGCAAGGGGCAAAATTGTTCCTCCTAGAAAGATTTCGATCTTCATCTTCATCTTCTGGCTTCACTCTTATCGCAAATGAATATCAATACTAGGTGATGCCGGAAGAGCTCATCTTGTCCAGCGTCCCTCGACCCATGGAAGCTCACGTACGGCTTCCTCTTCCCGCCTCTTTGTAGTGATAATCTATCACACGCTTGACCTCATACTTGCAACCTAAACTTTGTCCATCTCGTCTTATAACCTCTATATTATCATTGCTATTATGCTGCACATAATGCGACACTATGTCTCTCGCTACTACTAATCGGTCCGTGGAGAAGCCTTCCTCGTTAGCATGCCTTGCATGTCGGAGGAAACATCTCAAATGCGATGGTGTAATGCCAATATGTGGACGATGCCGCAAAACCCAGCTCGGATGCCATTACACCCCCTCTCGTCGAGGCTATAAGCCCAGTTCTAGAAATCAATATGCAGTCACATACGGTCCTGCGCCAGTGTTGACTCCTTCATTTGAATATACCGTACCTGCGGGCATACAGTTAACACCTCAACTGTCGACATTCTCCTTTGTTAGCACACCTCTCCCCGGTACTGTCACGACCAACGAAGATATCTCTTCGGATCAGAGCAGTTCAGTCCCTACCTGGGCGACAACAGAGCATCCTAGCAATAACAATAATAATAACAATAATAATAGCCTCTATAACCGGACTTCGTTGGGTACGGATAAACCGGTTGCGGCTGCTGCGATCTTTCCAGGCCTAGGGGGAGGAGGCCTGTATGATGCTATCACAGGCTTACGGGGAGACTCATACCTCATCGACATCTATTATGCGTATTTTCACGACTCTCACCCCATATTGCCGCCTGCCCACTTTCTACCCCGGCTGTATCCACTCCCAGCTTGCTTGGAAGCCACCATCAAGTTCATAGGTGCACATTTTGTCTCTGATATATCTCCCGACGCATACCGGCCGGCTGTCACCTCAGCGATTGCGCAAAGCGATGAATCCTGCTATAAGGTCCAATCTCTGCTCCTGCTTTCCATCGCATTGCACGGACGTAATGAACGGGGGGAAGGCGTCAAAGCGTTCACGGAGGCGGCAGTGTTGGCAATGAAGTTAGGCATGAATATGAGAACATTTGCTCCAAGTGTTGTAGGCGAGGACGCTGTCCTGTGTGAAAACATAAGACGGACGTGGTGGGAGGTGTATATGATTGATGCGATGTTTTCCGGGTTTGACCAAACCCCATGCCAAATTTCGAGCAGCACCATCATGGATGTTCCCCTCCCCTGCGATGACCTCAGTTATTCAGCCGGCATATACCTGACTGAATCACCCACCGCTGCCCAATTTTATGACAGAATCTTTGAGGACGAGGAAGGAAGCAAGGAGTACTCGTCATATTGCCATGCAATCGAGGCCTCGAGGGTTTTGAAACGTACTCTCAATCTTACCTACGCCCCAGAAGACCCAGAATATGACCAGATAGAGTCCATAGATGCAAATATTGGCAGCTGGTTCCATCATCTATCCCCTTCGAAGCGCGATATTCTAGCAGTAGATGACCAAGTGGATCAGGTCATGTTCCGTGCCTTCATGATAATTCACTGCGCATCGATATACTTGCATACACCCCAGTCTAACCTTCTCTCCACCCCTGTAGCCATCTCGAGCATTCCTTGTGGCAGGCGTTGGATCCGGTTGCTCAGAACAAATCCTTCCTCGAACCTAACTCACGCCATAAAATCGATCAAAGCTGCCAACGGTCTTGCAAACCTTGCAGCCCTGAGGTCACCGAGCATAAAACATTCGCCTTTTTTCATCTGTGGCATGGTCCTGAGCGCGCTCGTGCAGCTCTGTGCGTGTTCTGTTCGTGCGTCGGGAACACTGGAGCCTCGCCGAGATCGTATTGCCCTTCTTATCGGGGAACTCAAATCCTTAGGCCCGACATGGTCGATATCCAAGCTGGTGATGCGCCATATAAAAATGGTTGCAAGAGAAGTGCTTGATATTGGCGTCCGGCCACCAGCATACTCAACAACCGAGGATACTGGGCCTGACATAGTCACCATTGTTAACAGTGACTTATGGTTGGGGGATATCCCTCTTGAATAGGTCTTCATTCCAACATAACAAGGTCCCCATTTTCCCGTCCCTAGGATTTAGGATTGAGGTAGTTCTCGCAGAATGGGCGTATACCTTCCCCCCTTCATATATATACACCTACATATAAACATTCGCCCTCCCCAAGTTGATTGACTAACAATACCTGCAGGGTGCACAGATATTATTTTTTTCCTTTTTTCGTGACTTTTTTGATTACAGGATTTTGCAGTGGCGGGATACGACGAGCCTACATAAAAGTAACCGGCCAGCTCTTTATAGTGCATATCCCGCGAGTCCTTGCATCGATATTGTGTCTTATTATTGGATTTCGGCCTTCGTCGGCGACCATTGAACAAAACGGCGAATGCATCTCTTCGTTATTCACATACGAAGTTGCAAGAAGAAGCTCAGAGGAGTATACATATATTATTTGCAATATATGCCGATGTGTATATATAAATATATACAGGTCTCCTCCGTGGAGCCGTTGACTTTTCAAACTTTCGGGGTTTAGGCGGGTAAAAACTTTCGGGCAACATTTCATTATCAACCAAGACTTTTTTGGTTTCCAATCCATTATGATGCATGGAGTAAGCGGCTCTCGGATTTATTATGTTCATGTTACTCCTATTTGTGCGGTGGATGATGGCGAGGTGTTCCAAGGAGTCATTGGAGGTAAAGGGATGAAGCATCATATCTGTTTACTTTTTCCAGCAGGAGAAGTGATGATTTATCCTGTTTTTATGCCATCTGTTAGCCAATACGTTATATTGATAATGTAAATCTCGAACTATCAATCGTTATTCATTATTTTTCATAGATGAATTAATAGCTCCTCTCTGCCCATTCTCAAATCATCAAAAGCTCCTCCCATCTTATTAAAACAAATAACAATTAACGAGGTACCATCACTTCAAGTCTTTTTCATATACAGTACGATCCATCCCAGGATTCGATATACTGCAGTGATCGAAATGAGGATTCCGGCCCATTGTGCCTGCTTATCAGTTGCGTAGCCAAAGGAATTCAAAACTCCTTCGCCTGAGATCTTGCACTGAGACGCAAGTTCACTGGTATACATACACTGGCACGACTTCCCGCAGTCGAAGACACGACTGGAGAACTCGTTGACCATCATCCCTTGGAATACATATGTCTGATTACCCAGATCAGTTAGCTATAATTTTCTTTTCTTCTTCCTCTTTGTTTGTTAAACGGGATGGAGAGAAGTAAAGGAAAAAAGAAACATACCTGATAGTCGATATAATGGAAAACATATCGCCAGAATACATTCAGAATAGCGGGTGCAACCATGAAGCCGCCTACACTCATCCAGATACCATTAATGAACGCAGTGAGCGCTAAAGCAACCACAAAGTTAGGGAATAGGGATGCGATCATGACTACGAGGGATTCGGCGGCTAGAAGGTCAAGGAAGAGCCACATAACCAGAGTGAAGAAAGTGTCTGCGCCTGAACGGAAGTTCACAAGCCAGTAAGCTACAACGGAGAATATGATGGTAATCATGACTAGAAGATGGTTAGCTATGATCGGTGGGTGTAGAAAAGAGGACACATTGAAGTCATACATAAAAATGGCATTCCAATGAGGAAATTTGATATCACGAACGAGGTTGCGCCGTATAGACCGTTAGCTCTCTCCTTGATAAATGTTGCACGGTCTTCGAGGAAAGATGGCACATATGCAACAGCCATGAATGACATGAAGGCAGAGCAGAAGAACTATACAAAGGGTGTCAGTGGATGAATTGTTGGTCTTACTATGGTATACCAAAGCCAGGCTGGTACTCACTAGAGCATTGATGTACGGCTGAATGTTCTCCTGGCCGGTCCCGAGTCGCAGCCAGACGGTGCCCTCCATGATAGCCAGACCAAGATACATTGCAACTCGAATGCCGTATGCAACTACGTCACGATAGCCCTTAATAAAGGATCGGCGAAGCAGCGTGATGATAGTGGAAATGATGTTGGCATGCTGCATCTGCTCTGCTGAGAGGGTGATATTTCCTTGCTTCTCGGAGAGAGCAGTGAGTCTTGATATCTCGAGGTTCACATTTGAAGCCTCCTCTGAGTCGTCCCACTCCTGGTGTATTTTGGCCAATTGAGCCTCTGCTTCTTCAGTATTGGTTGCAAAATCAGTGCTGACAAGGTCAAGCACGAACTCGGCTGGGTTGATCTGAAGGGGCATCGGACGTCCAGTCTTGTCAAGGTAGGCCTTCATATCCCGTCCGGGTCCAAAGTAACAAGTCTTTCCCGCAGATAGGATGAGAAGCTTGTCGAAAGATTGGAACATCGAGGTAGAGGGTTGATGGATGCTCGCGATAACGATGAGCTGTTGAGACCTTGATATTCAGTATATATACCGCCCTCGGGTCCAATGCACAGGGGGGGATTTATATACGTGCAACTCACGTTATTCTTCCTGGCAAGGGCCTTCACAAACGACATGACTTCATAACTAGCAGTGGAATCTAAACCGCTGGTGGGCTCGTCCAGGAAGATTATCTTTGGACATGTAATCAATTGAGCGGCTACACTGACACGGCGTTTCTGGCCACCACTGATGCCCCTGCGAATTGGTGTACCGATCAAAGCCTTCGCTTGGTTTTGGATCCCAAAGGAATTGAGAAGATATTTGATACGCTGGATTCGATCCTTTTTAGGGATCGATCTATTCATTTATCCAGCATTAGCGATGTGAGAAAAGCGGCTTCACCTGTTGAACGAACGAACCTGGGGAGTGACAATTGAGCAGCAAAATACAGCGTCTCCTCCACCGTCAGCGACCCGATAAGCACATCTTCCTGCTCGACATAGGAGCTCAGATGTCTGAACGTCTCCCGGGATGCTGATCTTCCGTTGACAAGTACTTCGCCATTAACGCCGTCACGCAGACTATTAGCTCGACCTGCGAGTACATTCAATAGAGTCGTTTTCCCGCTCCCAGACGGGCCCATGAGTACCATAAGTTCACCTGCAGCGAATGAGCCCGGCATGTCAGCTATGCTTCAACATCTCCCCATCTCCAAGGAATATTGAGTGTTTCACCTTTAGATACATATCCGCTGGCATTGGAGAGAATAGCCTTGGGCTGCTTTGTCTCTCTATCTTTGACGCTCACGGTGACGGATTTCCAGGAGAAATGCTCGACCGTGTGGTTCATAAGAAAGGGATGCTCATCCCCGTTGGCCTCGAGATCGGAAACCATCATGCTCGATCCGAGTCTACCTCAGTATGGCACTCTTACTTGCTATAATTAATAACTATAGAACGCTCAATTGAAATCAAACACAGCCAGAAGTCATCCATGCATGGTTGGTCGTAAAGAGGGAGAGGGAGAGAGAGAACAGACGGCATACGGAAGGGCCGAAAGAAGGATGGACGAGGGAGAATAAGGCTGGAAGGCCCTGCAGGTCCTTGTGGATATAAAAGAGCGGAATATACAAGGGTGCATGCGAGGAGGGGCCTATTCCCATCCATCTGGGCGTGAAGAAGCCGTCCAAACGGAGGCACTACAGCCGGCAAATTATACACCAGGATACGGCAGTTCCTCCTTTTTCGCTTTCTCGCATATTTACACCTATAAACAAGCGCTATGGTAGGCTGTTGACGCCTCCTTATTGGGCCTCGATAGCGAGCGCATCCTGCGAGTCAACGAGTGTGCATCGTCTTGCCGTGCGGTGGAATAGCCCTGGTGGCATAACTACCCATATCTCGCAGTTCCTTCAGCTGCTTCAGCCTTCCTTTCAGCGCCCCTCCCGGAGCAGTGGTATCAACCATTCTTCCTTTCATACAGACCAGCTGACTGATATGCGGTGAGGTCGGTTGCTCCGCAGGATCGTTCGAGATTTATCGGGGTTCAGCCTATGGAGATATCCCATTCGAGTTAGAAGCGGGACGTAGGTATGGACCGTCCTCCCGCCCGAAGCACGGTGTCGGCACAAGAGAGATAACACGAAGTACAGCCCAGCTATGGGACCAGGGCCAAAGCGAGCGAAATTTCCCCGTAGCGTTGTGCTTACATGTGAGGCGCTGACGGGGAATGGAGACCTTGGTGGAGTTGGAAGTGCTGCTCATGGGGTCGATTGAGCCGGGCTCCCTGGACAAAGGCGCTGTCATCATCCCTGGAAGTGAAGGAAATAGTTAAAAGCAAGTCACTTAGCCCTGCATGCCCAGCACATATTACGAAGCTAATGAAGACCAAATTATTGGGGAATAAAGGTCCAAAGTACCAAGGACATGCCACAGTAGAAGAGCTATCTTTGGCATTCTGTCGCTAGGCTCTGAATGGATTATAAGATCATCAAGATCTTGTATCGCACTTTTAAGATCCTTCGGGGATGCATAGATGTATACATCTACGATCGAGTGCAGGGATACAACAGCAACGATCCATTGCTCCTTTTGTTTGAGGCAGCTGTTACCATGGCCGTGGATAATAATATACATATGTACGATTAGTTTATTTGCTTGAGACTTTATTCTCTTCAGCTTCCAGGCTGGTCTTGGATTAACGAGCGGTTATGCATATAGCGCGGAACGATAGATGAAGGACAAACCAATAGCTTATGCATCAATCGCGAGAAAGACAGTGACTCGGGTCGAGAATTAAACGGGGCAACGGATAACATATCGAATGTAAAACGACCAATGTCAAGCGTAGGCTGTATCAATTATGCCCTAATTTACATCCATTATGTACAAATCTTTATAGTACATGACTAGTAAGTCTGATTTCTATATTAAGGGGGGAATCTCAATGATGGTATGATAAACAAGGTGCCGTATGAACGAGTTGAGGCCATTTCCCAACGCGGGTAACCAAGGCCTAACTCTGGCTACTACCTCGTAGTTGTAAATGATAGGTTCGTAAGGACTCCTCGGTCATTGGGCTGGGAGTATTCACTATTGGGTCCTCACCTCGATTACCCTTAGGAAAGGCAATCACATTGCGTACGCTTTGGGTGCCTCGCATGACGGCGATCAGTCTGTCAAAGCCAAGTGCAATGCCCGCATGGGGAGGACAGCCGGCTCTGAGGCATTCCAGTAGATGTGAAAAGCTCTGGAGGCGAGAAGGTGGGACTTTTAGAATATCACGAAGAATTAATTCCTGAACTGCCGCAGAGTGGATTCTGCGACTTCCACCGCCAAGCTCAACGCCATTTACGACCAAATCGTAATGATCGGCGATAGCCTTGATAGGATCTGTTAAGAGAAGCGCAGCATCCTCTGCTGTCCGAGGTGCGGTGAAGGGATGATGTGTTGAAGCTATCCCAGCAGTGCCGCCTTGGCCAGGCTCTGAGTCAACTGACGGGGAAAAGAGAGGGAATCCGGTAATCCAGTGGAAATTAAACCCGACCGGTGGGCTGTGGAATTCTTTTTCAACCATAAATCTATGCATGGCCAGACGCAGCTCGCCTGCCCTGGTTGACCCTCCGCTGAAAGGCTCATCTTTCCGAGGCTGGAAAAAGAGCAAGTCGCCATGCTCCAGTTCGAAAAGCCTCTCTAGCTCCCACGCCGCTTCGAACCCTGCGGGCGATAACCCAGACATTGGTTTCGAGGAGTCAATGGCAAAGACTCCTGGCGCACCGTCGGGGTTATCCAAGAAATATTTGCCTTCTGAGGTGTTCATGAAGCTGTTTAAGACCCTCATGGTTTCCTTTGGACAGCCGTTCCCTTTTACCTTGAAAGCATCAATAGAGGGGGAATTTAAAGAAGTAATCTTGCTTATAAAATCTCCAGGTAGATATTGATCGACCCGACGAAGCCTCATGTCGAAGCGGGTATCTGGCTTGTCACTTCCGTATAAGCTCATGGCCATGTGATATGACATGCGCGGAAATGGTTCAGGCGCCAATGGTTCAGGCATAACGGAAGCCCACAGCTTCTTGACAAGCGCTTCAGTGGTGGTCATGACATCTTCAGCGGTTGCAAAAGACATCTCCATATCAAGCTATTCCCTATGTTAGTACAAGACAATTTCATGTTAGAGATTAACAATGGCACTCACTTGGGTAAATTCTGGCTGCCTGTCGGCACGTAGGTCCTCGTCCCTAAAGCAGCGAGCAAACTGGTAGTATCGCGGGATACCGCTCGCCATGAGCATTTGTTTGTACTGCTGCGGACTTTGAGGTAGTGCGTATGCCAGTCCTCGATTCCTTGTGGGAACCAGGAACTCTCTCGCCCCTTCGGGGGTAGACTTGAACAGAATCGGGGTCTCGACCTCTAGGAATGGTGGTTCGAATTCTTCCAAGGCTCGCCGTAAAGCTACATTTGCCTTGGCTCTGAAAGCCAACGACTGACGGAGAGACGCATCGTTGCGGATCTGCAAGTGCCGTTTGCTGGGTGGAAACACTGTGTCAGAAGTTACAATGATGTCCTTTGGAAACTCGTTGAGGCATTGTATATCTTGCAGTTCCACCTCCACCGTGTTAAGCCCATCTTTGTCGTCTACCTCACTGCTTTGAGGCTGGTTTTCCTTTGACTTCACAATCCCATGAATGGCGACGGCACTATTGGGCTCAATTGATTTCAATGCGTCGAGAACCTGAGAATTTGAAACGACGATTTGGACGCTCTGCGATAGAGTAGGGTCACTCAGCCGAACGAATGTCATATTCTTGCCAATTTTCTTCCGTTTACCGATATAACCGTGAAGTATGACCGTCTTGCCATGTTTTGTTTCTTTATATAGATTTCCAAAGGTTGTGGAGGCAGGTGGGAAGTCAACTACAGGCTCAAAGGTCGGTATGTCAGCATTTGAATATAGCTATCTTCACGTCGATCGAAGGGAGAGTTCTCACTTGACTTTGAGTATTGCTCTAGAAGTGGAACGGCTCCGCTTAATGAGCTAGTGGAATGCAACCGGCTACCCTTTTGGAGGGCGCATCTCAGACGTAACGAGCATGGTGTTGCTCGGCCTCGAAAGTAGTTTGATATCTCAATATAGCTCTGTCGGCGGCCGGTTATATTCCCTAATCGTGACGAACAGAATGCAGCACGTAGCACTGGCACCATCGACATCTCAACGGGTATTTGTATCCAAAACCAGAGTGAATTGTTGAAGCCAGGTCAGCTTTCTCTTGATGTTGTGTATCTTCATCACAAAAAAGAAGATCGTGATATTCACGTGACACGGCCAAACACACTAGCGACGAAAAAAACACATTTAAATTAATTTCTGTCGCTTCGTTTTTGTTTCTTCTTCTTTTTCTTCTTCATCCTTCCAAGTTTTATTCAAGTGAGTATTCCAGCCAAAGCCCGATTTTCCATCCGTACGAGACGTAGCATTATATGCTAATTTTACCTTTTTAGATGATGAAAGCCTAGCGTGTGAAATATGATTCAACTCGCTCCCCTTTCGACGTGGAAACTCTCCTTCTTCGGAGGGCTTAAGTGGTTTCCATGAAGGAGGCTGGAGAGAGAATGATATCGGCGTCCGGCACACCCACCTTGTTACTTTACGGACGCGATTAAGGTTTCTCTGATCAAATATCACTTGGAAGGGGTTTTTTTCTTTTCTCGCTTGATGGGTTAAGACGGCGTGGAATGTGGTTGGTTTAGTGTGTGCGTGCCAAATATTCCGTGGCCGATAATCAGGAGATCCTCACGTTATGGGTGCTTGGACACTGAAGACGTTGGACCGGGATCAGTGGTGCCGCCATGGTGGGAGCTGGGTGTGATCAATCACTCAAAGGACAGCAATTGATGCGTTGGCAACGTATTACATTTCTTAACCGGAGTGATAGTCAAGCCTTTTATGCTTCTTGACCGGTGGGCCCGCAGGAAAGCGAATGCGAAGCACTGACCAAAAGCCTCGATTTTACACAGCTGCAAGCGATCATCATATCTGCATGAGAAATATTTGTATTCCTGCATTTCCCCCAGCCCATCTTACCACCACCATAACCCGTTCCCTGTACGGAGTATCCCTCCCCCCCTACATACACAGCATGCTTGTATATACTATGTAAACCTGCCGGGAAACTTGCCGGGAAACACGCCCTGCAGATACATTGGCAAAGTGAAACGATAGCCAAAATAGACTCTTATCCTTGCCACCATGGCCAAGTGACTATTGTTTGAAATGCTGCATAAATGACTTCGCATAAAAGGCCAGTTTAATGAAGCTAGCAAAGAAAAAGCCATCTTGATATCTCGTGCTGGCCAGTAAAAACGCCCGTGACCCCAGTTCTTCCACGTGATGGCGCCAGGTGGAGCCCCTTTTTTGTCTCTCCCGCACGGGCCCTCGCAGCCTATTTTCATTTTCTTTTGGGGAAAATTTAATATCAAAAGGAACGGGAGAGCGAGAACGAGTTGGTTGATACTTAACTCAGCACTCCACTAGTGAACTGGGCTCAAGATCGTTCGATTTTTAGGGAACGACGGCAGCCCACACACAAGGGTTCTTTAGGTGGAGACCTGCTGTTTCGATACGAGGTCAGTCCGAGCGTTCATCCCTTGAGATGCCCCTGTATGGCGTTATGCACATCTAGGAGTGCACATATTGATATCAATAGCCTAGCGCTCGATCGACAGACTGGCAACCAAGATCCTCCCACGCAAGATGTACGTAGGCGAAAAGGCGGAACGCCAACACGGAGATGGGAATGAATGTCCACTATCGACACATGGCTGCACGACCATTTCGTTGAGATCGGCTCGATATGACAAGCAACTCCGGCTGGAGTTTGAGCGAGCCTGGAGGATATCATTATGAGACGTCCAAGAGTTACCCCGTCCAATGCCCATGCCGGACGATCTAGATGCACGCAGGTTTCCCCTTGCTGGGAACTGAACTCCGTATTATTCATCGAGGTTCTTCAAGCACCCATGTCCGGATAGTCGGAGGCGTCTACGGCCGAACAGCTTGGCTCTTCTATTTTTTTTTTTTTTTTGAAGCTCTTTTAAGTGATTGACAGCGTATGTGGCGGCTCTCGAACTACCACCCATCGTTTTCTGCTTCCTCTCATCCTTCAGTATTGTTACAGAATGCCATACCATTGCTTCCACGGCTGCAGCACCTAATATCTCCAGCCATTATACATATCACCAAAAGTTTAATGGCATGGGGGCTAACTAGCTCGAAAGATGCCATTATCCTGTTTGCTATAGGTGTTTGTTAACCTTGAAACAATTTTATTTTCCCCTTGCTCTTTGGTATCAAAGTCCTAGATGTCCTCTCTTCAACGAACCTACGGCGCAACGGACGAGGGCTTCTACTTTTTTCTAATCGCAGACATGCTGATTGCTCCCCCAGAGGTAGTCGCAACTTGGCCGGAACCGAACTATGTCAACCCGGAGCATCAGGGCCCTCATTTGATGATTATTGTCATCACTTCATTTACCATTTCTTCTATTGTTGTGGGACTACGGACGTATGTTCGAATTAAAATAAAGAAGAACGTTGGATGGGACGACTGGCTTATGTTGAGTACCTTGGTATGGTGCAGGACTACAAACCCCATAGATGGACTATATATACCTTGGTGCTGACATTTGGGTCAACTTGAAAGCCGATTTTAGCTGGAATCACCGTGTCTAACGTTATTGGCGTCTATCATGGATGGGGTAAGGTTGCCGCCGTTATTTTGGCTTCCTTTATACCGGTACAATTGCCACTAATATCTAAAATCATCAGGTTATCATATCTGGGATAACAAGCCTGAATGGGGAGTAACATGTCGTCTGGTATGGCAGAACTTCTCCTACTTCTTAGAATGCTGCTAACAACGTTTAACTACTATAGACCAGCTGGTGTTCCCAGATTATGTCTGTAGTCGTCGCCACAATTGTCAAGGCATCGATTCTGATTTCATACCTACGGTTCTTTTCTATCACAGCCACAGTCCTTAGACAAGGGACTTGGATCATGCTCCATGTTGTAGTAGCATGGGGACTTGGTGTGACTTCCTTAACCCCATCATGTGGAGATACCCCTTGAGGAAAACAATAGCTAATAATAGCGTCTCCAGCAACTGCGCTACCTCTGCTGTTTGTTTGCAAGTAAGCCGACCTTTAGAACCAAGATATTGTCAATTATGCTCATTTTAACTTACATGTCAACCATCAGGCCATTATCGGATTACTGGACAGACCCATATCGACGAAGTTGTATCAACAATGGCGCCCGTATTATCAGCGGCTCGATTCCCCATGTTCTTACAGATATCATTATTTGGATGCTTCCAATCCCAACGTTGTGTAAAATGCATCTTCCTGGTCGAGAGAAGGTGGTTCTTATCATCCTTATGAGTTTTGGTCTTATGTACGTGTGGTCTATTTTCTGGAAGATGGGCCTGGCCCGCACCCCTCCGGATGATACTCTCTAACATCCCCATTGCACAGTGCTTGTGCAGCCTCTGTTGTACGGCTTGCCTATACATACGTGATCCTTTACGTATCGTATGATTCCACGTGTAAGTTCACAACCCTTCTTGGGTTTTAATTCTGCCTTCTCACACCCTAACGAGAGACATTACTAATGTTTTCATTGTGCTTATCGTAGGGGTTGGGTACAATCTTTGGTTGTGGAATGACCTCGAGGTCAATTTGGCGGTTATATGCGCATCCGCCCCCGTGCTTCGGCCTTTGGCAAGAATGTACTTACCGAACTGGGGATCCAATGTATTTACTACATCCGCCAATAGCTTGCCCACGGAAGCTCAACCATCCGGCCAGAAGCAGATAAATCTTGTGTTACCTGACTGGAAAGGTGACGAAGAGAGTATACGGGATGAGAAAAAGTTCCTTGACCTACCTCCTATCAGCGGCCTGGATGAGAAAATCGACCTGAAACTTCCAGAAAAAGCACGACACCCAATAAAACAGCAGCGTGAATGAGAGCATAAAAACACCTATGCACCTAAGACCCACGGCCCTGTCAGCTCGCAGAGAACCCATGCATGGCGGATGACGACTACTGAAATCAACAAATGTATTCGGTACCACCCGCTGCTGGGTCATCTTCTGTCTTTCTGACCTCCCGGAAAATCATGATGAGACAGTTTTTTATAAGCCTAAACCCTGCTTATGAGTCTCACTTGCAACCCGTTAGCCGTCAAGAATACACAGCCTGGCCGGGAATGACGAATAAGTAGTCTTTTCGGGTATGGGATCGTGGAGGTGGAAGAGGGTATTCTCAGCTGTGCAGGAGTACCTTACCCGAACAAAACCAAGCTATCTGACGGGCTTGTCTGTGTGCTGTACCACTGTATTCAGGTGTTCCAACACCAGAAAACGCCAGCTTGTTCACTTAAACAAATCCGCCTGGAGCGGATTTCTTACTTGAACGTCCAATTCTAGAGCTCAGTTCTAGAGAGCAATAAACACTTAATTTAGTTTGTTTCAACATACAGAAGATTTCTCTTCTTTTTTGACTTTGTTCGCTTTGTTAGCGAGAGACCTATACTGTGACTCCCCTTTTACTTTGTACATATATCATCGTATACTTACACAGATCGCTGCGCCTGCATTCCTGGTTGTCCCACTACCGACTGGCATAGGCTACCTCGGAGATACAAGGCCGATATGATATCAACAAAACTTGCATGAAGGATTAATAGGCTCTTTCGGGAGGGATTGGCTGCTTCTGGCCTAGCTTTGCTAGCAAAGAGCTAAGCCGCTAGCACTCCAGAATACGACGAGGCATTGATCTGTCGATACTTCGTTTGAAGCTCGTAATCACTGACAAATACAAAATATCCGGAGTAAATATTCATCATATCCTTCTTGCGGGCAGTTAATTGCCCCGCTTCATATCGACCTGGACGGAGTTAAGGCCTGGATATATAACAAACCACTCCGTATATATATCTATATATATACCCTATCGTTGACCTTCCGGGGAATTCACATCTTCAGCCTCTTTGTACTAAACAACAGTACTGAAAAAGAATAAACTTGAGTTTCAATCACCCAGCAATCATGTCTTCTCCAAATGATAAAGCTCTTCAGCTCCGAAATCTGCATATTCCAGGGAAACCTCTTGTCTTCGCCAATGTTTATGATGCACCTACTGCCCGCATAGTAGCAGCAAACCCTTCCTCCACTGCTCTAGCAACAGCCAGCTATGCAGTAGCCGCCGTTCACGGACTTGGAGACGATGACCTTGATCTTCAGACAAACCTTGCGGCAGCTCGTCGCATTGCACCCATCGCAGCGGAGTTTAACAAGCCCCTCTCCGTCGATATGCAGGACGGATACGGCCCACGCCTCGAGGAAGCTATCGAATCAATCATTGCTGCCGGTGCCTCTGGCTGTAACCTGGAGGACAGGGATAACGAGACTGGAAAGCTGTTTCCACATGATGTCGCTGTGGATCGAGTCCGTCGTGCCATGGCTGCTGCTGTCAAGGCTGGAGCTCCAAACTTTGTCCTCAATGCTCGTACTGACGCTGTTTTATTGAACAAAGACCTCGAAGATGCGATTGTGAGAGGCAAGGCATTCCTAGAGGCCGGTGCAACCACCGTTTTTGTTTGGGGTGGATTGTCCCGCGCAGACGTCGAGAGGCTCACAAAAGAATTCGGTGGAATGCTGAACGTCAGTCTTCTCCCCAACGGGCTGACGGTTCAAGAATTGGCAGATATCGGAGTTGCGAGAATCAGCGTTGGCCCACGGATGTGGAAGTTGGCGATGAACACGGTCGAAGAACAGTCAAAGAAGCTACTAGATGATTACGCTGCCATGCGAGCCAAATAGGCGTACAATTCCTGTTGATGGTGACAATATTCCCAAAGGGTTGAATAGATTAATGTTTTGAAACACCACCTGTATGTTATATGCATAGTTATGGTTTAGATGGTCATAAAGAAAATCTTCATGGAGAAATATGCTATGTTTCTGGCCCGAAATTTGTAATTGGTTATGATCTTTTAGCAAATAATGAATGGACGGTGTTCCAACTCCAAGAAGTTAGCCATGCTATTAAAGAACGGCCTCTGGACTCTAATTTCGCGTACAATTAGGAGAGCCAGGGGCGCACCTCTATCAGACACGCATTAGCCAAGAACAATACTTTCCAAGGCCTCTCGCTCTCCGCTGTTTTCTACCAAATTCTTGAATACACCGTTTTCAATATTCATCAAGTCTTTCGGTGCGCCAAACTCAACTGCCTTTCCAGCATCTAAAACAAGGATACGATCGAAATCTGCAATAGTACTCAATCGATGAGCAATAACCAGAAGAGTACTGGAGTTACGGCCAAACTCAGACCGGATTGATTGTTGGATAAGCGCATCGGTATCCATGTCAACAGCTGAGGTAGCTTCATCGAGAACCATGACCTTAGGGCGAGATACGATAGCTCGTGCTAGGCAAAGCAGCTGACGTTGACCCTGAGAGAGGTTAAGACCACCTTCGGATATATTTGAATTTAAATTCTTGAAGATATTGATATTTATGCCAGTCCTGCTTGCCATGGTGCTGCTAGCAGAGCTCGCTTCGATTGCAGTTGGTGTGCTTGACCCTGAGTCTACTGATAACCTAACGGCATCAGCTACGGAAGAGTGGGCTGACACTTGGTCTACCGGAGGAATTAGGTGGACGCGTTCCAGGGCACTGTGAAGCTCAGATCTGATATTCGTCGAATGGATCCAGTTCGACCGAACGGTTCCTGAAAATAGAACTGGGTCCTGTGGAATAATGGCAAGGCGACTTCGTAGGTGTGCAAGCTTGATCTTCGAGACATCGATGCCATCTATATAGATGGACCCTGACCGAGCTTCCAAGAAGCGGAAAAGCGCTAAGGTCAGGGACGATTTTCCTGCGCCAGTCCTGCCAACAACTCCGACTCGCTGATTTTTCTCGACCGTAAAGGACAGTCCTTTCAGGACAGGTGGTAATTCGGGAGCATATCCCACGACAAGGTCTGTGACTTCAAGTCGACCCTCCGTCGGCCATGCAGCGGGCGCATCTAGGCCTTCCTGGCTTTCAATCTCAAGATCAGAGTATTCGAACACTCTCTCCACAGCGTTCATCTCCAACTCGACATTAGCATATTTTCGTAACGTCCAGGTGACCGCAGCAGTGTATTGCAGAGCAAAACTTAGAGCAAACCCGGCAAGCGAGGCATCAATCGACTTTAGAGTCACAATAAAGGCGGCAGTAGCACCGGCAAACACAGCTCCAATAACACTCATGCGGAAACCAAGCCATCGGTTAAACAGCCACAGATTCCAGTAAGCCTGCGCATGGCGGTCAATTTTTCCATACATGCGTTCTACGTAAGCCTGCCCTTTGCTGAATGCACGAATCGTTCCCAGTCCTATCAGTGCAGATCCGAATTGTTCAAATATTGGACTTTTAGAGTTACTTTCAAGACGCTTGATTTCGCGAGCTCCCTGGAGGAAGCGTTGTGAATAGTAGAAGCATATTAAAAGTAAAATTGTCGCAAAGACAATCAGTATTGGTGAAACGAGAACACCAGCGGCTATGATGCTAAGTATTTGTAGGACCTCATATAACATGTTTGACATGTCATATGGAAGCCTGGAATCGATCTGGTTGAAATCTGCGGTGAATCTGTTCAGAATTCTACCAACTGGGACAGTGTCGAGCCAGCGTAAAGGCGTTCGGAGAATAGTATATGTAAGCTTTTGGAATATGTTCCTCGATGACTTAATGCACGCGTATAGGAAGGATGCATATCTAAGACTCCCGATCACACACGAGAAAACTGATAATGCCACATATACCCCAAGGTAGTACCATATTTTATCAGAGGATGACTCTTTAGGTGGTGATACGTGATTGGCGACATGGGACATGATATTGAGGCTTTTCTCAGTAGTGCCTTGAACTGACCTGGTCCAAATACTGATCCACCATGTCTACATGTTATCGAGCAGCGTAAGCATGTTAATCGAGATGGCTTTAAGGGGGAATGAGGACTTACACGAACAACTGCTAAAACTGCGTAAAGGATGAAGAAAGATAACACCATTGCCCAGTATGAAAAGCCACCTCCATTATGTAGATATTTCACATAGTTGATTAGTTTAACAGCACCGATCTCACGACCCTCTTCCTGCTGGAATTTTTTTGGTGGTTCCTTTTTCTGGTCCTGAATCGCATCTTGCGCGCTAGTGGGATCTACTTCTCTGGGTGGTATATAGAGAGCTTTAGGTCGAGATGGACTAGAAGGCTTCTTAGTCTCGATTTCGTCTGCCTCTTCGGCGAGTATTTCGTTAAGTTTTCCTGTCCGTTGAAGTTCAGCCAAAGGTCCGGCATATTTGATAGCACCATGTTCTAGATGGACAGCATAGTCTGCCTGTGGTAAACAGAGCCCGACATGATGGGTGACAAGAATTCTGGTTCTCCCTTCACACAGTTCACCAGTCAGAGCATGGATGTGCAAATGTCGCCCAGTATGTGTGTCGAGAGCGCTGAATATATCATCCATGATGAGAATTCCGGCACGAGAATACAGCGCTCGTGCGAATGATATCCTCCACTTCTGGCCACCGCTAAGGTTAATACCATTTGCTCCGATATCCGTAAGCTCACCGTCTGGCAGCATGTCAAAATCTTTCTCTAAGGCGCAAGCGAATATGACCTTTCCGTATCTTTCTTTGTCAAGAGGGAGCCCGAACAAAATGTTATCCCTAATAGACGCATTCTCAATCCATGGCACCTGCGCGACAAATGCAGTAGCGGAATCGATTATCCAGTTCACCTTTGTAGCTTTACTATCAAATCTATCCTCAATTGGTGGCGGTACGGGCGCACGAATAACACCTTCAATTATGTCGGCTTCCCCTAGGATGGCGGCAAGGAGCAAACTTTTTCCAGAGCCAGTCTTTCCAGAAATGACACTTAGTTCCTTTGACGGGAAAGTAATATTCAGATTTTGAAGCATGAACCGTCCCGACCCGTCATCAAGTTCCTCTGCAGGCCACGCTACAGTAGATTTTTCGAAGGAGATATATTCCCCTGGTATAGTCGATTGGACCCTTTCCGCAGACTCAAGGTATTTTTCTATACGCGCTGTGCTGACGAATGCCTCAATGAAGTCAGCAATCAGTTCTGGCAATATTGCGAGGGAGAACTCCATAGATGTGAATATTGAGATCGTTGTAAAGGCCACAGAGGCTGATAGTGCACCATACAGTAAGGTGTACACCCCCAGGGAGACAGCAGAGAGCATAACTGGGCCCATTATCCAGATAGTTATCAGTAGGATATCGTACAGGAATGCCTGCCACTGTGCCTTTAATTCAGCTTCCCTCACATCGAATATTTTCTGCTGCCATTGGCGTTCTAAGGCAGAGAACTTGATCTGACGGATACCTTGTAGTGCCTCCGAAACCACCCCCATTTTACGGTCACGTTGTTTCATTAGATTCTTCTGCGAGGCGCTATATTTCCCAGCTGTATATATGTTCATGGGCGTTATAATCAACGAGACAAGTAATCCTGCACCGAGAGCTTTCCAGCCAATCAAGTTGGTTAGGAATATGATGGTGATCGTAAGCTTGACGAAAATGAGAATAACAAAACAGTTGAAGGATGCAAAATCGGAAATTCGGTTGGCATCCACTGCAATGTGGTTGATGGTGGCTTGTCTCGTCTTTTTTGCGTCTTCGCCATCATCCGATAAGTCCCCTGGTGAGCCTATATTATATTTGGGCTCGGATTGCTCGTCAATCTTTTCTGTGCCTTTGATGTCCTTTCGTCTCATGGCCTTTGCGAAAACTACGGCGGAGAGCTGTTCATAGACCGGGATACCCAACTGGTACTGTGCAATCCAGAATAACCATGCTTCGACCGTTGAAGCGAGAAGGGTAGACCCCCCAAGAGCGAACACCCAGACCCAAGCCTCCAGAAGATCCCACGAAGCAGTGTTGCGCTTCTCTAGAGAACGTAGTATTTTAAGCAGACAGAACTGCGGAACAAAACTCAACGACGATGAACAGGTAACCAAGAAAACCTGGGTTGCTAACGGAATGGCATATACTCTAACCAGCGTCTTCCAAAGCTTTTCCCCCGGCCTTCTCGCCTTATCGAAAACTTTTCGCAAGGTGCTTGAGCGGGTTGCATAGTCCAACGCCGGGAGGTTGTCGATTTCCAGTCTTTGATTTTTAATAGCGAATTTAAGCAAAGGATCTGCCCAGATGAAGGCAATACGGCCGAAGAACGTGTGGGTAAATTGCTGGTCCACGATCTTTCCGTCCATATACACGTCAGGACGGCGAGGGAGGGAGATCGAGGTGCAACAGCTGATAAAGCCGGCTGCAATTTGGACAAGAAGAAGAATGCCACAGAAGGATTGGAAGTATTGCCAACCATCGATTGATCTGATTAACCATAGCTGCCCACAGATGATGAACAGCAGAAAGCAGCAGGACAAAGCCTTGTAAAGGCCCAGCTCATATCGTTTCGTTGAAAATGGCTCTATAGTTAGTGCAGCTGCTTGAGTTAGAAGTAAGCTCTAGGACAAATTGTTAGCATCACCACAGTCATCGAATCAAGGGGCTATAATAGTCGAAAACACACGTATTTCACCTACCCAAACTGTGAAAACCAGCCATTGTAGCAGAACCGGCTGGTGGCTGTAGGCTCCATGGCTGTCGGTATCGAGCACTGCGATCACCAGAGACGCCAGAACGCCTATAAGCGAAAGCAAAGCGATCAAGGTCCGCTGGAACCTATCTGAGAATGCGTTGGAGGACTCTTCGGTTGCAGTTCCATCTTCGTCTCGATATAACTGGCTTAAAGACTGGTAGAGACCATTCTTGCTTTTCAAACGGTATCGAGCAATGACGGCTCTGATGGCTGGAATCGATGCCAGAGCTGTGAGACAAGTTCCGGCAATCCCAATTGCAAGGGAACTATTCTGTACTATGCGTACATTATAGTGTGCCATTTCTATAGAGGGAGAAACACTGAGTATCAAGATCAGCCGTGCTGGTCTCTTTTGTATCTTCTCACTTCTGGTGCTGGAGAGTAATGGCTCCCATTATTTGGTCCAAGACGTCAAATGCTGTCTCGAGCAACTTTTGCATCCAGACTACGTCTTTTGGAAGACGAAGACGCTAGACCTTGTTACAGGGAGCGAAAGAGAAGAAAGACAAGGTAGAGAATGATGGAGACGCAGATAGAGATGCAGAGAGGGCGAGCGAGTCCATTAGGTTATAAATCAGAGTCGTATTCTCTTCCAACCAACATGAAGCCGGGAGCCGGGGATTCTCTATCAGGCCAATGCGGTCACTCGATAGAACGGCCATGCAGCAAAAGCATTCACTCGGTCCGCCCACGGGCTCGAGGATCTTGGTTCGTTGGGGACCTGGATGTGGCTTCGCGAAAAGTCGCAGGATGCTGGTTTAGTTACGACCTCCATCCTCCCGCGCCACTCTGCGTCCCTTGTCCATGCTGATGGACTGTATAAAGTATGGGGGAACACGAAATATCACACTCGAGCTTGTTCATCGACATGGATGATGGTGACTCACTTGGGAACAAGCGAGACATCGAGATCGGGACAGAGTAATAAAGGTCGGAGAGCCAAAGACAGCTTAGTGTTAACTAAAGCATCAGCAAGGATGTTCAAAAAGCAATTATAAGGTCTACGTTAGATGGCCTTTATCTTTCTGCATGACCAGAGAGCATTATTATTCTACAGTGCAGTATATACGGCTATAGAGAGATTACTGCGAGGACTGTGGAAACCTCGATAACATCTCTGTCCATTTTTGTTTCTGCTGATTTCTGGGATGTAGACGTCATGAAACACTCGAATCTATGTACACTATCTGTCGATGTATGTCGTGTCATTCATAAGTTACTTGTTAATGTGCCACATTCCACTCTCAGTGTTGTTGGTCAAGTTGGTCTGAACCACTTTTCCACCCTTGAGCCATCCGTTCTCTACCACGCCACCGCCGGGAACACCCAGCTTTCCGCGGTCAAGGCGGTTGGCTCCCGCCTTGACGGTGAAGTTGGCCAGAGATATCTCATCTGGGTTTCGGTCACGGATATGGGGAGTTCCAAAGAACCTGGCCTGGACTTCCTTCTCATTGAAATGGAGTTCGAAATAGCCACGGTAGTACAACTCAGACCATTGCAGGACCTTGTTGGTGCTTGCGAGCAGCCTTGACTTCTCAATCGAGTCCTTGATACTGATTTTGTCGCCCGCAGGAGATGGGGAGGAGATGGCAGAGCCGGCAAACTCAACACCAATAGCACCCTCGCCGGTCTTCGGGTCATATGGAACCTCGTCAAGCCAGACAAGGTCACTGACCCAATTGGCGTGGCTATCACCAGCTATCATGATGTTGTTTGGGATCTTGTGGTCATAAAGAGCCTTGAAGGTGCGGTTTCTGTTTGCTTGATAGCCGCTCCAAGCATCATTGTTGAGGTTACGGGCAGCACCAAATGCGGCAGATTCATTGATATGGGAGAACACTGCATTCTAGTATTAGCTGGATGCAAGGTTATATATACCACCTCACCTGGGAGTAATCACGTACCGACCTGGCTTCCAATAACACGCCACTTAGCACCTCGCTCTGCAGATTCAATGAGATTTCGGTAGAACCAGTTCTCTTGACGGGAACCCATCAAACTGCGGCTGGCATCACCACGGAGCTCAGTAACGTAATCATTGTTCCAGTACAGATCGGTTATGGAACGATCGTATACACGAGTATCTAGCATGAGAACATCAAGAAGGGAACCAAGCTGGAAGTTACGCCAGATACGGAGGTTATCATCCATTTCCACTTGTCTGGTTGTATACATGTCAGTAGAATGCAACAATAACACACGGAGGAAAAAAATGACGAACCTGATTGGCATCCATTCGAAGTAGGCCCGGACAGCGTTCATCTTTCTCTGATCAGTGCTGATTCCACCATCTGCAACGAAGGATTGTTCGGTGTTGTTGAGCTTCGATGATCCATCACGGTAGGTGTTATCAGCGACCTCTATACAAAGGTTAGAGACAGTTGAGTAAGATAATGATTTTCCTGCTAAAACATACCATGGTCATCCCAGACTGGAATCCAGGGGAACCTCTGGTGGCTAGCAAGCAGGTCAAGGTCAGTTCTATAGGTAGCATGGCGCTTGCGGTAGTCATAGAGGGTTAAAATATCACGGTCAGGCAATGGAACTCTTCCGATGTCTTTGCCAGAACCACTTAAGTTAATCATGTCAGCAATCAGATATCCAAAGAACTTTGGGGATAAACAAAACTTACTAGTGACCAACTTGATATTCATAGATATAATCACTTTATGAGCGAAGAAAAATCAGCCATAACGTCTCCAAATAGATCTATTTATACTTTGATAATTCATACCCAAGATGAAGAACATAGTCTACAGAGTCCTTTCGTACTGGGTTTCCGTATGCGTTGAAGAAACCGAAGGCTGATGCAAATGTTAGCAACCGAAAGAGTGCTAAGTAAGCCTCGAACCTGAACATACGGAAATTGCTGCAAGAGTAGACAGCGAGGGAGATGTCTTTCACCAAGTCGTGCTCAGCTGGTGCGGTTTTGGTGCGTCCAATTGGGCTCTTATTATCAGAGTTGCAGGCATAAAATTGGTAGTAGTAGGTGGTAAATGGCTTTAGCTTTGTGGCTTCAACCTATTATATGTTAGACATATAACCCGTGTTCTATAGCCGATAACCCAAGTAGGACGGGTCATACCTTAACAGTATAGTCAACATCGGAGCTGGTATAGACAGTTCCTTTCTCCACGACATGCTTGAACTTGTTATCTGTGGCAACCTTGTATTGCAGACAAACAGGAGCTTTGGAGACAGGCCTGTGTTCGTCTGTATCCTTGTGGATTGGGACAGGGTTGTAGAGCGGTACAGTGCCAGTTACAGTGCTGTTATCATTAACATCATCAAATTGTGGAGAGCATCTCGTCCACAAGATGACGGAGTGGGCGTAGGGATCTCCAGATGCAACGCCATGAGTGAAGTTCAGCTTATCAGCGGTGAATTCGGCAGATGGGTCATTTCTCTTTGCAACCTTGGGCACCGAAATACCCAGGGAAGGATGGTGCAGAGAAGGACTGCGGTAGTTCAAGTTGCCCGCATAGGATGCAGTGGCCGTGGTGGCGGAAAGCGCCAGAAGAGGTAAGGAGGGCAACATCTTCAATTACCGGGCAAGTATAGACTTGCAAAGAAAAGTAATTGATGCTTCGGAAACGTTGTCCCAGGGAGTTCTAGTACTATTTAAGTACAACGCAGTTGCAATGCCGTCTTGCATTACTTTTCGTTATCTCGAGCACCATTTCGCTATTTCACGAGATGAAGCTCCCCACTACCACATCTAGGTCCAAATTTCCCTGTCTATGCTATGTAGGTTGGCGAATGATGATGTAGCAAGTGTGCATGTGTAGCAAGGATAATTTCCATAACAGCGGAAGCACAATCCAACTCTCTGAGAAGGGAGTCTGGTAAGGCTAACTTGGAAGGCCCGCATATGGGGAGAGAAGCTCATCCCTGCACCCAGCGGCACGAAGAGTTGCAAGAGTCGCTCCGCATGAATGGTTATTCCCAGCTGGAGCATGAGAAAGGGCCTTTCCGGCTCTCAGTCGGCTCGACTCCATAAACTCGTACTTCGTAATTCGGCCTTGTATCCTCCATAACGATGGAATCCAAACCACATTCTCTTGTATATGCACGTGGTTTAAGATAACTCCACCGTCACTTTACAATTAACAGTTGGTGAATTCTTTGGCGGAATAAAAGTATCCCCAGCTTTTTGACTGAGATATTCTTCTCTGTGATGGGAGTAACCTCGACTCGATGCCTTTCAAATTGCAGAAGGCTGATTGGACAAGTGACAAGTTAGTTACCCTGTCAACTCTTCGGCTTTTAGCCAAAACGAAGCCTCGGATGCAACATGGAAGAGCTCCACATAAAAGCAGTAGAACTTCATACTCTGGTTCCTAGTCAGAGAAGCGGCTATTGCGATTGATGGACCCGAAAACGGTGTGCCATCCCTTCTTTCCACGAAGATCCTCCCTCATCGCTCAAAACATCACTGTCTAACCTTCCAGTAATATGGCTGCGCTTGGAGTCCGGTCCCGGACGTGGAACGGCTCGAATCCCAAGGGACTGGCTCCATTCCCAGAGTTACATAGTTTCTTCTTGACCCAGTGTAACGCTCGGGTTGTCGATACGCCTTTCAAACCCCGAATTGACACGATCCAAAGTCATGTCCCATGTCTGGTAGTAGATAGAGGAGATTAAATTTGTTGCCCCTCTGTAGGCGTTTAAGCCTGGCGGATAACCTCGTCTTCCTGACCTGAGTATGAGGGTGAGATGTTTGATGAAGGCTAGCCAGAGCATGGCCTCTCTCTCTCCGTGGCCCGTCTTTGTTTCCTGGTGACAAGTTCGGTGAAGTAGAGCGACTTCTCTCTCGTGCTACCCACATACGCCTTCTTGACGGATTTTCGGCTATGTTAATACATCATTCTCCCTTTTGAGCCGTAGAGTTACTGTATAATTTGGTAGTAGCCGGGGATACCTACCATGTAGCCTCAGGCGAGTCCTCCGCTGTAGCGAAATGGTTAGGACTGGAATACAGAGGAATATAGGAAGAGAAATCTACCGTAGTTGCCTGGGGAAATTCTCGCAGAAGTTTCTCATCCTCCGTGGCCTGATCCACTGTAGAACAGCTTCCGTGGACTGATCTGTAACGTGTCCTTGTCATAATATGGAAGAATGGAGTACTTTTCTGTATCCCAAATAATCATACTCCCGACGTATCAGATACAGTTCAATCAAGTAGTTCTATATTCAATATCAATAAAGCATCCGACATATACATATATCATAGGGGGATCAGGTTTACTTACCCCTACATTATGCACTTTTGTCTCGATGGCATTTCTACTTCTATTGCTATTTGGATCCCCAGGCATTCCATACATGATGGCGAAACTGAGCGAGCTTGTCCCCGAAAACTGCAATCTGAGATCATAATGTGGCCTGGCAATGGGATGGCCATGTTGATGAACGACGAAATGCCTGCTGTCTTCATGCCGGCTCCTTTGGTAGAGGTCTCTCCATGTCAGATACGCCAGTCGAGGAACTAAAGGCAACTCAGGGCGTGTCGAGGCCCCGAGTCGCGCGGAGAATATCTCAAGATGATCTTCAACTACTCCCTTTCCAGCCTCTATAGCCGCGATATCAGCGTTAGATTCGCTTTGTGGCTGATCTTCGGGCTTTATATCCGCTTCATCGGCGACGCTATGGGAAGATAAACCTCGTTTCCTACCCCATGTTAGTGGTGGTGAGACACTTCGAAATAGAGGCCGATGCAAAGAGACTATCCATTCTCGATTCTCGGGCTTTAAAAACGGGCTATCAACCGTCTTGACTGTACGTGGCCTTCCTTCATAGTAGCTGATGTTGTAGTTGTTTTGCCTTCCGCCGTTCTATCTACTAACTCTGAATCAGCCAGCGAGCCATGAAGCCCTTTACTTCATCTTGATCCCTGATCTACTTCGACAGTGCATAGATACTACATATGTATGTATATATGCTATACATATGCAATCATGGACCAGCATCGTCTCCATCAACGCTAGGGGACTAGGTAGCGAAATCCCCGAACTCTCGGTGGAGCGCTCGCCGACGAAGTTATCAGGCACAAAACCCCAGTTATCGAACCGTATCATGGGTGCAATGCAGCTCCAGCCAAACCCCCGCTGTCCAACGAGGCTTTTAATACCTCTGCCCCCTCTGCTCTTTCAACTGGCTGCTTGAGAAACCGTGAAAGCGAACCAGGAGGTTGAGAGTCGACAGGTACATACCCCAAAGGGAGCAACGTTATAGACATGCCTTTTACACCCATAAGTACGTCACTAGGGGCGTTGTTGCTATACCAGGGCTCCTACGGGCTTCTTCAAAACAATGGACGAGTGTTCGGCATCTCCTCTCTTCTCTCGGGCTGCGTGGGGGGCCCAAACAAGCAAAATGTGCCTGTGGTACTGGGAATGATATCGAGCATTGTGCCTGTATATCTGCTGGCACCCTCGCTTCTACCGCCATATGCGACCCCGCCAGCGACGTTGGAAACGGCACTTGCACTGGCAGGGATCGGTTTCTTGGTTGGATGGGGAACAAAGGTAACTAAGAGCCCTACTCTAGAGTTCAAATTAGATGTATGGAATAAGAAAATCTCCTCTAACAAGTGAAATCTTGATATAGAATGGCAATGGATGCACGTCTGGGCATATGCTCTGCGGTGTCTCCCGACTTTCACCGCGGTCTTTTATCGCAACTGGGATCTTCTTTATAACTGCACTAATTACCGCCAACCTTGGAATCGGGGCGAAACCGTCACCCTCGCCAGATGGGAGACCAGCCTACCTACCCGTATATCCATCCACCAATGAATTTGCGTTTATGCTCTCTACCGTTGCCGTTTCCCAGGCGATCAATTCATTTCTGGTCCCAGCTATCTTACCTCGCTATGCTAACTCGGGAGTGGTCTACGGTTGCATTGCCGGGCTTCAATTCGGCTTAGGACTACTTATAAGCGGCATGGCCAACCCCGAAAAGGTCCTTGGATTCTTTAGCTGGTTCAATCCTTCCACGTTCGATCCTTCGCTTGCGCTCGTTATGGTGTTCGGCGTTGGACCAAGCCTCCTGTCATATCTATATATGAAGACTGAGTATGGCAATGAAGACGGCTTGAAGCCGCCACTTTTAGCAGACCGGTTTAATCTACCAACAGCTACCGTAGCAGACATTGATTGGAGATTTGTCTGTGGATCTGTCGCATTTGGCGTTGGATGGGGGTTGAGTGGTGTCTGCCCAGGCCCTGGGCTACTGAGATCAGCTCTCTCACCGATTTGGGGAGCAGCATGGCTGGCTGGCTTCTTGCTGGGAAGCCTTCTTGGTATATAATTTATATTTCTTTATTGTTAAAAGCGTGTAACCTCGTATTGTATCAGAGGAGCAAGAGTTGAAGAGAGCATAACTTTCCAGCTTTACGGCTATGGACTGTGGACTGAATGTGAAGATACCTCTTTATTGTTATCTCACTATAGTAGGTGGAGAAGTAGTCTAGGAGTAAGATATAAGAATTATATGTAACCCAGTGAGTTATGAAGCCGTTGTATGTCATAAACTGAGTAAATTGAGTAAAAATTTCCCGAAACGAGGTCCCTAGATGGGTCGAGTGCTGTAGCACGTAGATATCGCGCTGATGGTTGAAATTCTTCTGCATACAAGGCGTAAGAGCTGAAACTCAATAAGACGCCGCATGAGATGTAAAACTTAATTATGGTACCCTAAACGCTAAGAAAAAAGCTGTTAGTTGACAGTGTTATGGGTTTTGAGAGATGTACATCAAATTTTTGAGAGACGTTTCATAGTTGAGGCAGAAATACCCAGAGCAATGAGGTCATTATATTCAACATTGGTAGATTTTCTAAATGCAGCGTAAAGAAAATGGCTTACAGCTCCGACTTCTCATCATCTATCCTGGCCTGATTCGGTTTCTTTGTGTTGAAAAACCCTTCAAGATCCATCCATTCGGCCATAAAAGCAGTGATAAGTGTGCTCCAGTCCTCGACGGTAGGAGGGTCGAGATGATCTGCGTCATCTGCTATCTTGTGCCATATATCCTCTGGGAATGGCCAAGGTATCAGGTGTAAGATCTCAACTCCTCTTTGCATAAAAGGTATATGGTCGTCCGAGATGAATGACATAAATTTCTTATCAGATGGCCGATTTCCCTCCGTAAACCATACCTTCGCTGCACCCTTTTTGGGATCTGGGTCTGATTTGAATTGTCCAAGTTTACGAAGCCGTTGCTCAAGTGTGGCCATGTGTTTGTATGCCCAGTGCGTAGTTGCAAAAAAAGATGGCATAATGGGGTCTTTGTTTCCTAGTAAATCTAGAAGCACAAATAGCCTGATGGCGGCCAGTGAAGTTGTAAATGTGGAAAGTGCTGGGTAGTATTCATGTTCCATGTGTTCAGCCAGCGAACGAGCCCCATAAAGAGAATCTGTAGCAGTCCATTCGCCAAATGCTTCTTCCCCGTCAAGCAGGAAAATTTGAACACCTTGTTGTGCAACCATGTCTAAATTATCGGTTGGACTTGCCTCCATCGCCTTCCACTTTTTTGTTAATGCCGCATCAATGCTCCGTACAGCATGCAGGAGCATCGCACAGGGTGCTGCACTATCTATCGCTCCGATGAACCCTTCCGGTGTGAGTTTACTGTCGTAGTGTGCGGCCAGAGTAAGCCTGCTAACATCGCCAACCCGAGTGAACGGAGGATCTCGAATGGCAATCAAATTGACGAATGGTATCTGCTTATCACCAGTTACCGGTGTTTTGGATGTAGAATTCTGAAATTCAAGTCTCCAATCCGGTAAGTTATTTTGGAAGAAGTTTACGAAGTGCTCGAGTACGGCTGTTGACCCTGGTGTACCAGGGACTCGAGGGCGTAAAATTGGAGCAAGGATTGCGCCATTGTGTATATCGAAGTCGTTTCCTGGACGGGGTAACGATCGTAAGGTATTGTCGGAGAGAGGCGAATAGGCATTAATCGGCGAGAAGAGTAGAGCCAGAAATGAGAGATAAGATACCACCACCAATAAAGTGGAAGCCGAGCTACGCCCCAGCATGGCAATGGAGAGTTGCGCAACGAGAAATTGTAGTTTCTTGATAGATCATGTCAGGATAACCTGTTTCAACAAGTTAGCCAAACTTGCCCAGATAACACCCTCAACGAACTCACTCACTCACTCTTACACACATATATATATAAAGAGTGCTTGTGATATTTCACGAGTCTCTGTAGGCCCGTACGCTGGGGCTGAGTGCCGTCCTACCGTTGCCTATCAGCCTAATACATCGCTGGGATATTTCCCCTAAAATATTGAACGGATGCCAAGCCTTCGCGGCTCGGCGCTTAACGCGAAACTTTAATTCCACGTGAGTTTTACTTTTGGTGTGAAAGTTGAATGCGCCAAAATACTTGAGAAGCTTCTTGCAGCCCCAGTTTTCACTGCCATTGGGATATTTGTCCTCGGGTATTCCAATATGGCATAAGCAAGCAAGCCACAGATCTGTTCTTTTTATCACTTGTAATATGTTTTGTCTACGGTCCGGCCCTAGGTTCAGCTTTCGGCTGAGCCCCAGGATACAACGGGATATCACCACCAGAATACCGATACGCCGGAAAACCACAGAAGCTCTGTGTAGTTCTCCAGGCTCAACCAAGAAGTTGCCCTCTGTTGCTCATAGTGGCCCCTTACGTGCGCCACTTCGTTATCCTCAGTCAAAGACTCAACCTGGCCAAGGACGAGGTTTGACACCCAATCAATCCATCTGTAGACTTTGAGGGCATCAGTAAACTGACAGCTTATTTAGCGCATCGCCTAAAACCAAAGCAGATAGTAATATATCACGCAGGGACTGGAAAGATCGCCTTTATTGGCCTGATGCGAGTCACGACTATCCTAGTTTTCGTGGTGTCATGCGCGGTCGTAGCCCCGGCGTTTTATGCAGCTGAGTTTCCGTGGTATATAGCTCCTGCGAGTGAGTATTCTCCTTCCTGCTGACTGTTTTTGCTCAATTACTGATAATTACTTAAAATAGTTGTCGTCGGTGGGGCGATACCTATGTTATTTGTCTCGTTTACAGCCGCTCCATTCGTGAACCAAGTGTACCTTTCCCTACCGACATTTACCCAGCAATCCAGAGAACATCTGCGAGCATACCTGAACAAGCTACCCCGTAATGCAACATTGAATGTTGAGACTATGAAGTTCAACTTTTACCCAAAACGAACACTTGTCTCGATATCAGACTTGGTACCCCGGAGCTCAATGCTTCGTCCTGTGAGCTTTATGAACATCAATCCACAACCTAGACCATGGTGGAAGGGTAAGGATCAGGTTCTTTTTTTTGCACCTGAGAAAAGCCGGCCTGCAAGGTCAACTTCAAATTTCCTTCCCGAAATATGGGAACAAGTCTTTACCCAAATTAAGAATAACCGGATTCCATGAAGCAATTATATGAATTCTTTTTGATATCAATGACTAAACGATAGAGTTATTTATAACTTATCTTTATTTCTTTTATTGTCAATGTCCTCCCTATACCGTTATTGCTACGAGACTTGCCATAGATCATGATACCCTCTCTGAACTCTTGACTATATCAAACAAGCATTCTACCCTTTGCAGAAGGGTAGAGTATACAAGTTGGCTTTGCAGGGAAATCCTGGCTGGCAAGTATTATATATAAACTTGCTGCCTTTGTTCTCGATTCAAGTCCAGGAAACCTCAAAATACTTTTGGTAGGCAACTGCTGTATAAAAGAAACTCCTTTCTGCTCCATCCTCACTTTTCCACTTCTCTCATGACTAGGATCCTCACTCTTCTTTCAGCTTCTTTTCACTGTTTTCTTCTTCTACATTTTGTCTACAATTGCACAACATATCAGAAGCACTTTTTACTACCGTGAACTGCATCTAAAGCTCTTCCTCCCCTCTTTCTTAATATATTGTTGGTTTTCTTAACGAATTAATTTCTCATCAGATTCAATACCTGAACTCTTGCTACACAAGGAGGTAAGCATCTAATAAATCTATCTTAAGCTGATGTTCTCGCCGAGAAAAGAATTTCTGACTAGCAACAGAATTTTAATTATTTATTGTGTTTTCTTTTCTCTTTTGTTTATCCTCAGTTTTTCCTACATCTCCTTCTCACGGTCCCTTGAAACCACCTTCTCACAACTCACAGATAACTTCTTGTTTCTAAGCTCATTATCTGGTTTACTATTAAATCTAGAATCTAAGAACGTGTCTGTACCCTTCACTTTTCTTTCCAGCATCATGGACAACTTGACTCCTGGTGAACAACGTACTTTCATGCTGGGCCTCCTCTGTGCCACAGATGGCCTGACCAATATCAAGGTAAGCCCACCCTTCAGGTCCTTTCTTTCTCTCTCTGTTTGGCCTTATAGTTCTGGTTAATTTATATATCATTCCTTGATCATGTTGTCTTCATGAAAGTTGTCGATCAATTTGAGTGCTATATACATGTAACAACTAACATATCATTGATATGGATTATAAGGTCGACTATGACAAGTTGGCGGAGAAGGCTGGCCTCAAGAATGCTGCTAGCGCATCCGTTCTTTTCAACAAGTCAAGACGTAAGATCTTACTTGCCTTGACTGAAAATGCTGGAGGTATTGCTACGAGCGGCACTCCCAAGAAGGTATGTAGTCGCGGGCACCACAAATATGTTTATCTCGTCTAAAGCACATAACAGGCTGCAACCGCGGACAAGGTCACCAAAACTCGTAAATCTGCAAAGGGAAAAGGCGCTACCAATGAAGCGCACATCGAGGAGTTTAATGACAATGCCGATGACGATGTCAATATCAATCCCGGGAAAACTACCAAGGCCAAACGTGGAAAAGGGAAAGCCGGGGTTAAAGTGAAAACTGACCCTAATGGGTGAGCATCCTTCCCTTCTTGTTGCATTACGTTTATCAGTATATATCTGCTTGTACCGACTGCTAATGTCGAATAGAATGGTGCCTATCAAACAAGAAGCATTTATCAAGCAGGAGCTGTTTAACGATGAATTTGCCAAAGGTATTATTGACGGAACATCCTATCCCTGCGCAGGTATAACACTAAACAATCTCTGGGCAGCAGGTGCTTTCTCCACCGGAAATGGGACCACTGCATCTGGAAGCCCTTTGGACCCTGAGCTCGATAATGAGAGCGTCTAGATTGATATTAATTGCGCGGCTCAACCAAAGAGTTCAACAAGAATCCATTGCTTGAACTTCCGCCTTCATATTGGCTATTAAAAACTCTCTATTTTCTTGATGAACATTGGCTTGCTTGACTCGGACAAAAGTTAGGTACATTGGCTATCTGGAAATGTATCCCTATGTCAAGCATGTTTTTGCCATAGTTCCCCCAGACCTCGACTTATTTGTCAACTTCCCTTCAACATATGGTTTCCTCTGCCTGTCAAACTTTAGAACTCTTAGTTGCTTCAGGTTCTCATAAAAGAAAGGAAGGGGTTTCTTTATAATATTTCCATCCGCTTTGATACCTGGTAGCAGCCCAAAGGAAAGTAATATCAAACGCATTATTTTGCTAGCCAAGCCGTATTTGCGGAGTAAGTAAATTTGGCTTTTGAGCCCCTCGAGCAGTAAATACACCAACATCCTAAACTCCTTTTCCACGGCCCTTTGTTATCAGAGTATCTATAGATTTACCAGTATTCTACGTGTTAATAGCTTTTGGTACTTATCGGCTATGGAGACACGGAAGACGCCGGTATCCAGCGAAACACCATGGCATTCCGCATTTCCAGCGCCCAAGGCCACTGTTGGCTCTGTTAGTCGCTCAACAGTCCTTGAATGGCTCTCAAAAAAAGATGGACCTCTGGATTATGTGCTAGTTGATGTACGCAGGGTGGATCATGAGGTTAGTTGATGCGTTGGAGTATTTTGTATATCATTCCAGTATTTACTGTTTCTCTGCGCAACGATGGGCTATATTGAGACTAGGATGCCCACGACTGAATCGGAAGCCCCTAGTTACTTAGTGTTCGCTGGGTTTGCATTGCTCATGTCAATCTGTTTATAGGGAGGGACAATATCTGGCTCCCTTAATCTGCCGGCACAAAGCTTCTATGCATCTCGTCCAACCGTATACAAACTTCTAAAACAGGCTGGTATTAAAAAGGCAGTCTTCTACTGCGGTGAGAGCCCTCATCTATCACGTTATTAACCTTGTGTTATTGGAAGCTGCTACAACTAACACATAAATACAGGTTCGTGCAATGGACGTGGGCCCCGTGCAGCTGGCTGGTTGGCCGACTATCTCCAAGAGCGAGGAGACAATGACATCCAAAGTCTGATCCTTGAAGGTGGGATTAAGGGGTGGGTGAAAGCTGGAGGGGAGTATGTGGCTCGCATGGATGACTATGATCCTGCCTCCTGGAAATAGCAAACTTTAGGAAGATATCTGAACATAGGACAGGATACAAGCACATCTAATCCGAGAAGGGTTGTCTATTAAGGACCATAAGAATACATATTCATAGCATCAAGTAATAATATCTAAACTTGATATTGACACAGGTAAATAGCCAAAATCGAAAGGGAAGATCCATACGCGGAGCATAGGGATGGGTTGAAAGGGTGTAGTAGCCTTTAAGAATGTTAAGGGTGAATAAAATAAGGGGAAGAGGGTAAAAGTGTCGACGCGTTGAGACAACTCATAACGCTTCAATAGCCTTGAGGAGGATATCAATTCCGCGGTCAGTGTCTCGCTGTTGAGTGGCTCCATCGATTGCTTGTTGGGATCCCTTGAGAATCCATGATACATCACTCCACCAGCCCAAACCAATAAGCCCGCCGCCTTTTCGTTTCTCTAGGCTCTCCTTCATACGGCTGGTATGTTCCCATTGTTTCGCAGCAACCTCTGCACCTTCAACTACCTTAGATGGAATACCACACATGGAGGCGCAATGCATTCCGAAACTTCCCTCGGCAACTCCGTCTTCTAGCTTGTAGAGGAAGGTTACACGCCTTTCCGCATCATCGACGTGAATGCGCATCCGACGCGCAGCAATTTCAGGGTGCCCCTCAAATTCAGCTGCGAGAGAGTGATAGTGAGTGGCAAAGAAACCAAGGGCTCCAATATGAGTAGCGACATGATGAAGTACCGCCTGTGCCACTGCTACGCCGTCGTAGGAGCTGGTTCCACGGCCAAGTTCGTCCAAGATTACCAGGGAGCGTGGGGTTGCCTCGGAAAGAATCTTCTTGGTTTCAGAAAGCTCAACAAAGAAAGTTGATTGAGCGGCAAAGATATTGTCATTTGCCCCAAGCCTGGACATGATACGATCTACTGGAGTTAGGCGAGCATATTCGCAAGGAACATAACAGCCTATTTGTGCCATAATAACCGCAGTACATGTCTAGCACAAGTTAGTAGGGAATGGAAATAGGGGGTTATAGAGAGTAATCTTACCATACGCAAGACTGTAGATTTTCCTGCTGCGTTTGCGCCAGTGAGAAGGTTAATGTTCGAGGAGTCCCCTCCTAGCTTGATATCATTTGGAATAAAATCTCCAACATTAGGCATCATGCAAGGGTGGCGGAGCTCATGGAAATTAAGCACGCTCCGCTCATCGTCGGCAAATATTGGACGACAGCTTGGGTGGCCTAACGCTGTGGAGGCTTTGGCCAAGCCAATAAGACAATCAAGCTGGGCGATTATCTTGACAGCTGCAAGCCAGCTCGAATAATTTTCATCAAAACGAGCATAGAATCTGCCTGCGACGCCCTTCACAACCTGAGCGTGTGTTTCTCGAGCTTCCTGAAGTTTTCGAATCAGCGCCCGCAGCTCTGGAAAATAATATCTCTTGACTTGTTTTGTTGCTGACATTTGGTCCCAGGACTTTGGGATATTCTTGACCTTGATTGGTACTTCGAGTTGGTAAATTTCCTTCCCGTTATCTTTGAAAACAATAGTCGAGCATTTCAACTCTTTTCGAACCCTATGCAGGACTTGCTGGAGTTTCTCCTCCAACTGGTCAATGTTTTCCTTTGAAGCATCAAACTCTTCCTCAATGCCCTCTTCTGGGACCAAAATGCCGCTTTCTCTAGCCTTGGGTCGATCAAACGCTGTTTCCCAGAATCTCAGAAGGCTGTTGAGATCTGGCATAGCAGATATCAATTGGCCAATTAAACCATGGCCAGACCCAGCTCCCTTTAGAAGGCCCATGGTATATTCAATCTGCTCAAAGCCCTCTAGCACACGAACGAAATCTTGAGCTTTACAGGTTCCAGCATGGATGCGAGAAATGAGTCGTTCCAGGTCGGGCATTTTAGTTAGTTGAGATGAGAATTGCTCACGGACTGTGTTATCTGCGTTGAGGGATTCGACGGCGTCAAGTCGAGCATTTATCTTTGCAATATCCACAAGTGGATGGCAAACCCACTGTTTAAACAGCCGTTTCCCAAAAGGCGTAACACAGCGGTTGAGTAGTTGAAAGAGAGTTCCCTCTGAGCTACCATCGTACGTGTTTGCAAAGATTTCAAGATTAATCAGGGTTTGTCCATCAAGGACAAGGCTCGATGCTTTCTTGATTGGATCGTACCAAGTGAAGTTCCCTATAGTGACGAGGTCCCGTCCAATCTTTAGCATCTGAAGATACTGTAGAAGGGCCCCAAAAGCAGACATAACTAGGTCCTTATCCTGAGCGTCTCGAAGTACATGGGGCCATGTTTCTAGATTACTCTGGTCCCCTGGACCGAAGTATTCGCCCGCATTAAGCTCCCTAACTGTCATATCAGCCTCCCAGAACTCCTTCACTGGCTTCAGGTAATTCCAGAGAGTAGTTGGGCTAGTATTGTTCTTCAATATCCTGAGAGCTTTGGTAGACATGACTGATTTCTCAAGTAACAGTTCCTGCGGTCTGGTCTGAGCAACAAAGGTTTCAAATCTTGTCATGTCCACATCATCAATGAACTCAGACAAGAAGAATTGCCCAGTAGCCGTGTCAACGAAAGAAATGCCAAAAGCAGGTAGGCCATCAACGATGGCTTCCTTGATTGCCACGCAGTAAGTCGACATATCGCCTTGGATCATTGATCCTTCCACCAGGGTTCCGGTGGTCAGAACGCATGCCAACTCTCGTTTTATGACTTTATCTTCCTTTTGTGCTTTACCCATCTTGCTTCCCTTGTCTTCCCGTTCCCTCATTTCTTTGCTTAAGGCAGATTCTGACTGATCCACCCGAGCAATCTTGAACCCTTTTGCGACAAATTGATTTGCCCAGTGGTCAAGACTCATTTCGGGTACTCCAACCATGCGCATATTGACCCTATCGGTAAGTTTGAGGTCAAAGAGCTGGTGTCCGATTGTCGCGTCATTTTCATATAATTCGTAGAATTTACCCTTTTTGAAAAATACAATGGTATCCCAGAATTTCTGTTTGATCTCCCAGTATTGCTTCTCAAAAGGCGAAAATTTTGTCCACGCCAGAGGTGGGATGTATAGAGTACGAGGGTCGTAGTCAGGATGGCCAATTGGGTTTTTATCCATATCCATAATATTTGCAAGCCATGGGTATCGATTCTCTGGTTCTGTCATATGGGCTTTCTTTTTCTTATTGCTGACGTGCGATTCCGGCTTGATTAAAGGATTATTCTGAGGCTCGTATGGTTCTACATTTTCAGGGTCGTAGCGCCATTTCTGGGTCGAGCCAGTAGCACGCTGGGGAATTTCTATGTCCATGTCATTTTCAGGTATCGGTGGTGGGCTGCTCGACGCCTTCTTAGACGATGGCTTAGAGGGGCGTTTTCGTTTCTTGGACGACTTCACTTCTTCCTCGGAATCATCATCAGGGACAACAAAATCATCAGTATCTATCAACATATTAGCGTAAGTTTTGAAATTCCAGTTAATCACGGACTAACCATCCAGGTACTTTCCCTCCTCTTCTTCGTCGGGCTTGAAGCAGTCATCATCGCTAGTATAGTCTCCTGTTTTCCTTCTCTTCTGAGATCTACCTCTTCTCCCCGGTTGAATGATCTCCTCGTCGTCGGACTCTATATAACTTTTTACAGCCGTTCTCGCCTAGTTCTTAATTAGTAAAATTTCCAGTATAGTCATTTAGAAGTTGTTGGGGGGGGGGGGGGGGGGGGGGGGGGGCTCTATAATAGCATACCCGTCTAGTGGGAGTATTGGCAAAGGACTTCTGTTCCCCAGAACACACTTTCCTCACTGCGGTTGGCGTATCTTCCTCTGGAGGCTCAATTGCATCACTGCTCGGCACTGGAGTGACATTTGGGTAATCATCTAGCTTTTGCTTTGAAAATTTCGATCTCACAGAGGCGGTGGTTGTTGGGCTGAATGGACCAGGTGTAGATGTAGCTTGGGAGGGAGAGGATGCTGGATTGTTGGAGCTTCGTTGGGATGATGAGGGCGCCGATGGGGACGACTTAGGCTGGAAGAAGCCTAGGATGGACTTTTGGTTTTTGTTCATGTTTTGTGTACTTGGTGTTGACCTCTTCAGTACACGAGAAGGAGCAGGCGTTGTATTAGCAGACGCCATTATGACGAAAAACACAGGAGAAGAGAATATAAGAAGCGTCTATATTTCATATATGATGTTGTTGCTAAAAAGAGGGACAATACTTGAAAAATGATGCTAAAGGGAAAAGTAATAAAATAGCTGTACGAGAGAATATGGATGAACGTTGTGAAGTGAAACTCCAAAATTCCCATTTAAGAGCTATCTTATCCTGACGGACACGAGAACGCGTTTAGGAACGCGACGAGACACGTGATACTATGGAACATTTATAATCCGATATATTATGTAAGCGTCAAGAGAAGTACGAAAAGGGAAAGGAACAAGAAAAGATCTTGGAAGTAATCACAAAGAGTGCGAGTGAGATTGTTATAGTATTGTACAAGCAAGTGTTGCGGCATAGGAAAATGCATCAGGGGAATCTATAGAACCCAGCCGGTTGCCAAACGTTAACCAAAATTGTAACCCAGGAGAAAGAAACTAATGTACAGAATACTCCGTAGTGTATATACCATGAGGAACGCTCAATCGAAACAAATATAAGATGTATCAAGGCCAGGCTTGTCGCTTCGCCCGCTCCTTTTCCAACTCTGCCTCTTCCTCTCTCTCCTTTTGATTAGACCACTCTTGGAGTGAAATAATTTTAGGTTTTCGCCCTCCGGCAGAACCTCCAGCAATGCCAGGTCGCTGGACTTGTCTTCCAGCAATTCTGCGTTTTTTTGCAAATAGTTCACGGTCTTTTTGCTCCTCAGTTTTAGGTTGCGGCTCTGGTTCTGATTGGGGTACGGTGAGGCCCTGCTCTTCGAATTCTTTATCACTAATGATCTTGATTATTTTGACTCTCCATTTCCCAATTCGTAGAATAAGCAAACTCCCGTCGATGATGAATTTCTCCGTGACATCTGCAGGCCAGGTTCGAAGAGGGATAAAACTTAGAGCATCGCCCATTTGCTCAGCACCACTCGGCATGCAGCCAACAGATGCCCCATTATTCACAATTATTCGGAATCCTTCCTGCTTGGAAGAGACCATCCCGGCAGCGTAAAGGATCTTGTGAAAGTATTGTCCGACCACCATCGAACGGGGAAGAGTTAGATGGTGTGTTGGTGCGGTAAAAGCATTCATTTGTGGTGCTTTCTTGTTAACCCCAGCATTAATAAATTCAGGTATTCCAGATGGTAAGAGAGGTATCGAGTTAGCAGCCTCTGATTTGGGCGAAGTTGAGCTCTGAGGCTGGAAAATGGCTTTATGGGCCTTTGAAGCCTCCTCTGCCTCCTTAGCTCCGTGAATGAGTTCAACAAATTCTTGAGCTAAAGTATGTTGTGCAAGCCTCAGGGAAGGTGATTTATTATGCTCTTCAACTATTTCGTGGATTCGAGAAGTTGGAATGAACGTGAAGAGTTTCAATAATCGCTCCATATCTTGATCTGGTTGGCGCATGAAATACTATTTTCGGTCAGTATATTAACTGATAATACGTTTGATGAATGAGCTATGTTTGGTTGGATATCACATACCTGGTAAAGGTCATAGGTTGATGTCATATCTTTGTCGAGCCATATCGAATTGCCAGCAGATTTGCCAATCTTCTCGCCCGTTGAAGTAGTGAGTAGCGGTACTGTAAGTCCAATAGGTGTTGACAAATCTGGATCTTCTCCTGGTTTGCGTTCAATAGGTGACGTTTTCAATATTTGTTTGATGGTATCAATTCCAAACTGGATATTCCCCGACTGGTCAGAACCCCCTACTTGAATGGTAATCCCTTTCTGGTAAAGATGCCACCAGTCCCATGCCTGCATTATTGGGTAGCAAAATTCAGTAAAGGACATGCCACTTCCACTCTCGAGCCGGGTCTTCACCCTATACCATGAAAATGAGAATTAGCGTTCGAGGCGTTACCCACGAAAGGGTAAAACTAATAAGCACAACTTACGGCTCCCGTCCCAGCATTGTTCCTATTCTTGCATGTTGCCCAAGTGTCCCCAGCACCCTCGATCAAAGTTTCTTTATTTCCACCAAGTTATTTATTATTTTTCTAGAACTCGTCTCCAGGGCCCACTCCCCAAGAGTAACCGTGTTTCCCTCCATATCTTTTCAAACGAAGCCCCCGAGTTTTTTTAGTTGCATGTGCATGTTGGCAATGTATGCTTTTCTAGAGGCATTGCTAAGGAGTGGGCGCGCCGTAGTTCGTCCAGTAGGGTCACCGACTCGGGAGGTAGAACCACCCAACTATAGTCTCAAGTTAATTAAACCAAATTGAATCTTGAACATGTTGGTCTTGTAACACTTCCAAATGTTTTATGAATATCAAGTAAAATGGGGGTACCACTCACAAGCCAGACCGATTTCATGCCATGCACATAGGCCCACCCGAGAACCATGAAGGGAAGCATGTGTCCAACGTGCATCGAGGGGGCAGTCGGGTCAATTCCGGCGTATAACCCTACGCGTTTATTCGTAATCATCTTATCTAGTACGTCGCGGTCTCTAAGCGAAAGGATTTAGCAATATTCAGACAGAAGTATAAGCCGGCTTTGATATAAAAGCACAAGGGGAAGCTGTTGCACCCACCCAATAACAGAATGAACCAATCCTCTTTCTTCCATGAAGCTCAAAAAGCTCTGCCTTTTACCTTCTTTAATTTCCTTCGCCCAGCCCTCCCATTGCTCCTCCGCCTCAGCCATCCGGGCCAAGTATCTTTGAGTGATGCATCTTCTCTGCGTCGCGCCAGGCGTAGATCTGAGAGCTCTAAGCGAAATTCTCTGATTTGAGGTTCCGTTTCGGGAAATAGCACAGGGTAGAGAATGCATATCCCTAGGAAAGGACTTGCATAAAGCAGAGCGCATCATCTTTTGTATCTTTTTTTGATGCGGAGAAGCAAGGATTGGCTGTCACAATCAACGATGAGAAGCTTTTTTGCTTCAAGACAGAAAAAAATATTAACGCGTTAAGCGCGCTACAATAAGCAAGTTTGATTGCCGCCAGAAACTCTAAATTTAACCCGTATTAAATTTTCTACATCATCAGTATCTGAACCATTACTTCATTACCCCATCCAGAGTCCAAATCCATCGCTTTCCAAGCGGCCAGAATGTCGATGGAAAGAACACAGGCCTGGCCATCCATTCCCTTCTGTACTGTTTCAACTGACACAGGTTGCCCATGGAGAAGCACCATAAAATTCTCCATTACCTGCCTTTCCTCCAAATCAGAAATCCATAGGCCTAAGGTGCCGAGTGCCTTCAGAGTAACATTAAATCGAAGGTCGTTTCCTGAAACCATCGATATGTCCGAGCCAATTATCGCCGCAGCGCCAGTCATTTTATCAAGCAGCCCTAGTACCGCGACCTTGACTTGAGATTTTATGTCCAAAACCTGGGATTCCCCCTTTTCAGGAATGTCAAATGTGTAAACAGGGTACACAGTGAGAATATCCCATCCCCTTGGCTTAAGTGTTACTGAAACTATTGAGTGAGTATCGGATTGTCCCATTGCTTGAGTGACATTTCCCGTAATGTGGCTGCGAATGACATACTCATTGTCATTGCTCGAGAGAATTCCGGGAAATTCGGATATCGAAATGAGAGAAGACCTTTCATCTGAAGCAATATTGAACAGACCCAGAATTCCAGTTCCGGTTCTAGCCCAACCAGCATATGACCCGATTTTCAACATATACCCTTCATCATAGTTGTTATACATGTCTCTTGTGTAACCCACAACACTTGGACGCAGGATCACTGTATCTCCTCGGGCTGTGGGAGCGGTAATCTGGTTTATAAGAGCTAGATCGTGGCTCCCGGGTTTATCAGTTATATAAATAACACCACCAGAGACACACCTGGCAGCTGCATGAAACGATGCATAAGAGTGGCACGTTTGGAACATATCCCAATCCGGAATAACATTAAGGTATCTTGTCAACAGGCTGTTATGTGCATTGCAAAAAATATGCCAAGTATGAGAAGATTCCACGTCTGGAAAGAAGTCGTCCGAGTTCCTCAACAAAAGACGTGGTTTATTAGTGGGCAAAAGGGAGTGAAATATTATTTGGGGCACCTGTGACATGCAGGATATGGCTCTTGCTTGGAAGTGCCGTAACATTGATATGGACCAGGAATCTTGGTAAGTTGCCATACAGCGTTGCCGAACATTCGCATTGTCAAACGTATCCAAGGCGAATTGTGCATCAGACTTCACCGAATCAACACCGGCAGCGGACAAGAAGGTGTAGAAGTCGTTATAAAAGGAAGCTATGTCTTCTGGATCGATTATTTTCATCTTTCTGCTGCCCATCTTATCGGTTATTTTAACCTCTAATGTTTTATACTGTGAGACTAGTTCACCACTTGGTGAAATTCCTCCCCAATAACCCATTAGAGCGTGCCATACAGCGATATGTTTTATACCTGGATTTTGTTGACGAACGTTAGAAATTGTCTGGCGTAGTCCGCGAGAAACCCTTTTTCGTTCGCTTCAAAACGTGTATACCCCGTTCAAACTGCGGCTTTCCCTCATTATCCAAAGTCTGCCATCCATCATCGATGATGAGATTGGACACCGCAATCCCATTTTCTTTGAGAGATTTGAGGGTATTCAAAATATCTTCCTCTGTCAAGTTCTGCCCTAAAGCATTCCATGTACAGTACGATAGCCCATCGTACCATTCCGATAGCCATTGAGTAGTTGGTTCATTTTTCACCTCCTCTTGAATAGGGCCATAATTTCCGTCCGGCAAAGATATATGCTGTGAATCCCCAGAATAACTCTGCACCATTTTTCGAGCTTCATATATTGCTGCTGCCATTGCAATTTCAAAAGAAGTGGCAATAGCAGCAATAACTTTGGATTTAGCTGCATAGCTATTATCATTTCGAGAATGTATTATAACCTCGCCCCCTGCTCCTGATTGAAAGACGGTCAGAACATTATCAATGCCACTCACAGATAGTAGCACCAGCACGACCCCGTCTTTATACACGAAAGATGAAAGTATAGAGTCTTCTGTCAAATTATAGCTTGTTGTTCCGTGCCGTGGAGCAAGCCACGGAGAAGAAATGCGAACTAGAGAGAACGTTCGAACAAATTCCTTTGGTGTGCCGAGAATAATGTTGGATCTTTTACTCTCTTCTTTAATAGCTGGCCCAACCGGTCCCATAATACTCCAAAGCAAAGCGCCCGATGCTTCACTTAGTCGAGGTTTAATATCAAGATCATTATTCAACGAATGCAAATAGTTTTGCAGACTGTGAGGATTCCATTTCAAAGGAAAATCTTGTGGCTCGATAATAATTTCTCCATCTTTTTTCCCAAATTTTTCTTTGATCCATTGCCAGTCACTACCGTCGTTCGTTCCGTACTTTATAGTAAAAGATGCGTGTTTCCCAGTTTCAGGAAAGGGTACCTCAGCAACGAACACTAATCGGAAGCAATTCTTTGTCGTCTTCTCACTGATTGCAAGAGGGGGAGCACCAGGGGAACTATTTAGTTTATTCTCTGTCCACCCGTCATCACTAGAGATGTTGTGCCAGAGAGCAATATCCAATGACTGTTTAGGAAACGGGCGGTTCGATTCAATCATAACTGTGAACCTAACCTTCTACTATGTTAGTCTCCTTTCTAGACGCTTGGAAGTGTCCCTCGAGATATGACATCAAAATGAATGTTCAGACAATAAGTATTTAGGAATGTATCGTAGAAGTTCATATCAGATAGTATCTTGTTCTTACTTTGCCATTGTCGCCTGAAGTTCCCTTCCTTCGCTTAATAAACGTAAGTTGACCAAGCGGCGGCCATGATGTTATATTAGTGAAAACACACATCTTGGGGCCTGGTATATATATATGGCCTGCAAAGGATGTTTTTTATTATCAGATGGAACCAGAAAATATCTGCCCACTAAGACTTGAAACCAGTGATATGGTTACTACGGATGGGCTCATCCACGAGCTGTAGAAATTGGAGGAGGATCGGTATTTGCGGATATATGTCCCGATACCTGTTATATAAATGCCGCTCATGGGAAGTTCTCTTATGACTCTGTCCCGTGCTACACATGTAAATGTGATCAGTTCTCGGGCCATGCGATCCGATATGCAGGCTTCCAAGGTTAACAACTTGTTAACTATCTAACAACGTACAACCAACAGGAAGCAGTCTTGGACCCAGTTAGGTTTGCATGTAAACATAATTTGGCAAAACATAAATCTTTATGCTTACACCCAATATAGCTCTACTAAATACATACCGAAGGCTTCCTTTTTACTGAAATATGTATATATAGTATCATTCTGTTATATTATACTTTGTCAATATAAACATTGTTTTTGATGTAGTTGCCTTAACTCTGGAGATCACCTCCCATACCACCAAATGTTACCGTCTTGATAGTAAGGAACTCGTCAATTCCATATTTGCTTCCCTCGCGGCCAAATCCGCTCTCCTTTACACCACCAAATCTAATGAGAAGAGTCAGTAAACGTTGTGCTAAACGGAGCAAAAGGGAAGGATGCTTACGGGGCAGCAGTGTCGCTGATAATTCCAGTGTTAACGCCAACCATGCCGACCTCCAAGGCCTCAGCAACACGGAAGATGCGGTGGACATCCTCACTAAAGAAGTAGCCAGCAAGACCAACTTCGGCCGTATTCGCAAGTTCCACTACTTCTTTCTCGGTCCCGAAAGGATAAATACCGGCTACGGGGCCGAATGTTTCTTCAGATGCCATTCGCATATCTTTTGTCATATCAGTGATGACGGTAGGGAAGAAGAAATTTGACCCAAGCTCAGGAGCTCTTTGTCCACCTATAATCACTTTGCCACCTTTTGACTGTGCATCGCTGACGTGCTCATGTACCTTATCAATTGCACGGGAATGTATGACAGGTCCATGTGTGACCCCTTCGTTGAATCCGTGGCCCAAAGTGAAACCTCCCACTTTTTCTGAGAATTTAGCGACGAATTCATCATAGACGCCCTTTTGAACGTAGATGCGGTTAGCACACACGCAAGTTTGGCCTGAGCTGCGGAATTTGGATGCAATTGCGCCGGCTACTGCAGCATCTATGCTGGAAACATCATCGAATACGATGAATGGTGCATTACCTCCCAGTTCAAAGGACAGTTTCTTCATGGTAGAGGCGGATTGCTTCATAAGCAGTTTTCCTACTGCCGTTGAGCCTGTGAAAGACACTTTGCGGATCTCCGGAGCAGTTGTAAGGCATAGACCGATATCTGCGGTATTCTTCAGTGCAGTAACTATGTTTACCACGCCCTTTGGAATCCCCGCACGGGTGGCCAGCTCAGCAATAGCATTTGCTGTGAATGGCGTCTCTCCAGGTGATTTGGCCACGACAGTACAACCTGCAGCCAATGCCGGGGCTATTTTTCTGGTGATCATAGCCGCAGGGAAGTTCCAAGGTGTAATAAAGCCACAGACACCGACAGGCTCTTTGATCGTCATAATTCTGTTACCAGGGACGGTAGCTGGAATAGTATCGCCGTAGATTCTGGGAGCCTCTTCGCTAAACCATTCGAAAAAGCTTGCTGCGTAGTTCACCTCCCCTTTTGCATCAACCATTGGTTTCCCGTTTTCCCAGGTAATCAAAGTGGCCAGGTCTTCAGCGTTATCCATCATCAACTGATGCCATCTTCGGAGCATTCGGGCACGTTCACGGGCAGTAGTTTTTCGGAAAGCCGGGAATGCAGCAACAGCGGCATCAATCGCTTTCTGCGTATCGACAGGCGTGAACTCCGGGCATGTACCAATAAGTTTACCAGTCGAGGGGTCTGAATAAAATTTTGTAAGCAATTAAGGCTCAGTCAATGTTATTCATAAACAGTTCAACGGCTGGACAAAGTAATTACCATGTACTTCAAAGGTCTCACCAGACTTCGCGTCAACCCATTCTCCATTGACATAGCACCTTTCAATGAAGAGGGATTTATCTTTCAACTAGAAGAGTATTAATTAGATGCGGTAGCGTCGATTATACTATACTTGATTACCTACCTGAGGGACTGTATGCATTGTGTAATGCCGTCTTCCGTAAGATGGTGAGGGGAGGCGAGCAGGGTACACAATACGTGCTCGAGAAAATTGTTTAAGTACTGAACGACAGACGTTCACCATTGTGGGTAGGAAACAAGGGAGGAAGCTATTTGGCCTGATCGGTCGCCTATGTTGACACGCAACAGGCGGGGGAATGTGCGGGGCAGGATCAAACAAGACCGGCTCTTTGACAACACAACAGGCAATTTAACTCTATTAGAACTTCGATATACCAAGCTGTGGTTGATATTCTTGCCGGATGTGATGCTTCATTGATTTGTTTGAGTGGTGATGGCCAGGTTGTCTGAACCCCCGGCCGCCGCCCGGCTGTTTGGAAGCTCCATGAGGCGCCAAGACGGCATCTCGGTTCGGCGTTGTAAGCTTATCTTGGCTTTTGGTGAACAAGCATCGGACGGGCGTTGATAGATGGGGATATACAAAATTACAGATACAAAGAGGATAGTAGCCCAGTCAATATAATTTATGAGGGATCCATAGCTATAGGATATTTGTATCATTTATAAGCCCGCTTCACGAGCTGGATCTTTGATTCTGCCAGAAGATCAGAGTGTGCGTTCTTAAGATGTTGGTTCAGATTCCATGATCTAGAAAATCCTCTCAGCTGGCGAGAACATCCCGTAATAGGGCAGTATTTTGCATCTTGTTTTGGGTTATCGATGCCTCTTGAGGTTGGTCGGCCTTCTGCCAAAGTACTGTCGGTCTCCGACTGATCCGACTCAGCGTGTCTCCAACAAGGCATGCCATCCTCAGCTCTTCCAAGCCGCACTGTGCCTTCATGCATGGTTCTAAATACCTGATCTTCTCCAAAGAGGTCCGCACACCGCCGGGAAGCTCTCATGACAGCAGCGGCTGGCCATCCGGTTAAGGAGGCCACACCAATAATCTCACTCCAGTCACGAAGCCCAAAACGTACAGGTTGCTTTTGGGGACTTAAATCGGTGGGCGGAAATGTCCTGAACCCCTCTACATTGTTTTCAAGGCCTCGCGAAGGTGAGATAGAGGCACTGTCGTCATCATCATCTTTCTCGTTCTCAGATCCTGCCTCAGAACTAGGGTTGCTTCTGCGATTTGGCGGGCTGGTAGTGTTTATGTGGTAAGCGCTGTTTCTGGCCCTTAGATTCGGTATTTTGGACTCGTTAATCAACCCCTGAGGCATACTAGAGTATGTGCTTCGCGCCTCTTGGAGACTCAGTAAGAGGTCATCGAGCTTTCCTATGATATTTCGAGCCTCCGGGCGAAGAAGCCTCCTAGACTTATCATCATCGGTCTGTACAACGGGGCGCAGTTTAGGTCTGGGTAAATGAAAATCACTAAACTCGCTTTCTTCCTTGGTAGTCAAGCTTTGATTATCGTTTTCTTCTGGTGATCCTTCTCTTTCAAACCGTCGAGCACCCCGCCAATCCCACGGTCTTGCCTCAAACCTTTCTCTAGAGCTCTTCATCATATGTGAAATGAGACATTCTTCTAATTCCGCGCTGGGTCTATCATCAGGGGCCATTCTTAAGGTCCAGGCATCGTCAGAATCTCTATTTATACGTTCATCGGCTCTTGGAACTTCATCTACTGGCATGGGCCAAGCGGCCCAGCCTCTGCTGGGAGCAAAGAGAGACGCAGAATGAGGCTTCTCTTCGCTCGGGGTTCCATTAAGCATAGAGTGTGCTAAATTTTTAGCCTTTGCTTCCTTTGCTGCCTTCTTAAGCATGAACGAATTATATAGATGAATAGAGAGATCTCGTGAGCGGATGGTTTCCAACGCAGCAAAGTCATGACGCTCTCGTTCAGTCCAGCCTCTCCAGGTAGAGGGTGGCCCGTGAAATTTGTTCAGACGCGTAGAAACTCCTTCCACCATTTCAGGTGAAGATGGAGGTTCGTATGCTTCTTCAAAGGGATCATGGTCGCTGGTATATGGTATCTCTGCACCTTCGCTCTTGTAATCACGCCCTTCACTACCACTCTCGTCATCATTATCTATTATCTCGTCATCTCCGAAGTTGGAGTATGACGAAATTCGCCTAATAGCAGCAGCTTGAGCTTCTTGGTTGCTTTGTATTATTTCATCTGGATTAAACAGGGATTTATACGGCCCTGGAGTCTCAGTGACAGGCTTGAAGCTAGGAGATGACATCTCATTCAGAAGCTTCTAGATTTAGAATTGGGTGAGATAAAAAACCAGTAATTCGGTTGCTCAAGAAAGAGATAAATTCCCTGAGTTGACAGCGGATAGTACCCCTTTGACACAATATCAAACATATTGTCAATTTTTGTTATCAATTTCTGATGGAAGAAGGTTTTGAAGAATAGTTAAGTCACGTGCTACAGAAGCTATTGATAAAAGAAATAAGAAATGACTTGATTTTAAAAAAACGGTTTAATTCTATCTTTTATTTTGGTTCTAAATCCATATCATTATGAGCTACGGGATCCTTATTTCATAAGGCCCTGTTCAATCTTCCGCCTTTTTCTCCTGAGCTTTTCCGCCTCCTCCTCCTTCTTCTTGTTTGAGTACATCATTTTATCAAGTAACTTACGCTTCTTACGACTCAGCATCATCTTCTGGCGTTCAAGTTCTTCTTCTGCTTTCTTCTTCTCGGCAGCGTACTTCTTTGACTTAGCACCCTGGGTCTTTTTCTTCAACTTTTTCGATGTCTCAGGCTCATTAACCGGCTGGAGGCCTAACGCCTCGGCCTCGAGTTCCATTTGATGTTGTTTTTGGGCGGCATCTTCTTCATTATCGGATTCTTCGTCAGCCTCGGGCTCCTCGTCAAAACCGCCAAAGGATTCATCTACTTCCGCATCACTGTCGTCTGCTTCTTCGTCATCATCCGAGTTTGCAACATCCATACCACCATTTAGGGAGTCCGTATCAGATGCTTCCCCCTCAACTGCTTCTTTGTCTTCGTCAACTTCTGCAGGTTCCTCTTCTTCATCTTCATCCTCTTCTTCGCTTCCTTCCTCTTCCTCAGCAGCTCTCTCGGCTTCACCCTCTTCTTCTTGATCTGCGAGGCTCACTCGCGGATCATACTCCCCGTTAGATGATTTGACCCATGGGCTAAGGTGTGGGGGTAAAATTGCTCCAGGTGCGTAAAGGTCTGGTCTGAGAAGCTTTCCATCATTCACGCAATCCCATACCCATTGTGGCTGGACATATATCCGGCCAGGGATTCTGTGTCCAGGTCGTACTCTTGGAATTGATTCTTCGCCTTCTTGAGGGTTTTGTGGTAGCGGAGGAAGGGCAGACTCTATAAGAGGAGGTCGATCAACAATTTGATGTGTTATCCTGGGGTCTAATTCATCATGTGTAAAAGCACCATCCCCTAGTACTGAGTCCCACCCTACGCGCTTGCAGCCAAAGGCACGCAGCAAGAACTCTAGAGGGGCTCGTGGAGTTTCTCTTGAAATGAATACAGTAAGTGGCGCAAATAGGGCTGCAGCCTCATTTCCACTAATCTGTGGCTGCGGAAGAGTATCCGCATCAGGCGCCTTTGGCTCAAAGGTATCAATTGCATCTTCACGCTCAGCTGGAGTATCTTCCGCGACGGCTTCAGGAGCAGTATCGACTTTGACATTTTTTAAGATGCTATTAACTTTCTCCTGCATTTCCTTGGATGCAGGCTCTGATTCCTTGTTTTCAGCAGCCTCAATAACAGTATTTTCATCATTTATTTTTTTGCCTTCCAAAGTAAAAGCTGCGAGTTCGGCGCCTTTCTCATCACTTCTAACGTCGAATTTTGGAGGGTATACAAGCCCAATCGAGGTATAAAGACGGAAGTTAACGAAGCCAAGTAAAGTTGTGTAGAACTCTACAAAAGTTCCCATGATTCTGAAGTCAATGTCGCCAGATACTTGCTGCACGAAACGATAAGGAACGAGCCATAAGATGTCCTGGCCCTGTATGGTAGCTTGGTAGTAGATTCCCTTTATAGAGAGGAAGGATTTGCGAAGCGAGTTCGTTGCAATTAAGTAGTGTTGGAATTCATGACATAGCCGTTGGCAGCGGGCAATGGTCTTTGGGGGAACTGTTGCGGTAGAGGGCAGATTGGCGAAGAGGAAAAGCAAAGACAAGGCATCGTCCAGGTCCCTAAGGGCATCAATAAATGTAGGATAGCGCTCCTTGACAAGGTGGTCAAGCGTAAGCTTCGGTGCAAGATTTTTCTCCAAGCGCGACGCATCTCCAACTTGACCACGACCGAGTGCTCTCGCAATTTTCTTTGCCAGCGCTTTCTGTTCGCGGAACTTGTTTAGAAGTGGTTCATGAAGTAGGTACTGTATATCTCGGGTGTAATAAAATGTTGTGCTTGCGGTTGCAGATTTTGAAGCCTTCTTCTTGTTTCGCGGTTCACGAGGATAGATACCTGTAACTAGAGTCAGCATCGCCTCTCCATCACAATTATCCTGAAGAATTTAGAACCTACCCTTGAATATACATAGACGCCTGAAATCGGGAAGTGAAATCTGCAGCTTTCTAACAGCTTGAGTTCTTGTAATGTAGTTTTTGGCCTGGCCAGAGGTTCCTATAATTGAAACCGTTAGAATTACAAGTTTTTGGATAGGAAGAATCCATTGGAGCAGATAATACCTTTCTTCTTGATCTTCCCCATCTTGTCGACTCTTGGGATAACCCGGTATATGTGTGGTTGTGTTGGAGAAGAACCGGCGCATCCAAAAGTCGAATCTTTTATCAGTGTAAAAAAAAAAAAAAAAAAGCTCGAGATGGTCCAAGCGTCTCCACTTTAACCTTTCAAGCGCGCTAAAAACGACTTGGGAGCGAAGAAGAAAAAGCGAAGAAAGCTGGCTCCTTGACCGCGATGCTCGTCCGACAGAGGGGCATATTGAGCGATGCCAATTGACAGGAGGAAGCTCTGTGTGTTCGGGGCAGCATTCGCCCTGAGACTCATCCTAATCTTGCTGTTCCCCGGTCTCCCAGACTTATTAACTGGTCGTGTGGAAGTGTCTACTCCGATTAGCAGCTTCAAGAGACGTATGGATAAGAAGCGAATTCCACCACTGATCTTAAATATACACTTGCTAACTCTCTATTTCTTTACTGTTTAGTGCAGGAAGGCTTGTTCCTTTATCTCCGCAATGTTTCCCCATACGACGGCGGGGTATTTCACCAGGTGTGCAATGGCTTCGACTGCCACGTTTGCCTAGTTATCTCTAACCAGATATTACGAGAATATATAGGCCCCCATATTGCTACCACTGTTTGCTCTTATACCGCGGTCTCATGGGTACACTCTATTGACAGTTGCGGTCTATACTCTGCTGGATCTGATCAACGCCAATGCGCTTATTGAGATATCAAACTCTGGCGAGTCGGTTGCATCGAGGCTCTTCACTTCTCCCCGGAAGCAAATTAGATGGGATGGCATTGCTATCGTCATTGGGTACGGGATCTAAAATCTATCTATATGGAAATGTGTCCGGTATCTAATGGATACCTTCCTAGCTATCTATTCAACCCCTTCACAGTCGCGATGTGCCTAGGACGGCCGACTACCGCTTTCACAAACACCGCCATAATATACGCGATATCAAGTGCTATCACCGGCAGAAGTATTAACTCTATGCTCGCGCTGGGCCTAGCATCCTACCTCTCCGTTTATCCCGCCCTCTTATTCCCACCTTTGGTTCTACTCTGTTATGATCGTTATATCAACAGAGCCAAGTCGCGGAGCAGTTGTCTCCCGTATGCGGCGTCACACTTTCTCGTCTTTGCAGGAGTTATTGCAGGCTTGTTGATAATATCGTATGCATTGACCGGCTATTCCTGGGACTTTATCTCTGCAACGTATGGCGCCCATATACTAGTGCCAGACTTGACACCCAATGCTGGTTTATGGTGGTACTTCCTGATTGAGATATTCGACCCGTTTCGTGAATTTTTCCTGGGAGTATTTTGGCTGCACCTTGCGAGCTATATGGGAGGTCTGACCATTCGACTGAGACGCCAACCGCTTTTCGTCATAACCTGCCTTCTTGGTATTTTCGCTATCTTCAAGCCGTATCCCAGCATCTCGGACGTTTCGATATATCTATCGTTCCTATCTCTGTACCGACATGTATTCCCACGTACGTATTAACCCCACCGTTATATCTTGATCGACTCACTGACAAAAGCTAGTGATGCGCTATACCTTCTTCTCTGTCTCTGCGTTGCTCTATGCCAGTCTCCTCGGCCCGATATTTTATCATCTGTGGATATACGCAGGTTCAGGTAACGCAAACTTCTTTTATGCCATCACACTCGTATGGAGCCTCGGGCTATCAATTCTTGTTGCAGACTCTTTGTTCGCCGTTCTTAGGGACGAGTGGGAGGAAGAACGGCCAGAAGTAAGAGGGAAAGAGGCAAGGCAGATATAACCGTATACTTCTCAACTGAGATCATGGTCTGTAGTATCCATGCAGTCACCGTCACTGCTGGTAAACGACAGAGACATAATCATGTAATCAAACTCTCTCATCCTTCCGTTCCGCAGTTTGGTTGGTTTCGGCGAACTCGCGTCCTCCGTGAAACCAATTCGCTCGTAGAATCGAGTTGCGCTTCGATTAGATTTAAAAACCGTAAGCATGCCCTTTTGAAGGCCGACGTTTCTGCCAATGTCTTCGAATATCCGAAGCAACTGTTTCCCCACCCCTTTGTGCTGCACTTCGGGAGCAAGGTGGATTTCATAACAGTAGAGAACCGGTATCCCATCCTCATCGGTGACCATGAATGACAAGAAGCCTCCGATGGGGGCCATCTCCGACTTGCCCTCAGGTGCATGTTCATTTTCGGCAACAAGAACCATATATCTCATGTCTAATAATTTCATTTCTTGCCTCTTTTTACGCGAGGACCAGCCCGAGGTCGACTGCTTATAGGCTGTAGAGCTAGTGAGATATATAAGGTTGTAACATGCATCCATATACGCTTCAGGCATTGAGGCAGCGGTGTAGAACTGAAGTGAATAGACTCTCCGCCTTGATTCCTCGGGGGTATCATCTGAACTGTTGACAGCGAGCTGGATAGTAAGATTTAACGCATATGACGGTACATATCGATGAATAAACTCGCTGATAGGAAGTGAATTGACGCTTTCAATCAGCGATATATTCTCTTTAGCTTTTGGCTCTATATCTCAGTCAGCATTAGACGGTTGTATACTTTGTAGATTTGGAAGGCTGTTGGACTAACGAGAAGGACTTGAGGCCTCACTTTCCTCCAAGTCTCTTTTTCTCTTCTTTGCCAGCATTTCTACCGGCATTGCTCCTCAAAGAGTCTGAGATGAAAGGATGCAGCTGTGATGGACGTTGAAATTGTAGGTTGAGGCGCGCTTTAATGTGTGGCAGGTTTAGTTATCGATAACCTGAGGAAAGTTAACTCCGGCTTTCATGTCAATGTCGAACCATCTTCATTTCTGCGTGGTAATATAATATTCTTGTCTAAGAGCGACGGCGAGAGATCCGGATCGATGATTTTAAGAGCTTGACAAAGATTTGGCCATGCAGGGGACCATCCGATTGCTATCTGGCGCTGTGAAACCAGGCTCTAGGCTGAAGAAGCCAGCCATGAATTTGGAACAAGTAGGCCCCTTTTCTGTTCAAATATAACTCCATACAAACATCCAAGTTCTAGAGAAGCTAATGATAAGATTGCAGTTCATAATACACCAGCGGGTTATAAGCCTCTGGCGTGAAATATTGAGATCAACCAAGCGTGAGCAAGCCAGAACATTCACAAACCGTAGTATCTCTTGGTTAATGAGTAAATTTTATATGGCATCTCCAGGAATACCAAGTTCATCTACAAAGGGTGAATTACGATCATTTGCGCGTGGAGAGTTTGAACGACACCGAAACGTCACGGATGTGGTACGTTGACAAGCTTCTCCTGTATTGAAAACAGGTTGCTGATTCAAGAGCAGGGACATATAAGATACCTACTTTCGGTACGGCCATAGCAAATTATCCCCATTGAGTATCAATGAAGGTATACTAATTTTCGATACTTACAGACTGGGAAGACAGAATTTGATACTATGAGACGTTATATTGACGAACAAATCAGTTAGACAGTCAACTTTATAAGGCTCAATCTGTTCCAGAGATTCTTCCTTTGTTATCAAACATATATACATTGTACGTTAACCGAAATGAGTAGAGCTCGGCTTGAAAAATTGGGGTGTATGCTCCTTTCCCAACCCTGGCGCTAGAATGGCCACAAACGCCTGTCCCAGTTAATAATATACAAATTGCAGCCGTAATAAAAGGAGCTCCTACTTCGAGCCCCATGTCAGATTCTTAACGGCCGAAAGTACTCCACCGCCCGATCCTTCACCGGGTTCTTTCGCCGCAGGTTCCTCCGCCTGGTCACGCTCTGCGGTTTCTGGAGCCGGGTCCGTCCCCAAGGGCTTCAACTCTGCACCTTTTGCAGCTTGTTCAATGGCAGCGTGTCTGCTCTGCCAGTCCTTGTCCTCTTGGTCTCTGATTTCCAACTCCTTCAGCCACGCATCCCGCTTTGTCTGTTGTTTCTTCAGATCCATTGCCTTTTCCAGCTGCTTTCGCTGATCCCGCTCAGTCTTGTAATATACACTTCCGGCGCATACAGCGAGAAGGGTAAATGCTTGTGCGTATATACGGGCGCGGAACATGCGATTCACTTGTACGGAGTCGCCCATCTTCATAGATCGATATGCACGGAATAATGCGTAGCATGTGGCGCCGATTCCTATTTGTGAATGCGTTAACAGAGCACATAGACCAAGAGCATCCAATCCATGGCGTCGACATAGGTCGTAAGGCAAACGCACCCAAGGGAACCAGTGGTTCCTCCTTCAACCGCCGTCCCAGCTTCTTCCAGGGATTGTCCTGGAAGAAGTCGCTATAGATGGCGTAAAGGTTAGTGTATACCGGGGAAAAGAAGAGACGCAGGAACCACTCACGGATTGTCATCAAACGAGGATGGTAGCGGCTTATCACCCATTGTGCTGACTGCTGTTTTTCACCGAAAGGCATACAGACTACACAGTGAAGCGTCTTGAAGACATCGCCGATTCCCATGCAGAGCGGAATTTTGTAATGCCGAAGCCGCCGCCTTTGACAAAAAAAATCAACCATACCGGAATTTAGGGTGGATGAAAGGAAGAGAGCGACATCTGGCTGAGTAGAGCAGTTAGTTAGACCATGTTCTTTACACCGTGCAGCAGAGTGTAGGCAGACTCTGCTTCGCCGTCTACGGTTGATAGAACCAGCAACGGCCCCTCCAGCGGGCATACCAAGAGGCGAAGCCCCAGAGTCATTTGATACTGAACAGCCATTCACACGAAAGACTTGAGCACATCGCACATGCAAGCAAACGCCTGTTCACCGCCGACTCTCTGCGGCATGAGAATGCAGAAGAAAGAAAAAGGCGCTTTACAGTAGGCCAGTAGAGCCGACATCGGCGGGGCTCTACTTCTGAGAGACGAATACTCTGCTCAGTAACTGGAAACACGAGCGTGGAACAAGCAATAGAACCGCCCATCAGCTTGACTATAGACAAGACGCTCATCGTCGATATCTTCCCGTAGGCAGACCGCGGGCAGGTTATGTACTTAGGGCTAAGCCTCAGGGTTTCCAAAGGCGCAAAGCGTAAAAGAGGGAAAATAAAAAAAAGCTAAGAAAATAAAATTGCATCATGGCTTGTATAAAAAAGCCGCTGGAAGAGTCACATCCTTGCTCGTCCTTGTTTTGTTGTTTTTTATATATCTTATTTACAAGCTCACACGTCTCTTGGATCAATTGATATTAATACTTGTGCCATGGACGACCCGGTTCCGAACGGTGCTACGACACCTACACGGCTCAACACCCTCTCGTTGACCGAGTACACGGCAACGCCTTCTCCTCCGTCCAAGGCAGATGGATGCCCTCCCGAGTGGGATATCCCTGAGGGCTTCCTGCTTCCCAACGGATACCCAGATGTATTATTGTCAGAAATAATAGTAGATGAAGTTTCGCTAACTGGTTGCCGCAGTATATCCGGCTTATCCTGACATCTCGGGTGTATGATGTGATCCAAGAAACGCCTCTCACACATGCCGTCAATCTCAGCAATCGGTTAGAGTGCAAGGTCATGCTGAAGCGGGAGGACCTCCTGCCTGTCTTTAGCTTCAAGCTTCGGGGTGCCTATAATAAGATGGCGCATTTAAAGGGAGAGAAAAGGTGGAAGGGTGTCATTGCCTGCTCTGCCGGTGAGACCAGCACTGCGTTCTCTGGGAAAGCCCCGTTAAGTCTTGCCGTATGACTGTACTAACGTTGTATGGCCAGGAAACCATGCACAGGGCGTTGCTTACTCTGCACGCCAATTGAGGATCCCAGCGACCATCGTCATGCCTTCGGGCACCCCGGCGATTAAGCATAAGAATGTCTCGCGGCTGGGTGGAACGGTGATACTGCATGGACAGGATTTTGATGCCGCAAAGGAAGAGGCACAGAGACTCGAGAAGCTCCATCATCTGACAAACATTCCACCGTTCGATGATCCGTATGTCATTGCTGGACAAGGTACATGCGGCATGGAGCTGCTGAGGCAAGCAAATCTACAGAACCTGGAAGCCGTCTTTTGCTGCGTTGGAGGAGGTGGCCTGATCGCTGGTGTTGGAGCTTACATCAAGCGCATTGCTCCTCACGTTAAAGTCATTGGAGTAGAAGCTGGCGATGCCAATGCCATGGCTCAATCCCTAAAGTCTGGAACCCGCATCAAATTAAAGGAGGTCGGCCTCTTTGCCGACGGTGCTGCTGTACGGGCAGTTGGCAAGGAGACCTTCCGGCTCTGCCGCGAGGTGGTGGACGAAGTCATCGAGGTGTCTACCGATGAGACCTGCGCGGCGATTAAAGATATATTCGAAGACACCAGGTCCGTCGTGGAGCCGGCCGGAGCCCTGGCACTAGCCGGCCTGAAGAAATATATATCAAAATACCCGTCAAAGAATACCAACCGAGAACTGGTGGCCGTTGCATCCGGAGCAAACATGAACTTTGACCGGCTTCGATTTGTAGCGGAACGTGCCGGGCTAGGAGAAAAGAAGGAAGCCCTGCTGCGTGTTTCGATCCCTGAGCAACCAGGTGCGTTCTCGAAGCTCATAGACATCATCATGCCACACTCCGTGACAGAGTTCAGCTATCGATGTTCCGGTAAGGAATATGCCGATATCTTCATGGGAATATCACTGTCCACCTCGTCAGACGCCCATGACCTGCAGGCCTTGAGCTCCCAGCTCCAAAAGGGAGGCATGGAGGCATCAGACTTGAGCAACGACGAGCTTGCAAAGACTCATCTTCGATATCTCGTTGGTGGCAGAACGAATACTCCTGATGAACGGCTCTTCATGTTCGAATTCCCAGAACGGCCAGGTGCTTTGGAAAAGTTCCTTACTACCCTCCGTCCAAACCAGAATATAACCCTCTTCCATTATCGCAATTACGGTGGAGATGTTGCTAAAGTCCTGGCTGGTATTCAGTGCCCACCTAGTGAGAGACAATCACTGAGCGCGTTCCTCGATGATCTTGGCTATCCTGTCACCGAGTGCACGGATTCTCCAGTATATCAAATGTTTCTAAGGCAATAATAATTTACCGCGATTTGATACATTCTGCGGATTGAAGAACACACAATGACTAATAATCCAACTCCATCGGACCGACTACCATTGCCAATTTCTCTCCTGCGTAAGCCCACGGCAATAGCACCCTCTCAAATGAAGCGAGCATTCGTCCTCCCCAGGATACATCCTCCTTTTTCTACCCACCTCTCTACCTCCCTCTCAAAGATCCCTTCATCACTCTACCTTTACCCTTCCCTATCTATAAGCTTAAGAATAATTATTTGGCCCTTATACAGGTTTATAATACATGGCACTTCTTTATTATTCTCACTACAGGGATTATATCTTTCTTACTTCCCCTACCAAAAAACAACAAAATTCATAAGAACCTCGCCCGTGAAATAAGGGAGAAGACGGTCGAACGTCGGAATACCTCATCCTATTGTCAACTGCGAAATCCAGCAAAGCAATACTATGGCTACTGCTTGTTGCTATGCTATTGTACGGTATCTGTTAACTTCGAGTCCCAGTTTCTCGGTTGCCTAAACAGCGACACAGAGTGCGGTGGAAGCTTCTATGAAGTATTGCCCACAGGCGCAAGGCATTGTGGAGGAGTTGCATTTGATTAGTAGAAAAATATTGACGATGAACAGCTTACTGATGGGGCATAGGAGGCTCGGCTTCTATTCAATCTGCTTTCAAGGGGTCTACCTAGGTGAGAGCTATGAAGAAAGCGCTTTTAATCCACATGGCAACGTAGATGCACGGAGTTCCCAAACATTCAACCCTACTTCATTGTAGTAAATCATCATAAGGTAGGCTTTAATAGATAGATAACCAGCAATTTTTGAGCAAGATACATACATACATGTAATGATATAGATGTCCCAACTATTAGTTCGTTAATCCGCCGTTGTGCTGGTGTTGGTATGGCTGCTTAGGTAAGCACTAGATGTTCATCGGTATTCGGCGAAATAAATATCCGTAATTGCCAAGACATCGAAATCTGAGCAGCTTCACAGAATTGGAACGCAGCAAGTTAAAGAAACGAGATTCGAAGAAATATCAATTGAGACCTTTCACGAAACAAAAGCCCTCTTCCGTTCTTTTGCCGGTATTTTAAAAAATTCTACCACCCTCACAAGCCAGTGATCTTACGGCGTAACCCCTATATACCTGGCTTATCGCCCTGCCAACGAACACCATGCTAGGGCTCCGATCTCTCCTCTCTCCGCCGTCCAAACTCCCGCTCTCCCAATTCACATCAGCTCTGCCCCGGAGAATATGTCAAACTGTTTTCTTGCGGCCTTTCTCGCAGGGTTTCGGGGCCACCCTTTCCACCCGATCGATATGGAATACCTCTGAGGCAATGTCGACTGGATTGAAGAATCTGTGCTCTCGAAGTGTTAAAGCATTTGGCTCGATGTCAGCAATTGGACAGACCCGGGGAATGAAGACACGATCCTCTGTTAAACGACTATGCGAAGGATGCAAGGTATGTTGTTTGTCTGGCCAAGCAGAGCGGCATTGGGCTTGTTAAATCTGTATAGCAAGACACGTTTTTGTAAAATGGGTGGTTGCTAACGTTTTATTACTTGCCTCCTATAGCCCGTTCGACGGAAGAATCGTGTGTATATTATTTGGTATGCCTTAGACGCCATCACCTAAAGCATTTCTTTTCACTAGTTTGCTAACTACTAGCCTAGCTCAAAAAACCCAAAGCACAAACAGAGACAAGGCAAATAGATGGATTTAGTGTTGGAGCCGCATGTATTTGTATCTGTTAATATATACTAGGGTATCAAGAGGGACTTTGCGATTTGATGGGTGGCATTGTCCGTTGATGCCACTCCTTAGATGTGTATAATATTATGACTTTAACCTACCAGTATCGGTATATCCATAATCCTGGACACGGACTCAGAAAGGAAATTCGAATTCCTTTAGATCGCAAATTTCTAATATGGAAGTAGTCAACTGCCATACATTATATGAGATAGCTCTCTGTTTAACCAGGTCCAATCCCTCGCTTCGTATATTCTCCTGCGACACTAGCAATTTCTAGGGCTCTGTCCTCTTATTTAGTGGTCATATTATATATAGCAATCACTAAATTCGATACTTTCTATGAATGCGAATATAAATGCTTTTCATGTACCTAATTATTCAAGTGTCACCTTTCGCAATAACGATTACCCGGATCAACTATATAGAGCTTTATCTCTATTAGATTAGGCAGATAAAAATGGCTGTATTCAAATTATTTTGCAAGGTAACATTTGATTAAGTAATTTGGTTGTTCCCATATGTCGGGACCTTGGGCCATGAGACCACGGGACAAAAAAGGCCTTCTGCCCCATGGAAACATGAGTGATAAGGTGCGAGTCGTAGAGTCGAACGGATGACTAATCCAACATATGGTGTATCTTCTGATTATATAATCAGGAACGTTTGGTCATGTGACTTAGTATCTAACTTCCGCATTTCTTGGCAAAAAAGTTCTAGTTTTGAAGCTCAAAAGCTTTGAAAGATTTTGAGCATTTCAAAAACCAGTTGATTCAGGAATATCAACACCGGTTAAAAATGAGGGCTCACACATTGATGCGACGGCCAGTCCGCGCATTTACAAACCTCTCACGCTCGTCAATTCGATTACAGTCTACAACTCCCTTTGCTCAACGATGCCTCTTCACCACTCCACTCACTTCCAGCAACACCTCCGTACCCCGGTTTCCGCTGAGCGGACGATGGGAACCCCGGAGATCTCTAGCAACTGCTGCGGAGATGTAAGTATCGGCATTTGTGTTAACGTTCACAGATTCGAGGGCTCAATTGCTTACTATTTTCCAACTATAGCCTCGAACAAGCTGCGAACCCAGATAGCCTTACTGAGGCCACAGTCATAGAGAACATGAAGCCAGATGAAATAAAGCATATGTCTCGGATGCGAAATATTGGAATTGCTGTTAGTTGTCTTGCTCTTTACCTCAGCCAGGCCGCTCACTCATTGCTTTTCTCTATAGGCCCATATTGACAGCGGAAAAACCACTTCGACGGAGAGAGTTCTATTCTATACTGGACGCATTAAAGCTATCCATGAGGTTCGCGGCCGTGATTCTGTTGGTGCAAAGATGGATTCCATGGACCTCGAGCGTGAGAAGGGTATTACAATTCAGTCTGCAGCTACTTTTTGTGACTGGGTTAAGAAAGAGAACGGGAAGGAAGAAACCTACCATATAAACTTGATTGACACTCCTGGACATATCGATTTTACCATTGAGGTCGAGCGAGCTCTTAGAGTCCTCGATGGCGCCGTTTTGATTCTGTGCGCCGTATCCGGAGTCCAGTCGCAAACCATGACTGTCGACCGACAAATGAGAAGATACAACGTTCCTCGAATCTCTTTCATAAACAAAATGGACCGCATGGGCGCAAACCCTTTCAAAGCTGTGGACCAAATCAACCAGAAACTGAAGATTCATGCTGCCGCTGTGCAAGTGCCAATTGGAAGCGAAGACGAGTTCAAGGGGGTTGTTGACTTGATTAGGATGAAGGCTATTTACAACGAAGGCTCCAATGGAGAAATAGTCGTCGAAAAGGATGAAATTCCCGAAGATCTCCTCGATCTCGTTCATGAACGACGGAATAAGCTAATCGAAACCCTCGCTGACGTCGATGATGAGATTGCAGAAATATACCTAGAGGAAAGAGAACCGACTGTAGAGCAAATCAAGGCTGCTATCCGACGAGCCACGATATCCTTGAAGTTTACCCCTGTGTTTATGGGTTCTGCATTAGCTGATAAGTCCGTGCAGCCCATGCTTGACGGTGTTTGTGATTACCTTCCAAACCCTGCTGAAGTTCCCAATTTGGCTCTTGATCAAAAGAGACAGGAGGCACCCGTCAAACTTATTCCTTACGCCGATCTTCCCTTTGTTGGACTTGCTTTCAAACTTGAGGAGAGCAATTTTGGCCAGCTCACATATATTCGAGTTTACCAAGGCACTCTCCGAAAGAGTATGAACGTGTTCAATGTGAAAAATAACAAGAAGATTAAGGTGCCACGAATTGTACGCATGCATTCCAATGAAATGGAGGAAGTTTCAGAAATCGGACCTGGCGAAATTTGCGCTGTCTTCGGTGTTGATTGTGCATCTGGTGATACTTTTACGAACGGAAAACTAGGGTACACCATGTCTTCCATGTTCGTCCCCGAACCAGTGATTTCGTTATCTATTAAGCCAAAGAGTTCTAAAGATCTCGCCAACTTCTCGAAGGCTATCAATCGTTTCCAGCGAGAAGACCCTACATTCCGTGTCTACTTTGATGCAGAGAGTGAGGAAACCGTCATTTCTGGAATGGGCGAATTGCATCTCGACATCTATGTTGAGCGTATGCGCCGCGAATACCGTGTGGACTGTGTTACAGGGAAACCAAGAGTTGCATACCGCGAAACCCTTGGAAAGCGAGTCGACTTTGATCATTTGCTGAAGAAGCAGACTGGTGGCCCTGGTGATTATGCCCGTGTCGTTGGTTGGCTGGAACCCTCTGAAAAACTGGAGGTTAATAATTTCGAAGAACAAATCGTTGGTGGTAGTATCTCAGAGAAGTTCTTGTTTGCTTGTGAGAAAGGTTTCAATTTGGCTTGTGAAAAGGGTCCTTTGATCGGCCACAAAGTTCTTGGAACACGGATGGTCATCAACGATGGTGCCACTCATATGACTGACTCCTCCGAAATGTCGTTCAAAATTGCAACGCAACAAGCTTTCAGAAAGGCTTTCAAAGAAGCTGAGCCCCATATTCTCGAACCTCTCATGAAGACCGTCATCACTGCTCCGACGGAGTTCCAGGGTGACATTATTGGTCTATTGAATAAGCGCAATGCCATCATCAACGATACCGAGACTGGTGTAGATGAATTCACCATCTTCGCCGACTGCAGTTTGAACAGTATGTTTGGCTTCAGCAGTCATTTGCGAGCCGCAACGCAGGGTAAGGGTGAATTTACCATGGAATTCAGCCATTACGAAAAAGCTCCCGGGCAGCTCCAGTGAGTACCTCCTCTCAGTAGCCTTTAAGAATAAGGAATCCCATATATTAACCACTCCTGTTCACACTTATAGGAAAGAACTCGTTGCCGAATATGAGAAGGCTCAGGCAGCACGACACAAGTAAATGACTTAACCACTACCGTTGAGTGAACACAATATGCCGTCAAAAACTTTCACGAATGACGAAGTACGGCTGTTGTACTCCGTACCCACTATCTACATACTTGCCACGATATATAATCTACTCCCCCTCAAAATTCACCTATCTGGAGTCTTCTTTTCGCGTTATTGTATTCTAGAAAGCTTTTTGGGAGGAGCAAAGGATGAACCGGCTTTTCTTAGATTTCTCTATTGTCTACACATATACTGTTTTACTATGCACCTTTGTTTTATATTTTCCTCCCAATGTCCTACCTATGTAACATTGATTGTACTAACCCCTTTCACATCTCAGTTATAATGCTATGTTTTGTTTACTTGGTGTAGTTATAGATCAATCGATTTGAAGGGAAGAATGCATGACTAGACGTGGGGGTGAATATACATAACAGACAACGGAACTCCACTCTAATATTAATCTAATGAATACCAAGATATGAATAGTAAATTATGGATAGATCTTTAGTGTTCTATGTATCTCCCTAACTATGTCTGCTTATCAAGGAGTCTCAGAACAGCGACAGCGACAGTATTGAGAGTTCCAATCTCATTATGTCCTATATAAGTAGGGGAAAATCAGTCAATGATAAATAAAGGTTAGGTTTAAAAAACCATAACAGTCAAATCGAGGGTAACATACCTCCATATCTAACCCGTTCCCACCTAACTCTCTTTACTGCTTTTCCCGGGCCATCGTTCCTTTCCCAGACAGTAGATTGGATAATTCCATCCTCGGAGGTATAGTTATGTGTAAAGGTCCCCAATTCGGCTGCTTTTGGTCCACCAGTAGCTGCGTCCCATACACTCCTGCCCTCGCGCCATGGAATGTCGCGATCATTTACCGCGTGTATAATGGTCAGGTCGAATGGCTGCGACTCATAGCTATTCCCAGAATTGCCATAGTTTGGTACAATACCTGTTAGTGCTGCGAGTCGAGCAGCAGTATCCCATCGGTCAAGGAGGCGATCCAGTATATATTTCTTCAATTGGGGATATTGTAGCAAAGGCGAAAGAATTGGAGGAATAAAGCCCATGATACAGTAAGTGTGCAAGAGTTGCGGTATATTAGTGAACGGCGCCATGAGAATGATTCCAGCAAACGGCTCTTTAGCCTTTACAGGAGAGAGGTCTGACGGGTTTCCGAAAGTGTGGCGCTCAGCCAATGCACTTGCCACGGCTGTACCCAGACTTTGACCTGCAATGATAATTCTGCTAGGGGAGATTGATAATGGAGGCGAGGTCAGGTAATTGACCACGGTAAGCGCATCTGTAATGAGGCCTTCTTCCGTAGGCTTGCCCGTGGATTTTCCAAACCCTCTGTAGTCAAATGCAATGACATGAACCGGACGAGATGGGGTAGATGTAGAGAGGAAATTTTGGTAGACTTTGGGACGGTAGCCAGTTCCAACGTCAGCAGCATTGCCATGAACTATGCTCAGCCATTAGCAATACATCTCTCTAATGACTATGGTACCAAGGTACATACGGTTGACTACGACCCTTGCGTTTTTGTCTTTAGCTAATAGCTGGAAAGCTAGCGTTTTGGTCACGTCTTTTGCAGGTCCATCAGGAGGACTCTTTAAAAGAATATGTTCATAGTCCTTGTAAAGATGTGGAGGAATAATATGCCATGAATAAAGTGTCTCATTATCAGGCGTAACAAGGGTGAAGGGCTGGACTTGCGACTCTGTCTCCTGGTTAGTACAGTATAGTCAAAATAAAGTCAAAGGCCATACGTACTCAGGAACCCAAAGCATTCAACATTGTTTAAGTCGAGGCACTTCGAAGGGTTAATTCCATTAGAGTACAGCACACTGGACAGAATATTAATAAAAAAAAATTTAATCCCATAGGAGGTTTTTGAATATCAACATTGAACCGGAAATTATTACCCTCTCTGGATTGTAGGATGCGTTAAGGACAGGACAGCCAGTAAATATAGGAGGCCGCAACCTGCCAAAAGCCAGTAGGCCTTTTTGAAAATAGGAAGAAGCTCCATGAACCAAAGGACTCAACTGCAATGAATTATCGTCAGCTGGTATTCTCGATACTTATGCTGGTATAACCAGTCTCCTTGGTACCCAGAACGAACAAATACCGAGTCTCTTCCTGTAGCTCTTGATCTGACAATATTGGAGAAAGCGTCAAGGCAAATCTTCTGCCATGGACAATCTGAAAGTAACCAAGAAAGGGTATATGATATGGCTAGCAGTGAATAGTTCAAACGAGTAGAGAATAAACTGTCGTCTAGTTTAAAGAAGAGGCTGAAAACATAAAAATCACGAGCCAAAACGAAGTTCCGCGCCTTCGGGACTTTTTTTTGTGACTTCGACATTTCGCGTTCTTGGCTTTTTCCCATTTGCGCGCCTTCAGCTTCCGCGATAGAAGTTCTTCTTAGCAAACGGGCCAGCCCTTTGGTCATTTAATTGTCAGCATGGCTGAGAAACGAAAACAACCCGGCAAGAATCGCGGAGGCCGTCCGCGTAAGAAGAGAATAGAAGATGCAGTAGATGCAACTCCGTCACCAAAGCGACACCAACGACAGGAAGTGTCTACAACTCCCTCAAAGAAAGCCACAGCAACGCCAGCACCATCAGTCCCGGCCGAACTCCCGGTCGAAGAAACACTTCCTACCAAGATATCCGATAGCCGGCCGCTCCCAACGCTTCCAAAACCGCAAGCACCGAGCTCTCTATCTGAATGCCAATCATATGCGGAGAGGTGAGCCTACCGCCAGATTTTAGGGACATTCTGGACGGAATACCTTGACAGTCAAGGGTTGTGCTAATATTTCATTCCGTTTAGTGGAATTGTCACCGCCGCGCTACATCGATCAAGGACAAGATGGCTTCACGATTGTCTTTTCGAAAAATATTGGACCAAACCATCAAAAAGGAAGAACCAGCCTCAACCTACATTCCAAAACCCCCCAAAGGATTCCATGGCCAAGCTGGGACCGTGTACTATGGTGATTGAGCCTCACTACTTCGATATTATGCTATATACAGTACGACGAC